CACTCTGGTACGCCAGCCGCTCCTCGTTGGACATGGCGTCCCATACCCGCGCCTTGCGCTTGTTCAGCAGCACAAGGACCTGCCGGTGCACCAGGAACACGACGAGACTAAAAGCGCAAATCGACACGCAGACGATGTTGCCGCGCTTGTAATACGGCGCGTCGTAGGCGCGGTAGATTTGCGATCCGGCGAGGGACCCGATCTGCACAATGACGTTGTACGTCGCCGCCGAGATGGCGCGCTTCTTGACGTCGAACGTGTTCTCCGAGATCCACGACGACACGATCGGGTGGAAGTACGGGTAGCCCGAGATGAGCGTAATAACCGAGAATCGGCTCCATTCGCGCCCACCGTCGGGCAGCGTGAGGAGGGTGACGAGCAGGGGCATGATCCAGAGCTCGCCAAAGATGCAGTGGAACGCGCGCTCCTTGAAGTAGTCGCTGCTAAAGGCCAGCGTGAGCATCGTGATGATTTGCAGCACGGCCGAGGGCACCGTGAGCATGTTGGCGTTGAAGGTCGTGAAGCCCAGGCGGCGGAGGGTGAGGGTCAGGTACGCCTGGACGGGCGTGGCCGGGATGTAGGCGACGAGGCCGATGAGGTACAGTCCCCACATGGAGGGGTCAAACCAGGCGTTCTTGATGTCCTTGACCGTCATGGGCTCCTTCAGCGCCGTGAGGCCCTTTGCGGGGTCGTCGCGGAGGATGCGGTTGATCATGATGACCTCCTGTCTCTCCGTGTACCACGGCTTTCTCCAGATGGCCGTCATAGTGTTCGTCGGGGAGGCGGGGAGCCAAAGGAATGCCTGTAACAACATGGGGTCAGTGGGGGGGGGGGGGAATCCTTTCAAACCACCATACCTCGGGAGAGAGAAAGCGGGAGAAGAGATGCGGCAGACATACCATGACAGCCAAAACACAAGTCAGGAGACCCTCTAAACGGCTAGTCAGCGAAAAGACACACAAGAGACGAAAGGTGAGGGAGCAGATCACATACCCAAGAGGAAGAGCCAGAACCAGCCCGTGTGTCCACCAACACCGCGCATTTTAAGGATACCCGCCGCCAGCAGAGCCGAGATGACTCGCGCAACATTGAGTGTAGACCAAAACACGGCCAGCCGAACGGACAGTTCCTTTGATGTGTAAAAGTAGGTCGCAAAGAGAATGGTGCCGGGAATGAAGCCACCCTCGCAGGCGCCGATGAGGGCTCTCGTCACGTAGAACCCGGCGCGGGTCGTGATCCAAGCCTGCGTCCAGGAGACGGTTCCCCACATCATCATCATGGTCGGCAGAACGTACTTGAAACCGAAGCGCTTGGTGAGGAACTGGACGGGGAACTCGGCGACCAGGAAGCACACCAGCTGGATTGTGGTTCCCTACGGAGCATATGTTAGCAATCGTCATAATCCAAGGCCAGGACTGTCAGAACGTACGTTATTGTAGTCGTCACTGCTGAGCTTTAGGTCCTTGAGGAAGTCATCTGCCAGGGCGTTGCTCAAGTTTCCTCTGTCCAATTGCAAGCCAAAGAACTGGTTCAGTATCAGCAAGGCGGCTTGTCAAGACCTCGAAGTGACTTCGCATACCATGATACAGAGCATCGTCAACAACTTGATGTCCGTGATACGAACCACTTTCCTCTCCTCGGCCTCGGTCCACGTCGCGGCGGGATCCCATCTGTGCTTTCCCTCATAAGATTCATGCGGCGGTACGAGGTCAGATAGATTCTCGCGACCGATAACAGGCGCGTCCGAGTCCTGATAGATGGACACAGCGTCCTTGCCGCTGTCGCTGGCCGTCTTCCGCGCGGTAGGCTCGGCGTCGGCCATCTTTGCTGTTGCTACTGCTGCCGTCGCTTGCTTGGTTCGGGCGCGAGAGCTCGTGTAAGCACACTTGCCCGAGGGTTTCGCAAAAAAGGGAAACAGAAAAATGTAGCGTAAACCGACGGTGATCGACACGAAGCTCCCGTCTCAAGAACGAAGACGTTCTCGATGCTCAACTTAATAGTCGTTCCTCAAACTTCTGATACGTCTAATTGAGGCTAGCAGATCATGGCTCACGACATCTATGCTCGGTCTTGCGTCTTCGAAGGAACCCACATACTAGTGGAGGTGAACCATGTGGCCGGACAAGGGGGGGGGCCAAGGGCGAGAAGGGAAAAAAAGAGATGGTGTTGACAACTTTTTGTGCTTGCTGACAGCGACCGGGTCCGGATGGCCTAGCCGGAGCCTGGGAGGCTTTAGTTCTCCAAAAACTTTACCCCAGAATTCTCCGCCTACCGATTAAAACCCCGGGCTCTCGGAACGACACCCCCCTGGCAACGTGTCTTGGCCAACGGGCGATGTCATTGTCAACATAGTTTTGACTACATGTCATCTGCCCTTTTCTCTGGCGAACGACGGCTTCACGTTGGATTGGGGGTTTCATTCGTGTTTACTGTTTGCTTGTGCCAATGTGGAGGGTGTCGGTCGACAGAAAGGCGGCCTGTGACAAGGAACGGAGGAAATATGTCAATGGGCAAGGTAGCCCCGGTAGCTAATGTGCCCAGAGTAAAGACGTGATGATGCCGCGCCCGTCTTCAAGTCCGAAAGATTCTCCGACGAGGACTGCGAGTTTCGAGGCTATGAGGGAGAGGAGGAAGGGGGGGGAAGTGTGTGTGTGTGTGTGGGAGGTTAGATGGCCAAGTGTTGTCTCCGGAGGGGGCCTCTTAGGTGCCCCCACTCCGCTGATTGGCCACGGCTGACAGACTTCGCCGAATTAGGAAGCTTTGCGATTGCGCCATCGCCCACCGGTCGGGAGCCTCCGTAACGACGAGGACTCTGAGTATCCGTACTCCGTAACCTGCCACTCAACCAAGGGGAAGCGACTCCGGTTGTCGAAGACGTCTGACGATCTTCTTTCCCTCCTCACCCCATTCGCATTACTGGTCACTCCCCGATCTCGCTTTGAAAGCAAACAGACACACACACACACACACACACACACACACACATACACACACACACACACAAAAGAGGAACATTACTCTCCCTCCTTGTGATATCGTACGTGGAGAGTGACAGGACATAACGGGTGCTCCGGACCTAAAATCTAGCCATATATCTCTCTCTCTCTCTCATAATCTTCCTTTTCGCTTATCAGATCTTACCTCACACACCCCCAAACAAACATGATCGACGACACTCTCAAGCGCCCTGCATCATCAGACTATACCGCCTCACATCCCGTTAAATCACAAAAGATCAACAACGACAACATGCCTTCCGCGGTATCAACTGGCTCCAACATTGTTGGCGGAAACTCGGCAGCTCGCCCCCGGTTGAGCAAGCCGCTCGTCTATTCCGGTTCTCTGGACAAGTACAAGAACGCAGACATCACCCCTGTCATTGGACGCGAGTATGAGGGCCTGCAGGTCGTTGACCTCCTCAAGGCGGACGACCAGGTCATTAGAGATTTGGCCGTCACAAGTGAGTCCCCTTATTTGTCTCTTCATGAACCTCAAGGATCGTGTTGACAGGTAGTACAGTTTCCCAGCGTGGCGTTGTCTTCTTGAGAGACCAGGATGTCACACCCAACCAAATGAAGGATTTCTGCCTCCGTCTCACAGAGCTCGCCGGATGTGTAAGTGAAGAATCAAAACAACCAAACTCACTTCAACCCTATCTGTGGCTCATCTCCTAACTTGGCACCATATAGCCCGAATCATCAGGCCTTCACATCCACCCCCTGACAGAGGAAGGCAGCGAGCTCGGTGACCAAATCAGCGTCATCAGCAGCGAGAAGCAGAAGAAGGGCGGCGGCCTCACCCACCAACTGAGCGATGTCAGCCGCTTCGCCAGCGCCGGCTGGCACACCGACATCTCTTTCGAGCAGGTCCCCTCGGACTACGCAATGCTCAAGATCCACACCCTTCCCACCACCGGTGGTGACACTGTAGGTCCCGAAACCCAAACCAACCCAAACCAAACCAACCCGTCCATCCATCTCTTTTCTACTGGAAAAAGGCTGGAACCCGAAGGCCCCCACCCCCTCCCACCCCTTGCTCGCCATCTTTGCTCGCCATCAAAACCTTGCAGCTGCATTGCAGATAACGGGTGGACCTTACCCGGCTAACTGCGTGAACTACTACTAGCTGTGGGCTTCTGGATATGAGATCTACGACAGACTCTCTCCTGCCATGCAGAAGTTCCTCGAAGGGCTGACGGCCACCCACGACGCCACATTCTTCCACGAGGAGGCCCGGAGGCTGGGTAACCCCCTCCGAGAAGGTCTCCGCGGCTCGCCGCTAAACAAGGGCTCCGAGCTCAAGTCCATCCACCCCGTAATCCGTACCAACCGTAAGTTGGACCCTCATTCATCACATCAAATCACATCACCCCTAGTCCCAAAAAAAAACACAATCCAAGAAGTCTAGACTCACTCAGCTGACAAACCAACTCCCCCCTTTTGCAGCCGTAACGGGATGGAAGTCCGTCTACGTGAACAAGGGCTTCACCAAGCGCATCAATGGCGTCACAAAGGACGAGTCCGACGTCCTCTTGAACTACCTCTTCAACCTCGTCACCCAGAACCACGACGCCCAGGTCCGCTTCAAGTGGCGCGCCAACGACCTCGCCATCTGGGACAACAGGAGCATGTGGCACTGCGCGACCTACGACTACGTCGAGGCCAGGGCGGGCGACCGCGTCGCGTCGTTGGGCGAGGCGCCGTATCTCGATTTGAACAGCACGGGAAGACGTGAGGCGTTGGGACTGTGAGAAGCAAAAGAAAAGACGTTTTGATGAAAACTTTGATCACGAATGGCGTTGGGTTTCGGTGGTTTCGATGAAATTTGTATTAGGCCTCTGGCGAATTGAAAGTTAACAGCATTGCATGTAAGACACACGACAAAATGAAACACTGTTGAAAACATGTTTGCCATTGTGATCTGCTTCATGATGCTATAAATACCGCTAAATCGCCACATGCTGGCGACTCTGTCGCACTGCCTCTGACTGCCATGCTCTCTCAATGTGCCGTTCTCTCATCATCGCTCATCTGATCAACTGTATCGCCAATGTCTTCGTGAAGCAAGTCGCCAATCCACTTGCTATCCTCGAGGATGCTTCTTGCTTCCTCGGCTTCCACCACCATATCGTCAGATATCAATAGTACCGCCAGCTCCGGGACCAACACTGCCTCCACAAAACTAGAATAACCACGCGATGATATGAGTCGATCGTCGACAGCTCGTTCTCTCAGAACCGATGAAAAGCGACTAATAATGTGCTCTGAAAATGCTCGGAGGCCACGCGGGCCGTAGTAGCCTGGCGTCAAGCTGTCTTCTGCCTTGAGCAGCGTCCGGTTCTTGCCCTCCTTGACCTTGTCAAGCAGCAGATCGCCGAAGTGAGAAGACCCGCCGTTGATAATCTTTCGCAGAAAACTGTAATGAGAAGCGACCCGAGTATCAAGGCCATCCCAGTCGATTTTTGGGTAGCCCCGAGCACCCCAGGCATTCTCAGCTGACTTCTTTTTGTGCAGCCGGCAGAACTGAATCTGCTTGCGAATATGCAGACGGGCGCCCTTGGAGAAATCTTGCAGCAAAGTCTCATCAACAATCTCATTACACATGGGGCAACGTGCCTCCATAACCTGTTTGAGGTCACTATCCAAGTCCGACAAGTCTGAGGAGGACTCAAACGAGAATTTTCTCGTCTTCTTCTGATCAGGCTCAGGGCTTGACACTAGACTGCGAAGCTGTGGGCGTGACTGCGCCGGACTCTGCAGAGACTCAGGTAGGGAAGCGGACGGAAGCTTGAACTCGGCCTTTGCTTTTCGCTTTGGTGATGAGTGAGGACTGAGAGATGCATGCTTCATGACAGGATGAGCAGAAGCGTGAGGGGGCGAGGATAGAAACGTGGACACTGGATCGATGATGCGTTTTGGCGGTGTTCTGCTCGAGAACTGTTCGAATGGGTCGTCGTCATATGCTTTGAAAGACGGCTGTATCATCTTGGGCGCAGAAGCTGATGCATGCGTCAGTACCGACATAGTTTCGCATCTCAATGTACAACAAACCTTCTTTTCCTAGCTTGGATATCGGCCTCTCTTGCGACGACTTCGATTTTGACCTTGCGGGAGGTCTGATACGCCCCCTGTTGGTGTCCCCTCGACCATAGCTTTTCTTCCGTGCTAGTAACCTTTTGGCCTCTTTCTCGTCTTCAAGGTCGATCTTTCGGGCCTTTCTTATCTGGGATTCCGGACTGAGTGCTCCGCCGTCAGGTGAGTTTCTCTTGCTGCCACGTATTGTGGAGAAAGAGCTCTGAGAGCCTTCATGTTGCGCTTGTCCTTGAGAGCTTTCCTGAGAAGCGTTCCACGTCTTGCTCTGCTCCTTCCCCCTCTTCGATGAGCCAAAATAAGGGCGAATGTCAGCGCGAGATGATCGTGCGCTTTCATCATCGTCCGAGTCTGAAACTGGCATCGTACTCGAGAAGACCCGAGACGCCTCTCTTGAGCTTGATAAGGCCTTTGAAGAGATCGGCCTGGGTTCTGGATCGGTAATCTCATCGTCAGAGTCATCAGGTGGCCGGTCTACCGGTCTATAGTCGGCGACCATTGTCGGTCGCTGGCCATTAACCTGTGACAGTAAAGGCCGAACGCGGTTGTCTCTTGCAAGACCAGCTCGTCTCTGCGTCGTGCCCTGCTTCGGGGGCATGCTATTTTCGAATTTGCAGTTACAGCGATGTCTCACACTGCGTTGAGTAGGTCAACTGGTATTCTCGAGTGGTTTGAGGACTGTGGATAAGTCGTTGCCTGCGGAGACCAGCAGGCATCTCACACGGAGCTCAACATCAGTCTCCGGCCGGGTTCGCTTCCACTTCCGATTCAATCCCTGATATGTTGTAATGGAGGCTGGCGAACATGAGCGTGATGATCAACGTCAAGCCACAATTGACATTGAGTCTTCGTATGGAGCCTCGGCAGAAGTGTGATCTTCTCAATTGCGGAGGAGACGTTGTTTGTTCAGTCCCCGGAGCCACAAATTTTGCTGCCGCTTGAGGTAAAGTGGAAGTGCTGACCGGGGAAAAGGTGGAAGCTACAATCGCGTTCTCGACGCGTACCGGCCAAGTATGTACCTACTGCGTATAGGCCACCCCACCCCACTTTGTCATTGGATACGTCCTCATTAGCGGGAAACCCCCCTGACAGCTCAGTGACTTTTGGCGTGGAGGCTGGAGCTCTCCTTCCTGCGCAGGGGTCTTTGATTGATTGTTGACTTTACTACACCTCCAACTGGGACGTTAAGCTTCACAGAAAACGCCTTTTCGACGACTCGAAAGGGGCGCATTACCAGACAGCGCCCGAATCCGCCAAATCAAACCGGTCTTATTCTCAGTCTCGTCATGGCATTGAATCGGAAATATGCAGCTCTGCCAGACTTAGTCAGAACACTCGCGTCACCAAAAACCAAGAAGACGATACTGACGACGTTCAGGACTCGGCCCCGGACGTGTACGAGACACCAGAGCTGACAGACGATACATCCACCGTCCCAGTACGATTACTCCCTTGAGATCGTCTGCTATGGCTGACACGCGCGCAGACGACAACCGGACAATCGAACTCGGATGATGATTTCGACGACGACCTCGACGATGACGCCAACGGCATTTCAAGGTCCCGACTCCGGGTCGATGAAGCACGATCTCGTTTCCTTCCGGCGGGCGTGGACGCCTCGGGAGTCGACTTTTCCGATCGAGTAGATGGCAAGCGCAAATCATACAAGGCGTCGACGAGACGCCAGCGTTTCCTGCAGGATGGTACGGAGCAGCTCGGCGATCTTAGCGACGAGGACGACGAAGATAGTCTGGAACGCAAGATTGCACGGTTGCAGCGTGAGGTTGAGGAAGCCAAGGAGGAGTACGGAAAGAGGAAGGAGGCAGCGGCACAACCCACGACGGGAGACCATGACGAGAAGCTAGGATCTCTCAGCAAGGTCCTGGACGAGATTTCCAAGACTCTTGAACCGCATATGAGCACTTCTCGCACCCTTCAGCCAGCGTCGCAACCACCCACAGCAGCTAAGGATGAGTCGCAAGACTTGGTGTCACAGGGGAACTCTGCAACCTACACAGTTACTTATGCTCCTACGTACGAACAGAGTCACGCTCTTGCCACGGCCGCGGACTTCGACCGACGATTGGTTCTTCTTGAAAGGGCAATCGGCGTAGGGTCAACCGCCTTGCCGGAAGTTGACATCAATGGGTTGCCAAGAGCCATTCTTCCCACGCTCGATGGGCTTCAGAAGCAGATTACGACTCTGTCGCAGGCGTCAACATCGAATCTGGACACAATCAGCCGTCGAGTCCGTACTCTCATCCAAGAAGCTCAAGAGTTGGAAAAGGCACGCCAGGGAGCCAAGTCTGCGCAAGAAACCCTTGGCAATGGTGCGACCGCTGGCGAGGATGTCCCGGCTCCCGAGCAGCTTGCAAAGATCAACGCTCTATATGGAACTCTGCCTACGATCGAGAATCTCGCTCCTCTTTTGCCACCACTGCTTGACCGCCTGAGGTCCCTCCGCGCGATCCACTCTGATGCTGCGTCTGCGGGCGAGATACTCGGCAGAATTGAAAAACAACAAACGGATATGGCGACGGACCTTAAGCAATGGAAGGACGGCTTGGAAAAGGCCGAGGAGGCGATGAAGGAGGGAGGCACTGCCATGAGCGGAAACATGAAAGTTATGGAGGCATGGGTAAAGGATTTAGAGGGACGAATTGCGAAGTTGCCATGAATGACTTCCGCTGTCAAAAGATACCCCTGCTTTAACCGAATTATCGAGCCAAGCTTCGAATTTCTCGTCTTCATGATCTGGCCGTAAATGTGTCGTTGTAGGATGACCGAGCCGTTGCGAAGTTTTGGAATCTCAGATCCCACCTCCAGGGTACATGCGGATGGATGTCACTGCGCGATTCTAACGATAAAGAGCCAAATGTGACCATGAAGGTAAATCACCTTTGCTACTGATATTAACCAGCACCTGGCAAGGAATGTGCATCCTAGGTACCGGTGTCTCATTTCCAGTCTCTACTTCCGCAGAAGCCTACCTTTCTTCTGATGCATCGGCATCTGTTACTGTCACAGAACTGACAACTCATTCCCGTCCCTTCCTACTCTTGTACTATTAAGGTATGCAGCACAAATATGGGGTTGAAAATGAGATTAGGTAGGCGGTGAATGGGGCAGAAATGACATGGACAATGCGCCCTCCTCCCAACCAATGAGAGTGCTCTGGGTCCCTAGCACGCACCGTGGAAGGGTTTCCTTTCGCTAAAGCCCTTCCACAAGTCTTCGCAGCGAAAAAAAGATCGTACTCGCAGTCATCCATCAACCCGCGCAGCCCACCACCCAGCAGCACCCTTCGCAACCACATACATGTACGTGTCGCGACGCCCGAGAAAAATTGACAGAGATCTTGACCGACTGACGTAGAAATTTCGCCAGCAGTCAAAATGGATTCCGCTAAGCAGCCTGTCAAGCTTGTGAAGGTCACCCGCGTCCTGGGCCGTACCGGTATGCCCCGCCTCTTCCCCCGAAAACAAAAGACAAACAAAGCCCTCGCCCCGACGAAGATCGATTCCCACGATTGAGACCGAGACGGAAGGAGGGACGAATTTTTTGGCAGATTTTCTGACTGCGTATAGGCTCCCGCGGTGGTGTCACCCAAGTCCGCGTCGAGTTCATGGACGACGAGACCCGTTCCATTATCCGTAACGTCAAGGGACCCGGTAAGCGACCTCGAATACTTTCGACCGCCTCTCATCGAAGGGAGGGGGGGGGAGGGGATAGCGATAAGCCGGAAGGATCAAAGAAGTACTGACATGTTCTACTAGTCCGTGAGGACGACATCCTCTGCTTGCTCGAGTCTGAGCGTGAGGCCCGCAGACTGAGATAAACGTGGCGAATCGGCAGCGGCGGCGTGTGTTATGGACATTACGAGGAACGGAATCATGGTTCTGAGGATGGGACAGGAACATTGCGAGGGCTTCGTCACCCGAGCCCACGGCTTTCGTGTTTAGAGGAGTCAAAAAACGGATTCTGGCATTGCGAATACAGCAAGGTTCTCCCACCCCAGCCGCGAGGCAACTCTGCACGAAGAATCGACCTCGTGTACCTGTTTGTGATGCGACGCTGGAAGGGGCAAAGGGAACGGCGTCTAACGAGATATATCAATCAATGGACAGCCTGGGAAAATTCATCAAAACATCTTCTGCACCATTTTTCAACGTCTTCGACTGACTGCTGTGCGGTTCATGCTGCTTGAATGATACCATCCCCGCGGGGAAAGTTGTGAGAAGACGTCATGTGCCGGACGAACCCGCGATCAGCTGGACTGGACTGTCGCTCAAATCTTGAAGACGACCTCCAACATTGACTGCCCAAGACTGCAACTGTCACCACGATCGCGAATTGCCCCGCAAGCTGCGCCTGAGAGCCGCAAAGCCGTAAGGCGGCAGACTCCTCGGTCTGCGTCACGTGATTGGGGGCCAACGAAAATTTCCTTGGACTGCCCCACTCCCTCAGCTCCTGTCCTGCAGCTATAAACTTCTCTAGATTCCCAATCATTTCAGGCTTTTGTCTTTCTTCACCCTTCAACCCTCCAAAGGGGCTCGTCGCGAAGTGGTAAGTCAAACAGTCTCTTTTTCTTGCTCGTTACAAACGTTGGGATGATGTATCCAAATTAGCATGTATTACCTGAACTCTTCTGAAGAATCAAAATTATCACCAAGATCTCTGACACCAACACTATCAACTACACTTTTTGCGTTCTCTCAAAAGCTTTCGTAGCATTGGCTAACCCCCAAAAAAGATTGCAGATATCTACCGATCATACTTCGAAACATGGCTGCGGCTCCCAGGCCACCCAAGGATCACTTCAACGTGCTGTTCTTTGCAAGCGCTGGCTCCTTCACATCTAAACAGTACGATGTGTTGCCGGCCCCTCTCCCCTTGAAGAAGCTATTTGATGCGCTTGAAGAGAGATATGCCGGGTTCAAAGAGAGATTCCTAGAGTCGTGTTTGGTGACGGTCAATTTAGAATACGTAGATATCATCCCTGGAGCAGACGACGAGAACGGCTCGATAATACGGTCCGGCGATGAAGTAGCCATCATTCCTCCCGTCAGCTCCGGATGAAGGCGTCTCTGGTAGCCTCCCTATCTGTGACTCTGTTCTACAGATCCTGCCAGCAGTATTTGTTTTCGCTACGTGCCATCTCGCGTGCTGTGAACTTGACCAAGCAACGGGTCGCGTTCACCGTCCTGATGTCGTCGCGGTCGCCAAAATTGCACCCGTCTCCAGTCATGCTTCCACACCCGCCACCAGTCCGGGTCCTGTTTGCTCCGTCGTCTCCCCCAGCGGACGCCGAGCACGATCAAGGTCACCAACAAGACCACGACAAACGTCGACACAATGGAGATGATGGACGTCAGACTCGTAATGGTCGAAACCTGGCAGCCCAGCGGCTTGGTGCGCAACTCCCATCGTTCCGCCCAGTGTGGACAAATGTTCTCGTCGTAGGCGGGTGCCAGCAAAGGAATCGCATACGGATTAGGGACGCAGGCGGACGTCTATATCATGGGCGAGTAACAAAACATCACGAATTAGCAAAGAGAATCCGGTTTCTCGGTTCCGATTTGGCGCGATAGAACGCGTACCATGGGACACCAGCTGCATTCGTTCTCCGCCAGGCACACTTTACAGTCCTGGTGGTTCCAGCATCGGAAGAAGTGCTCTTCAGATGTCTCTCTGGCCGTTGTGAAGTTGTGCTTCAGATGCCATATTTCTTGGGCGCTGAGTTTATCCATCTGGGTGCCGGCGGCTTTCGTCTTTTGAATATGGTGTAGCCGCAGGCGGTAGTAACGCGCCTACTTAGCCAATTGATTGCGATTGGGGGGAAAGTGAATCTCGTGATGGAAGTTGTCAGTGGGACGAGTACGGGATGACACTGGAGTTGTGCGGGGAAGGAGCTGGTCGAGTTGGGGTCCGTGCATCCATCACCCAGACTGTATTACTCCGTACAGTCTATCACAATTCCTCACTTCGACACGCCTTGAACTTCAAAACTTCCTGATACCGATTGGATGCATATCAAAGGTGCTTCATGCATCGTCTCACAACTTCGCGTTTGAGCCAATTCGAAAGAGAACCTTTGTCAAAGTCATTACCGGAAGAGTTCTCCCGAGAAAATCAACCTGACAAGTGACGGCAGACCACCCATTTGAGATGTGCTCTCGTGGTATCGCCAATATGCGGCGGCAACGGAACAAGACGGCCACCGGCTACTATGCAGGTACCGTCGCTTGACGGTTGCTCCCACGGGAACGTCAATGTCTTGGTCCTGCGGCTTGCTACGGATACTCCTTCAGGGGCCAGTCCTGGAGGATGCTGCGCTGCAAGCAATATAAGCAATTGGTCCCAAGATCATGGATTCGACGATCTCCCATCAATCGGCAACTTGGGAATAATACCCTTAGCGGCGACATGCCGGCAATTTCTGGATAAATTGCCCCTGCCTTCGAGAAGCAGCCGCAAGCCGACTACATTCCGACAACTGTGTGATTAAAGAACTGGGAGCACTTTGCTTTAAGGAGTCTGGTGGTCTTGTTCGCGAACCTGCAGCCTTCGAATACAGCTACCGGCGTGAATCGAAGTTGGTGCATCAAGATACTTACAACCATGGTGGTCAGATGAAGAGATCATTGACGAGTGGACTGGACTGGACTAGTTCTGGGACACACGACTGTTGCTCTTGCCGAGGCTGCTATGTGCTGCCTAGACTGTCCACAGACCGTCGTCCATCGAAGAAGTCGGCCCGGTTGAAAGACACTACGGACAAGAGGAAGCATGAAGGCGGCTGACTCTGTCTTGAACGCGAACATCGACTTGCAACTTGCAAGTCTGCAACGAGGAACGCGTCGGCTGAGAGCCGACTACGGTTAATCAAGTCGCAACTCCGTTCGTGTTGGTTCAGTCATCAGCAAGACCCTGCACTCTAATGTTCTGCCATTGGTATAGCGCGATCTTCCCTTCATCAACCACTACCGGGTGTCATTTTAGCCTGATATCAGGCTAAATGGCTAAATGCTTCGAGTGCCCTGGGTGGCGCCGGTCAACGACGTGGTATCCTGGAAGAAACCCCACGTGAGGCAGCGGCGCAGTAGCCGTTTCTTCAACCTCACGCTAAGAATCTCCAACCACTTGAGTCTTCTCCAACAGTCAACTTGGACACGGTGCGATACTCAGCGTTGTCTTGGAGCTCCGCAAATGCATCTCCACGACCCACGACGGTTTAGTGTAGAGACAGAACCGTTCGACTAAGGAACTCGATCATTTATGCTGGGTATGAGCTGCTCAAGTGTCGTACCACTGACGGGCCTGGTCTGCGAGGCCTTCCCCCCCGACCCCCACCGCTGTTTACACCCAGGCTCAAAAGCACCCACGTGAACTCTTCACCTCGCAAGGATCCTTGCGAAAGCCAGTCAAAGAGTGATCTGACCGAGAATAGCAGGCCTCACCACTCTTGATCCCTCCTTACAGGACGGGATGGTATGCAAAGTCGGGCTGTTCCGCTTCATCGTGGATCGACTGACAGTCGAGCAGCAGTATCAACGGATGAATCTTGGCCCTCATGGTGACCCTCCCCGCGCCCACGAATCCACACCGTCAATGATCTTGGGGAGGGTGGGTCTGTGGGTACTCAGAGAGGAGCGGTTCTCGGCCGACCAAGTTGCGAAAGATTCGCATACACCCGCTGTCGCCCCATTGCTGCGGAATCCATCCCGCCGGCATGAGGTCTTGATCGCGCTGAGAGCGCCATACGGCGTCACGAGGCATATCACATCGCCATTACTCACCGTGGAAACGCAGGCTTGTCTCTGGAATCTGAATGCGCCTCAGTTGGTTGAGTAAGCGCAAAAATTCCTTCTAGCTTTGGGCATACCCCCCATGCCCGCAGCCCGTGTCCTCGAAATAACACCAATGGCACGGTGGAAAGCTTTACCGAGGGTGTCTCTCTCTAAGCAGGGGTCCCTCCTCGACAGAGTTGCATCGACGGGACGGAGATGTCTGCACTTTCGGTTTGGTCTACCGCCTCGTCACAGCAAACTTTGGTCCCCGGACATGAGCACCGAAACACCTTGTAGTATTTACTGCTTTTCATGCATCGAAAGAACTTCTCGTTTTCATGTGGCGAGCGAGATATCTCTCATTTCCCCAGAAAGTAGTTGGGCTGCGTGTGAGATGCAACTATTGACTGACACTTCGTTGCGGCCCCGGCTTGATCACTTCATCAAGCCGGCCCAGGAACGGCACGGCATACGGAAACACACGGGATAGAACAAGGAAACCTGGCGAGTCACGGAGGCGTCATGCCAGGTTTAATTCGAGTCGCCATGTTCCCAGTGCCCACATCCAAAAGACAGCCGATTTTAGCTTAGCGATGAGTCGTCCACCTCGGCCTTGTCTTCCCCGCAGCGGTCGACTAGTCAACCCCAAACTCGTCTAATTTTGCGGTTCTTTTTCTCTCCGTCCTCACTTGCTGGGATATCTCTGGGGTTAATCGACCGGCAAAAGCTGTCTGTCATCTTCAGCCTTTTGTCCGACATTTCAGCCATTGACGTCAAATAGCAAGCTCCCGAAAACAAAACCAACTCTTCGCCTTGGTGTTCATACACATATCTTCCCAAGATTGAGTCGAGGTCGAGTGTGTCGAGTCACCTTGGGGAAAGAGAATGGGACAACGGGCGGGACCGTCGCAGTCTCCACTTGAAGGACAACCTCCCTGCTTACCTCCACCTTCTTCTCCACAGAACCCCAGGGGGAACGTTTAGCAAAGTGGGAACGCTCACACCTTTGGTCCTTTTCTCATCTAGTCTTGTCCTTGTCTAGTGGGATTCAAGTGTCCACACAGGCGCCCGGCAAAATACAATTGCCAAAGTTTGGAGAAATAGGTGTCCGATTCGTATTCACCCGTTCGGACGGCAGCAGATTTCTTGGGGAAGAGCCAAGTACGGAGTACGGATACACTAGAGAGAGGAGAGCCTCCCGTCCCTCGTGACTTGTGACTTCTCGGGCCAAACTTGACAGCGAAGCTTTGCCTTGAAACAGTTCAAGCCCTTCGCATTTTGCCGGGAGATAGTGGCAATCCCCTGTGCCGCGTACGCACTAGGAAATCCATGGGGACTAGCAGTTTACCTTGACCGGCAGGCTGCTTCGTCCTCGTGCAGGGCGATATTTCTCAAAGCTGGCTTGATATTGACAGCTGATTGGGGCCGGTCGACGTCCGCCAGGATTTCACGCAAAGGATCCCAACCAAGTGGTTCCAACACCCCTGCCCCCAAGAAAAGACCGGTCTCTAGACCTAGGCCTTCCCGGTCCGGTACCCCGTCTGGGACTGTTCGCACTGTTTATCCTTTGCTTCCCAAGTGTTCGTCTTATGATCCACAGCTCCATATAATAAGACCTGGAGACCCCGCGTCGTAGATCGAGGTTGTCCTTCTCGCCTTGTCCGTCCCTCTCAAGTCATCCTCTGGCCCAAACACACGCGGAGACTGCTTCTAGCTCTTGCTCTGGTCGCCGGCAAAACGCCAAACGTCAACTCACTACGCCAAACCCACACACGATATACAGCTCCACTGAGCAGACGCCAGTATGGGACTCCTAAAGGGCCTTTCACAAAACAAGACCAAGAGCGAGGCTGTTGCCCAAGCTCAGGATGAGGCGCCGGATTTCGAAAAGGTCAACTGGGTGAAGGACCCCGGTCTGAGGAAGCTCTACTTTTACGCTTTCGTCCTTTGCATTGCCTCCGCGACCACTGGTTACGACGGGTAAGTTGTCGATTATGGTGGAGTCATAATGGTCGGTCTGCTGACAATGTGATTTACAGCATGTTCTTCAACTCGGTCCAGAACTTCGACTCATGGCAGACCTTCTTTGATCACCCCAAGGGAGGCCAGCTCGGTCTTCTCGGTGCCTTTTACCAAATCGGCAGTCTGGTTTCGATTCCCATTGTGTAGGCGACCTTCTCACGCGAAACCCCTCTGGCACATGAATATCATACTGACCCCCTTTAAGCCCCTTCATTGCAGACAACTTTGGCAGAAAGATCCCTATTGTCATCGGCTGCTTGATCATGGTTGCGGGTGCTGTCTTGCAGGGTGCTTGCACGAGCATGGGCAGTGAGTAATTTGGATCACTCGCTACACTTCTCTCAGGCTGACTATTCGCAGTGTTTATGGGCGGTCGTGTCCTCCTTGGTTTCGGCAGCTCCTTTGCCCAAATCACCTCGCCCATGTTGCTCGCTGAGCTTTGCCATCCCCAGCATCGTGCTCGCTTGACGACGGTTTACAACTGTTTGTGGAACGTCGGTGCCCTCATCGTCGCCTGGCTCTCCTTCGGAACCGATTTCCTCGGAAACGAATGGTCGTGGCGTATTCCTGCCATTGGCCAGGCAGTGCCCTCCGTCATCCAGCTCGCCTTCATCTTCTGTAAGTTGACCTCACCGAGCCCGAATTCCTCTGTGTGAGATTCTAACCTGATGTCAAAAGGGGTCCCCGAGTCTCCCCGTTACCTCATCGCCAAGGACCGCCACGACGAAGCCCTCGCGATCCTGGGCAAGTACCACGCCAACGGCGACACCAACAACCCCACCGTCCAGTTCGAGTTCCGCGAGATTCGCGAGACTATCAAGCGCGAGACCGCCGCCAAGAACAGCAGCAGCTACCTCGACTTCTTCCGCACCGCCGGCAACAAGTACCGCTTCATCGTCCTCATCTCTCTCGGTCTCTTCTCGCAGTGGTCCGGCAACGCCATCATTTCAAACTACACAAACATCCTCTACGCCAATGCCGGCATCGAGAGCTCCACCGCCCGCCTCGGCCTCTCGGCCGGCCAGACCGGTCTCTCGCTCATCACCTCCCTAGTTCTGGCCATGCAGGTCGACCGCTTCGGCCGCAGGCCCATTTTCCTCGCCTCCACTGGTGGCATGCTCATGACCTTTGTCTTCTGGACCCTCTCCGCCGGCCTGTACGAGGAGCACGGCTCGCCCGGCTCCAACTACGCCATGATCTTCTTCATCTGGCTGTTTGGTTTCTTCTACGCCTTTGCGTGGTCCGGTCTCCTCATCAGCTACTCCATTGAGATCTTGCCGTACAAGCTGCGTGCCAAGGGTCTCATGATTGTCAACTTGACCGTCCAGGCCGCCCTCACGCTCAACAACTACGCCAACCCGTACGCGTTTGAATACTTTACCGGCCACACCTGGAAGCTGTACCTCATCTACACTGTAAGTTATCACTTTTTCCGACGTCGATTAGCATTTTACTAATGACGTCGTGCCAAACAGTCCTGGATCTTCCTCGAACTCGTCTTTGTGTACCTCTTCTACGTCGAGACAAAGGGACCTACCCTCGAGGAGCTCGTCAAGGTCATCGACGGCCCCGAGGCTCAGGTTGCGGACCTCGACCTAGCGCAGGTTGAGCAGGAGCTCAAGCTCGGCCACGAGGCCGAGGAGCTGGAGCACAAGCGCGGTTGAATGTGTGCTTGGCACCATCGCATTGGGAATTTCCCCCCATTTAGCATTTCACGGCTTGGAGCTCCGTGACATGAAGCATATACGAGCATGCAGATACCCTACTATTTAATGTTGTACAGAATCATGCGATACACACACCTTATATAATGATATGATCAAACCCACAGACACTTGTGTCGTCTACAATGTGCTTTCTTGAGGGCGTCAAGATTTAGGTTGACTCGACGGTACTGGTCCAACGTTGAATAAATAAATAAGTACGCATGAGTACCACCTTACTAACAACTCGAGTGCACATTTGGAATACAAACCCCCCTAACAAGATGTTTCCTCATGTCAACCGCTACAAATTGCCTACTGCTATGCTCTCCTTCCACACCTACGTGAGTACCTGCTAGCTTTCAAGTCGAATCTTGAGCATCATGAGAGTGACGGCCAAGATCAAGTAGACCAGGCCGCCTTCCCAGCGTCAACTATCCCCAGCCTCCCCATCCCTCTCCCCGACCAAAGCCTCATTCCTCTCCACACCCTCTCCCTCCAACTCCGCGCTCTCCCTCTCACCCAGCATCCGCGTCCTCTCGGCAACAGCCAACGTAACCCACTTAATCTCAGCAGCCTGCCTCCTCTCAAGCTCCGCCAGCGCCCTCTCGAGCCTCTCCTCGTGCCGCTTGCGGACGCTATACATAATCTCCTCCCGAATCGTCCGCTCCTCTTCCACCTTGATCTTATACCGCGCCACCTCCTCGTCCCGCCACCGCTCCCACGCCCGCCAACCCCTATCCAATTCCCTGCGGAAATCCCGCATCAGCGCCTCGATCCGCGCCTCGCTCGAAGGGCGGTCCGCGAAGAAACTCTCCAGCTGCCGCAGGTACGTCTCCTCCGTCCTCTGCTCCGCCAGCACGCGTGCGCCGTACTCCGTCGTCAGACTCTTGACTTTCGTCGCCAGCTTCTCCGCCGCCATCTCGACGAGGACTCGCTGCTCGGCCTCCTGCTTCGACTCCAGCTCCGCCGTCGACGTCTGCGCCTCGTTGGCCGCGAGCTCCTTCTCCTTGTCGTGCTGGTACCGCACCAAGAACTCCTGCAGATCGTGGATCTGGTCCAGCAGCTCCCGAAGTTCCTGGTACCGCACCTCGACCTCGTACCGCCTCAAACTCTCGAGCCGAACCCGCTCCTCCTCCTCCGCCCTCCGCGCTTCCTCCTCAAGCCTCTCCATCTCGAGACGCAGCAGCTCAGCCTTGAGCGCCTCCTCGCGCTCAAACTCCTCAATCTGCCGCAGCGCGTCGCGGAGCTCTTCCTCCGCCTCGGCCTCGAGCCGCACCCTCTCCGCCCGCCGCGCCGCGGCTCCCGTCTTGATGGTCTGCAGCTGCTGCATGGTACACGCGCACGTCCGCCACTGTAAGCCGCAGACGTAGCAGAACTGGTAGCCGCACCGGCACGTCATGTGCTGGCACGCCTCGCGGTGCTCGACGAGCGCCTGGCACCGGCCGCAGTGCTGCCACCCTTCCTCCTCGGCCAGCGCGTTCGTCAGCGCGAGGTCCGCGTCCAGCGGACAGTCCGCGTCGTCGGCGTGGTGTGGCCCGCGGCAGATGCTGCAGGTGAGGTGGCTGCCGTTGGGGCCGCGGCACAGGGCTCGGCGCGAGGCGCCGTCGACGTGTTCTGGTCGCACCCAGACGCCGCAGGACGGGTCGGCGCAGTAGATGCGGTCGGTGATGGGGATCGCCCACTCGACGGCGCGGTCTTTGCAGGTTTTGGAGAGCTCGGTGGAGATGTGGCGGTGGACGGTGCGGGTTGGGATCGGGGTGAGGCAGCATTTGGGAGGCCAGTGGTGTTCGTTTTGGACGGCGGTGGAGATGAGGCGCTCGAAGCAGTCGCGGCAGTAGCTGTGGCATGTGAGTTTGATCGCTTTCTTGGGGCTGAAGTCGTCGAGGCATGAGACGCATTCGCTGTGTTGTGTTTGTGTTAGAATACCGAGAACGGTGTTCGTTGTTGAAAGGGGGGGGAGGCGGACTTACACAGTAACGGGAGCTTTCTTTTGCTTCTCCGTGACAGTAGCAGGTTCATCAGATGCTGCTGCTGCCTCCAGGCTCGTCTTGCTCGAGTTGCCGCCAAAACGAAACGTCTTCTTCGCAGCATCCTTTTCACTCATCTTTTGCAAGATTCTCGTCAAGGCGAAGCGGCTCCTTTTCTTGGGTTGAAATGGCAAGACGATGAGCCCCAGAGGCAAAGCGCTACCATCGCCCGCTCCCGTCATTTCTGGAAACAGCTTGAGGTCCTCGACATCATCGTGTCCCGTTTCGACCGCCAACGACGGTTCGGGTCCTCCGTCGGGGGTGATGATGATGGGCAGATATGGCTCCTTTACCGTGCCGTCTCCATCATCGTTTGCGTTTGCTGCTTCGGCTTCTCGCTGTCTCTCGTCTTCTTCTAGCTGCCGCCGATGATTCTCCTCGGCGGCTCTCGCCTCCAGGTTCTGGATGGACACCTGGAGGATCTCGAGGGCTACTGTGTTAGTGAGGTTTGGGGCCGTTTTGAGGGATGCTGGCGGGTTGTATTTAGTCCACTCGGCCTCCTCATCGTCCCCTTGGACTGGATTCGTCTCTGTGATGTCACTTTCACCAGAGAGACTATGAGCTGACTTTCCTTTCCCGATGAGAGCCAGGCTGGTTGTCACATCGTCGTCGTCGTCGTCGTCAAAGTCTCGTAGGGTCACGAACGGGTCGCCGTAGAAGCCCACGTAGTCTTCCAGGCGGGCCGGCACATTCGTCGCGGTTTCCATCTCGATGATGGTCGACGCAGTTGTAGTCATGTAGGGGTATAAGATGCTGTCTTAGGTAGGGTGTAGAATATAGCTCTTCGCCGACGGAGAACGGAGAGGAGAGTACAAATAACTGAACGCCACCCCGGAGAACTCAGGCCGGAAAGTGTCCATCTAGGTAGACATCTCACACAGCAGACACGGCTAGATAATATGTGGCATCTGACCAATCCCGCCGACGAAGCGTAGGAAACTTCCCCTCTACATGGCGTGAGCCGGAAAGCGGAGCATGAAGGAAGCCAAGGTGCGCTTGGCGGCTCCCCCCGAGCCTCATAACAACCTACCTTGAAGAATCCCCATTTTTGGGAACAACGACAAGGCACTCTCATAACAACTCACAGACCACAGGGCTGAATCTGCCCCGGCTGGATTGCTAGACTTTCCAAAAAGGGCGGGGCAGGTGGTATGGAGAAACACCACATGAAGTTACCTACATGGCATTGGCGGCCAAGATCGGCTTTAGCGTTGATGTAAACATTGCAACGGAAGAAGAAGGTTGGTTGACCGCCGACCCGGAGCTGATTAGATCAAGGCAGACTCGTCAAGCACGATGTCGCGAGCCGAGACCTGGTTGGTGAGATTCGTGCTTTCAAGTCTGAGAAAGAGACAGTAGAGCGCGAAGAAGGCCGACTGGCGACTGACTGTGTTGGTGTTGGTGTTGTTGGTGTTGGTGTTGGGGGGCGGAGTTGGGCACGTTCGGCTACTTAGCGCGGGCGGTGCAGTGCGCCCTGGGAGGTTCAGGTCAGTCTGTAATAACTGCCGCAGTTGGTCACCGAAGGGGTTGCTTGGTGCCATGAGATGTCACGCAACGCTTAGCCTCCTGAAGATTGGTTGTTAATAGTTTGGCTTATGATGGAAATGTTCCAGTTGGTGATAAACTATAGGTCGTGGGGATCATGTTGTATGCGCTGTTGTGCCTTGCAGGCCGAGTTTCCGCCGATTACGGCATGGATTGGCATCCTTGGTCTGGAGCTGAAATGGCGTCAGCCTGGTAAAGCATAGAGAACGAGTAAGTTACGGAAAGCGCCAGCTGAATTAAAAAGGACAATATCTCCTCTTTCCTCTGTTGCATTTTCTGACTTCCACCTGAAGCTGGAAAGAGAGGAAAGAAATGAGGACGAGGAACACTTAGGGGATCAGAGGAGAGCACGTGCCAGAAAAGCGCACCCCACCTACAGGGATTGTGCCCATCCATCTATAGTCACCGATTTTCTTCAAATAAAGCATCAGCATCTGTAGTGTAGTGGTTATCATCCTTGCCTTCCATGACTCCTCGCGGTTAGCAAGGGACCCGATTTCGATTATCGGCGGATGCAAGACAGAAGCGTGTTATTTTTTCATTTTTGAGTGTCTAAACACCATCGACTTACTGATTCACTGCGCGTGAGACGTTTTTAACACCCTGTGTGAGCTGCGCGTATTCCGAATTTGCTTCTACTTTTGTACGAACGGAAGAGTCGCAGCGATTTGCACAGCCCTTAGAGGAGGAAGTCAACCCAACCAAGCCTACCGACCTATCACCTCTCAAGTAACTCGACATTGGAAATCTTTAATCTCTTGATATTTTGATGCGTCAGCGCGTGTTGCTTCGGCCGCAATATCGGCGGGCGCCATCTCACAGCCTCGGCTTAGTCGTGATCAAACTCCATAACAAACACAAGATTTCATTATACAACTGACCACTATCTTCGCAATTGTCACAGTGCACTGCACCATCTCGCCACTTTCAACCCTGTCCCTAGATCTTTGACTTGACCTTGCTGAACTCGATCTTGTTGATGCAAGAGCCCACGTTCTCAAGGCCAACCTCGACGACGTCTCCATCCTTGAGCCACAACTGAGGCTTGCGACCCATGCCAACACCCTCGGGACTTGACACACACCGTCAGTAAGAAGTTTGGCTAGAACTCATCGTTGATCTACTTACGTTCCGGTGAAGATGACATCTCCCGGCAGCAGCGTAGTGCCCTGGCTCAAGAAGGAAATTGTCTTCTTGATGCCGAAAATCATGTCCTTGGTGTTGTTGTTCTGCCCATTTGTTAGCTTTTGGCTCACACGTCTTGTGACTATGGCCCAAAACTCACCTGAACGGTCTCCCCGTTGACCTTGGTAAAGATCTTGAGGTTCTGAGGGTCCTTGACGACCTTGTTGGTCACAATGCCAGGCCCGAAAGGCGCCCAGCCGTCAAAGCCTTTGCCGAGAGACCACTGCCCGGCGCCACGCTGGATTTGCCACTCGCGGTGTGACACATCGTTGCCCACGGCATAGCCGAGAACATAGTTGAGGGCATCGTCCTCGGAGACGTCCGCGGCGGTCTTGCCGATGACAATGACCAGTTCGCACTCGTAGTCCAGCGTGCTGCCGGTCTGAGCGATCGGGTGCACAGGAACGGGGTCAGTCGGTCCGGCCAGAGAGGTCACCGGCTTGTACTGAGAATGGTCAGTCTGCCCTTTCTTTCCCTAGAGACGACCATGACTTACGAAGAGAACAGGGAACTTGGGAATTGCCATGTTTGACTGGGGGGCTGTCAGCTGTTTGTGCAGAGCCTTTCAGATTCTTGACTCTTATCTCACCTCCTTGGCGTGGTTGGCATAGTTGAGGCCGAGGCAGCGTACAGTCTTTACGTGCTCGGGCGCAAGGGGAGACAGCAGAAGCCGGATGTCGGCGACGTTTTCTGTGACATCGTGTCTTCCAAAGATATCGCCCGTCACGATCCTGGCCTGCCTCGCCTTGGCGATATCAGTGACGCCACTGGGAAGAATGGCATCGCCGTAGTAGGTCTTGCCATCCCGGGCAAGGAAGCGAACGAGTCTCTGGGGTGATAGTTAGTAAGTACATTGGCTGTTGTCACCTACAGCTGGCCAGCAATTGACTCACGGAAAATGAGGACATCTTTACGATTAATCAATTGAAAACTAAGAATTGAGGCACGAGAAGAAAGAAAGCAAGATATCGTACAATAGATGAGAATATGTTGCAGATGATGGAATGTGACGAATATCGGGAGAGGTGCCGAAGACGCTGTAGCAACTGGACCCCACGAACCTGAAGCCTCCGATTACCATCCGTCGACCCCACACTTGCCCCCCAGGGCACGGACTCCAGAGCTAAACCCCGGCTCGCTGTTCGGCGTCAGATGTGCCAGAGCGAACTGAATTGTGTAGCACTCTGGCGCGCCGGCTAATGCATCGGCATCATTACGCCATGGGCTCCCGGCAGCTGTACGTAGTACAGCTGTGCTGCGTGCACCTCTTCCGGATAGAACTCCACAATTCCGAGAAGCTCTTTCCAGCGTGTGTCAATGCTGAGTCATTCATTCGACCAACAGCTTGTGACTTCCGCCTTTCCTTATTGGCCCAAGCTACAGCGATGGAGCTCTCTTTCTTGTGGTTGACATCAATGATTCGAGCATCGAACTTTCCCATGACGGTCTTCTCATGAGCCACCAAAAGAGCATTCCTTCCGCAGTATCACCGAGTTGACGTTCGAGATGGCAGTAACAAGGCGCGGCCTTTCTGGTCTTCAAAGGGAGGTTTTGGCACTCTATCGACAATGTATCCGGGAAGTTCGGAAGAAGCCCGAGGTAATATTTCTTCATCCTCTTTAACTTTCATGTGAGATGCTAATATCACCGTAGACTGCGCGACCTCACTTTCAATCTTTTGCCAGGCAAGCTCATGCATCAGATTCCATATCTGCCTTCTAGCATCATACTGACCAGCACATCAGGACAGAATTTGAAAGGTACATTACCGTCGACAAGCGCGACTTCTCCGTTGTAGAGCACTTGTTGCGGAAGGGCCGCCGCCAGCTCGAGACGTACTCTTCGCCAAGCATCAAGGACATCAGCCGGTAAAGAAACCACCATCGTCATGCCAAGTAATCGGGCCTCTCTGCATCCTTCTTCGCACGGCTCCGTGTCAGCTTAGGAAGGGACGTCGTTCTTAATATCCAGGGCCGCACGCAGGGAACAGGACCGACTGCCTCCCTTTTGTATCACCACATGTCTCTCCTATGCTACTTTTTGTTACCTAGACCACATGATACCAACACAAATTCTTCTTTGGATCCATCTCTATCATTCTAGTGCAGCGAGCATGGACGATGCTTGAGTGCGACAGAGTCTTCCGAGACTGCAATTGTATTTCCACTTGTTCACCCTCACCGCCCGTTCTCAAATCTGAGCCGGTACTGGCACACAGGGCAGCAGAAGACGTCTTCCGCAAGCCCATAAGCCGGTCTGTCGAAAGCCTCCGTCGTCAGCAACGCATAATTGTTCACACAAAGCGCGCCAGCAGAGCCAGACTTCCATCCGGCAAAGTTACCCGCTCTCGAACGACTGTAGTGTCTACCAGAAGAGCGAGCCAATTCGTCCCGATTATCGTCTCCCAGGAGCGAGAACTAGAAAGACTGCGCAGCATTGTGGCTTCGGACGCTCTTCAACCCTTAACACCGGCCTCACGAAGACGCAGCAGACCTTCCATACAAAGGACACCTCCTGCGTGGTATATCGCAATGGACCCCCCGGTCCAAACCGTTCCTAGATCGCCGAGACCACAAGGCCCTTCCTCTCGCTACCAACGCGCTGTCCCAAATCGGGCTTCAAAGTCACGTCCCGTCCGTAGGAGACCAGTTGCTGGTCCTTCGGGATCACCAACTCGGCCAAAAGCCCCCAACTTTGTCGAGGGTCCGTCCAAAATTCAAGGCCACCCTTTGTCAACCATGGCGGACCCTGGTCACACATTTCAGCACCGCGAATCGGTGGCATCCCACGAGAGACGATTCGGAGTTGCTGATCCACAGCTGTAGGAAGCTGTTCGTCGGAGTCTTTCGCAGCAGAGTCGAGTCTCTCTTGTTGCTTCGCCATCAAACAGATCATCAAACCAATCTCTGCGACCACCTCAACCCCCATCGAGAACCTCTAGCCGACGCCGTGAAGTGAACCGCTTTGCCAGGCAACTCGAGATATACGCCGAACGCAGAAAAGCTGCGGGGGAGCTACCTGTCTCTACGCCGACACCAGAGTCGGTTATATCGCTACACACAGTTACAGCTCTTCTTCCGTATGAGGAACAGTTCCAAGCTGTCGGTCTAGCAGTGACTTCTGAACAACAGCGTCAGAAGTCGCCGCCCAAAACGTCTCCGAAAAAGGACACGAAGGCGATGAATCCACCAGACGTCAAAGAAGAGCCAATCTTGGCTAGACCTAAGGAGACCAGAAAACAAGGTGAACCAGGCCACCTTCAGCTTAATGGCTTGAGGAGCGCTTCGACAAGCTCATCCGATTCATCGACGTCGGGCACGCAAGTCGCCTTTGCACAACCAGAAGCCTGGGAGCTCGCCTTCATCGATGAAGTTCCAGCCAAGAAGGAAAGCTCTACTTCGAGATGTTGTAAATTGCCTTGCTTTCCAAACACGAAAGACCAATCGATCGACGTGCCGATGGGCCGAGCACCCCCCGCTCCAACACCGACGACTATTGACACGCCGAACAAGATATTGGCAAAGTGGGAACCAATTTACCCCCAGAAGACAGAGGCTTTGCAGGGCTGGCGTAAGTCAAATTCTAGGATTGTCGGCCAAGCCGTTGCTAATCCTTACAAAGGCGAGAAAGCCTCTCAAGATGTTCGAGCCAAAACATGGCATGGCAACACGGCACAGCGTCCATCAACTTATCGGCCACCACGGGAGGTCCCCCCTCCTCGCAAAGAGGCGGAGGTGCCGAGTCCAAAAAGCAAGTCTCCGAAGAAAGCGGTACCTCATGATTTGGAGGATGATAAACCGCCCATACCTCCGAGAGCTCAAGCGCGTACTGACCGTTCGAGGAAACAATCAAAGGCGCCAAAGCTCGAGTCTTCGGCCCCTAAGGGGATACGTAAGGAATCTCAACAAGACGTGTTTTCTAATGAGGAGAACTTTCCACCGGGAGGCAACGTGCTTCCTTCCGTAGCCAAAAGACTAGTGAAAGCCACCGTACTATCTGAGTCAGACGAGAACGCCGCCCAGGTGCAGGCGCAAGAGTCCCGTAAGGCTCAAATACCCGCAGAATCAAAACGGCCAACCGGTGTTGTGGACAAGCCCCTCAGAGTTTCGATCAGGCAGCCTGAACGCAAGGCCAAGGAAAAGGCCGCTCTCCTCAACGAATCTACACCGACGGAGTTCGAGCATCCGCCAATTTTCCAGTCTGGGAGGATGTTCAGAAGCCTGCCAGGACCTGCAAAGCTCCCAGAATTGGAAAGAAGAGAACGGTCAGCTCAGACGAGTCGCGGAACCATTACGCCAAATCCTGCTTTACCATCCACATGGAAACTGACCTTGAGCTCATCTTCGTCACTTGAAGTGGCCATGGAAGCTGCTTCACGTAAAATGGAGATGCAGGAAGCCAATAAATCTGGGAATGAGGCACTCCCAGCACAAGATTTGGCGGCAGACGCACAAGCTGTCCCTGACATGACTTTAGAAGCCAAGCATGGCGAGCCACTTCCAGAACCTCTTGGCGAGGAAGCTCTCTTACCCTCTGGTAGACAACCCGAGCAGGCACACAAAATACTGCGAGGTAGTGATAATTCCGATCCCAAGGAGCAGGACGACAAAGACATCGATGACAGAGATGTTTTGCGAGGTCTCCACATCGCCATATCGGCTGCTTGTGATGAAGAAGTTGACTCATGGATCCGACAAAAGACGGGTGTGCGTATTCGTCGATTCTTGGCGGACTTGAAGGCATTTGAAACGCTGGGAGAAGAGGATCAACCGGATCCAGCCAAGGAGCGCGCGAGAAACAGGAGAGCCGACTCAAGGAAACTCAAGGCACAGATTCGACAATCCAAAGCCGCTCGGGAGGCAAGAGCAGCGCAGTGACAAACGAGTACAGATTATTCTTAGAATTTGCGAAGATCAGGAAAGGTTGTGGTTTTGTCTAGTAGTTTTAGATTCTGCACCGCTGCCTCTAGGGGCACCAATCCTAATTGTCCATCTCACTACCGTCACGTCGTGATGCAGAAAGGGGACGGAAGGGACTTGATGCAATTCATGTAGCTCATTCAGCCGAGGTTGCCCTGATAGGTCCCGATCCTCGTTTATCGTCTAGACCGAATAAGTCTTATCTTTTCTATCTTTTGTTCCCTTTCCAGACCATTATCTTGAAGCCTGGAAGGAGACTCGCACGTCGGCTTCACGATGAAGCCGCCCGCGCTCTGCTTCCCTTGGACTGCGTTTCCTCCCCCTGTTCTCTCCTCTGCTCTGATGTCCCTCACCAGAAGCTCTATGTGGAAAATAAACCTGGCACACCTCGCGGTGCCTCATTTCTCTTTTGCCATGATTAATACAAATGTCTCTGACCCCCCTCCTTCTCGCTCTCAATGCTGTGGTATCGTGTCGTACAACTCTGGACAATGCTAGACGGCTCTTGGTCTCGAGGGAAAAAAAAGAGACGCCGAATCACGAAGGCGTCAACTGGTCCGCCATCATCTTTCGGACCTCCTTCTCCAAGTTCTCCTCGGCATTCTTGTCTTCCAAATCCTCCACCGCGCCAGTGACCTTCTCGGCGAGCTCAATCTTCTTCTGGCAGGCCTTGTAGATGAGCTCCTCAATGGTGTGCGAGGTCAGCAGGCGAATCACCTCTACATCCCGCGTTTGGCCGAGGCGGTGAGCTCGGTTCTCGGCCTGAATGTCGTCTTGCGGGTTGTCGGACTGGTCAAAGATGATAATCTTGTTGGCAGAGGTCAGGTTGATGCCAGTACCGCCGGCGCCGGTCGTCAGCAAAAAAGCCGTGATATCGGTATCGTTATTGAACTCGTCAATCAAGTCCTGGCGCTCGGCGACGTTGGTCTGGCCGTACAAGACGCAGTGCTTGATGTTGTTGCTGTGGAGGACCTCCCGGAGGATCTCAATGACCTTTGCGAATTTGCTGAAGACGAGGACGCGGTCGCCGTTGTCGCGGTACTGGTGGATGAGCTCCAGCAGCTTGACGACCTTGCCACTGTCCATCCACGAACCCTCGGGGACGTCAAGATGCCTGATACAAGCGTAATCACGGCACCAGAGATGCAGCTCAAAGTCGGAAGAGTTTTGCAGCTCCCCTATGAGATGGTCGATCCGCGGTTGTTGCAGCTCGGATTGTGGAACCTCTTGCATCAGGATCTTCGCCATCTTTTCGACCTTCTTGTTGTCGAAGTAACGACGGAATAGTTGCGGGTGAAGAGCCGCCTTCCGAAGCTGCATCCAGCTGTTGTTCTGGTCGCTCTGTCGCCCGGTAGTTGTCTTCTTAACCGGCCCGGCCTTGAAGAGACGTTCGTAGTCCTCGTACAGTTCCTTCTGCACCCCTGGTGCCAAATCGCAGTATGCGACGTTGCAAATCTTGGCCGGCATGTCAGAGAGCACCTGCTGCTTGCGACGTTGTAAGATGAACGGCTCCAAAATCGTTCTGGCTCGGCTGACACGTTCGCCGTAGAGGAAAGCACCATTGTTGACGTCGCGGATGGTAACTTTTTGGCTGAACATGTACTGAAGCTGGTCCATCCGGCCATTGAACTGGAGTGGGTCGATGAAGTTCAGCAACGCCAGCATTTCCATCAAGTTATTCTGAACAGGTGTGCCAGTGAGAAGCATTCTCCAGCCGGCCTTGATCCTAATCAAGTCCTTGTAGATCTTGGTCTTTGGGTTCTTCATCTTGTGTCCCTCGTCAAAGATGGCGGCGGCGGGCTGCAGCTCTCGGAGAGCCTCCAGATCCTCCTCGGAGCCGACTTGGGTATAGGTTGTCAAAACAACGTGGTAGTCCGCCGGGTTTTCGAGCATCTCATATCCTATCTCTCTGCGTTCGGCTTGCGGGCCTTGATACGCAAGAATTGAGAGGTCGGGAGCAAAGCGCTGGAACTCTACCATCCAGTTCGAGAATGTGGACGGCGGTACAACCACAAGATTGGGCCACGGCCTCTCGCCCTTTCCGGTTTCCTCATAGTTTTCGACAAGATGACAGATGAGAGAAATGACCTGGCAGGTTTTGCCCAGACCCATCTCGTCGGCTAGGATGCATCCGTACCCACTGTTGTACAGCAGGGACATCCAGTTGAGACCGAACAACTGGAAGGGACGCATAGTGCAGTTTTCATCCATAAACTTTGGCTGGCAAGGGATTGGCGGCTCTGAGAGCTTTTGCGTGTGGAAGCTCGTCGGCGTCAAGGGGAGGTCACTGTTAGCGGCAGAGCTTTGTGTGCTCCGTTTCTGACCCTTGACGTCGAGATCCCAACGGCTCATCTCCTGCTTGACCTTGTTGGCCTTCTTCTCGCATTCGGCTACAACCTCATCAATGGCATTGACACTGCGAGTGAACTCCATGATTGCGTCGACCAGAGTCTCTCCAATCGGAATCTTGGGCCTCCTGCTGCGGGCGTTTGCCTTTTTGGCCACCGTAACGGCTCGTACCTCGCTGATGGTGTCGAAAGGCCTCTTGGTCTCAATGATCTTTAGCTCGTCCAACTTGATGTTCGTCATGGCCGACAAATCCGCGATTGAGCTGGTGTTGATGGCTTGGAGAGCCTTGTCCTGCAGACTGTCCTTGACCGCCTCGTTCAGTTCTTCCTCATTGTCAAAATCCTCGTCTTCGTTGTCATCAGGAATGATGATGGGTTCATCCACCTTGTCGGCGGCAAGCTCGTCCAGGGACGGCTCGTCTTCGTGAGGCTGCTGCTGCGACGCAGGTGGAGATCTACCGGGGCGACGACCTTGCATCAAGCGCCTGCGCTTGGGCTTTGGTGGAGAGGGCGTGGTGCTTCGAGAAGGTGTGGGTAGGGTCGGGGCATGTCGCCCAAGTAATTTTGGCTTGCTGGGTGAGCCGGGCCTGCCTGATTTGCGGTCCATGTTCTTTGCTCTCTCGTCTCCAACGGTGATGCTTGGCTTGGTAGAGCTAACGAAGCTGTTGACTTTGGACTTAAGATGCCTACCGTCCAATAAGTAGTTGATCGCGTCCTCAACGTTATTGTGGCATGCGGTCAAAGCTTCCTTATAGTATTGAACCGGTATCGTGCCGTTAAGCGCCTCAGAGACCTCCTCAATTTTCTTCTGCAGCTTATCCACCGAAACGTACTCGAAGTTTGCGACGTGCTTCTTGAAAGACGTCTGGCTGATGTTACCGCGGGATGTTCGGTCATCTTCGTCGTCTGACGAGCCTTGTATGAGCACAGGCTCCGCCGAGGGTCTCTTTCGCGGATTGGAAGGCGCTTGTGATGTGGGAGGCGGCTGGAACCGTGAGCCAGGGGGCACAAGGCGTGAGAAGTAGCTGGATTTGTTCTGGAACGGCGAGGATGCGGGAACCTCGATGACCGAACGCGAAGAGGGGGAGGAGGAATCGTCGGGTTGCGGCTTGGCCTGGGACGCGAGTGACGTTCGGTTGACAATCTGCGTCGCTTGTGTCTGGTACGGGGACTCGGGGATCGTCTCGTCAGCGAGCTCGTCGGCATCGTTACCGCGACGAAGGCCTCTGATCGGTGACGTGCCCATTGCCGAGCTCCCCACCGGTGGCGGTGAGGAGCTGAGGGTATAGTTGATTACCATGGCTCGTATAGTCTTTGTTGCTCGTTGGGAGTGAGGAGGTGGAAATTGAGAGATTGACAAGCGGAGGTGAGGAGGCAGACAATGGTCGAAATACAAAGGCGGGGAGAGTTTTGCTCAAAGAAGAGAAGGACTCGAGGGCTTTGCTTATGTGAAGATTGCCGATTGTCGAAAGGCTGTGCGAGATAATTGACGCTAGATCAGAAGAAATCGCAAGGAGAAAGAGCAACAGATTGGGCAACTACGGATACAGGTACCGCCTTCCAAGATGTGTGGGCGCTCCTGAGCAGACTGGCAGGAGCGGTCGACAGTCGAGATTGATTGCGGCACTGGGGTGGGAATTTTCTGGGGCAGATCGCAACGGCCCCCCCCCCCCCCCCCCCCCATGTCCGTTGACACGGGAATCCAAAGAAACGCGCTTAGACGAATCCCCATAGCGCGTCCGCACGTGGTTGGCGTCATCAATTAAAACACCGTGCGGGGATATATCGCTTCAAACTGTAAGCGTTGTCTTTCGACTTCACGTCTCGTTTTTGAGGGGAGCTCGGCAGCAAGGCTCGGTGAGCGGGACCATCAAACTCATAAGCCCCCCAACCAAACGTCCATCAACTCCGTGTCTTCCGCAACGTCTCCATTGTCAACGAGTCTATTTCAACGTCGTTTCTCAGCACCACGTAAGATTCCCGTCATTTAGGACAAGCTCTATGGGGTAATGCGCTTACCAGTTACCATAGATACACACCATGGCGACCCGACGTATCGTCGCTTCGGAGAAGACCATCCTCGAGAAGGATGACGTGGTTGGTGCGAGTCCAGCTGCCGGGGACAAGTCCAACATTACTCCTGCTGTTCCAATGGATGTCATCTTGAAGCTTCTCGGATTCACTTTCGCCATGATTGTCTTGCCCATCGGCACCTACTTTGCCACAGTCGACTTCCTCTTCAAGGGTAAGTTGCATATATGGTTCCGCTTTGTCACTTTGCATTGCCAAACGGATCTGGACACGCCCGACTGATCTAATCAACAGGTAATTCGACATTTGCTGGCGCCCTCGCTGCTGTCATGGCCAACGTGGTATTGATCAGTTATGTTATCGTTGCCATGAAGGAGGATCAGAGCGACCAGCTGGAAGCAAAGAAGCAAGGGAAGAAAGACCGTTGAGAGTTTGGATGGATGATGGTCATTAGGAACCTGGTTGACTGGGATCACAGTCTGGAATGCATTCGCAGTTTCCATAGGAATGGGAAGTCGTGTCACTTGCCCCTCTCGTTAGATGCGATACACTGTTGACGGCAAGTTCAGCTCTATTAGGGAGAGATTTCATCTCGTTAACTTGGTCCTATTCTAAAACCTTGCTTGGTTGGAAGCCACGGCAGCATTGCAATGAAACCCTATCAAATTTCCCAATGCCCATGAATTCATCGCCGGGCATGGTGAATGAATCAAGAATTCTCTCGTAGCTGACCACCGTTAAGTCAACACCAAGCCTCTATGACTGCCCACCTTTGCCCTCGCCGTCGTTAACTGGATCCTGTGCATATACCTCGATCCAACAGGGTGAATTATTTCGTTATTCTTTTGAATCAGAAATTAGATAGCCATACCTCCCAGGCTACACTCTCAAGTTACCGGCCCTCCTCAAAGTAGGAAAAGCCGTCTCATCAGGGGGATGAGGATGCGCCGGCAACTCCAGACCAGCTACATATCAGGCAAAACCCGATCTCTGCCCGAGAATACCATAACACATCCAGAATCTAAGAAAATGGGGGGTATCGACAAAGTTAAAACGAAAACCAGCTCATATCTCATGCCTTGTGTTCTTCAAGATGATTTGCTGAAACGCTTAGAGAACCAGCTTTTCCTCTTGGCGGGCTCAGCGGGTCTAGGCTGCGCCTGCTGCTGCTGTTGCGGTGGTGAGGCGCCCACTGGTCTCCGAAGGACGTTCGCGCTCTGTTGCTGAGGTGCCTGAGCTCCATTGTTCACAGCTTGATAGGCATGTCCCTTTCCATTCGGCGCGCCGTTGTCGAGCCTTAGAGCAGGTCCTTGGTCCTGATTGAAGCCGATGCCGTAGTCATTGGTGGGTTCGGGCCTGCGGGCCGGGCCGCCACGCTCAATGGAGCTGTTGTCGCTACTAGTCGGGTCGGTATGGTAGCCTGCATGCTCTCCTGAGCTTCCACTTGCGGCCGCTGACGTGACAGTCTCATATGAGCGGTCCTTGTTGGGAAGGGGATAGATGTTCTGATCGCCGCGTGCGTAGCCGTTCATGTGGGGATCAGTTTGCGTCCTGGGAACTCTCTGTCGGTAGGGAATGTTATTGCCGCCATTGTAGTGTCCTCCGCCATTCTGGTGCTGATCGTAATTACTCTGTCGGTTGGACCCCATCTCGATCTGACCGCTCTCCGGACGGAACGAGCCCGGGCGACCGTTGTAGTAGCTATCGTGAGGGTGGCGACCTCCACTGGCTATATATTGGATTAGCCACGCTGTGCAGCCCAGTCTGTGGACAGATGAACTTACTGGCATAGTAGCTGCTGCGTCTGTTCCATGTCGCGACCGACTCTGTATCTGAGCGAATGTAAGACTGTCGTCTGTCCCGGTCGCGGTAGCCTCCGTCAATAGCGGCCTCGAAACTGCGAATGGTATCAAGGGGTCGTTCCCAACGGCTACGTGTGGGATTGGATTGGTCGGGTTCGGCTGAGGTGCAGTGTTAGAGAAATCAGCTAAATTTAGGAGTTTAGAGCTGGAGCATACCAATTGGAGCACCGGTCGTGTCTTTGTGCTGGATGGCGCGCAGAGGAGCCAAGGAAGTCTTGGTCATTGCCTGAACGGCAGCTTTGGAGGCTATTAGCTGTCTTGCAGTTGGCGAGTATGATGATAGGGTTGTGACATACAAGGTTCGGCCTCACTCATGGCGACAGTGGGATCGGCTTTGCTGTGTAGTCTCTTTGCTTCCTTCTCTTCGGGTGTCTCGTGGAGGTCGATCTTAGGGTGACTTCCGGAACTCTTGTGGGATTTGTTGGACTGGAAACTGAAGGTTCTCGGCCGGGACTTGGAGCCTCTACGAGGTTGTTGATTCTGGGGGTGAGATTGGGATTGGGACTGCTGCTGGGCGTTGGGAGGGGGTTGAACGGGCTGGGGCTGGTCGTATTGCTGCTGATAAGGCGGGAACTGAGCCTGTTCGTTGTCGTATGAGTCGGAGGCTTGTTGGTGATAGTGGTGATTCTGTTGCTGGTGCTGGGGAGGCAGCGCGGGAAGTGGATGGTGTTCAGCCATGACGGGCGACTGAGGAGGGTGCTACTTTTAATTGATCTGTCTCGCAGGCTGGCGGGTTCAGTGGGCGCGGACCTGGTCTCGGCGAACAAGGTCGATGGATGGAGCTATTGCGTGCCTTATCGCGGGTCAGCAAGGGGAAGAGTGGGCGGGCGGTTCCCAGAGCTCGCTAGCGAGGCGGCCAAGGTTGCGTTTTCCAGGGGTGAGGGTGAGATGATGGAGCGCGGTGGAGCGTTAGAAGGGGCAGAATTGTGGAAGGGAAGGGGGTTTGGGGTGTGCCGTATGCGTGAGTGTGGTGTTTCTGCCGACTGCTGGTGCTGGGATTGAAAGTAGATGCAGAAACTAGCAGAGAATAGTGTACCCGTGGACCGGGCTGTTTCCAGTGTTCCACTTGTTGACGATGGATGTTTGTATGAGAAGCAAATCTTCGGCGTCGGAGAACAAGAAGGTCGAGAGCAAAGTTGAGGTGCTTGGGAGTTGTTTTTTCTTTCTTCTCAGATGCTGTCGCAAGGAGGCAGAAAAGCAGGGAACTGGGTGTCTCGAATGTGGCTGGGGGGGAGGTTGAGTCGACAACCTGGAAGGCACTTGGTACGAACGGCAACGGCAACGGCAACAATTCCCAGCCGATGAAGCTGGGCTGCGGTGTGCTTGTGGCGCCGAGCAGGAAGGAACGGCCAGGCAACCCGACGACAACAGCGATCCAATTGGGACCCCGAAAAAGACACCAATGACAACGACAAACCCCAGCAGAGGGAACGGGAACGGGAACAGTTGCAGGTGCAGGTGCAGGTGCAGGTGTTGGTGCAAATGTGCTCACGGACAATTAGGTACGTACCTTGTTGTTGTTTTTTTGGGCCGATGTTCGATCCTTGGGTAAGGTACGGAGTATTGCTGCAAGCTTGATGCAGCTGCAACAGAAGCAAGAGAGAAAAAACGGGAGGGAGTCTGAGTCTGACTCTCGCGCTCTCAAGTCTCAACTCTCGGATGGATTCTGATGGGGGGGCAACTTCGGGCGAGCGACGCCAGGATGTTTGCTGAAAATGCGCTAGGGCGATTTGAATTGGGAGGCGTTACAGGGAAGGAGGGTGGCCGCAGTGGGATAAGCGCCACGTCTTTTTTCGATGGGGTGGTCGGATGCTGGAGTCAGGTCCGGCGACGTAGGGGAAAAAGTGGTGACTGGGTGGCTGGGACGCTCAGGGACGCCGGGGCCAAGCAAGTGCTGTCCTGCTGCTGTAAACCGGGTCTGCCCAGACGGCAAGCGCCTACTGCTTGTTGATGAGGTGTCTTGGTGATATGATTTTCCCGTTTCTTTTTTCCGTCGGCTGCTTTCTCCTGCTTCTAGCTGCTATTTTATCTGCCCAGGTTGAAGAGTCGACGTGTGTTTCGATACCAGGATTCTTGATGATGCTAAGTATCGGATGTGGTTCTAAGTTGCCTTTTGTGTTAGTTCTGTTGCTCTTTCCTTCTTTTTGGGTGTCACCGGCAGTTGCAGCAGGGTACTGACAAACTGGCAGGGTTCCTATCGACCTGAGCCTTAGGTAAGGTAACTTGCGCAGTAAGGCAGTTCGGTGAGGTGCCTGCCTGGTAAGGAAGGTTTTTACTGATCAAAGTACGTACCGGTAGGTATCCTTTTTCCCGGCTTTACTTTGGACGGGAGGGTCCTTCAAGGTCAATCAAGTCAAGCAGCTGCTTGAGCTTCTGAAGTTCTGCGGCCTGCTTCGGACGTTTGGTAACAAAAAACGAGTAAAATGGATATGACGTTTGATGTTGCCTGTTGATCGATGATCGAATGCGACGTAGTTGGCGCGTTTGCAGGCGGTTGGTGGTGGGCCCGGAAGGGCTAGGACGTGGAGGCCGTCGATCGTTCGCTTGATGCGCGTGGTGGAACTGGATGGGCAATGCTAATGGCGGTGCAGAGCAATGCGAAATGCTGTCGTTTCCGAATGGCCAATTTCGCCCCTGTCGTCGTCGGTTTGTCTGTCTGGAGAGACTATCTGGCTGTGGCTGACGTCAAGCGGCGGTAATTCTCGCGTGTTTCAAAGCGCCTTCGCGTGGTAGCTCAAGGTACGGCGGAACACAGCGGTGTCCTTTTTCCCCTTTCCTTTAATTTGCTTCTATTTTTCTTGTCTTTCTCGGTCCTTCCCTTTCGGCCCTTGGCCTAATGCGTCCTGGAATGGAATGAATTGGATCGAGAAATTGTCGAATGGGCTGCTTCTCAGCTCCTTTGCTTCCTGGACCAATGTCTCCGGTCGTATGGCCAGACTTTTGATGCCTTCGTTCCGCGTCGTACGTTATACGTTCTCTGGTCTTCGTGTCTAATAGTTGTGCCAATGTCAGCCAATCTGTACGAAGTAGTGCGTCAATATGGACGATGGGTCAATGTCTTCTTCATCCCACGTCGCAGCGCCATGCATCGTCGCACGTCCTGGCGCCGCAGCCGACCGCAGGTTGCAGATGATGGACGACCCACGGGGGCCAAAAAGAAATTCCTGCCTCTGTGCGTACCTGGTTTCCCTCCAATGGTCCCCTTGCTACCTTGATTATCCCGGACGTCAACACGTCGCTTGTCGGATCGCTCCGAACAGTGAGGTTTTATCAAATTGCCTTATTATAGATGGTGCTCCGGAAATTGGAAGGGCGTCGATAGCGTCCAAAGGCCGGGTCGATTCAACGAGTGATTAGCGATAAAAGTTCGAAGTGTCAAGGCACGGCGACGAAAGCTGATGCCAATGTGCGTGGTCTGAGCAGCGAGTGTGGCAAGGTGATTCACTGTAACCCTGCAGGTATCGAAGCAATGAGGTGGATTGATACGTCGTCAAGTGTGGATGTGAGTGAATTGGGTGAAGCCTTCTGGAGGTGCAACAAGGCCGAAAACATAAAAATGGCCAAATTCTAACATCAAGGCGTGGCGGGAGGCCTTGGGTATCTATACGAGCCTCCAACTCAGACGGGCCAACGAAGGACGAGCCGGCCACAGCGTGTGTGAGTGCGCGCGTGTGTGACTGGAGGGAAGGCCAGCTGAACAAGGTGGTGTGTAGTGACAAGTCGATGATGATCTCGACGACTAAAACGTAAAGGTGTGGCCTGTCACGACATGGCATGGCAATACTATTGTGAAGCTCCGGTAGTACTTACCTTCTTTACCTCGCGGATACCCGTACCTTCCTGGCTTTAGATAGGTAGGTATCCGTACTACGAAGCTTTAGAGAAGGTCGGCGCCGATGGGTCCCGCGCACTTACTTCCTTACTTCACGGCAAGTCGCAAGGGAAAGAACGAGGAAATTTTTGACTTCGCGGACCTTTCTTTCCTCCGCTTATGTCGTGGCCTCATAAGAATATTTAAGGTACTAAAGCACGCAAAGGTAACTACCTAGGTAGGTATGTACCTTGTAGTACACAGGCCTACAGGGAATGCCTATCAAGAGACGCGGCCTAGCAACTTACACAACCACACAACGTACGACACTCCCAGTGTTCTCTCCAAACATGGGATAGAAGCTGTACTTCGAACAGATACAGCCCTGCCTGCCTCGGCCGCACCCTGTTTCCAAATGCCGGGCTTTCCATCGAATGACAGGTGACCGCGGGCAGCGAGATCAAAAACTTTTTGACCTGCCTTCCAAGTTGACAAGGGGCCAGGATCTATGGAATCAGAAGATAGAAAGATGGCCGGTATCCGTACTCCGTACTGCTCGGATGCATCGAAAAGTCCCTCCCCCGCCGTGCCGGTCTTTCTGGAAACGCAGCAGCCCGTCAAGTTGCAGCTGCAACTGGCCGTGCAGTCGAAGCAGAGGAAATCAAAGGCCTGGCCTTGCATCCCATCCCAAGTTCCAATTATTGCCCGCCTCTCTTCGACCTCCTCCACTCACCCGCCTTTTCCACCTTTGCCGTCTCGCGCCCACCTCCCACAACCTGCCACAACCTCCCCAAGCACGTTCCTGGCCTGGAACTCGAGCTTGACGTGTGTTGCCCTGAGACCCCAAACCGCGTGCGTGTACCTTTCAGAATCAGACGCAAGACAAGCACCGGTCAATCAACGGACTCTCAACCATTGGCAACAAGAGGGGTGCTCAGGTGGAGGGGAATTCCTCAAGCCCGCGCCATTACGCGTTTCGCCCCTCATCAACCATCCCACCCGTCCAACCCCAGCACAGTTACGAGGTTCCATCCAAGAAAACCTTAGCCTTAGTCCTGCAGGCTTGCAGACGGACGACCGTCGACAAGACCCGATCAGCCACCACTGTCACTGCCAACTACCTACCAGGATCGACGCCCGGGCATTATTCACTATTGAAGACGGCCACACACCTTCGACTACCTTACCTATCATGGTACGGTACATGGTGTCTGTAATACCTTCGCGCCTGTTTGGGACTTCGTACATGCAAATCAGCGAGGTCGCTACCAGACGGGCACGACGGGCTTTTCGTCATTCCCATTCCGCCGCTTTGTTTCTCTGGCTTTAACTAGATGCTACTTCAGGCTCCCGCCTTCGCCGTACGCTACACGCGGCTCTCTTTTCCACTGGTCAGTGGTATTGCTGAGCGAGATGCGGCCGCATGAGAGGCGTGCGTCGGCGAAGCTCAAGAGTGGTTCAGTCTGAAACTTGACTGCCTCTGCATCATTCAAGCAGGCAGTCAATCATGATTGCCCTTTCCGATCCCGAACGAACATTTCCTCGGGCAGTATTGTGGTTTGTCTGTCTCGCGGGAGCGGGACTGCGTTGCGACTCATGGGAATTCTGGCACAACGCCTCAAACACAGTCAGACAGCATCTTTCATCTGATACTCGATCCTCAGATGCTATGAGGACCGAACAGCATCTCGACAATGGACCCCTAAGGCCGAGACACACAATCACTTGGATTGGACGCCTGAGGACAGCGAGGATCATGCCCGTCCCACCGCCTCTTCCTCTCCAGTGCTCCACGTTGTCAACTTTTGCCCAGCCCGGCTTTGGGTCCTTGGGGTGAGATGTTGGCCACCCCTGTAAGCCGGTGGACTTCGTGTTCAACGGCCATACGAAGGCTGGGCCGTAACAGTACTGCGAGCCTGCGAGGTCCACTTACAACCGAGAGTCCGGATTATCAACTTGGCTGCCAGACCGCCGCATGAAGCGTTAGTCTTCAGCTCTAGTCGTCAACACCCGCGCATTCCATATTGTATAGTTGAGCTGCGCCTCAATCGCAGCTGCACACATGACGCGGATCGATGGCTTACGGTACGCGCACAACAGATACGTGGACGTTTGTACGAAGTACGGATACTCGACGGGATCGAGTTGCCTCCACAAGGCCGTGAAGGCCTATCCGCTCACTCTGCTACGACCCATGCCCAGTTCCACGACACTGCATACTAGCCTGTAACTCGAATTCGATTCGCCTGCACTGAGCCTTACTATCAATGGTCAAGGGACCCCAATCGGATCCGTCAACTTCAATCAAGTCCCTGGGGAACTTTACTGTTGCCGTCTGATTGTTGTATCTCTCTCCGGAATTCTCTGGTATTTCCCGCCTCCCCGCATCAAAAAAAAAAAAAAAAAAAAAAAAAAAAACCCCCCTTTGCGCCGGTCTTCGTAGACTGTAAGAGAACAGAAAGTCGAGCCAAGACTTTGAACTACAGTCTGTGTTATTGCAGGGCCTTTCCGATGTTACGCCAGCTTTGGATCCCTTCAAACTAGCGCGGGGTTGCTGCTTTCTTCCGGCATCTTGTCTGATATCCTCATTCTTGCTGGATTAACAATACCAACCTGCACTTGGGATCAGCAAGTTACATCCGCCTTTCACACATACAGACACACCACACGGCGACAAGTAACACATCAAAGGAAGGGTCCTGAGGCCCGAGCTTCTGGGCAATTCTCTCCATGTTTCTACTGATCAGCCAACAGCCTTCCACTTTCACAGCCCGCATTACACCCAGGTTTCCCCGTCAAACATGAAATTAAAATAGAACGATACTTGACAGCCAGTCATCGGCGCTTCCTGATTTTGCCTCGAAGCATTCTCCGATATCAAAATGCTTGGAACAGACGCATCAAAGAAGATATTGATCACCCAACTCGCCCCATCCTAGTCACCTTGTATCTTCAAAAGTCAAGTAGTGATGCGACCTCGAAAACCGGTAATTGTATCTAATCCCACTTTTACACCGAAATCTAGGTATACCAAAGATCAGGAAAAGCAGAAAATAGACCAGGCCTCGAAGGCCAATGGCATCGCGCCGAACTAAGACGGCCGGGGCTTCCGACGGCTGGTACGGTGAGAGTTTGTAACCCTCTCCAAGCTCGCGCAACTGAGCTAGGTACTAGACATGCCAGCGACTTCATCTGTGCTGCAGCCGGACGGGCTTGAGCAACGGCCACCTCCCACCATATGTGCGAGACCAATCGACTGGCCGCAACATGCAGGCTTGGCCAGGTTCTATCAAGATCCCGTCGTTCTTGGGAGGCGCAAGTATGGTCTTTTTCTGCACACTATCCAGGCATAGTCGGGACGGGTTTGCTTCCGTTGCACACCATGTCCCTGGCTACGCACCCTCCTCGGCCTGTTTCGCACACCACGCCTATCGTGGATTTTGAAAGCCCCAATTGTTGGTCGGGAAAGCCCTCTTCAGGCTCTCGCTGCTAGGTGGGTTTCGTCCTCTCTCTATGTACGTACATCTCCTCCCACCTTCATGATTCGACTTGGTCGTCGCCCTGTCCTTGGCGTTTCGCCCAATCTCGAACCTTTCGCCTTGCCTGGGAATGCTTTTCAGCGTATGGAGTACCCAGTTATCAACTTATCTTGTCACCCCTCGTCGATAGCTGGCACTGCGCGAGTGTAACCTCGACGACTGTCAACTTGTCAAGTGATTGAGTTTCCAGACTTCCCGAATCAACTCGTTAGTGTCCGCGCCCACTGAGAACAGCACGCACGAGGGACCGATCTCGATCATCCAATGCCTCGATGGCGCAGATAGGTGGAGGGCGGTAGTTGAGCCCCAACAGGAGAGTCTGGGAGTGGTTGCGTCCCTGAGTGGGGGGTGGAAGGGGACAAAGTGCCTGGGTAGAGAGAGACCGGGGGCTCCCACGGACAGAGCAGAAACCAAAACCTTGGCGTCCGACGTTTCCCAGATGGGCGGTTGCTTCAGCCCGACGGGTCTTTTTCCTTTTTGATCCCATCTTTTTGTATGCTTTTCCCTTTTCCTTCCATGACTTCTTCCTGAAACTCGGGGCTCTGTCAGTCGAGGCGCCCAAAAAACATGGGACTGACCGTCATCCCAGCAAGCCCATTGGCTCTCAGATCGCGAGGCTGTCGCGGTCGGTCTCTTCTTCTCCTTCTTCGCTCTCTGACTTTACACGACACCCGTTGTCGTGTACGCATCAGTCTCTTTCCTCCGTACTCTGCTGTTTGAGTAGACTTGGGACGATGTTCGGTCCTGCCGGGTTTGGCCTATGTTGGTTGTAATGACACAATCTCAGGGTTTTTTGGGTCCTTTCTCCAATTTTGCAACTCGCCTTGCTTTTTTGGGGGTGAGTGTCTCTTTGCTTTGGGACAAAAATTCTAGTTGAGTGAATTGAGTTGGTCTGATAGTGTGACCTAACTTGAAGCCGAGGGGGGGGGGGGGGAAAGGAGATGGGTGGCCTGATTAAATGACTTCATTTTTGTACTCTGAAGCATTTAATTTTTCTGCCCCTCGTCGGATCAAGTTCCTGTGTGAAAAAGGTTGATGGAAGTTAGTTTTCCTCTGCTTGCTCCCGGCCGGATTCACTGCCGAGAGTCTCGTAAATTACACGAATTCTCTCTTTCGTGAACGTCTCATTTGAGGTCTGGTATGGGAGCCGAGGCAACTCTGGGAGTCAGCAACTGAGTTTAACTGAGCTGCTGCCAATGCCCGCATGCTGCCCTTTTGAATGATGAAGAGTAGAGCAGCTTCCTTGCTGGATATGTGCCATTACTATGACAGTGCAGTGTTTAACAGACTCTCTTTCGCCTGATGACTACCGGCCGAGGTAGAGGAACTTGGGACGATGAAGTTCTTTGACTTGTCTTGTTCAAAATCCAAGGGCAGGAACGAAGTAAGTTTGTCCATACCTATAATAGTTGAAGCGATGCCGTCTGTCTCTCTCTGGTCAAGAGCCTTAGGTTGAAAAGGCGTAAGCCAGCTAGGTGAAAGTTAATTGCCATCCGTTGTGTTTTCTATCTGTGACTTGCCGAGTCTGCGACAATTGATAGAAGGCCTGCCTCGCACTCAAGTCAAGGCATGAACACTCTATGGTTGAGATAGGTAGCTTGAGTCTTGAACCCTTTGCTTGATCGAGTCTAGGCAAAGATCCCACTCTATCACACTATACCGGCAACTGAACTTCACATCATGTTAGGAGGCATCATTCCGCCATGTTGTTGGCACGATATTCAAGTATCATGTTACGTATAATCTAGTAATATGAAAGGTGCCATTTTTATGACATGATACCATCACCCCATCGTTGAATTTTGTATATTATATCGTGCAACTTCTGCTCAGTCCTATTCCACTTCATCCCCAGAAGCAGTCAAACGGAAAGAAAATCTACCATGTTGCAGATAAAAGCCAGTTGATATATTGCTCAGACACACTCAAACGGAGGGACCACACACGACTGCCACCCCCTCTGGAAGGAACCGGGGAAGAAATATCAAAATCCTTAGAACAATAGGGAACCCATAGCACCTCTCCTGGTTCAAGATCATCATGTCCTGTATTCCATGACCGACCCCGTCTGACTCGTGGACTCTTTGTCACGTATTCACGCGGTCTTGCTGTGGAATTACTGTCGAAATAGGAGGTTCTGAAGGCGTTCAGTTATCGTGGTTTCCTGTAGGTTTCCGCGTCACCTTTAACAAATACACACCTAAAGCTGTGCCTCAAGTAAGAGGGTCTCCATGAAAGTACGGGCCAGTTGTGGGAAACTCATCCCACTCATAAGCATCATCACTTGGCGTGATCTCCCACTGCTGGTCTGCAACGCCCAGGGACTGATAGTCGGTGAACATTGAATCGCCATCTAGCATGAAATTTTGGTTGCCGGTACCGCCCATGACAGAAAGCAAGTCCCGAAAGGACTCGAGTAAGGGTGTTTGACCATTACCTGGTGTTGATATAGCCGACGTCCTTCCAGAGGAAATCACTGTCCCTGTAGATCCTCGTAAGTCTCTTGTCTGAAGAATGGTTCCGACCTCTTGAGAAACGGCTTACCTGGGCTGCCATCCGAGGATGAATCCGAAACTTGCTCTCCCTCGGTACTGGAGGTATGTTCCTCGATGAATCGATCGAAGAAGATTTTTATGAACGTATTTAAACCGCTAATGATTCTTTCACTGTCGACACCCGGTACACGGCTGGCGCGATCGGCCAGCATCTCCGCCGTGGTCTCCTGCCAGTAACTTCGCATGTTCGTCGCCACTTCGCGGGTCGGACTGTAGACATAGGGAGAACGTGGCCGCTGCTTACCGGGGAAGACGATGTCCCAGACGGCGAACCATTGCTGCTCTACGGCGAGCTTGCGATCCACCCTCTCCTTGAGATCCCTCTGCTGATCGTGGGTGATGCCTTCTGGCGGTTGGTTGGCCCGCTTGGTGCAGTCCTGTTGCCTTGTGTGGCGCCTCTCCTCCTCTTGCGTCTCGAACTCTCGGCCGCACCTCGAGCAATAGTGAGGTTGACTGTGCTTTCGGCACAAATGCTGCTTCACATCTCTGATCCTATTCAGCTGTAATAAAGCGCACCGGTTGTGGTTGCGTTTGTCTACCTTGTAGAACGGACAGGCTAAGCTGAGACCGTCGTGATTCTTGTCGGCGGCCGAACCTCGAAGTCGCGGTTTCTTCCTTTTGGACTCATCTGGGCATTCGTCGTCATCACTCTGGTCCTGGCCACTGGGTTCATGCCTGTTTGCACCTCTTTTTTGACGACGTGGCGAGCTTGTGTTCCCACTGCGGTGTTGTGTGGGCTTTTCTTCACTGGTGTCGCGGTTATGTTGGCATGTGTTGTAGGCGGGGGCTGTCCTCGATTCCTGTCGTGAAGAAGATGGGCAAGACCTGTGTTTCATATTCGAGCCAAGTTTCCAGTGACAAGACCAGGCAGAGGGCTGAGATCAAGACTTGAGAAACCATTGCAGATACAAGACCATGCCTCTGCAAGTTCCTAGAGACTTGTCTAGGAGCCATCGGTATCCGGTCGCTAGCATGCTTAGAGCACTCCCTTGGAAGTCAGTCTCATCTCCAACTTGAGAAGAGGCCAGGCTTGTATCTCGGCAGAGTTTTTCGGGTCCGGCGAAGCATGAGCTTGGCTTCTCAGCAGTAGACATCAATGAAGAGGCATCCCGTCCTCGATGGATGACCAGGTTTTCCACGGTTGAGTTCTCTTTGGGGACTCCAAAGAAAGGGATGAGTGAGTTTTTTTGACTGGCCTTTCTGGGCACATAAACAAGACTCCGGATCTGGACGGCCAGGGAACGGCGCATAATTCCAGGCTTTTTGCACGACTTGATCTCTGGAAGAAAATCATGTTGATCCATGGCCACGGGGCAGAAGGCTCTCTGGGAAAAGTACAGCCCGTAGTGAGCAAACTCAAGAGAATCTTCGGCGTCGAAGACTGCAGTAAAGAGCAGACCTTCCGCTGTATGTCTGACAGAGTTAAGAAAGCGTTCTGCTCGGAATCCGGGGTTACCAGAGCGATTTCTTGACAGGGCGCCCCGTTGCAATAGCAGTCTGGTACATGACTTCTCGGAGGTCAAGTGAGGTGCTTTGGTCTGGAAGCGACCAACAGAGTAGTTGAGATCCTGGAACTCCGTGATATTCTTGGTTCGTAACGTATCTCGCGATGGGCGCGAAAGTTCCCCCCTTGGACACGTCGAATCCTCCGTCATGTCTGCGTGTTTTTGACCGAAGGGCCACGGATCCAATATTGCCAGGCTGTTGAATGGCTTCTGGAACTTCTGCTGCAGTAGAATCCAAGGTTACTGCGTCCTGGCTTAATGTTAGGTATAGAGTAGTGTATAACGGCGAGGGTCGACGTTGAATAGGTCCAGGCAGCTGAACAGCCTTCGATTGAGGACATGCGGTTTGTACGATCCGCGAGAAGAAGTCCACGATAAGGCAAGACCCTGGGGCAAGTAAAGTTGTCTCCTCATAGACTGGTGATAGCCGCGGGGCAGCGGGAGACACAGAACACTCTGGCTGAAATTGCGTCCACGGAACGGTGATCCACGTCGGTTCAAATCTATGGTAAGTTTGGGCCGCGGCAATTTATCCATAAAAGGGACAATTGCGCAAGTAACCAAGTCAAAAACTTGGTGATCCCGAAGAAATTTGATTGACGGTAGACGGGGTCCACGGCAGAAACAGTCCACGATAGAGAGATGGTCCACGAAAAGGATAGGATAGTCCACGTTTGAGATTGTCCAGACAGAATCCAAGTTCAGGAGCTTCCAGGGCATCCAACGGTCATCCACGATTGCTTATGCTAGGGCACAGCGTCCACGTATACGGTCAGGAGTGTAGCGTGTTATCGTCGTTACCGTCGCTTGTTGTCGTCGAGAATAGCGTTGATCTGTTCGAGGAAAGCAATTTTAGTACAAGATGGATGATGAATGGTGATGAAAAGATAAAAGCATCTCCCATCAACCCATGGTGTTTAAATATCATGCCCAAAGAGGCGGGCTCATGCGAACCTAACAGCTCGAGCAGTGAGAAAGAGCACAATTGTGCTCCCATCATTCGCCGCAGCTCCTGCTTTCCCCTGGCTGGACTGTCTGCATCGTGCATCACGGTGATTGGGTCTTGCCCCAGTCCATGTCATCCTTCGACCACTACCCCCTTCCAGCTCCGGGCACACACTTCTTCCACTTCACCATCAGGCTGCGTGTAGCCTACGGTACCTTGGGTATCTGCTGACGAAACTGACATCACGGGCGTTTTCCCTCCTCACTGAGTCTTCATTGAAATTCCAAACACTCTGGAGACCGGGCTACTTTCTGCAGACAAATCCCCCTCCTTCTCCCCACGCCCCGCGCCCTGCTGCTATTTCATGCAGGCTGCGCCGAGAAAATGTAAACACCAAATGGATTGACTCGATTATCCCAACAAGCTGGGGCAATGCGCAGCTCATCCAGCTGTAGAAGCCTAGCTGTAGAAGAACATTCTGGCAAATAGCCCTAGGGCATGACGCATGTCCCGACAACCTGTTCCCTAGGGGAGAAATACCTAGAACTCCGAGGTCCAAGACACCAGCCTCGCGTTGTTAGCAATCTCTAGCTTCATACAATAGTCGAGTTTCCATCTATTTGAAATCAAGAAGCCCTCAATTTCGCGTCACCAGATATAACTCTGAAACCAAAAACAGGATTTGACATTATCAAAACGACCGGTGTACATTATTACACATTGTCCCGTTTGCCATCCGTGAATGCATCGATCAATCTAAACCAACAAACGATTTGGACCGTACGTATGCTTTTTCAGTTCAACAAGAAAAGAAAAAAAACCCATCAAACGCCAGTGAGGACTGCCTAACTCCTCCCTGAAAAGAGACACTTCCCTCATTTCGCTTTTCCCCCATCTCCTTCCCTTAGACAATGTTATAAACCCGCTTGGCAATCATATAACAACCCATGCCGAATGCCAAAAGGCCTGCGGTAATCGCCCAGAACCATTTCAAGTCCCCTTCGTACTCCTGGCCGGGAACCCAGACGTTCATGCCCCACAGACCAGTGATAATGTTCATGGGCAAGACAATCGTACCGAGCACAGTCAGCTTGCCGAGGACGTCAGCCGTTTGCTCTTGTCTTTCGTTCATGCGAATATTGATTTGAGCCAGATAGTTGCCGTGAGATCGTGCAAGGATCCTAAGAGGAGAGGATTGGTTAGCTCAGTACAACTTGTCCAGAATACGGAACGACTTACTTTTCATAGTGACTGAGATTGGACGTCATGGTCACAATATGATCCTGAATATCGCCCAGGTACAGTCCAATATCAGACTTGGGAGCGACATCCCAACGTTCGTTGCAGCGCTTCGCAAAGCCCTTGATGACGTCTGCCTTGTTGCCGAGCAGACGGTACAAGCTCATCACGCGTTTACGACAGTCGCCCACTCGGCGAAGCATATCGCCCTCAGATCCCACAGTCGTGCCCGCGTTGCTGGCCTTTTCGTCAAAAACATCGCTCTTGGAGTTGCCAGTAGAGGAATGTAGCTTCAAAATTTCATCATCAATGTCGTCGACCTCGTCCTCGATGTTTTGAATCAACGGCACAAACACATCGGTAATGTCGTCGATGATTGCGTAGGAAATCCAATCGGAGTTGACGATAAGGTAGTCCTTCAGCTGACGAATACGCCGGCGGACGTTGGCGGGATGCGGCGTCATGGAGAAATGGAAGCTGATAACACCCTCGCGGAAGACGATGACATACATGTTGACGGGCTCCAGGTAGTCTTCGCTGTTCTGATCCTGGTCAAAGGATCGGTAGTTGACAAAGTAGTAGTGGCGGAATAGTTCAACCTTTTCTCGCGCCTCCTGAACCATGATATCCTCAGCTGTAAGCGGATGGATACCAAAGGCCTTGGACAACACCTTCATCTCCGCTTCCGTAGGAGAGAGCACATCGAGCCACCACACAGGTCTTTCACCATACCTCGGTGCGTTGACGAGCAGCTCTGGCGTCTGGGTCGTCTGGTTGCCGACAACCGGCGATCTGATACCGGTAGGTGTACGATGAATGGACCCGGCGCGAGAGCTCCCACCCGAAGTCTTGTCAGGTGACTTGATGCCCTCTCTTCTCTCTTGTTCGGATTGAGTATTTGCGAGTGATGGCTGCCGCGTGGGAGCCCTAGACTCCCCGTTTTGTCCGGTATGAGAGTGGTGTGTGGATAGCGGTGGGAGACCACCGTCGTCTTCGCTATCCGTGCTCTCATCGTCGGAGAGAATACGCGGGTCTGGGATGAACAACTCCTGGAAGTTGCCACCGGTTTGCACAAGCTCCGAAATCGTCTGACTGTGGATGGTGCTCTGGAACTCCTCGTTGAAATAAGTGAAACGATAGGGAGCATCTTCCTCTGCACGATACCACTCCCGGGTAATCGGCCGTAGTCGGCCGTTGATAAGCTGAGGTTCGGTGATCCGCTTGGCGCGTCTTTCGTCGCTGCGTCCCTCCTTTTCAAAGCGGCTCCATTCCTCCAGAATATCAAGGTCGGGCCAACGGCGGCGGCGACGCCTCGGGCGTTGCTTAGCAGCTGGGTCCTGGGAGTGGCCTTCCTCGTCACCAATTTCCGAAATCCCGCTCGGGAAGCAAACATCCTCCTCGGCCGTCAAGGCAATGGTGTTCCTCCGTGCTAGATCAGGCGAAGAGTGATTATGAGCATCGGAGTGCGACCCGATGCTATTTCTTGGACTTCCACGCGGCGAGGTACGGATATCAATCTCGTCTTCGTGGATCATTACGTCTCCAAAGCTCAGATTCAACGGGTCAGACGGCCGGAAGGTGGGCGACCCAGGCATGGACGGTGGGTAGTTGACATTGTAGTTGTTGTCTTGGAACGGTGTTGCGAGCTTCGTCCTCGAGGATCTGCTGGACCCGCGTCGGCTCACTCGCTGGCGAGGATCGCTCGAACCGTAGCCAGGGAACATTGGCGCTGTGGAAGAGCGCTGAATGGACCTTGACAAGAGAGGGGCACCCTCATCCCACGAGCCGTCATCGTCGCCACTGTCTCCCACGTATGCGTTGCGCAGTCTGCTGCCCGTCTGGGGTGTCGTCGTCGTCGTCGTCGTCGTCGTCGCGGGGAAGGGGGCCGAATTATTCATGATGGAAGGCCTGCGAGGTCGGAGCGGCTGTGGATGATCTCTGCATTGTGTAAGTTAGACGTTGTGTCACCCGGAAACAGAACCACGCGGACTCACCTATGATCCAAGAGTTCCTGGCTATCAATGCTGGTGTTGCTGAGATTCGTGCGCTGGCGGTAAAAATCGTCTCTCTCGGGTGCCGTGGCCTGAGCTTCGTCGTGAGACTCCTCGGCCAGGACGGCGAAGGACTTGCGCCGATTGCGCTTCTTCTTCGCACCGCCGCGATGGTTCTTTCGCCGGCGAGGCTGCGGCTGCTGTCCGTTCTGGTCATTCCAGTTCGCATGGCTCGAGGGTGTCGCTGGCGGGGGCGGTGCTGTCGAGCTCGAGCCGGGAGTGTTGGACTGTCTCCGGGACGTCGGCGTCTGTAGATGAGCCGCCAAGGGCTGGAAGGGATTGCCAGACATGTTGGAGAGAATATGTCACACCGTCTCTCTTGCAGCGCTTGTGCCGACTACGAGAGACCAAGAGGGTGCCGCAGGTCGGCGCCGAGCAGACTGCAGGCGGCAGACTACCTTTGGCGTGGGCCGACGACTCCTGGTGTGTTTTGGTGGCGACGGAGGGCGGTTTCGACGTGAAGCACGAAACGAACTGCGGGCGAGCTGGGGTAGATTTCAGCTGCTTTCTATTTTGAGTGGGCGTGGGCGTGGGTCAAGCTCTGTTGGAGAAGGGTGGCAGCGCGAATATCGGATCGAATGCACTGTATTGTTTGAACGTTGAGATAAGAGATGGTAGAGGGAAGTCGGGAGATTCGAACTATACAGCAATTAACAGTACAGCTGTTCAAGAAGGCGATGCAGCGCAGATATCAGGCGGCTGAGTCTGAGGAAGAAAAGTGTGCCGATGGGTATTTGAATTGGGGGAGGGCGAGAAACAGTCTAAGGAACAGTCCAGACCTGAGAGATAGCAAAACTCGGTACCTTAGAGCGATGCATCCGTTCCGTTGGTTGCTCTCGGTGATGTCAGTGGAAGGTGGAGCACTCAGCAACCTGGGAGAGAGCCTTCAAATGCTAAGACGCTTTGAGGAGATCCGCCCACAGCACTTGAGCACCTATGGATACGCACCACGCACGGCACACGGGCACTGATGAGACCCCGCCCTGATGCTTCCGTCACTTGCCATTGGTCGCTGCGGGGTCCGAGAGCAGGTTGGCCCCGAAATTTAGCCAACCAGCGGCCACCTCCGAAAGCCTGGAAAGTCTGGCACCTTTTTTTCTTCTTCTTTTCTGGGGCTGATTCCATCCTGGCAGACATCGGAGCTCCAGGTCCTTACCTTACACAGTACACCTCACTCCCCCAAGCCATCAGCCAACACTTGAACACAGGGCATCCAGTCAGCGAGGACAGTGCTATCCGCTGTCGCTGCCCATCCCCGCAGTGGACCGGGACTTTGAAACTCAGCGTTGTTCTCCAGGTGTTCTCTCGACTGCCCACGTCCTTCCCTGACGCATGACACTCCACAAGTCTCCAGGCCGTCTAGGTACCTCAACTAACACCTCATAGAGCTTCGACCACCGCTCGGCTCACCGCTGAGCTAGTAGATCGGTTGCGGCAATTGAGCACACGACCTCTTGACTTTTTGGCTTTGCACGCCTGGGCGCCGAGAATTCCTCTCAACATTGGTTGGTCCATTTACCTTCACAAGATGGTACCTGATCCTCGAGCTGTATCGGGCCAGACACATGTGTGTGTCTGTCTTTTCGTACCCCAAGAGCTAGGTGTAATAAATGAGTGGGAGAAACCTCACTCAGGTAAGGTACCTTACTACACTACCTCATGACAGGATGAGTACCTATCTATGCCCGAGAGTCAAAAAATTTCGTCTGAAATCAAATGACTCTTTTCAAGGCATGCCACATGGAGGGAAAGAATGGGCTGCAGCGGGAGCTAGGCCAATGACAGATGGGAATAAGGTATCGTATCGAGATATAATTGCCGTGCTCTAATGGCAAAGTCGACACCACCTTATCGGAAAGCGGCACATCGACATTCATGCTGGAGGGGACCGGAATCTCGGCAAGGCGGACATCTCCAAATGCGCACTTTCACTGCACGACATGGTCTTTCTGCAAACTCAAATCGTAACCCCTACCCATCAAATTGTCAATGACTTACTTTGTTTGACTTTGCAAAGACGAGCTTGTGAAGTTGTTCAAGACATTGAGATGAGAGAAGTAGTCGACACTGAATCAGGTATGGGCATATCCATGTTGCTTCCACCTGCTACTTGAAACTTCGGATGACTTACTGTTCTGCTACCTACATCGGAGCATTTCGCTTCACGAAGTACGCGCCTCCCTGCATGATATTGGTAATAGACCGCAGCTAGAGGCTTGCTTGCCTTCATCGAATTGCCCAAACATCACCGCGCATCTGACTCAGCTAGTCGCAAGCGGACTCTTTACATAATTCAGAAGTAGTAGAAACGCCTCACATCACAGGCACTTACACAATGTTGAACTGCTTTGCCCAATAAGCGCCTTGTTTTGATAGTGGTAAAAGTGCCTATCCGTAATGTCTAAACTTTTCAAGAACCATCCATGCCTCCATGCCGCGCCCGGATATCAAGAATGCCAATCTGTCTTTGTACAAGGGAAACGCTGTTCGTCAGCCTTGGTAGCATCTCTCCTACCAACTCATGCTCATCCCATACTAGTGAAGTCTACTGGAAGCTCCACAGCTTCGCCACGAGGTTATCTTGGACCCCGGACTCCGGCTCATTTGGAAGGAACACCTTCTTGGGGATCTGGACTTCAATCACGGGCGGCTTTTTGACCTGCTTGCCCATTTCGGCCTCGAGCAACTTCACACCGATTGTTAGCTGACGGTTCCTCTGATGGTCTATCTGGGTTCTCTGGGGCAACTTACACTGCTGTATGAGTGGTCGAGGAAGTCCTCAATGTTGTAGGACTGCTTGGTAAACTGCTCCGACATGATCTTGGCAATCGTCGCCACGTTGGGGTGGTAGTGCGACTGCAGCTGCACAATCTCCCACAGACAGCTATCAATGGCGTGCGTCTCCATGGGATCGGCCTCGTCTGCTAGGAACGGGTCATCCAAGCCTTCGGTCTCCATGAGCGCCTTGATCTGCGGATCTCTCGTCTCCCTGTGGATCATGAACGTGCACAGAGGATGCCTCTTGAGAATGTTGTACATCCAGGGCACGATGAAGACGACGGCGCTCGGGGGAGCGTTGAGACTGAGCCGAGCGAGCCTCTTGATGAAGCTCGCCACCAGCACCGCGGGTAAATGTGTCGAGCAGAGGAAGGTATCCATCAGCCGGAAGAATCTTGAGCGGTACTTGGAGTGCAGGATGTCCCGGTCCAGGAGTGAGTAGAGCTTGGTGTAGAATGACGGGTAGTCGAGATTGCGTTCCTGGATGAGGTAAAAGACACCAGAGAGCGCGAGCAGCGAGATGGAGCCACCCGCGTCGTAGGAATCCGTCAGGAAGTCGGCGAGCAACTCTGGGCGGATGAACCACGGGGCGATCTCCTTGGACATTGCGTCCAGAATCTGCTTCCGCTGCTCCCTCGTCGATGCCAACCTCAACACCGCAAGCCAGGCGTCTTGACCCTGCTTCTTGTGCTGGTGCACAGAGTTGACGTTATGAGACTTCTTCTTGGGGTTTTCGGCGTAGAAGTTTCCTAGTTCCTTCGGCACGTCCCCAATGTTTGAGAGCAGCTCGAAAGCGTCATCAAACACCTCTTTGGGCAGAGACCCGGGGTTCTCGGCCAGAGATCTGTGAGTCGTTAGTTCCGTGATCCCAAAAGTCTTGAGTGCTCTGATACACATACTTGACGGCCTTTAATGTGAAGAAGCGAATGTCGTCGTATTCTGTCAAGTATTTCTCGACAAACTCGACACGAACATCATCACTGTCTGATGCCAACAGGCCCCTCACAATCTGCTCGATAAAGACGTGAGGGAACGTGTACTCCTCCTTCTCGGTAAAGTGCTGAGCCTCGGCCTTGAGAGACCTCATAGCCAGCGTCAACGCAGTCGACGCCAATTCTTCTTCCTCGAGAAGCGAAGCGAGCACGCCCTTGTACTCAAGATACCGCTCCCTCAACCATTGCACGACCACCTTCTCCTTCTCAGCCTGTCCTGGCCTGAAGACGAGTGCTCCCGCCGAGAGCAATCTCACAAAAACTCTGCACAGGGCCACGCAGGCTAGGGTCGCAGCCTCGGGCTCATCTTCCTGCGTTCCGGCGATTTGGATGAGTTTTGTAATGTTGTTGTAGTGCTTCTTGGATTCCAAAATTTCATTTTCGAGCAGCAGGATCTCAGCCTGAGGGTCGTTGCTCTCATCGCTCTCTGCTTCAGACTCGGACTCGGATTCCGATTTGGCGCGCTTCTTTGACTTCTCCTTCGTGGGAATTCGTTTCCTCTTCAGGCCGTCGCCCGAAACTTTGGCAGTCATTTTTTTCCTTCTTTTTCTTTGGCGTTAACTTCTTATGTACTAAGTTTTGGATGTTGATATCAGTCTTCGTGAAAATCGAGTTCAAATTTACAGCGGGTCCCCGATGAGATGGGAATTTTCATCGAGGTACCAATGTACTTGCAGGCGCCGGGTTCCACTTCAACTTGAATGGACGCGGACTTGGAAGCCCAAGCGCCGGTCGGTCGTCCTGTCCCAGTCTCCCTCCCAAATTCCCGCAGCCACTGCATCCGCCACATCACGTGACTAAGTCATAGCCGTCTCGGGAGTAAGCGGTACCCGTAGACAAAATCTAACCTCACCTCGAGCAGCTCCGAATGACCTCAAACCCATAATACCCGCAACCCCCCCAATCATCACACAATGGCGTCTCGCTTGGCTCGAAGCGCTGTCGGTACGTCCAGACACATCCCTCAAAGCTTCGGCGTGTCAATTGGCTTGCTCGACAAACGTAAACGTGGTGGCTAACGCGCAGGCTTGTCCCCTCCCTTCTCGAACAGGCGCGAACCTCCTCAGGCCGACCCTGGCCCGCCGCACTCTGCCCGCCATCTCGGCCTCGATCGCCGGCGCCCGCAACGCCTCCAACGTCCCCGCCGAGGACCCCAAGAAGAAGGCCCTGTCCATCGTCGACGCCCTCCCCGGCAACTCGCTCCTCTCCAAGACCGCCATCCTCTCCTCGTCCGCCGCCCTCAGCGTCTACGCCATCAGCAACGAGTACTATGTCGTCAACGAGGAGACCGTCGTCGCCTTCTGCCTGCTCGCCGTCTGGGGCGGTCTGATCAAGTACGGAGGCCCGATGTACAGCGAGTGGGCCCAGGGCCAGGCCGACAAGATCAAGGGCATCCTCAACTCCGCCCGTGCCGACCACACCCAGGCCGTCAAGGGACGCATCGAGGACGTCCAGCAGATGTCCGGCGTCGTTGACATCACCAAGTCCCTCTTCGCCGTTTCCAAGGTACGGCTCCTATGATGTAATCGATGGAAAGAGGAGGCTATTTCGGAACGAGCCTCGGTCGGACGGAAAGAGTTGGCACAGCCGGAGAGCATCATCAATAAAGTTACCAAAGAACAGCAGCTGACATATTCAAACAATAGGAGACTGCCGAGCTCGAGGCCAAGGTCTACGAGCAGCAGCAGAAGACCGCCCTGGCCGCCGAGGCCAAGACCGTCCTCGACTCCTGGGTCCGCTACGAGGGCCAGGTCAAGGCTCGCCAGCAGAAGGAGCTCGCCGAGAGCATCATCGCCAAGGTCACCAAGGAGCTCGAGAACCCCAAGGTCCTCCAGCAGATCCTCCAGCAGAGCATTGCTGATGTCGAGAGTACGTGTTCACTTTTTTTCCTCCCCAAATACCTCCGTCATCGGATGGCCCTTCATTCAACCCCCCGGGTTCTCCACCGAAATCATCAACCCATCCATCCATTGACCTTTTGCTAACATTCATTCCCTCATAACAGAGATCGTCTCCTCCAAGGCCCAATAGATTCCCCCAACCCTTACTAGAGTCTGAGCGAGAAGCTTTCCTTTGTCCAAGGGGTCCTGTTCCCCTTGCGTGTCAATAAACACCCTGTGCATTAGCCAAATTCAAAGAACTTGAGAGAAGAAAACGAAACTGGACCACCGCCCAATGTGTCGCGTAAGTGTTTAATTAGGAAAAAAGCTTATTCTACTCGACAATTGATTCACGATCTTCAACAATATCGGTTTATCTAAATTTGGTACTTTATTGAGCTATTTAAGATGGCATGGTGAACGCCAAGGCTTTTTCGCAGGTGTCTTTAACCATTGTTGTGGTGGCTGCACCACCCACCTCCGCTCGCAAATCCGATCGCTCCGACATTCTCCGCCCGAGCATAGCAACGACGTAAACCACGATGGCTGTCCCTCGTCAATTGACCAAACATTGAACTCAACCAACGAGCAAAAGTCACTGAGGAAACCAACGCATCAAAGCATGATGAAGAGGTAAGAAATATGTTCAATCTCGGGGTATGGTAACCGTCACTGTGTCATTCTACGAAACCGTGATCCTGTCCCTCATATCCGTACGCTGTACAGCATTCCCAAACGCCTTTCCGTCCCAGCTCATGACCAAGGTATTGAGAGAAAAGCCACCAGAGCCTCCTCACTGCGTCAAATCTGTTCTTACAAAGAAAATATTACGTGTGATGGTACCTAACTGAGGTATGATGACTGATTGACAGTTGGATCTCCATCGACACATACACACAACTCAATAGATAGGTCGCGGCTCATCCCAATTTGAATGAGCGGTAGCCTTCTCCTCTGACGTCCCCGGGGTATCTTCTGTCTTGACATCCGCTCCATAGGAAATACGTCCGCTCTTGCGTCGTCTGGCACTGTCTCCCGCAATCGGTCCAATCCACTCCCAAGCGCGGCCAACTTCGCCGCTTCTTCCCTCTCTTTGACTGGTTCGAACATTGCTGTTCTGCTCAACGACCGCCTTGACCTTGATCCAGATGCGATCTCGCTCGCCGAGTGAATGCACTGACCGGAGCACGTCATCGCGGAGGTTGGGCAGGAAGAGCCATGGGTCATCAATGTCTTCCTCGCCAAGTTCCTTTTGGGTAGCCAATCTCGACAACACAAGGTCGACCAGCGCCGGAACCTGCGCCGCGGTGGCCTTGTGAGATCTGTACTTGCGTCGGACGTAAAAGTAGACCGAGATCAAGAGAATCACAGATCCAATAGAGAGTCGATGTCTTGCCAAGCCGAGTCTGACGGAGCGCTTGAGGGTGCAGCCGATCGGTAGCCGAGCGAGAGAGGTTGACGAAAGGTAGGCGTCTGAAATTGAGGTGGAATTGGCCTTTCTACTTCGGGCACATCCGATCTGGTTAGTACACTGGTCAGAATGGTGATTTGACGATATTGATATAAGAGGGGGACGAGATACTGGAAAGGATCATGGCAGAAGAGGGAAGCATAGAACTTACGGTGCCACTTCGACTTCCTCTCGGCCCTTGACTTCACCAATCGCGGCGACCCAAAGGTCGTCGAACTCCTGCTTATTCATCTTCTTGCTCCGCTTTGCACTAATCGCGGCCTTCAGCTCATCCTCTGTGATGGATGGGGAAGCTGGCGCCTGGCCGGCATCTACAGTAGAATCTCCGCATTCGAATTGCGCTCGGTGCTCCCGTAGTTCTTCAACCGCCTTGTCGGCTACGGCCTTCACTCTTCTGACCTTTTCTCCATCCGGCTCACATGTGGGTGGCAGGGGAACCAACCCGCCCAAAGCCAGAGGGTGAGGCTTCAGAATGAAGTCGGGCTCGCAGCGAACAGTGAAATCCTCGTAGCAGTAAGCGTGCTGCGGGCAGGGCTCGCACTGAGGTTCAGCAAGTTGCACTGCCCAGTCAGGAACTGCGACCTCAGGAGGGATGATTTGCGTTGCAGGTTGACCGAGTCCACAGTACCCAACTGCAACCTTCTCCTGTCGGTACCAAGCGCCGTACGCTCCGAACAGAGAGATAGCAAGGGCCCAAAGAGGTTTGGAAAGGCTGCGTCTCGGGCGTGGAGGCGAAGTAGGCCGCGGGGCCAGCGCTCTTCCACTACCGGCAGCCATTTCTTGTTCCATCTCGAACTGTGCATCGGGAGTGAACTCCTCCCCAGCCTCAACCTCGAAGTCTTGTGGTTGAGGTGTTTCCTCGCGAAGAAGATCGCTGACAGGAACCTCAAAAGCATGCGACTTTCTTGACGATTTCGGCCGATCCTCAGCGTAGTGGCCGTCCGTTCGTCGGCGAGGGCTACTCTCTTGTTTGCTCTTTGCAAAATCCAAGCCAGTGGTCTTTCTTCGTCCGTTGGGGCTGGTGATGAGCTGCGTTGCTGGGCTTCCGCTCTGGAAAGGGTTCTCTGTAGAGAAGTACTGCGACTCTCTGCGGTTGAAGAACTCCTCCTCAGACTCTTCCTGCTTGATCTTCGGAATCTTGGGGGTAACAGCTCGCTTGCGAACCGACTTGGGCGGCTGCGGCTCGGTGTAAGGCTCGACGTAGGGTTCAGGTTCTGGCTCTGGCAATTGTCGGCTAGCAGCTCGCACCTTCCGCTTCGTCGGGCTGACTGGAGCCGGCGCTTCTTGCTCATATTCCTCGCTCCTGATCCGAGTGGATGCCTTGCGCGGCGATCTCGATCTCGTCACCCTCGGCGGGGGAGGGGCAAGGTCGTAGTCGTCGTCGAAGTCATCGGTGTCCTGGGAGCTTCCAGCGTCGACGATACCATAACTTGATCTCTTCGCCTTGGCTTGCTTCGCCAGGATCCTCTTGGCTTGAGGGACAACCTGATCTTCGAAGAGCTGAATGAGCTGAGGCTTCTTCGCTGTGGCGGGGTAATGGATATCGTGTGCGACGAGGATGGACCGCAGCCGAGGCACTGTCAGCGATTTTGGGTCAAACCCAGGCTGAAGGTATTCGTTGTCATCCATGTTGAAGCAGTTGGAGTTGCTGTCGGAAATTGGTTGTTTGCAAACGAGAAAGCAGAGAGTATAAGCAAAGAAACTCAGAAGTTGCAATCAAAGAAAGGCTTGTGCTGAATGACGGTATCAGTGCTCGGACACTTTGCGACAAGACGTCAAAGGAAGCTCACAAGGCAGCCTTTGAAGTCCTGCAGTATGAAACCTTGAGGGACAGAGCAGGCAAGGAATGACTGACTGGCGCATACAAAATGAAGTCGCACAGAGGATTTGGGCCTTGCTTTCTGCGGCCGTGGCAGGTGCACTAAGATCTGAGCGATGTGGGTGTAAGGTGCAAGTTGTGCAAAGGATGCACCCAGTGGACAGATGTTGATAACGTTGGACTGTGGACGGGATGGATGAAAGACACGGGCGGGAGCCCACTGACGCAACAAGTAGGAGCACCCGTTAGTTCTGGGTGCTGTGGCAACAGCAAAGGTCATGTGGAAAAAAACAACTAGTGTGGGGGGCGACTAGGAAAGTGACAGGAGTAAGCCTTTCCAGTCCTCTCCAGACTCCGAGGTATTGCAGGGGGATGGGAGGAGCATGGACTCGAGGGGTCCTTTTCCAGCCACACTTGAGCTTGTACAGAAATGTGGCTAAGTGTGGCGAATTATTCTAAGCTTGCCCATCATCCATGTGATATCAACCTCGGCGAACCGCCAGGAAACCCGCCTTTTGACGGCTTAAACAAAATGGCGACCACCAGAGCCCTCTTGGCAGGAAATCGTTCAGTCTGCAGGTCTTGCACACGAAAGTTTCAGACCCAGGCCCGCCGATCCTATGCGACTGTAGGCGCAACATCGTCAGCATCTGAGCCAGACATCTATGATGTCGTTTGCGTGGGAGGTGGACCGGCAGGCTTGAGTCTTCTGAGCGCTCTCCGTATGCTACAATCGACAACGCTTGGGCTTATCGAGAGGAACTAACATGTCCTAGGTGCTAATCCAGTCACATCCCGTCTCAGAGTAGCACTCGTCGAAACTCAAGACCTCTCCAAGATCCGCGCGTGGAACCTCCCGGCCGACAAGTTTTCGAATCGATGCAGTTCCCTCACCCCGACCTCAGCACAATACCTCAATACGATTGGAGCATGGAGCCACATCAAACGCGACCGTGTCCAAGACTACAACGAAATGCAGGTTTGGGACGGTGTTAGTGGCGCAAGAATCGAATTCGACTGGCCAGCAGGATCGGCGCCGGGCAACACAATCGCCTACATGTGCGAGAACCTCAACTTGACCTCTGGTCTCCTGAGTCGCCTGGAGGAGCTTGGCGGAGTCTCAGTATTCGACAACGCAAAGGTCGAGAACATCAGCTTCGGAGAGGAAACGGAGGACTTGGACCTGACGCAATGGCCTGTTGTCCACTTGTCAGGCGGAAAACAGCTCCACGCAAGACTGCTGGTCGGAGCTGACGGCGCGAACAGCCCAGTGAGGACCTTTGCCGGAATAAAGGCGCAGGGCTGGGACTATGGCAGACATGGTGTTGTTGCGACGCTTCAGCTGGAGGGCGAGGGATGGGGCGGGGAACACAACAAGATCGCCTATCAGCGCTTCTTGCCTACTGGCCCTGTGGCAATGTTGCCGATGCCTGGGAACTACTCGACGCTGGTATGGTCAACAACACCTGCCAACGCCGCGCTGTTAAAAAGTCTCTCGCCGAAAGACTTCATTTCCATGGTCAACGCCGCATTCCGACTGAGCCCTGTCGACCTGGAGTTTATGCACAAGCAGGAGTCTGGCCAGTCTGAGGAAGTTGCTTGGAGGCTGGAGCATACTCCTTTCGATCACCGTGCGATTCCTCAGCAGGTTGTTGGAGTCCAGGAGGGAACCATTGCATCTTTCCCGCTCAAGATGCGACACGCAGACACTTACACTGCTGAGCGCATCGCCCTTGTTGGTGACGCGGCACACACTATCCACCCCCTGGCCGGGCAAGGCCTGAACCAGGGTCAGGGAGACGTTCAAAGTCTGGTCAAGACCATTGAGACAGCCGTTTCCACAGGCCAAGACGTGGGAACGACACTTTCACTTGAGGCGTACAATGCGGAACGCTACGTTGCGAACCACATTGTGTTGGGCGTATGCGACAAGCTTCACAAGCTGTACTCTGTGGAGAGCGGGCCCCTCGTACCATTGCGGTCTCTAGGCCTCAGCGCCGTGAACGCTCTGGGCCCCTTGAAGAAGTTCTTCATGGACCAAGCCTCAACTACTGGCGCCAAGCTCTTCTAGAGTTTGTACTTTTATGTATTTCAACCCCAAAATGCTGTACCACCAACCCAAAAAGCCGCACCTGCGTAAAGAAATCAGACCACTTGTATCTTTAGTCTCAATATCAACTCACGGCCAATGCGAACCACTTGATCAAAATTCATAAGAAAGCTTATTCAGTGAAGGTAGACCAGAGACATTTTGCATGCCATGGTCTGTACGAAATTCTTCTAGAAAAGAGAACAATGCGGTATATACGTCGGCGCTCTGTCTCTTCACTCTACAAGTACACAAAAGGAAAGAAGTTCCTCAAAGTCATTTGATATCCATCCTCTGATACACCCTTTACCGATCGACCTCACCTGCGGTATAGTTAGCAATTTGCGGTATAAAGGCATCATCGAATGAAGTAGACTTACCGAACACCAAATCCATCGTACCGATAACCGCCACAGCGTCAGCAAGCATGTGACCCTTGGAAACGTGGTCAAAACCGCCCAAGTGAGCGAAACCAGGCGCTCTGATGTGGACGCGGTAAGGTCTCTCGCTGCCGTCACTGACGACAAAGACACCCATCTCGCCCTTGGGGGCCTCGATAGCGGAGTAGGTCTCACCAGGGGGCACAGTGTAACCCTTGGTGTAGAGAAGGAAGTGGTGGATGAGGGCCTCCATGTTCTCCTTCATGGCAGCACGGGGAGGGGGCGAGATCTTGTAGTCCTCGACGCGAACGGGACCAGCAGGCATCTTGTTGAGGCACTGGTGGATGATGCGCAGGGACTGTCTGAACTCTTCCATACGGCAAAGGTATCTGTCGTAGCAGTCACCGCGGACACCGACGGGGACGTCAAACTCCACCTCGCCGTAGGCGTCGTAAGGCTGGCTCTTGCGGATATCCCAGGGGACACCGGAACCACGCAGCATAACACCGGTGAAGGACAGGTTGAGAGCCTCGGCGGCAGAGACCACACCAACGCCCTGGAGACGCTGGATCCAGATACGGTTGTCCGTCAACATCTCCTCGGTTTCGTCAATGCGGTCACCGAACTGGGTGGCCCATTGGTAGATATCGTCGAGAAGACCGACCGGGATGTCCTGGTGGACACCACCGGGACGGACGTAGGCGGCGTGGAGACGGGCACCGGAGACACGCTCGTAGAATTCCTGACAGACACGCGGGTTAGCCGGAAATTGCACGACCCCCCTTTATTGTTTCTCCCAACTTACCATGAGCTTCTCACGCTCCTCGAAACCCCACAGGAAAGGCGTCAAAGCACCAACGTCCATGGCGTGTGACAGAACGGACATGAGGTGGTTCAGGACACGGGTGAGCTCGCCGAACAGGGTGCGAATCCACTTGGCGCGGTCGGGTATCTCGATGTTGAGAAGCTTCTCAACGGCAAGGGCGAAACATTGCTCGTTTGTCATCATGGAAACGTAGTCGAGACGGTCGAAGTAGGGAAGGGCTTGGAGATACGTCTTGTACTCGCAAAGCTTCTCTGTACCTCTGTGAAGCAGACCGACGTGAGGGTCGGCTCTGATGATCTCCTCGCCATTGAGCTCGAGAATCAGACGCAACACACCGTGGGCGGCAGGATGCTGGGGACCGAAGTTGACGGTGTAGTGGCGGATCTTTCGGTCCTCGACAGACTCCTCAGGCGTTGTGTCCTGGTCCTTCGGCGGCGTCAAGCTGTAGTGGTCCTCGGCGCGGGAGAAGTCGGTCGAGACTTGAGTGAGGCGGGTTCCTTGGTATTCGGGGGAGGCATCGGCGTATCGGCGCAGAGAGGTCGTCGAGAACGGGCGGGCGGCGAAGGAGGTGACTGCTGCCGGGCGCAGACATAACCTCTTGGCGCTGTGGCCAGCAAGTCGGTAGAGGCCTGACATGGCGATTGTATAGTGGAGAGACGGCTTCAAAAGAGGTCAAGGAGATGTGCTGCCTCCAATTGAGCCTCCTTTATTATGCCAATTGGCTGAGGGCCGGCTAGGTTGGATAGAGGGGATTCGCCTTCGAAAGTGTGTAGTGTGGCCGTCATGTCCCGAAAGCTCGAACGCATCAATTCAAAATGGGCCTTCGCTGATTGGCTCAGCGGAGCACGGTTTTGCCGCAGCCCTTGAAGTTGCCAGGCGGTACAGTACGTACTGTATCGCACACGGCTTATGCTACATGGATGTGGACTCAATTGAGTTGCAGCTCTCTCACAAACTAGTCGCAAGCTGCAGCTTTTGTCAAACGAGGTAAGTAATTGTTCTCTCATTTAGACTTACCTTACGGATGCATAGCACATCAATGCCTGGCAGTCCCAGGGTCAATCACGTTGCAATCAAGGGTCCACCAATTTTTGGCCTTTCTCATGGCTTGCGCAAACTGTAACAGCTGATGAGAAGCCCCAGACAACTGCTCGCTCGTTACCTCACCGCCGGTGAACGTGTGTAGGCTCAGAACTCCACCGGGAGTCCTCGAAAATGCCATGGCCGTTCAGCTCTTCCAGCTCAGGAAAAGAATCCACCCCGAGCAGATTAGAAAATGATGCGCGCGCCAAGTCAACGTCATGGAACGACCTGCTGCCGACACCTGAGCCGCCATTGTCGGCTGCTAAAGAATGGGCTCCTGTTTTCCTGACATCCGTCGCATCATTAGCAGCTTTCATGTTCTATCAAACACGGTTGCGGAGATTTCCCACGACAAATCACATCCAGCCAGAGCTTTTCAGGAAGCGAACTCTTCTGGGACGAGTGACCAGCGTGGGAGATGGCGATAACTTTCACCTGTTTCACACACCAGGCGGCAGACTTGCAGGCTGGGATTGGCTGAGGAGGGTCCCCAACACCAGAGCCGCACTCAAGGGGAAGACAGTCAGTGCAACTCTGAGCAAGTGTGAAAACCGGTGCTGATTTTCATTGCAGATACCCGTACGGATGGCTGGTATTGATGCTCCCGAGGGCGCTCACTTTGGCCGGCCGGGGCAACCAGGTGCGGCAGAAGCACTGCAATGGCTCAGGGGTTACATACTCAACAAACGTGTCTGGACTCGACTTCACAGGCGCGACCAATATGAACGTGTCGTTGCAACAGTGTATGTTAGACCGTTTCTGTTCAAGAAAGACGTCGGATTGGAGATGTTGAAGCTTGGGTTGGCGACGACATATGAAGCGAAAACAGGAGTTGAATGGGGAGGGGCCGAAGAGGCATACAAAGCTGCCGAGGCCAAGGCTAAGGCGAAGAAGCTTGGAATATGGAATGGCAAGGCAAGTGACTTTGAGAGTCCCAGGGCGTACAAGACCAGACCAAACGACACGGAAGGAAAGCCTGAGGGGAAGCCTGAAGTGAAGACGGAGAGGAAGAAGACTGGCTGGTTGTCTGGCTGGCTGTGAGGTGTAAGTCGAGAAGGATGTTCTACTACTTCGAGACCAGCCACGGGCCAAGATAAAACCTGCTACTTTATACGGCGATATGAAGTCAGCACTTTTATGTGAAACCAAGTGCTGCTTGAATGTCATGAATTAAGAGAATGAAGAATCCATCTGCTTTGAGTGAGATGGGTACATCGATATACTGCTTTGACATATAATGGCTTAGTTGCATATATTGAATCACGGTCTGCTATCAATGATTGGCTGGAAACGCCCCCAATACCTGCCACTTTCACCGTGCTCGCAACCTCACCCCCTGTGTTTGACCCGAACTTGGACGTATCAGATTGCGGTATGCGTACAACCCAACCTCGATGAATACCGCAACTTCTCATAACATCTGGCCCTGATCGGCAATCTCAGCATCGAATGCATAGGGAACTGGGCTATCATTCTTCGACCGCTGTTTGATCGGATTTGTTATTTTTCATTGACCTGAAAGAGAAGCACGCAGTTCTCCAGGCCGTCTCAACGGTCGCAATTCGCCCAAGATGTCACTCCAAGTCAGAGGCCCCGACTTCTCGGTGACGAAGCAGAAGGCCCTCGAAGATGCGAAAAAGATGCAAGCGGCGGTGGACGATGAGGTGGCCAAAGCTGGACAGGACAAGCCGCCCTATCTTCTCAATGAACTCATTGGCAAGGGAAGTTTCGGTCGCGTCTATAAAGCAACCGACATCAACACCAGCATGCTTGTTGCGGTCAAAATCATCGACATCGAAGAGAGCGACACCGTCAACCCCAAGCTTGCCGACACTTTCAAGGAATTTTTGGCCGAGGTCAACGCTTTGAAGCTTCTCAGTGACAGCGGCGCAAGGAACATCAATCATGTCATCGACGCATTGCCCGTCGGCCAATCCATGTGGATGATCACGGAGTACTGCGCTGGAGGAAGTGTGGCAACACTCATGAAGCCGACCGCTCCGGGTGGTCTGCAAGAGAAGTGGATTATCCCGATTCTCAGAGAGGTCTCTGAAGCTGTCTTCTGGGTTCATCGACAAGGCATCATTCACCGCGATATCAAGTGCGCCAATGTTCTAGTCACTGAGGCTGGCGGAGTGCAACTTTGCGATTTCGGAGTGGCCGGTGTCATTGAGACGAAATTCGATAAGCGATCAACCTTCATCGGCACCCCTCACTGGATGGCTCCGGAACTTTTCGATCAGTCAACATCGTATGGAACAGAGGTGGACATTTGGGCATTCGGCTCCATGGTTTTTGAAATTGCTTCTGGCTTACCGCCAAACGTCATGGCAGGCGTCGACGTATATCAGCTTGGAAATTACATCAAGGCACACACGCCTAGATTGGAGGGCGACCAGTACTCCGACCGACTGAAGCATTTGGTCGCCTACTGTTTGGAGGAGGATCCGACCAAGCGACCGACAATTGAAGAAGTACAAAACCACCCTTATATCGCCAACTCGACCCAAGAATACCCGGCAGCGTCACTAGCATTACTAGTGAGAGGATTCAAGCTTTGGGAGTCTCAGGGTGGCAGCCGTAAATCACTATTTGCTCCTGGAGGAGCCCAGGGCATGTCCGGCATGGATGAGTCCGATTTCTCATCCACTGCGATGGCCAACGACGAATGGAATTTCAGCACAACAATGGCGTTTGACCAACAGGTCTTCCAAAATACGGATGCTCAGGCAGTCTACGATGTGTATGGATCAAACGTGGAATTCGACCCTACGCTTCTGGACAACATGTCTCGATCCAAGCCGAAGTCGCGGCGGAGACCGCCACCTCAGCAACTTGCCGCCATGAAGGCTCCCTTAGAGAAAGTGTTTGACCCGAACACCATCTCCAACTATGAGGACAACTCCCGAGCATACTATGGCAGGCCAATTCCTCCACCAACTTCAGATCTTCCGTTGCGAGACGATTCACTCCAGTCAACAGCAGTGAGAGAATCGCTCATCGACCTAGACGCTTCACTTCACGGCGGTGATCTGTCCAACTTTGTGGATATGAACACCATCAGAGCCGGCGCACCGCGCGTATCTGTCGATTATCACATGGGCGACGAGCCAGACTTCAGCAAAGCGCCTTCGAGCGACCCGGCGGATTTGAACCCGAACAGAAGGACACAGGACTGGAAGTTTCCTTCAATGGCACCTCCGGCTTCCGCGAATCCGGAAATGTCGAGGTTTCCCTTCAACGAAGACCGACCCTTCAACGAAGACCGACCCTTCAACGAAGACCGACCCTTCAACGAAGACCGACCCTTCCACGAAGATAGGCCCTCATGGGATGACCATTCGGGACCCAGCTCTGCGTCGCGCCCGCAAATGTTCCACTCCCAGACCGATCCTGTCCCCGCTCCTAATTATGGCGGCGACTTGATGGTTCCCCGGCCTGGCTCACAGATGAACAAGAGAGAGTCCACGGGGAGCTTAATCGACCTCGACATGGGCTTGGCCGATATGGATGAACTTATGGTTCCGCCTCCCAGTAACATGAATAACCGTATATCGACTGGTAGCTTGATCGACCTCGACATGGGCTTGGCCGACCCCATGCCGGAGCTGACTCGCCCTTCAACGGCAAACTCAGACGTCGCATCTGTTAGCGGCTCAGAGATGGGAATGGCTAACCCTTTCGACCTGGAGCGCCATGCTTCTCTTTACGTGCCCATGTCAAACCGGGAGCCATCCATTTATGTTCCGACATCGAACAGGGAGCCATCTCTTTATGTACCAACATCAAACCGAGAACCATCAATCTACGTCTCAGACGATTCGGACTTCGCCTCACGCACTCCCAAAGACGACGATCAACTAAGCCTCGTCGACCTCTCTCTAGCTGAGCCTGGTGCTACCGTTCGGCCCAATGGTCAGGGCGGGTTGCGACTCAATACGCATCGCTCCTTCAACAGCGTCAATAGCGCCGACTATTCCGATCCCGAGTATCTGACTCCACAGCAGGCCGCCCAGCCAGCCCTGCCGCCAGGTATCCCGCGGTCAGTAGGGAACCGGGACAGCGGCACTCTTCCTCTGCCTCCCCCACCAGCGCCGCCATCTGTGGAGGTCATGCAAGGTTCAGCGAGCGCAGACGCCGTGAAGGAAGAGCTGAGGAGAATGGCGATGAGTCTGGGTGAGCATTTGAGTCACGCGAACCAGTATCTGTCGACGCTCCCAGTGCGTAAGGGCGGAAGGCAGGACCTGATGGGTGAATCCACGTGAGGGGGTTGGTATGTTTGGCTTTATTTTATACGCTTGGGAAGCAGTACGAAAATACGGCGAGAACCTGCTTATGTATTCACGGAGCATTGGCGTTGGAGGTGTATGGACTATTGAGGGAGGACATGTATGACTACTCTGAGTTGGATGCTAGGTTGGCATGGGCAATTTTTGTTTTGAGCGAAAAGGCCCTGTCAGATATGGTTATTTACAATAACATCCATTCCCTTTTGAGACTGTCTCTGCCTGTTCTATCGTACTCTATGAGAAACCTATCATGTCACCCAGAAGTAAGGCCCGGTACTTCTCCGTTGCCTCCTGCAGCTTGATGAGCACCGCGGCAGAGAGCATCTTGACATTATTCTCCTCCCCGCCATCTTCACCCCGCGTGCCGTTAAAGACACCGCTAACCCACTCCTGCGTCTCGACAACCTCGCGCGGATGCGCCTCGCACAGCCGCCGCATGGCAGACGCCTCATTGACCTCGAGCATAGCCGCCAGCGCGACCAGCAGCGCGTGCGTGCCGGGCACGTCGCCGTTGACGTGGGCGCGGATACCTAGCAGAAGATCCCAGAGCTCGGCTGTCATCTGCGGGAGGGCCAGCGTCGCGGGGCCCGCGGCGTGGACGAGCACGGCTAGGGTCTTGAGGTAGAGGGAGAGGAGGTAGGGCTGGATGAAGATGCCTGAGCGGGCCGAGTGGGAGCGCAGGGCGTGTTGGAAGCGGGCTGTCAGCGGGAAGAAGAAGGAGGTGGCGAGGAGGGTGGCTGTCGTGTTGGGGATGGAGCGGATGCCGGGTTTCTTGGTCGATTTTGAGGGGAGGCGGGAGGTGAAGGTTGAGAGTTTGAGAACGTCTGGCCCAGTCGTTGCGTCTGCTGCGTTGGCGGCTATGGGGGCTAAGAAGGAGGATGTTAAAGAGTCGGCGATGGTGTCGAGGGCGTTGGCGGGGATGGCCTTGAGGTTTGACGAGGATGCGAGGCGGGCTTGGGCGGTAGACGGGTCGAGGTAAAGCGCTTCCATCTTCTCTGGAAGGCGTTTGGAGGGGAACGAGGCGGAGGCCGCGTATTCTGAGGTATCGAAGCCGGCGAGCTCGCGCGCGCTGAGGCCGAGGACGATGAGGATCGAGGCGCGCTGGGAGATGGAGTAGTCGCCGTCAAAGAAGGTCTTTGCGAACCACTGGCCCATTTTCTGGGGCTGTGCTGCAACGATGGCTATCATGCCCTGAAGACGGAGGTCATGGAAATTTTCAATCTCGAACTTGTCCTGTAGGCCGACAAGAAGCGTGGCGAGCTCGTCTGCATGGGAGGAGACCTCCGTGCCAAAGTTTGCTTTGCGGCGGATCAGGGGCGGAGCCGTGGCGAGGGCCAATTTCTGCTTGTCGTAGTTATCAGTGTCTCGGAGGTAGGCTATGAGATCGCGCATGTAGACTGGGGCTTTCGGCTTATCACGACGGACGAGCGTGGCATCTTCGTCTGAGTCTTCTGCATCGTCGGAGGGCTTGGCGTAGGGTACGAGGTCCTCGTCCTCGCTTTCGGAGTCTGAGACTTCTTGGATGATGAATTTGGAGGGTGCGGCTGGTTGCTTGGGTTTTGGTACTGGCTTTCGGCGGGAAGGTGCTGGAGGTCGAGGCTGGCTCTTTTGTTCCACCTCGGGGGTGGTGATCAACAGGTCGACAGGCCCCGCACTGTCCAACGTTTTGACAAGGTCTTTGTAGAACTGGGCCTCATCTGTCCCCATTTCCTCCATTTTGAAATCCAGTTTCTTATCACCGCCGTCGATGAGACCTGAGAGGGCCTCGCCCACTGCCATACCCAAGAATCTAGCCCTCTCTTGTGAGGCGCCGATCCGGTTGGACACGGTATTAAGGTAGCTTGAAGATCGCATGAGCATTTTGAGCTTCAGAGACGAGAGCTTATTGACATAACTGGCGCTAAGGAGGAGGACCTGAGCATGGGCTTCGTTCTGGTCAGCAAGTGTTTGAGGGTGATACGGGTGAGAACGTAGTACCTTGTTGTTGCATGATCGGGGAGTGCTTGATGTATAGCTGATCGCCGAACTGGTGAAGGCTCTTCTCAAACACCTGAGTGACGCATTCTCTGTCCTGTGCAAGCGCCGCCATGACTGCGCGCCTGATACCTATGCCATCGCCCAGGCCGGCACCAGTTGAGCTGGTCAACCAAGAGATGAGATGTGTTTTACGACTTTCTTCGCCAGCGACTATTTTCTCGATGACGCCAGCAGCAGCGGAGATCGTCGAGTTTGGCTTCAGAGGCTCGACGTCGCCTAGCTTGTTGAGGAATGCTTCCGACAAATGCTTGAGAACAGCAAAGATGACTCGCTTCTGCTCAAGTTGAGAGAACTGGCCAAAGAGCTTGAAAAAAGCGTTTCGGCCTTCCTCGGGGCCCAATAGAAGCTCTCCAATGAACTGCTTCATCAGGGCATCTAGAAGACTATTAGTGTCATGACTCGAGCTGCCTAATAAATGGCATAAGGGATGGTGAACTTGCCAGAATAACCCAAGCGAAGCGATCGTATGAAAACCTCTGAACAGAGCTTCACATCTTCAGACAAGATGTCGCCCTTCGCCCACGCCCCAACACTTTGACCCAACCACCTGCTGTATTGTTGCCCGTCTGCGATCCAAAGTTGGGTTTTGCCGATTCTGTCCGGGTTGGCAATGACATCTGCCTCGGCTGCGACTGACACAAGTCGTCCACCAGCTATTAGGGCCATGAACTCATTCGACATTGGTCGTCTTCTCGCCGCAGTTTCCAGTCCAATGCTGCTCGCCGTCCACAGTGTAGCAAGGTGCTCGTCCTTGCCCAGCACCGCTGAGCCGACCTCGAGTAGCACGTTTAGATTTAGGCTCAGATCTGGTCGCTTCACGTCTTTGACGCTCGCCTTGTATTCTTGGATCAAGGCCTTCATGCGGGTGATGATGGCGTTGAGACCCGTGACACTTCTCAAGCACCGGAGCAGCAACTCGACGTCCCTTGGGCTGTCGACATCTTGTATAGTAGATCCTCCGGTAGCGTCCTCTTTGAGCAAAGGCCAGTAGTTGGGAACAATCTCCGAGACGAGACACTGAACAATTTGCGCAGCCTCGGGGCTAGGTGTCACAAGCCTGAAGCCTGTTGCTGCAACAATGCCATCTGCGAGGGACTTGAGGACTCCAATCAGGGTATCATAATTTGGCTGATTCTTCAGAGTCTCTAGAGTATCTTCTGCTGAGAGGATTTCAGTGGCAGTCGATTTCGATAATTGAGGCTTCTTGTTTGTGGCTACATCTTCCGCTGGGAGTTCGTCTGGCCTTGGCTTGCGGTAGGTGGTGCTGACCGGGGTAAAGAAGTCGTCCATGCTTGACGATTCCCTTTCAAGTGGTAGACAATGGTGCTTGCATGGTTCTGTAACAGAATGAAGATGGAGTCCTCAAAGAATCACCTCAGGGGTTTGAAGAAGTCCCGAGTTGTTGGCGAACTGATCTTTTCTGATTGCTTCGATCGGTGATTGCAATATCGGATGGGAATTCCGACTGTTAGGAATATATCCGGAGTTCGTTGCTTCCATTACCTAGATGTACAGGCTCAAGCCCAAGGAGCGAGGGTCCAGATTTAGGTTGGGGTCATCTTTCAGCGCACCCCACCACCTGGTACTATAGACACCCCCACAGAAGGCCCCAACCCTTTATCGATAAGCAACCTGCCGATAACCTAAGCCTTATCGGACACAGGCATCTCGTCATGTCGGCCCCTCCACCACCCGAAGCTCACCCAGCTTGAGAAGGAACAAGCAACGAAGTGACCGCCACTAACATCCCCTCCAAGTCAAGCCAATTTGACCTCTCATCGCAATGGCCACCGAAGCCCCGTTGCCGGTAGCGATGCATAATGTCGACGAGGGAAAAAGATGGTTCGTACCTCTTGCGACAGTCCGTTAGTCGTCGTATCCAGTCGCTGACCCCAGCATGGTATAGGACCTACCTCGACAATATTCGCAAGACACCAGGACCATTCAGCGATCCTGATGTGGCCGGAACGGAGGAGGCTTTTGAACAGTTTGACAAGATCAAGGTCTTGTATGATATTGCATGATCCAATGAGTTGATGCTGTCTACTAACACATTCTTGTGTAGGGTGATGTTGGTGATCCCCTCTTCGAACACGATATCTCGCGACTGACGTTATACAAGTGGCGCCGGAGGTCTTGGATGTGAAATATTGAAGAACTTGGCCATGTCCAAGTTTAAGGATATTCATGTCATCGATATGGGTACGCCGTACTCTTCCGCTGCTCTGGGCAAGACCTGACATTCCCTGGGCCAGATACTATCGACATCTCGAACCTGAACCGACAATTCCTCTTCAGAAAGTCCGACGTTGGCAAATACAAGGCTGAGGTTGCGGCTCAGTTTGTCATGCGTCGCGTAAAGGGTGTCAACATTAAAGCCCATAATTGCGCCATCCAAGATTTTGGTCAGGACTTCTACAAACAATTCCAGTTTGTCATTTGTGGACTGGACAGCATCGAAGCCCGCAGATGGATCAACGCAACCCTCGTACAGATTGCCGAAGAAGGCGAGGACCCGGATTCGTTGATTCCCATGATTGATGGAGGCACAGAGGGATTCAAGGGCCAGGCCCGAGTCATCGTCCCTTCGATCACGTCTTGTATCGAATGCCAACTGGACATGCACGCACCGAGAGCCGCTGTTCCTCTCTGCACAATCGCCTCAATTCCCCGACAACCAGAGCACTGCATTGAATGGGCACACGTAATCGCCTGGGACCAGGAGAAGCCGTTCCCAAAGCTGGACAAGGACGACACTACACATGTGTCCTGGCTGTACCAAAAGGCTCTTACCCGTGCTCAAGAGTTCAACATCACGGGTGTCACTTACGCCTTGACTCAAGGAGTCATCAAGAACATCATTCCCGCCATTGCGTCTACAAACGCTATAATCGCGGCAGCATGCTGTAACGAAGCCTTCAAGCTCGCCAGCTCGGCCGCGCCGACGCTTGGAATGGAGGAGAACTACATGATGTATTCTGGAAATGACAGCATCTACACATACACCTTCAAGCACGAGAAGAAGGACGACTGCCCCGTCTGTGGACAAGAGTCGCGGCCACTCGAGGTCGACCCCGACAGCACACTCCAGGACCTTGTGGACTCATTCGCTGTCCGTCCCGAAGCGCAGTTGAAGAAGCCTTCATTCAGAGCCGCAAACAAGACTCTGTACATGCAGTTCCCGCCGAGTCTGGAGGAAAAGACACGGGCCAACCTTGAAAAGACCATCAAGGAGCTCGAGCTGGAAGATGGACAAAACATCATTGTCACGGACCCAGCTTTCCCTCTGGAATTCAATTTCTACTTGCGATTCAAGGAGACTGCATAGACCGGCACTCAGCATTTACGTGGGATGATGATGATAATAGCATGGATGGTGTCTTTGGGAATGTCAAAAGGCATGGCACATCAAGTGTGCTCGCACCAAAAGGAGCGACTAGACGAATCTAGAAAATCAAACCGAGTGTCATTATGAACTTTTTTCTTTCTTTCCATTGCCAGCTAGCCCTTGCAAAACCAGAAAAACGGGATATCTATAAGTATGGTACACGTGCAGTGATGCTTCATCTAACCATGTTGATGACCTGCTGCTCAAGACGGATACACCTCGTCTTGAACTGCTTAACTGACTCCAAAAACAATTCGTCGCTGTCCCACTGTCCGGTGCTCTCAATGGAGAAGATGAAGTGGTCACGCACCCGGCCCAGCTTGACCTTGCCCTCGAATTCGGGGTGGCGCAAGCACTCACGACTGACTGTATCCCTCATGGCGTCCTTGACCACGGCCTTCTTCTCGCCCTCGTAACCCTCGTATCCGCTGCCGGCAACGGCGGCCTCCTTCTTCGTGACCTTTTCGAAGCCGACGACGCCTTGGGGGAAGCACTTAGCAAACTTGTCGGCGTCCTGGCCGAGAATTGGCCGCGTGAAGGTGATGGTGGGCATGAGACGGTACGAGGCGGTGGCGACGGGGGAGAACTTTGCGTGGTCGGAGCCGACGCCCTTGTGCATATGCATGTCGAGCTCGATGCACTGGCCGGGCCGCAGCTTGGCGATGAGGATGTCGGGGTTGACGGGGCGGATGGCGTCCTCGCCGGAGAAGAACTCGACCTGGCGGCCCGTGGGGACGAACTCAATGTCCTTTGCGTAGACGCTCGCGTGGTGGAAGGCCTTTGCCGGGTCCGTCTCGCCCGGGGCGGCGTCCGGGTTGCGGGTGCACTCGATGCGCAGGCGCAGCTGGACGGTGTTGTAGTCGAAGGAGCCCTTGCCGCCCTGCTCGGGCTTGCGGTACCATTTCAGGAACTTGTGGATGCCCTCGGGGTTTCCGGTGAAGGGGATGAGGCCGAGGCGGTGGGCAAGAACCTCGTCCTGGATCACCGAGGTGTTGTTCTCAATGTAGACGTTCTCGATGGCGATGGTGGGGATCTCGGCGATGAGGGTGCGGCGGAAGGCGTTTGCGATGGAGGCGTCGACGCCGATGAGGGAGAAGGAGGCTTCGTGCTGAGCGTTGTGGTGGAATTGGACGCGAAAGTTGGAGGCGAATCGGTCGAGGTCCCAGGCGTGGTCCTCGCCGGCGTAGGTGCCCGGGTAGTCTGTCGAAGTCACATCGGTGACAGTTTCCTTGTTGATACCGACTATCTGCGAGGAGCCGTCAGTATGGGAGAATCGTGCCTCGAGAATGAATTGTATTGACTTACCCTCCGCCTGTCCAGCTCGGCTTGACTGGGTGTTGAGGAGGGCGCCATTGTGGTGTGTGGTATGGCTGGACTGCGACTGCGAAAAGTTGCGATCGATGGAAAGACAAAATAATTTTTTGGAGGACCCCTCTATCTACACCGAGACTATGCGGCTTACGTACACGCCCCTGGATCGTTAATACCAACCCCCCTACACTCCGAATGCGTTCTGGAAGAAAAAAATCTGGAGAAGCTATGTGGGGCATTGGACGCCACAACGGACGATGAATAAGGTACGAGACCATTCCTCAACTACACGGGCCGGTCTGTCAATGACGATCACGAGAAATCACAATGTTTAATTTACACAATTCAAGTGTCTGTCGAGAAATCATCTGCGTGTCTCTATTCCTATTCTTTCGAATATTCTATTGTCGTCAGACGGCGCCACTGGAAGTCCTTACTTAAGAACTCGTACATGAAACCAGGCGTAAGCATACTAGTTGCTGTCTTTGAGGATCAGACCATGAAGCTGTCGCGAACGAATATGGCGTTTGCTGAAGGAGTGTAATAGCCAGCCACTGCGCGTATACATTCAATTGTATGGCTTCGAGATGTTTTCAGAGATTTAGGTGATGCCAGAATCATCTTCTCAAGTGAACGAAGAGGAGTTCAATGGTATCTGAAATTGGAATCCATGTGCACAGTCGACTGCCATGGTCTATCTGCATACCTGCCAACCAGAAAATGGAACTATCTAGTGCGTCTACTTATGAATATCATGACGGTATGCCGGTGATACATCGACATTGAGAAGGAACATCTTCCTACCCACGTACGACCTTACCTTCCTTACGTGTGGTAACGTAGGTGGCTGCTCTTCGTAAGGCAAGATAGAAGAGAGCATTAGATTGGGATAACAAATCTTCCCTCATTTTCAGTCTTCTAAATCGAATATGGACTTACCAGCGGGTTCGATCTGGCGGGAAGGAGCAAGTACAGCAAAGGTAAGGAAGGCAGGTGCTAAGGGAAGTAGAGTTTGGGAGGCAAGAGCGACCTGGACTTGCCGCACCTGCCTCCCGTAAACAACATCGCTCCTTCCGCAGACATCTTTCCTGCAAGTTCGCTGCCATTCTTCCTTTTACTCCCCTCACTCATCACTCCTCATCACATCTCGGGCAGTTCAAGTTCGTTGCTTTTCATTTTCCCTGTCAAGAACACGAAGCCAGCCTCCAGTATTTCATACGCTGGTGTGGTCTTCTCATCATTATCGCTGGGATTTGCGTCCTTACCACAAATGAGTTATCTGTTTCTCTTGGAGGTAAGAGACGAACCCCTCAGAAACTCGTCATCTGTTCCTCATCAAAGGGTTTTATTGACCATTGTTTAGTGTCGAGGCTATTTTACTTTCGTCCTGATCATCACAGAGACCGCCACTCGATTTCGCATTAGTGCTTCCTTTATTTGGGACTGAAAACTTGGACAAGCTTTCTCTCAAACTCACCTCACAGACACCGCCTACTCCGGCAGTCATGGTGGTGAATGTGAGCACCAGCGTGTCGCCTTGGCGATGCAATTCCTCACCGGCAGATGATGTCCGCCCTCACTCTGCCGCTCCAGCGCTTCAGCAGCAGCCAATGTCGGACCCGCGTTACTCGAGGGAGATTTTCGAGGCAAGTGGAAAAATGAATCTCTCCTTCCTGCCCATTGTCTTCCTTTTTCTTCTTTGTACATTGTTTTGACTCCTAGCAGACTTGCTCCATCCCAGTCAAGGTCGGAAATCCTCACCTAGCTCGCAAGCCCGCGTTCGCAAACACGATGTCGAACAAAAAATCGCCTGGCAAGCAAATTGCCTCCTCTGGCTCTTCCGGTCGCAAGAAGAGCCGTCGAAACCGTCTTTCTGCGCTTTTCGGTCACAGCCCCGAGCAGGTTGGCGATGCTGCTGAGCACGAGACGGCCCCTCAAGAGGAGGCTACACCTACAAAGATCACCGCAAGCAACCGACGTGAGAATGGAAACCACCCTCAGAATTCTGCTACTCTGCTCGAAAATGATCGCAAGGAGAATGCTACTCGCGACTCTATCGTCACCATCGTCACGACACGTTCCGTCACTACTGAAGACAAGGACGCGCCTACGTCCGACATCGCAGCTTCCGCGAATAAAATCGACACCTTCGATTTTGCCAACAAGAATCAGATCCAGGGTGAGGCCCTCGGGGTTTCCGGTGAAGGGGATGATGAGACCTTAGAGCTCAAGTCTTGTTCTAAACTGACCATCGGTGAAGCAACCACGAATCCGTCTCCGAGTCGCATGACGAAGTTGCCCATTCATCGCCATAAGAGAGCTTCAAGCTCCTTCAAGATTGTCGACAGGGACTCTGCTGACGCTGTACTCCTGTCTGCTTCTTCTTACAATCCCTCTCCGGAGAAGAAGAACAATACGGTTGCGAAGCTCGGCATGCAGGCGCCTTCTTCTACTAAGCTTCCCTTGCACAACCAGCGCCATAACCAGGAGGCTCTTTTACTGCCCTCATCTACATACTCTGGCCCTACCATCTACAACGGTAGCCCTCAGAACAAACCCAACCACAGCAAGCTCAAGGGCAAATCTCCTACCGAGAATGCTCGTTCTCTCTCTTCCTACACAGAGCCCGGCCCTGCGATCAAGATTACCGACAGCGACGAGGAGATTGCTAGGAAGCATAAAGCTATGGCTTTCACCTCCGCTGCAGTATCTACTCCTGCCACTCCTCTTCTCAGCGCACTCAAGACCTATGTCCCCGACAAGTCTTCGGGCGAGAAGAAGGTCCGCTTCGCCACGGCGTCATCGACCAAGTCTGGCGAAAGCGACAATGAGAGCGGAGGCTCGGACGATTCGGACAAGACCATCGAACCTGGTTTTGGAGGCATGAAAGCGGCCCCGGAAGCGGCCCCGGATGCCATTCTATCGCCTACAATCTGGGACAAGAGTGCTGAGCCCAAGATCTGGGTAAAGAACGGCAAACCCACCCTCTTCCAGCCTCAGAAGGGGCCCGGCTACTACACCAACCCCCTTTGGTCCCGCCAGTATCCCGAGATTCTCTCAGACGATCCCCGAGTCAACCCCTATGCTGCGAGCATCGCTGGAAGCACCAAGTCCACGGATGGAAGCCAGTACTCCGATTACCCCGCGGCCCGCGTCGTCACCGACTTTGATATGGGCAACAAGCTTCACGTTAATGGTGAATCCAGCACCAACGTGAACTTCGGTACGGGTGCTGCGCCTGCTCGCACTCCTTTCACCAGAACCACTCGAGGCACTATGCCTTCGCCCCCTGATGCTAATCAGAACTTGGTCGGCCGCGATTTCCCGGACATGCCTTCTGTCCCTGCTGGTTTCGGCATGCCTCCTCTTTATAGAGGCCAGATCAAGCTCGAAATTGGTGGCCGTCGCTTCGTCAGCTCCATGGACGTTCTTGAGAGAAGCCCCTGGTTCAAGTACATCTTCTCCATCAACTTCCGCGATTGGTATCGCGATGGTGTCTTCCACTTCGACAATGATGGAGATCTCTTTGCCCACATCCTGCGCTTCCTGCGCACTGGCATGTACCCTCTCTTCTGGGATGCGCGCAACGGCTTCGACTACGCCATGTATGCGATGATCCAGGAGCAGGCTCGCTACTACATGCTCTACGACCTTGAGGCTTGGATCGCCCAGCAGAAGTACCATGACGTGGTAGAGACTCAGGTCATTCACCAGAAGTTCATCATCCCCAACGCTCAGGGCTGGATTCACGAGCAGAGTCTCGTGGGTCTTCACACCTCCGAGATCTCTGGCGTCGTTGGACACCGCAATGTGGCCCCTGAGGCCCCTGTTGCAGACGTGTTCTACTCCCAGAACGGAGAGAGCTCCAAGGGTAAGGATATTGCGGTTCAGCAGAACGGCCCTGGAGGTGCTGTGGCGCTGTTCACCACCGAGAAGGTCGTCAGAGTCCACATGGACCAGCTCGGCCCTTTCTAAGGCTTGGACTCATCTTCACTTGTATCATGTCGGAGTATTCGGAAAATTTGGTCATGGAAAGAAACGGGAATTCGCACTGGATTTGGTTTTTGAGAACTTTTGCTGCTTCGTATGCAGCTCGTTTGGCCATGGTAATGAGGGGATGGATATGGCCCAACTTTTGTTCTCTGGGAATGCAACTTTGCTCAGTGTGTAGGCCAAGAGTCCCTGGCTAAGGATTGCTTGAGCCTTTCAACGCAGATCGTCTCTCTACTCAAATGAAAATCGCAATTACAGAAAGCGTGGCACCAGTGTGTTCATGTTTTGGCTAAGATGTACATCATGATCCTTATTCTAGCTGGGTGACTTCGCTCCTGCGAGACTGTAATTGCTTCCCCCGCTAGTGGAAACGTCCTTGTCTTGATTTCAATCTTGCCATCATTTGAGTAGACAGTCGCCTTCTCAATGAACAACATTCTTTTGGCGGATGGAGTTCTTTCCTTGGAGTAGTACGTCTTTCTGATGACAGCATACGTCGTTTTAATCCGAACCAGTCGCTGCTTTGCGTGTACCTCAGGTCTCCGACGAATGACATGGTCTTGAGATCGAACTCTGACACTCTCGGACGCTCCAGTTGCAGGCTTTCTGCGAGGCGCTTGGCCTCCTTCAGCTGGCGAGACGTTTCTTCGGCCCAGAGAGTCTTCTTTGTTTCGAGCTTCTTCATCTTGTTCAACTGCAGTTGAGGCTTCGCTGGCTTCGGCCGCCTGGTCATGTATTTCGTGATGATCGTCTTGCCCATATCTGCTTTCTCCCTTGTCGTCCAAAAATACTTCTGTCTCAATTCTCTCGGCCGACACTGTGTCTGGTTCCGATTGATCCTTATGTGGATACTCTCGAATGGGGACCTCGTGTTCAGTGGCATTGCGTAGCCCTTCGGAACTTTGAGCATTTTCTTGGTCTTGCGGTGTCGGACTCGGGATTGTAGGTACTAATGGATCATCTAACACTGTCGAGATCGACCAGTTCAAGGTTGATAGCGTGCTCTCTGGTGGAATCGCCTTTGGGCAGTTGGCCTTGAAGTTCGCCATATCACCATACGCACTACTTATTCTGCCTTTCAGTAGTTCATTAAACCCCTGAGCAAGATCCAGGCGAATACCGACTAGTGGTAGCTTCCATGACGGGTATAGCCTCCCATGGCAGCGGGATGTGTAGAAAGTCTTGTCGGCTTCGATAAAAGCGTTGCAGAGGTATCACGCGTCTTTGCTGGATCGGATGACTCTAGGCCGAAGGTCTGAGTGGCGCGTTTTGAGATGATAATAGTATATCAGCTGAACCTCGGCGTGGACCTTTGAATTTTTCAATGCATCCTTCGCCTGCTTTTCGAATACAACGTCGACATCCTGAAGAGGTGCTTCTGAAATACCCCAGGCATCTCTGAGAACTCGACCGGGGACTGTTGTGACTCCGTTCCTCGACAGAGCCGTGTTAAGTCCTGGGCACCTTCCACGCCCCGAGATCCGCTCGTAAGCTCCTTGCCCGAAGCTCGTGAGGTTGACCGTCACCACATCCGCGTATCTAGCGATTGGGTAGTTCTTTGCAGTCCGGTAAATATGTCGCGAGACCTCTCGGTATCGCGAAACTTTGAGGATCATATTACACAGACTTGATTTCGAGCATGGGTCCGTTTCTCTGTGAGATATCATGTGGACAAGCTATTCAAAGTGGTCGACCCGTGAAAGCTGAAACATGTCTTCAACCAATTGCTTTAGCCTAGATGGATCTTGGTATCTTCTCCATTTTCCGAGTGACTTTGTTATATCGCGAGCTCTAGCCAAGAGGTTTTGTGACTGTGCTGTGCTATTACCCGGCTGAGTGAAGTATACGTTGAGCGTTTCGAGCAAACCTCTCAATCGACTGTCGCTTTCTCGTCGGGCGTCCTTGTGACCTCCCTGTTTGTTCCTCGCGGATGCGTTTGAGAGTTCGGCCGTAGCATATTCTTACAACCTCCTCGAAGACCCCATTCTCGATTTCGGATCTTTCCTTCCTAGAATCTGTTTCAGCACGGATAAGCTCGTGATCCCTAGTACTTGAGAAAGACAACGTCGATACTTGCCGTCAAGATTCTTTAACTGGAGGAAAATCTGTTCGAATCCACGCTTGATATCCGACAAGATTTCCTCACCCTTGTTCGGGCCCTTTTTATTTACGGCCACCACAACCTCCAATCGCTGCGACTCTGCTAGTTCTTCGATGTAAATAGCGGAGATGAAGTCTGGATTCCCATCAATGCTGGCCAAGAACGCGAGTGCGCCGCAGAGACTTCTCTCTCTACCGAATGGAAGTATTCTCTCCTTTTCTTCGACCGGCTCTGGAACTGGTCTGTTGGGTTCGGACTTATGCTGGAGCTTGTTCAAGAGGAACAAGAGTGATATATTCTCGGCGCAATCGACCGCCGCAGTGTCAGCGTTAGGGTTATTAGGCCTGCTCATTGTCGTTTGAAGGTTTTCTCATCATGAAGTGATTGCGATGGAACATGGAACCCGCTTGGATGGCCTGTTACTGGCGAGCACGTTGTGATTCAGAAGTTTTGATGCTGTAATATCCATGATGTCGAGCCTTGCGCCTATGGTGGGAGCCAAAGGCGTCTTGTAGGAACCATTGTATAGTAATCTAGAACGGAACGCAGCGTGTGTCGTAAGTCACCTTGGCAACTTACTGGCCATCTATGCTGTATACCAAGATACGAGATACGGCGTTTTGATATGACTTGAGCGAATCAGCAACTGTCACATCCCTCCCTTTTTCAGAGATTCTGCAGGAGGCCAACCAAATCACGGTCCAAGAGTGAGGCATGCTTTCCACCAGGCGAAGGGCTCGAAAGCTGTATGCATCTCGTCATTTCAGACATTCGAAAAGGCAAGAGGGGATGATACCATCATACCGGGGGGGCTTTGCGGCATTCACATGGTATCGATAGCACCTCTCCCCGGAGTTTGCTCGATGAAGGAATCAACTGCACTCCCCGTATCCGCATCCGCATCCGGGTCCGAGACCCACTACTTCAGCCCGAGTGGGACTACGTAGCTCCGCCGACCTCCATAATGATCAAGTCACTGAAAAAAAGAGCCGATCGTCATGTTTCCCAGTCACTGCCTTTCTAGTCAGTCAAAAACCGGCCGTATTGTTCTTGAACAAAACGAAGAAAATGTTCTGAGGTTGGATTAAGCTTCCCCTACCCGAGTCGCTAGGCTCAATATCCTTTGTCCTCGCCCACCGATTCCGGATCTCCCGGGTCTGCGGGGAACCATCCTCACGGGCGCTCGCTCCACGAATGGCTCGAGAAAACAATGGGGAAAACAAAAGACTGGATACCTTAACCTCAAAAATTAGTAGGGAAACAAGAACTCCATCATGCAGTGGGCACCTGTTCCCCAAACGCGCCGTATTCGGGTCCGTGGGAATACTTGGGCAAGGGGAGGCTTCGTCTGATACGTCGAGTGTATCACATGCGGCTCCTAGGAAGCGGCCTCCCAATGTGGCGCATAAGGGCAAGCTCCGGGGCGGCATCATCGTCTTCAAATTTGAGTTTCTTTGTTTGGGGCATATACTTCATCAACCCAGCTGCGGGTTTCCTTTCTCACAATTTACACACTACGAACTCAGACTTCAACTTCATTTTGAAAGACCACATCTCATCGCACCTTTTTGATATACATAAAGCTCAAGACACCGTAGACTGCAAATCTCAACTATACATCAACCCCACGGCATCAAGAAACCTCCTCACCACCACAAACACAACACCTCACAAAAAATGTTGAACACAACAGTAACCTTAACCCACACCACACCAATCCCCCCCTCCCTCACCCGCGAAGCCGCCCTAGCCCTCATCCACGACGCAGAACACCACATCAACTGCGACCCCAACATGAAGGACTACACGGCCCGCACGCCCGCCATCCCGCCCACCGTGCCAAAGGACATTGACCCCATCGCCGCGACGCAGTGCTTCTCCGTCACCGACAGCGTGCCCACGATGCTGCCGAAAGCCATCTGGAACAGCGACGCCGTGAGCGACTACGATTTCACGTGTACAAAGGACGGCAGCTTCGTCCGCACGAGTTGTCCGCTCAGTGTCTTGCTCGAGACGCGCTGGCGCGTAAAGGATGCCGAGGGGGCCTTGGGCGATGGGGCCTTGGAGTTGGAGGAGGTTGTTGAGATTCGGTGCTCGAGGCTTTTGGCTGGGGTTGTCAAGTCGCAGTGTGAGATGAATTGGAAGGGTTTCCACGAGAAGATTCTGGCAGGAAAGACGGCGTGATTTGATTCAAAGAGGAGCGAGTGTGAGAAAGATGAAATGTCCGGAGGTAATGTACCAGATTCAAGTATAGATGGCAGACGCGGACATGTAGCACGGGTAGAGTCATATGTGAACAGAGTTATTTTAAGAGGTGTACTCATATTGTACGGTAATGTGGCTATCCTGAGATTTCACATCAAACTGCTCCGCCCGCCAATTTCCATGCTTCCTTGGCCATCCTTCATCTCACCACTTCGACCAACAACAAATTCCCGGTAGATTCTCTGTAGCCTGGCCCGCTCCTGCGTGCTGATACTCGATCTGGTGCTTTCCAAAGCCTTCAACAAGTGCTCCAGCTTGACCACAACCTCCTTGTCATTCGCCAATTTGCCATCCACTTCTGGGCGCTGAGATTGCTTGACCCTCTTACGGGCAAGCTTGATGCTCTCCAACTTGGCGAGGATGGCGGCATTCTCAACGAGCTCTTGCTGTCGGCTGATCGGCTTCGCGGTAGGTGCAGCGTCTTGGCCGTAACGGAACTGTACGAAGCTGGGGATAGAGCCTCGAGAAGACGACTTGCCATTAACCTTACCGTTCGTTGTCGGGGCATGGCTGACATCGTCTAGAACATCGTGAATAGCCTCTAGTTGAGAGTTGGACACAAGAGCCTGAAGATCAGCACCGGAAAAGCCTTCGGTTTTCCTCGCGAGATCAGTCCAGGCGTCGTCGGACTCTGTCAACTCCTCGCTGAGCTTGACTTTGCTGGAAAGAGACTTCAGAATGTCGACTCGGTCTTCCAACATCGGCATGTCGCAGAGCAAAGATTTGTCCAGACGTCCGGGACGAAGAAGAGCGGGGTCGATCAAGTCTGGTCGAGATGTTGCTGCCAACACGTAAACGCCGGAAAGACCTTCCGCTCCGTCCATCTGTGTGAGAAGCTGGTTCACAACTCTGTCTGTGACACCAGTAGAGTCGTGGCCACGCTTGGGGGCGATAGAGTCAAATTCATCAAAGAACAAAACGCACGGCTTCGCAGCCGACGCGCGTTCGAAGAGATCGCGAACACTCTTCTCGGACGCTCCGATATACTTGTTGAGAATCTCAGGTCCCTTGACACTGATGAAATTAAGGCCGCATTCTCCAGCAACGGCGCTTGCAAGCAACGTCTTGCCACAACCCGGGTATCCATATAGCAGCAGGCCGGACCGCAATCGCAGTGGGCACTGCTCGAAGATTGGTGCGTACTTCGTCGGGTACTGCAAAGTCTCCAGGAGAACCTTGCGAGTCTCTTGCAAACCGCCGATAGAGCTAAACGTGGTGGTTGAGTGTTGCAGAGAGACATTTCTCAGTGAGGCAGGCGTGAACCCCTTGAGAGCATTGTCAAAGTCGACGCGACTCAGGTGTACCGCACCTCCCTCGCTGTCTGTATCATTGACGGACCTGATAATGGCTTCGTTCCGTGCTCTCGCCACAAGCAGGGTAATGTCTCCTGGCATATAACCGTCAATAAGACCAGCAACATCCAAGAAATCCAAGTCAGGGCTGATGACGAATCCTCCACTGGTGCCATTTTGGTTATCGCGGCTGCCTTGGCTGCCAGCATCCATCCATGCGCTATCCTCCCCTCCAGCGCTTCCGTCGGCTGTAGGTGGACGGCTGCCGTTCTGTGGTGCCCGTGGCAAGTCCTCGGCGGAGACGGCATCTCTTCTAACAATGCTTTCCACGACCTTTCGTCTCGCTTCCTTGTTTGGTGCCTTCAAATCAACAATCTCCCGGACAACATGACCCCCAATGATCACACTGTTCAAGGAATCTTTACCCTCTGCAACTGCCAGAAGAACCACTCCAGTATCCACGTTGCAGTACTGGCGTACCATGGAACCAATAATTTCGCTGATTTGACGACTTCGTCCGTTGTCATTACCGACTTGCAATTCGGTTTCCACAGGGCACAGCTTGTCGAGATCGTCCAAGACTACGAGTGCCTTGCCTCCTAGCCTAGCACCCCAACTGGCTGACATGAACACTTGGTTCAGGGTATCCTTGATAGTAGCAATGCGAGTCTCGTCATTAACAAGCTTCCGGCAAGGGAAGTAGGTCGTGTGGAACAAAAGGTCTTTGCCAAGCTCCTGGGCCAGAGACCTGGCAACGGCGGTTTTGCCAGAACCCATGGCACCGGTCAGAAGAGTCGAGGAAAGGTGCGACAGATGGCTTCGAAGATCTTGTAGCAGCTTATCGATGCCTACTAGCTGACCATCATAGGACGGCTGCAACTCGGCGATGCTGTCGTCATTCATCCACGACGGTCGGGGAACTGGGTCTCGGATATCGACGGCGATTTTCTCACTTAGGCCCAAGACCCATCTCGTTGATGATCTAAGGGGATCGCTGTTAATGGCTGGCGGATCAAACTTGATAACGCCTCCTTCCCAACCTTGGGGAGCCTCCAGGCCCTCGAAGAGACCAATCACTGATCCATCTGTAAGGGGACCAGTGATGAGAGGGGCGACGTCCTTGCGAGCGTACAGATGCCTGAACTGCTTGGCCGCCTCCTCCTTACCAGCCTTGGACTCGCCGCCAAACTTCAATCCGTCCGAAGACTTTTTGGAAGCGGCAAACGGTTGGACTATTAACTTTGTAACAGCATCGAGCGGCCATTGTTGCGGCGCCGGTTCGATCTTGACAATTCCTCCAACAGATCCGGTAAAGCCTAACGTCGCACACAACGCCGGAGAGAGGACAATGGTCTTGCTGTCGGGTGGGTCGTCCCACGCGCGTAGATGTGCGACGACCTTTGTAGCTACTTTTGATGTGCTTGCTGATTGTTCGGCATCTTGCGGTTTCTGGGTCGAACTTGCTTGTGGTGTAGGTCGCAGAATATTGACCGAAACATAGTTTACGCCTCGGAAGTCCTTGGTGTACAGAATATCGCAGTCTACCCAAACGCTGAAATCCTGGGTAGTCAGGTCCTCGTCGAACCATTCCCGGCAAGCCGAATGGGCGATACCGCGCAGGCAAAGGGCAGGCTTGCGCTCTTCTCGTGCACTACGCCGCCGCACTGTACTTGCGCCGCTTCGTTTGGACTTGGAGGTGCTTGCCACACTACGATTCTCTCCTAGGGAGTGTGCTGTCTTGGCCCGGACCTTTGGCGCAACAATGACCTCGGCATCGGGAGATATTTTGACGAAAGGAACTTCGGCGCCGGGGGCGGGATCGAGAGAAACCACTTTGACGTTTGCTGTCGATGTTGGCGAAAGGTGTAGAGTCAAAGCGTGAGGAGCGACTAATGAGCCGGAGCTGGAAGTAAACGCGGGGTTCGGCAAAGCTCGTACTTGGGAGAGGAGGTTGAGTTCGAGGAAGGTCGCATGCAACTCAATCATTTCCCAGTCTTCCGGAGTAAGCGGCTCGATGTTGATCGTGTGCGCAACGGGCGGATCGACGTGTATTGAAGCTGTAACCTTTTGTCCGTCGGTAAGGCCAAGTGTATTGGCCAACGTCGCGTCGATTTCGACCTGCGCCATTTCCTGGTCGCGCCCCGAAGCACCTGGTCTACCACCATTGATGCCATCGCGTCCGACCATGGGCGCAACCTTGCGCTTACTCGGCATGCCCGTCCACCCGACGAAGGCGGATCGTTGTTGTGATGCGCCGGACCCGGAGGCGCTCGCGGAGGGCCGGTAACTTAGTTCTACAACTACATTTTGTGCGGGCTGGAGGATATGCCGTCAGAACAAGTACCACTGATAATAGGTGACTAGAGACCTACTGTGTTGACGTTCACGAGGAGTGAGACCAGCGATGCGGGGAGATTGACAAGGCAGTTCTTGAGGTGGGCGAGGGAGATCTCCGCGGGAGTCGATTGCGCATTGCGCCGGGAAGACATGACTGCTGCAATTGAGTCTCTAGAGGTCCATAAGAAGAGGCGAAGGAAGAGAGCGATACACTCTACAACGAGAGCACTGGGCAATGGCAACAGATATCGTTGCGGAGAGTCACCGGAGCTTGAACTGCTGGAGCTGGGGATGGGAGTTGAGCCGAAAGTGACCCTGGCATGTGCCGACGCCGAGGCATTCCCGGCATGGGAAAGCCACCTCCACCCCCATTGGGTCCGAACACGGGGTAGCTGCAGGCGGTACGTACTGGATGCAGGTGCACCGTCCAACAGCTTGCGCCTCAGGAACCAGCTAAAAGTACTCAGTACCGAAGTACGAGTGGTGTGTGGCTGAAAATCAATTAAACCCTGTGGCTCAACGCGTCCCTCTTTCCTAACCGCGACGCGTTCTTGCGTGTCGCCCGGCCAATTTCTGAACCCCTGGTCGCATTGATCTCACATTCGATTCTTCCCAGCCCCCCACCCGGCGCCAAATAATCTTCAATCCGATAGCAGCAGAACCACAAAGTCCACACTCCCCGCGGTTGTCGCAGAGACCAAGTAGAGCAACCTCATCATCGCATCGCTGCTGTCGAATACACGATTCGTACCCCAAGACTGAAGGAAACCCCACAGCCGAGATCGCACAGATTCTGTCAAGATGGCGCTCCGTCAATTCAAGGCGCCAGTAGCCTACGAAGCGCAGCAGAGTATGCTCAACCCTTTGATGCTCTTGGCCTCTCCCGCACCGCCATCATGACCGTGCTGACCTGCAATAGATGCACTTGAATCCTTCCTCACAGACTTCAAGGCGTCCCCCGAGCAAACGATTTCGCATGCCCTTGGAAACATCACGATAGACGAGGATGACTTTAGCGACGATGAGGTGATGGAGGATGACGAGACTCGCGGCACCCGTCGCCAGGCCAGGAGTCCACCCGGGCCGAAATACAAGGTTATGATGCAGAACCTGGCAGACCGCAAGATTGATGAGGTCTTGATTGACCTGGACGACTTAGCGAGTGTGAGTTGCACTGGCGCCCCCTATCAAGCCCGCGGACTGGGACTGACTCTCGCAGTTCGAGACATCACTCGGCGATGAACTCCAGCTTGTCCACTCTATCGAAATCAACACGAAACACTACGTTGAGCTGATGTCGAGAGCGGTCGACAAGCTTATGCCTCAACCCAGCGAAGATGTCACGTACGGTTCCCCAGCACCTGTCATACAGGGGCATCATGACTAACAGTGTTGATAGTTTCAAGGATGATGTGCTGGATGTTCTCATGGAGCGGAGAAAGCAGAGAAACGACATCTTGCAGAGGCAGGCTACCGAGCCTGTCGATGGCCAGCTGCCCGACCCAAGCATCGCTGAGGACAAGTTCCCCGCCGAGCTCACTCGCCGATATACCCTCGTCTTCAAGCCCCGATCCGAGACTCCCTCCCACCCCGCCAAGGCGCTTGCCGTGCGAGAGGTCAAGGGCGAGCAATTGGGCCATCTCATTACCATCCGAGCCATTGCCACAAGAGTTTCAGACGTCAAGCCCATCGTACAAGTCAGCGCGTACACTTGCGATCGCTGCGGTTGCGAAATCTTCCAGCCCGTTAACGACAAGTCATACGGCCCCCTGACCGTATGCCCGTCTGAAGACTGTAAGACGAACCAAGCCAAGGGTCAACTGCATCCTTCTTCGAGAGCATCCAAGTTCCTGCCCTTCCAGGAGGCCAAGGTCCAAGAGCTGGCTGAGCAGGTGCCCATCGGCCAGATCCCTAGAACTCTGACCGTACTTTGCTACGGCACCTCTGTTCGCAAGGTGAACCCCGGTGACGTTGTCGACATTTCTGGCATCTTCCTCCCCACGCCCTACACCGGCTTCAAGGCGATGAAGGCCGGCCTCTTGACCGATACCTACGTGGAGGCGCACCATATCGTTCAGCACAAGAAGGCCTACTCTGAGATGATTGTCGACCCCGCTCTGGTTCGTCGCATCGACCAATACAGACAGTCCGGCCAAGTCTACGAGCTCCTCGCCAAGTCCATCGCCCCTGAAATTTTCGGTCATCTCGACGTCAAGAAGGCCCTCCTTCTTCTACTCATTGGTGGTGTGACAAAGGAGGTCAAGGACGGCATGAAGATTCGTGGTGACCTGAACATTTGCCTCATGGGTGACCCTGGTGTGGCCAAGTCGCAGTTGCTCAAGTACATCTCAAAGGTCGCTCCTCGTGGTGTCTACACCTCCGGTCGTGGTTCCAGTGGTGTCGGTCTGACGGCCGCCGTTATGCGAGACCCCGTCACCGATGAGATGGTCCTTGAAGGCGGTGCCCTCGTCCTCGCCGACAACGGTATCTGCTGTATTGATGAATTCGACAAGATGGACGACAATGACCGTACCGCCATCCACGAGGTCATGGAACAGCAGACCATCTCCATCTCCAAGGCCGGCATCTCCACCACCCTCAACGCCCGCACCTCTATCCTCGCCGCCGCTAACCCCATCTACGGCCGCTACAACCCCCGCATCTCCCCCGTCGAGAACATCAACCTTCCTGCCGCCCTCCTCTCCCGTTTCGATATCATCTTCCTCCTCCTCGACTCACCGACCCGCGAATCCGATGCCCAGCTCGCCAAGCACGTCACCTACGTCCACATGCACCAGCGTCACCCAGACATCGGCAACGACTCGGTCGTCTTCTCCCCTCACGAGGTCCGCTCCTACGTCGCTCAAGCCCGCACCTACCGCCCCGTCGTCCCCGCCTCCGTCTCCGAGTACATCGGCAAGACATACGTCCGCATGCGCGGCCAGCAAAAGCGCGCCGAGAAGAAGGGCGAACAATTCACCCACACCACCCCGCGTACCCTCCTCGGTGTCGTCCGTCTCGCGCAGGCCCTCGCCCGCCTGCGCTTCAGCAACGAGGTCACCCACGACGACGTCGATGAAGCCCTGCGCCTCGTCGAGGCCTCCAAGGAGAGTCTCGCTGCCGAGCAGGCCGCCAACGGACGCCAGCGCCTCAACGCCAGCAGCAGGATCTACAACCTCGTCAAAACCCTCGCCGACAGCGGCGCCTGCCGTGCCGACGACGCCGAGGATGACGACGAGGAGCTCGGCGTCGAGCTTAGTCTGCGCAAGGTCAAGGAGCGTGTCATTGCCAAGGGCTTCACTGAGGACCAGTGGCTTGCGGCTTTGGAGGAGTACAATGAGCTTGATGTAAGTTTCTTCCCCACCCGTTGTTACTATCGCACTCATCGATGAACACTACTGACAATTCACAAAATAGGTCTGGCAAACGGCTGGAAATGGTACGAGGCTGGTCTTCATCACCTCCAACGGCGCAGAGAGGGACGAATAAGAATTTCGAGTGGGGATGTGGGAGCAGTAGTCTTGTCGCGCGGCGGTTGCTCCAATCTTGTGTTGTTTTCTCATAGTTTCGCTTCGCAAAAAAGAAGCCCTCGGGACTTGGCGTTTTGGTTCTTACATGATTGAAGAAGAAAGAAGGGGAAGCATTGTTGGCGGAAGTACCCTGAATGGACTGTCCAGTCGTACGAATGAGGAATAAAAATAATGAACCCAGCATCAAATCATCCTTTTGGCAAGTGACCTTACTTGAACTTTGCACAATTGTGACTTTAGCATTGTACGCCTTATTGTAACAGATTGGAATTCCCATGACTTTAGATGACATGGTTGTATAATACAAAATTTTGTTACCCCCCCTTCTACAAGCAGGCATCTCTTGGTACACTAGTACATGTATACACGTTCTCTCTCTACACCTTTTTCTCTCTTCCAAACTCCCCTCTTGGACGGCAGTCCCCTTTAGTACTGCAACACGCGCGAGTTAAGCAAGCTTGCCCGCTCCAACTCGCCGAGCACACCGCCACCAGCAAGAGTCCACTTCTCCGCGACAGACGACTCGTCAATGCGCGCGCGCATGAGGCCGCTGGCAGCCCAGTACTCCATGACGGCGCGGGCCTCTTGGCGGGTGATGCCGCTGACGTCGAGGGTCTCGACACCGCGGACGGCCTCGTAGACGCGGTCGTCGTAGCCCTTGAGGTAGGGATCGGGGGTGGGGACGAACTGGTCCGCGGCGGCGGCGGCGGACTGCGCGAGGGCGAGTTCCATCGAGGGCGAGCGAGGCGCGTTGCTGCGCGAGGTGGCTGCGATGACGGCGCCGCCGTTGGCGAGCGGGGTCTTGCCTGCGAGGGCGTCGGCGAAGAGGCGGACGAGGGTGAGGTCGTGGGCGTGGACGAGGTTGTAGGCCGGGTCGCGGTAGGCCGAGATCTTCATGATGTGGGAGAGACCGTCGAGGGTGACGAGGACGGGGGGGCCCGTGGGGTTGGTGGTGAGTTCGTGCCAGAGGGCCTGGAAGGCGGGCCAGGCGAACTCGGGCTCCTTTGCGGCGGTGGCGATGTCGAGGAGGGTGCCGTCCTTGGGGACGTGGAGGAGCTCGGGGTACTCCTTTGAGATCTTGTACTGCTCCAGGACGGGGCCGCTGGTCTTGACGATGGTCTGTAGGAGGTTGAAGGTGTAGGTGGGCTGGTAGAACTGGAGGGGTTTGGTGTTGGGCACGGGGCTGTAGTCCGCGTTGGAGTTGGTGAGGTCTTGGCCTGATTTACTTGGTTAGTGAGGGACGCTTTCAGTGTTCGTCGGGAAGAGATAATACCTTCGGGGATGTTAATGACAACCCAATTGTTCATCAGCGAGTGAGCCATGGCCTGCAGCAACAGCATGCTCTTTCCTGCAATCTTGCCGCCCGTCAATGCCAATCTCAACGTCTGCTTCTCCTTGACGGCAGCATCCAGCCGGCCCGCAAGCTTGACAGTCTCCTCCCTGACCAGCATATGCGGCCTCCGAAACAAGGCCCAGTTCTGCGTCGTCTTGAACGCCTCGAGCGCCCGGAGCTTATCGACCAGGTTATCCGGCAGGCCGACGACGGACCCCTTGCTCTCCGCCGCGGCGAGCGTCTCGCTGGTGATCTCCTTGAGGCCCTCGACGGCCAGGGCGTTGTTATTGCTCAGCGTGATGCGCTTGCGGAACGCTTTTCTCTCGCCGGGGTTCGGCTTCTTGACCCTGACGTTGTCCCTCTTCTTCTTGGAGTTTTGGTTGATCTTGCCGCGACGGATGTGCTTTCCAATCATCTTGAGGGTGCGCGGGGCGGCGTCGGCCGACGAGGTCGAGAAGGGGGCGGCGCCGGCGACGGCATAGGCGGTGATGACGGGGACGATGCGCTGCGAGAGGAGTCGGGGGGCTGTTGCTGCGGCGGTCGTGGGCCTGGTGAGGCACCGCGCGCAGTTCGCTGCGGAAGCCATTGTGTGTGCGATTGCCGGAGGAACAGGGGAGGAAGAAAAAGGACGCCGGTTTCCTGGATCGATTATCGGTGAGGTGGGTATTCGTTCTGGTTTATGATGATGCCATTCGAATGGGTGCCGGCCAGCGATTCGTTTTCCGTCCGACGCAGCTTTCGCCCTTGGAGTTTGCTGGTTCGTCGTGCGATTGGGAAGCTCTCCCCAAAAAGTTCGATGGTAAATTCTCGGGACGTTAAAGCCACACACCCTGGTAGCACCCAATGACGGGGACCAAGGTGCACCGGCCAATTTGAAACGTTGATTGGCTGCATTAGTAGCCGGCGTGGCGGTGTCAGTTGTTCCGATTCTTATCGCTATCGCCCGTCGAAATTTCCTAAACCCAGCCAGCCAAAGAAAAAAAGTTCTGGAGTATACCACCTTGGTTGCGCAACCGCCGGTACAAGACACCCACGACACTCAACCCATTCGAAAGAGAAAACCCAGCGCAAACCATAGACAGCACCTTAACCCGATTTCGCGACAAGAGAAAACACAATACACACACAAAATGGCGCTCCCCATCTCGCGCCCCAAGCTGCCCGTCGCAGTCAACAAGCCGACGCCCTACAACTTCGACCTAGGCCTGCTCCTGGCCAACGACCCCAACCCCCTCGAGCTCGACAAGTCCGCCATCGAGGACTCCCTCGCCGCCACCGCCCGTGACGGCGCCCAGGCCCTCATCAACCAGCTCCTCACCACCTGCCCCCTCCAGAGCACCCCCGAGGGTGTCCTCCTCTCCCTCCCGGACCCCTCGACGGCCCTCCCGCGCGAGAAGCCCGTGCCGGTCGCCAAGGAGCCCACCAAATGGGAGCGCTTCGCCGCCAAGCGCGGCATCAAGCCCAAGACGCGCGAGCAGCGCCGCAACCTCGTCTTTGACGAGGACACCAAGGAGTGGCGCGCCAAGTGGGGTTACAAGGGCATGAACAAGAAGGGCGAGGACGATTGGCTCGTCGAGGTCGATCCCAAGGAGGAGGCGAAGCGCAAGGAGGGCACCACCTGGCAGGGCGACAAGCGGAGGGAAAGAATGGAGAGGATCAAGCGCAACGAGAGAAAAATGCGAAAGAACCAGCGCGAGGCCGGCGAGAAGCGGGAGAAGCGATGAGGAGAGGGGAAGTGAGAGGAGGCTTTGGGTGCGGAATATGTAATGCTTCGGGTTTTGGCACATGGTTACGGCGTTCATACGGTGGAAAAAATCATTCTCGGCATCTTTTGTCAAATGGAAGAAGGGCATCGGTATCTCAAAAGCTCATGGAAGCACTTTGTGGCCCAAGATTCGGCCCGCTACAACTCACGTTATTACGAGCAATCTAAGTCTTGCTGTGAACTTGTCCTCCGATTTTGTTTTGCAAAAAAGGGGGCATATGACGTAGCTGTCGCCGCGCGAATCCCCTTTTGTCCTACATATAAGAGTCCTATATTGTACAGAGATCCCATCAACCCCTGCAGTCATGTTGTTCGTGGCCCTATGAATCGTCGCCCGTCCCCCATCCAGCATCTTGTGAATGCTCCTCGCTCACCCAATTCCTGTCATGCTACTAAAGACCAAACCACGCTATATCCGCGGCACCTCACCAAAGCAAAAGAAGGAATAAAAAATTAGGTACCCAAACCTAGAGCTACTACTGGTGATGCCACTCTGATGTAGCTCTGGGTGCCAGGAACCTGCATGTCGATGAGAGCTCGGCAAACGCAGTTCCCTGAAAACAGTAAAATCGACGGCTTTTGTGATACGGTTCGATGCCCTGGGGGTATACCAAATAGCATAATGCTGTGTCGCAAATGAAGAGGCACCCGGCCTGTGGTTCAAAGCCATCTGTTCATGCCATGACTTGAGTGACATCCGATATTGGCTTGGCACAGGTCCGGGGCCGGGAGAGACGCTCGGAGGAGGAAGAACGGAAGTCGTCAGTGGCGTGAATGTCGTCAGTGATGTTGTTGATGGTGATGCTGAAGTGTTCCCTATACACACGAGTTCCGCCTGGGTATTCGAGGAAGAAAGAAACTAAAGGATGCTCAAAATGGTGTTTTAGAAGCCGAGTGGTGAAAGAGGTTTGATGGGTGACAAGGGCCGCAAGTCATTCGAGCCCCGCGGCTCGCGGCCGCTGTCAATGGTCAGCGTCGTACCCATCGTCGAGCTGGATGCGACGCTGCCATTTGACTCAGAAAGTTGGAGGGGCTTTTTTTTTAGCCGCCTGTCTTTCTCCTTGGTCTGCTGCTCGGCGACAGCGCTGGACTGCTTACTGCTTTCCGCCGAAGACGACCCCGCCCTGTCGTCCAATGTGGTAGGGATGGGTTCTTCCTGTGCTGCAGGTGCTGCTGGCTCCTCGCTCGTCTCACGAGAGGGCTTGCGCGGTTCCGAGAGGCCTTTTGGGGGCGGCTGGTCGAAAAGTTGATATTCCTGTTCAATAAACTTTGCCTCATTCTTGCAGCCCTTCCAGCAGTCGCGCCAGTCACAAACCAAGAATCTGAAACAGAACGCGTCAATCTTCATGCATGGTTGGAAGCAAATGCAGAGATTCCTGAAGTCCATTTTGTTCTTGTCGGAGTGCGCCAGTAGCAAACTGAGGTGGCAGGTGATTGCGAAGAGGAGGTAGTAGTTGAACGGCGAGAGGTTCGACAGCTCTTCAATCAAGAGTGGGGGTACAGTTTCGTAGCCGGCGCATTCTCTCGCAACTCGCTCCTGAGCTGCCTTGGGAAATAGTTCGTCGGGAAGCTCTCTGAGCCAAGCCTTGAGCATGGAGCCTATAATGTTAATGTCGTAGAGATCCGGCTGCTCGAAGAGGTTTACATCGTACTCTAGAGAGAAAGGGTAAGCTAGTCGCCAACTTTGCGTGGGCATGTGTGATGAACGAACCTTCGTCAAACTTCCTCTGCCACTTCTTGATCTGCGGACCGCTGCCAGGCACACGGTACAAGCCTTCTACATCGCAGCCCTTGTAGTTCAAGTAGTCGATCGCGCGCCACGGGAATGCTGGCATCCAAAACTCCGTCTTGTCTCTTGAGTCCTCCAAGCGCTTCGAGATGCGTGTGCGACGCGTCTGTTCGACGAGAGGCAGGTTGATTGTCCTGAGCGTATAGTGCTCGTCGTCAATAACAGGCTCCCTCTCCGTCGTGCTTCCACTGCGGCCACCCTTGCCAAATAACCGGTTGCTAATGATGTCTCTGCCGCTCTTCAGTCCTCCGAAAAAGCCACCATTCTGCGAAGACGAGTTTTGCCGAGGGTGGTGATCCTTTTCCCTGTGGTTGTCCTTGTGGCTCATTTCCCGGGGCGACGCGCGGTCTTCCGAGCGATTCCGCCCGGTAGAGTTCACCATTTCTCTGGCAAACCTGTCGGGCCCAGTGTTGGTGTTGTTGAGCGAATGGTTACGACTTGTCGAGGTATGCGACGGTTCGGGTTCGACGATCGTTACTGGCACCGGGCTGGGTTGCTTGTCTCGAGAGCTTGAGCCGTCCTTGTCGCGAAGCGACTTGCTGCGGCTCAGAAGACCAAATGGCTTCGATTTGGACTTCTTGGACGAGGAGGGCTGGGCGGGAGAGTTATCGTAGTCGGCAGCAGAGGCTAAAGACACGTCGGAGCAGGACGGCAGGGTGGGTGCGGGCTTTTGGACGGAGTGCTCAGCATAGGACGGATCTGCTGGTGAAATGGCATACGGGTCAGCGACTGAAGAAATGGTCTCACGATAGGCGAAACGGGGGATGGATCAGGTAGTGGGCCCTGGCTGCACAGGCAGTGGACACTGCGGTCTCAAGCAGGAAAGTTATCCTCGTACCTAAAGGTTGGGTGGGTTGGCTGCTCATGGGAGGAGCATTGTCGGGGCCCCTCGACATACTTTCGCCTCTCGAGTCAGGGTACTGGATCGGGCTCTGTTGGTGTTGCTGGTGCTGGCGCTGAGGGTGTGAGGGTGACTGCGAGGGGGAGACGAGAGAATGGGACGATTTGTTGGCAGACTTTGTGAAATTGAAGAAGAAGCCGGCGGCCTTGGAGGGTCTTCGGGTTGGCTCGTCGGGGCGGTGCTGTTGTTGACGATGGCTGATGGGGTTGTGCTGATGATGCTGGCGAGGGGGCGTGTCTTCGGAGGCGCGGTGGAGGGCGGAGGAGATGGGTTGATACTGCTCGAGGTCGTCGTCGTCGTCTTCTTGATCTTGAAAGTTTCGATGCTCGTCGGTCAACTGAAGAGACTGCTTGCCACTGGCGCTGGGCCTTTTCGGAGTGAACCTAAAGGGAGAGCGCGGAGATCTGGGAGAGGATTGCGATTTAGAGCCAGCGCTTGGAGGAACGGCAGAGGCGAGGGTTTCAGCAGAGCGCGGCACGTCTTCAGGCTGATCGGAGGCAGCTTGAGATTCAGACAGCGTCAGCGGCTGTGGTGCATGCTTCCGGCCGCCCATGGTAGGAAATTAATGTGCCTCGCCCTTAGTTTTCCCCGGGTAGCTGAGTGGAATAGGAGATTTTGGGGGCCCGGTCAAGGATGATACCCAGAGGGCGCGGCGACACAGACAAGGCGTTGGTGGGCGGGCGGCGGCGGCGGTGATGGGTGAGGTGATGGCAGAGAGGCAGCGCAGGAGCTCCTCAATCAGGTCAGGGCCACCCAGCTTGGGGATCCGTACGGTACGAATCCAACAGCCCAGGGTAAATAAGGTGGTGTATCCGTAAGGTGAGGTGGATGAGGTGAGGCACTCTCCAGAGAGACACCAGGCCTGCATGGGCTACCTCAGGGCTCAAGCTGTACGAAGTAGTGGTATCCGTAAGGTAGAGAGACTGTGTGTATGTACTGGTGCGGCGAGGAGAGAGAGCAGTGCGACGGGGAGACACAGACACACAGGGCACAGGACAGGATCAGAATCAGGATCGGGATGGGATGGGATAGGTTGAGATGGGATGGGCCCAGAAACGGTCCCTATCCTGATTCGTTCTCTGCCGCAGGAGGGCCAGTTGTTTCGGTGCGCACACTGGGACCAGACGGATCACGCATCTGTCGGGTATATAAGGAGGTGGAAGGGGAGGGGGGGGTAAACCGTAACGGGCCAGATGGAGCAGACAGGCTAAGGGAAGCTGTAGTGGGCGATTGAGGGAACAGAGATCACCTAACCTAACCTGACATAAGGTGCGGGTGATGGATGTGTGCAATGTCGAGAGGAAGAGGGTGATGAAGGGTGAGAGAGTAACTTAGTGTGAGTGAAATGATTGAGTGAATAAGTGAATGAAAGGAGGAGTTGGGATGGTACCTGAGAGAGGGTGTATGAGAGTAAAGGTAGGGTAGGAAAGAAGGGGGGGATAGCTAGGTAGGTGACCAAAGAGTAAGGTAAGGTAAGGTACAACACAAGGCCCCTTGAGATAAGTACAGTATCGCTGTTTTTTGAAGGGCGTTGGAGTAAGGTGAAAGCAGGCGTTGGAGACGCCGGGCGTGTAAAAGGAGGCTGATGCAACTATGGGATGGGCGTTGTAAGTTGGGGACGATTGAACCAAAGATGCGGGCTTTGGCTTGACTTGTTTCTGGGTTGTTCCCTATTGTATTTCTGTGCAAGAACAGCCAGGTGACTGAAAAGGGTTGGATGTGAAGGAAGTTTCAATTATTATTGAACATCAACAACGAGCAGAATAACTGTGAGGGGGAGGGGGCCAGGAGAGCATCGAACAAGAAAGAAAGAAAGAAAGAAAGAAAGAAACAGAAGAGAAATACAATAGCCAAGGCTTGATGGTACAAAGTTGCACTACGTACTCCGTACCTACCTACGGATACAGAGAGAAGTACCTACCATGCCTTAGGGAGAGCAAGGCCTGTCTATGTCCGTGCCTGTACCTGGAACCGGGAGCCAAGCACACGATCTGTAAGGTACAGCTACATGGGGTGGAGGAGACCCTACCAACCTCAGAGGGAAGGCAGGCGCTTGCTTTCGTCGAGTTCCTGCAAAAAAGAGAGGAGAGACTGTGGAGTCACCAGCTGTTACCTCAGACAGTGGTGAGAGACGTCCGAAAAGAGGCGTATTTCCGTTGGTTCTGAGTGGATGGAAGATGAGTAAGAGGGGACTCGGGAAATCTGTCACTGGCAGGAAGGAGCCATGGCCCGGTGTGGATCCGACCCTGAACGGGAGGAAGGCAGGAAGGGGCCGGGGGGTGGTGGTGGTGGTGACAGGCATCGCCATCGACACCACCCGGAGCTTGGAGGAAAGAATGGGGGGGCACAACGCGGCATGACAGGGAGAGAAGGCACTCCGGTCGCAATTGCCAATTGGTCTGTTGGTGCCAATCCCGACAGGCACCGGGTGAGAACGTTGGGCAGGCCGCTGTGGGGGCCTTGGGGGCGCACCCAGGCTTAGCGGCCTCGGGCTGTGCTGAATGAGCTGTCGGGTCTCTCTGTCTCTCTCTCTCCCAATGACGGCGCATCACACTTCATTTGCGGCTTGCCTTGCTCCAATTGAGCACTACCTTAACATCATTTGCTGTATTAGCCACCACCTCGTGCTGGCCTCACGCTACCTTACCTTACCTTATCCAACACGACATATCGGAATACCCTCATCTTGTTGTTCAACTCTCTTTAATTACCATGTCAGGCTCTTCGACTCTTCGACTCTTCGTACGGTGTCACGCGTGCGTGTCTTCCCTGGCGCATTGGTGCTGTAAAGTGCCGGTCAGGCCTCAATGCGGCTCTGGCGATTGAATCCGATACATTCTCCAATCTGCCTCCTTGTTCGATCCATTCTCCCTCGTCACTGCAATTACCTCAAGCGGTCTTCTACCCACCAAAGACGTCCGAAGAGCCGTGGCTGCTTGCGGCCTAGTTGCGTCAACAGCCTTAGTCGACCGACAACGAACAAGGTCAACGGCTTGCCGCTTGCCAGTCTCATCCGCCAGTCGCTGCGCACAGATCGGGGTCCGGTCCTCCTGTAGTGTCGATTCGGGCAGCGCACGTCTGTTTGACATTGACATTGCTCAAGCTATTGGGAAGCCATACCTGCCAAGCACTATTCTGGACGAGCCGTCTTGGGTCGCAGAGTCAACCATGCCCGCCTCACCACCAGGTCAGCATTACAAGCGCCTTCTTTGAACTGGCGACGACCACCAGGCCATTCTTCAATGGTGACTTCCATTCCAGCCTGGGCGCATTGTTTGTGCCGAAAAGGAAAACACCCCAAACATATCGATGGTCTTCTCATCCGTGTCACGATTCGTATTCGCAAGCGGCATACTTAGACTCAGCACCCGACATGGCCTAGGCCAATAGAGTAGAGTTATTCCGATGGCGATGACCGCGTCTCTCCTTTTTTACAAGCTTATGTACGGATGCTGAGCTGTAAGGAATGTCGTTAGGAGTCGGCTCCGTCGGTGCTCCATGCCAAGGCATTGAACGAATGCCCTACACAACTCGACATTGCCTGTTGGACTACCAGGCGGCAAACCTCTTGAAACACAATTGATTCTAGGATTGCCACGTTTTGTATCGCCTGGAATGTGAGCAGCGCCAGGGGTGCTTACTGCTTGCAGCTGCCCATGTAAGCTTTAAGCGTTGCGTTACCTCATGACACAACTTCCGGACACCCCTTGGAAACGGCGGTCTCTTCAGTCGTCTATCTCGGGATACGTTGATTGGCAATACCAAGACGGTCAGTGACTCCGCAGCATTGCGGCCGTCTGTGGTCCCGTCGCTCGGGCATCAAGCTGTGCGCCGCTATATGTCGTGGTGACGGCACCTCCGAACTCCGATAGGCGCTGCGCAAGTTCAGGTGACTGGCCACGAGCGGATTACCTCAAAGGTGAAGGGAGGGATGAGGGCTGAAGCAGCCCGTCATATGGAGCACGACGTGTCAGAACACTACACTTGCAAGACGAGGCTAGGCGTTGCCGACAGAAAACGGAGCAACAGACTGATCTGGCATGATGTGACAAGTCGCGACGCAGCCAGCACGCTACCGATGCACTCTGTGCGGTTATTCTGCACGTTCAGACCCTTCCAGAGTGTTTGGAAGCCCGAGTCGAAGATCCCCTTGCTCCGTCCAACGACGAGCTCGGTTCGACTCGCTCAACTTGTCTCCCTGGCCCGACAAGAAGAGAAGCTTGCCGACTGCCCACTGATCTGACGGCAAGGAGTCGCGCTACTGCACGCCCATCTGCAAAGCACAGGCAAAACGAAGCCATCTAGCATATCATCGCCTCCCAAGTCGTAAGCCTCGGACTGGTTGGCAACCAACCAACGTGCTTATCCTGGCTTTCGTTTCGAACCGAGCACGTCAAGCGTTGCCGCAACGTGCCGGCTCAAGCCTTATCTCACAGGATTGTGCCGAAAACGTGCATTCTCTTTGGTCAGAGGGCTATTTTTGAGCAAAGTTATCCAAGGGGACGAGACGACGGGTCATGGCGCAGAAGAGGTAGAAACTCTGCCGAACTATATGCTGGAGCTGTCGTCATTCTCACTTGTACCAAGTCCCGAACTGTCCATGAAGATGTTCAGAAAGGCGCCACCACTGGACTCATCACTTGTCGTCCGCGATGAGAGCGTTGAGTTCCCTCAAGTATGCAATCGGCATCGCAGCGCTTATGATTACCCATTTGTCGAGAAGGAAAGCATTTCCAAGTTATGAAGTAAGATCCCTATCTCAGCCAGCACTACGGAGTAGGCATTGGTCGCTATATGCTTGTCGTGGAGAAGTTGCCTCGGCATCAATAGTCGAAGATGGTTGAAGTTGCTTACATTCGATACCAGGTATCTACAGATCCAGTCATCCACTGTGTTTTGGCTGAAGTTCGAAAATTCCGCATCACTACAATCAACTCACAGCCCACGGCATGTCGTCAACGGTCATCTGCCTTGCGAGTGTACAGCGGGTTCGTTAGCTGATTAGACATCCCGTCTACTCCGTACAATGAGAGTTACCCACTTGCCGCGGCGATCTTCCTCGGGTATGGGTTGATATTGTCAAGCCCAGTCAAGACTACAGCTTGCGCTTCACAGAGCAGCTTGACGACTGTTACATCAGTACATCAGCTCTGGAATTATTGACGAGTTTCCCTGGGCCATGTCATGGAAGAACACCCACAGCACTCTGCATTCGGGGTACTTGATTTCTATCAATGGCGCCAAGATCCGCACAGGGTCAATTCTCGATGTCAACAGCCTCGGTCCGAGAAGAGCTTAGTTCAGGCACACAACCGATCACTCTGAAACTCGGTAGTGTTTCTTCGACAAACGCTGGGAAAAGCCCCGCAAGGTGTGGGTACAACGTGTAAATGTCAACAACGCCCCGAACGGTGTCCGGACGGAAGAGACCCAGAAAAGAGGGTTGGTACGCGCACATGGCAGCGTGGCAGCGTGGCTTCGCCTCTGGTGCTGCTGGCTCCTGGCCTGGGCCGCCTGGCACAACCTGAATGATGGATCCCGCTGTCAATACGGATATGGAAATGGCACGTATCCGTAAGGTAGGTACTGTGTATGCCTGCGGAGGAGGCGGCCCGTCTTTAGAGTCTGGATGCGCAGATTCGGGCCCAACACAGCGCTTCTTCTTACTCGGGAGAGAGCTAGCTTCTGGCCCACGCCATCTCAAAAGCGAGGAGGGTGCCCGATATGTCATAGTTCGCACGGCTGGCATGAGGTTATTCGCAGGATCAAGCCTGCATCGATCTTCTTCTCACTGCCCATTTTGCCCCGCCCTCCTTCTTGCCTTTCTACTGTGTACAGTAACCCTTCTGAGCAGCCTTGGAGACCCCATCTCTACTTGCGATACTTTGATGATGGGTCTTGCGTAATCCTCATCCACCGGGGATGAGATCAGGCCAAAGAGCGGGTTTTTAATCCTTCCTTGTCGTCGATCCCAAAACCTAAAGTACTTTCCCGCCATCTGGCTACCTATCCGGGACAACTACAAGATCAAACGTTTATTGGTCGGCAAGGTTCTGCGAAATGAGTTTCCGCGCCGCTATCAATAGCCGTACCAAGCATTATCCTCCTCATCTTGACGGAGGTAGTTACTTGTAGTCCGGTTAGATAGGGCTGTTGTAAATGAGGTCAGAAAGAAGATGGGCTTATGGCAAACGATCAGATCTGGTCGCGCTGCTTTGGGTCCCATGATTCCGTATCATAGAAGTTTGGTCTATTGCCCGGAACACAACCCAGTCCTATTGAGTGACCCCAGGACTAAGATGAGCTAGGTTCTGCCCTCCGCCATATACTGGGTTTCTACAACGTTCAACTCCAGTGATTGGTTTGGCATTTTAGCTGGCAGTTCAAGTGATGCCGTATCACCGCCTACAGTGAGCGACGCTATCACCAAGTATCAAGGCGACTAGAAGTTTCCGGGCAATTAAGACGTCGCGGACGTCACCTTCGGCTCCGTTGAGCATGGGGCGTGGGTTACACACCTCGGTGAGGCCACCCCACACTTCACGGGCCGGCAGTCGGCGGAACCCTGCGCACCGGCCCTGACCTTCATTACCTAAGCGGACAACCTCACCTCATCCATCCTCTCACGCCAGCCTAGGGTATTACTGAAAAGACCAAGTTCGGCTTTAATTCTTCATAAGTCTTTTCTGATTCTTCCTCGGCTAGGAATACCCGGAATCAAGTACTACAAAAGTGGGAAACCCCCAAACTAAAAAAAGAAGTGGCGGCGTCATGGCGGCCCAATTCGAGAATCTGCCAGACGAGCTCAAGCTCGCGACGGCGGCGCACGTGAAATACGTCCAGAGCCTGGATACCCGCAAAGACGAGTACGACTACTGGCTGACAGAACACCTGCGCCTCAACGGCCTCTACTGGGGCCTGGTCGCGCTGCACCTGCTCGGCCATCCGGAAGCTCTCCCGCGCGCCGAGACGATTGATTTCGTGCTCTCGTGCCAGCATAAGAGCGGCGGGTTCGGGGCCGCGCCGGGCCATGACGCACATATGTTGTACACTGTTAGTGCTGTGCAGATTTTGGTCATGATTGATGCGCTGGATGAGTTGGAGGTGAGGGGGAAGGGGAAGGCGCGGGTTGGCAAGTGTAAGTTCATTACATCACACACCCTCCTCTCTCGTTACGATGTTAACATGGTCGTCTCAAGTCATTGCGGATCTCCAGAACCGTGAAAGCGGTACCTTTGCGGGAGACGAATGGGGCGAGGAAGACACGCGTTTTCTTTATGGCGCGTTCAACGCCCTCTCCCTCTTGGGCCTGCTCTCCCTCGTAGACGTCGACAAGGCCGTCGCGCACATTGTCGCCTGCACCAATTTCGACGGCGGGTACGGCGTCAGTCCCGGCGACGAGTCGCACTCGGGCCAAATCTTCACGTGCGTGGCGGCGCTCGCCATCGCGGGGCGTCTGGACCTCGTCGAGGCGGATAAGTTGGGCCGGTGGCTTAGCGAGCGGCAGGTTGCTGGCGGGGGGTTGAATGGCAGGCCGGAGAAGGACGAGGATGTGTGTTATAGTTGGTGGGTGCTGAGTAGTCTCGAGATTATCGGGCGGACGCACTGGATTGATCGGGGGAAGCTTGTTGCGTTTATTTTGCGGTGTCAGGATCAGGAGTTGGGGGGCATCTCGGATCGGCCTGGGAATACGGTCGATGTGTGGCATACGTGCTTTGGGATGACGGGGTTGAGTTTGCTGGGGTATCCGGGGACGGTGGAGGTTGATCCGGTGTATTGTATGCCGAAGCCAATTGTTGATCGGGTGTTGGGGAGGAAGTCGTCATGAGCTGTTGAGAGGGATATAGGCTTTTTGCTCGACTGGATGGGGGGGATACGGTTGAAGGCAGACGTCTGGTTGTCGATATACGCGTTCACGTCCGTGGCTTACAGACTTGTGGCCTGCGACGGGAGTAGAGATATGAGGATGCAGAGCGAGAGCGAAGCAAACAGGATTGGCTTCTTCATAGGCTGCGTCGTCTCACTCACGACTCGCTTTGAGATGATTACTTGGGACACTTTGAAGGCTTCAGATACCCGTGAGAACAACTTAATGATAAATGAAGTAATCCATCATCAGCTTTTAGATTGCAGCCGGATTCTGTCCTGTAACATACATATCGTTCTTTCTTGGAGTCATTTACGTTACCATTCTGTCCATACTGCTCGAGTTCACGCATTCTAGTGCCTGGTCAATTAGCTGCTGCGCCTGTGAAGCTATTATCCTCTCACTTTAAATACTTCAAACAACGCATTTTATCCTGGTCTACTGTCATCAGACATCTAGTTTTATGTCGCCAAAACCCGGCGCACGAAAATCGAACTTGTGCTCCCGGGGTGCTTGATTGGCTCACCACCCAGCCACCCACTGCGGCCTCATCTCGAACCCGCATAGAAAACATCTTCACACCGCCCGCCCCTCATCTCATATCCTCTTTCGGCATCAAACCACCCAGTCACGTGCCTCGCGGTCGGTGTAGGCTTAGCGTCTCCGTGATGCTGCCCTCCACCACGGGAGACCGCCCACCCGCTCACCGAGCGGTCCCACCACACGCGCCTCCCTTTCTCGTCTCGCACACTTCGCCCTCCACGACCATCACAACAAACCCAACTTCTTCCTCCATACCGTCGGAAGTCTAGATATCTTCAACCGCTTGGAGGTTCCATCCACCAACACACCAACTCTTGGACTTTGATCGTCTCATTCGGTCGCCTGTCCGGGCTTTTGTCTCTGCTTCGAATACCATCCTGTCCCAACACCTCCACCTCTCTCGAATTACACCCGTCTGTACAACACCGTCGCATTTGTATCTCTCTTCTCGGTCCGGATTCGTCTGTACGGTCATCATCAGATCGCCTTCACTGTCGCAAAACACACCACCAAGCACTGCTTTCAGGACAAACATCCCCATCCTCCTCCGCTATCCACTAGGGGATTTCAGCAATTCACAGATTCGCATCGACAAGAGACACTTGGAATACTTGTTTCTACTCCAACGCCCTTTTACCAGGAAGTTCAGGAACTAGGTACGTGGTGTTGTTTATTTTCACGTCAAAATCATCACCAAACACCTTCTTTGGCTTCATTTTCCACATTTTCATCTTTGTGTCTTCTTCGTCCAATGCTTTTCAGATTGGTCCTTTTCTTTCGTCTCCTTCTGCTATAAACTTCCGTCCTTTGTCTTGATATCACTGTTCCTGTCACACTGGGTGAATCTCGTCATCGAGTCCCATTTTCGTTTCTGTCTACACTTCATCGAGTGAGCGTTTTCATCGCACTGCCCATTTCGTCACAACCTTTCATTTCTGAGATGCCCCGTCTGAATAAGACTCTCATCGCAACTATTCAGTGCTATCACTCGTCCTTACTTGCCCTTTCCGGCTCTACCTTTGAACATTGGAAGATTCTTCAAGTGGGTGAGATTGTATGTTCTCAGTGGTACGTTCAGACGTTCTTGCAAGTGCAAGTGCTGGAACCATACTATCTGGTTCTCTCCTTATGTCAAATCACAAGAGGCGAGAGCTACTCTGAAGTGTGCTCCTGACCTGGCCCCTTTTTTAAACACAGGGATAGCAAGTGCTCATCTCTGTTCCCACCATGAAAGCTCTGTTTGATTCAGGTGGCTCCCGCCAATCCTGTTCATTCTGGAATGGCGAGAACTAGTCTCTGGTCTTGCCAGCCTTCTTCAAGTTGAGACGGCGGGAGCCAGCGTCTGATCTCGCCAGTTTTGTTCAAGTTTGGACGGCGAGAGCTAGTCACTGATCCTGCTTGACAAGAGACGGCGAGAGCTAGTCTCTGATCCTGCCAGCCTTGTTTGACTTGAGACGGCGAGCGCTATCCTCTGATCTCGCCATTCTTACTGGACATGAGACGGCGAGAGCTGCTCTCTGCTCTCGCCAGTTCTGTCAACTTACAATGGCGAGAACCAGCCTCTACTCCCGCCGGCTCTGCTCTCGCCCTCTTGGTCCTACTGCTGAGGGAGGGCAACAGCCCTGGGCTCTTTGTACCCGCTCCAGTCTCTTCTTTTCTCTTTTTTCTAGACTGGAACTCAAACTCTTCTTCCTTTCCTCTACAACCACATCAACAGTCTTGGCCTACTCATACTTACTTTTCATTACAGAAGCAATCTAGTTCCTTGGATTGGCGATATAATCTATCAGCCAGCGCAGCAATTCAGAAACATACGCGATTCTTCTCAGAGAGTCTTTTGGCGGTTTTCAGGACACTCGGTGAGCCATTCCCTCGACAATCACAAGTTTTTCGAGAGAAGCCCTTACTAACGTAGCCAATCTATCAGTACAGAAAAAGACACAAGATATCCCATCTCTTATCTGTGGTTTTCAGCATTAACAGCTGATCTCTCAACTTGACCTCAATCCGTGGTACTTTGGTAAGCCATTCACCTTCTTCCAGTGAGTGAGGCTCGTCTGTTGCGACACGGCCGGGGTTGCCAATCGAACGGGGGTCCAAGCATCGAATTGCCGCCGTTCTCCCGGGCCAATGGCCAGATGGTCGGCGACGACATGTTCAGGCCGGGGGCTTTGGGGCCCGAATCGCCGGCGCCTTCCTCAGAATGACATTGCCCCTTTCCGTCAGGTGACAAGACTAGGACTTGCCTCTGCTCGTTCCACAGGTTTTCCAGCTGTTGGGAAAGAGCTCATATCACAGCTTCCTGCATTCCCGAAGACTCTGTCACTGACGAACGCATGTCCAGGAAAGAGTACCAGAACCTCGAGAACCACCTCTTGCCGCATTTCGATCTCATATCGGCGTACCTTCTCCGTTCATTTTGGGACGGCAAGCTTGTTGTTACTATGGATAACATCATTCTTCCCGTCTTTCCGAAATGGCTCCCAGACGTCAGGCAGCTCTTGCTGCGGAAGCCGTGAGTACATCCCTTCTCCTATCTGGAATCTATGTCCACCCCCCAGGCTGGCACAAGAGTCGTTGTCGATACATCCGTTCTTTCGTCGGATACCCCCAAACATCGACATTCCTCCTCCCATCACAGCCACCCTTTTCTTCCATTGCCACCTCCCATTTGCCTTGAGCATTTCGACTTCACTCTTTGGCTTTCATTGCTGGGTGCTGCCCTCCCTCTGTCTGCTGTTATTCGGAATATCTGTCGTTCTCTTCCTCCCCTCGTTTTGTGTTTTGGTTACTACGAGCAGACAAGCCTGTCTTCCATCCCATTCGCTCTATTTCAGACCATGGAAAGACGGCTAGTCAGTAACGACTGGCTCCATGCATTGAATTGGGGCTGCAAATGCTGACTCTGGGTAGAACATGGCCGCCGTTGCAGCCCACGAGGCCGACGATGTCACCCCGGTCAAGATGCTTAAAGCATCCAAGACCAAGCAACTCAAGCCTATCAAGATCGAGAAGTCGTCCACTGTCAAAACCAGTGGCAAAGCCTCTGGCTCCAAGGACCCATCCGATGACCCTAAGCCCTCGGGCAGTCCTCGAATTCCCCTCGTCTGCATTGTCTGCCCGAGCACCCCGCGCTTCTCCGACCTCTCCCATCTTCTGACCCACCTCAGTTCCAAGGGCCACCTTCAGACCCAGAACGATGTGAGAATCCGCTCCAATGATGACCTTGCCGCCTCGGAGGCAATCACCACCTACGATAAGTGGTACAAGGACTATGGTATCGAGCGTATGCTTGCAGAGCGTCTCAAGGCCAAGGATGAGAAGGCGAGAGGTATCTCGCGACCTGGACAGCAAACTTCTCAGGTAGGCTACCTTTTGAGCAAATGTTTTTTCATGCGCTGACTGTAACAGACCCTCAAGAGAAAGAAGGCTCGTTCGATCCTTGTCAAGCGTGAGGCTGATGACTCGATGTTCACGCCTCCTCCCACTGGTCGGCTCCTTGGCCAGCAGCAGGCCATCACGTACTATGGCGACAATGACGATGTCTCGGCTTCGATTCCCACCGATAACTCCACTGAGTGGAGCCCCGATGACTTGGAGTCTGCCAGACTCAAGGGAACCGTCTGGCCGGGCATGGGTATCTTTGATGCCGCCACCCCTGACCAGAAGAAGCAGCGCAACCAGCGCAAGGACGCCTCTGTGCTTCGCAAGATGGAGCTTTCGTCTCAGGCAATCACCACCATGGAGATGGTGGCCAATCTGGACTTGGAGTTCGAGAGAACTCGTGATGTCTACGACGCACCTTCCGTCGAGGGAACTCCGGTTAGTTTAATCATCCGCTATTTGGCAAAGAAGCAATCCACTAATCACCCTGATCACTCAAACAGGCCGTCAAGAAGTCCAGACGTCGTCAGAGACGTAGCGGTGCCGCAGAGGAGGATGACAACGCCTCGGGCATTGTTGTCAAGGAGGAGCCCGCTGACGAAGCCGCTCATCGTGCATCTTCTGCTCTGGCTATGCAGATCCAGAATGGTCTCTACAAGCAGGAGGAAGTTTCCGAGCTCGACAACGAGTCCCTCTCGGAGAAGTTCGATGTCACGAGCGACATCGCTAGCACCGCCGACGGTGACAGTGATGCTCTCGGCTACGTTGGAGGCGATGTGGAGCTTGACGAGTCTCTCAACGATGGAGAGCTAGGCTTGGGCCAGCATCCTTCCCACAAGTACTTCACCACCGTTCCTGGTCGGGGTGCCGATGTGTTCCAAGGTGGCAGCGCTGCCGGTAAGTTCCCGTACTACATCCGTCCTCCTGCCCACCCACTGACTCCGTTACAGGCACCAAGGCTTCGACTGCGGTCAAGGATGAGCCTAGGTCCATCCCCAATAACCCTCATCATGTTAGTAATGTTGTGTGTATTAACCCCTATGTGCGCAGATTCGATGTCCGCAATCGTATACCCCTCCGGTCGATGAACGCGAACTCGAATCTGAGCATGGCCTCCCCTACTCCGGCTGCGAAGCAACTTCCACGTCGAATGTTCAAAGGAAAGGAGAATAACAATGATGTACAGGAACACAAGATGGCAAGCGGTGACTTGTATGGTGTCAACAACACTCACTTGAACCAGGCCGGAATGTCCAATGCCATCACATTCGACCCCAACCTCTACCAGGCATACCCGATGCCTGACATGTACCAGTTCAACCAGCTCTGGGGTAACCCGATGATGCGCCCCGCCCACCATGGATTCAACCCCATCAATGCCAACCACAACCATCAGCATATGATGTTTTCTCAGCAGATGCCCATGCCGAACACATTCCCCACCGGCCACCATGACCACGCTCAGGGCTCGGGCGTGTACCAGAATGGACATGGGGCCTAGTTGCGCAACTCGATGACATTCCCGCTGGCGGCATGGGTTCATCACAAGCCACCATGGCGGGAACGTTGGGTATGCGGATCTGGGGGTTCGAAAGACTCTTCATCTGGGATTCGTTCTTTCACTTCTTTCTTTTCAAGTATGTCTGACTTTCTGGCGAAGGCGGAGTTGAGCAGTGCTGATACAATACAGTTGTTCGAGTAGATACGCAATCTTCACTTGCGTCCCGTTCTATCACCAGACCTCTTCGGGCTCAGGGCGACGTGTGGTGAGCTTTCCTCTGGGAACGACTAGGCTTGCTTGCGAAGCCTCGCTCAAAAGCGTCGGGGCGGAACACGGGGTAGTTGAGAGGGCGAGAATAGGACACATGCTGCTAGGCTTGCTTGATACTTGCAAGCAAGGAATCATGGGGAATGTGGTGGAACATTCATACGCTGTGGCACTGCAGAGAGCCCCGCTAGGTTTCTAGAACTTTACCCATCGACTTTTTTGTTTCGGGAGGCATAGGAGGCTATAGATAGCGCAGTTTTCGGTCTTTCGCAGTCATACCGCGTCAACTAGGGACGGGAGACGCACTTTCGAGAAATAACACAAGGATTCATAGTACAGATGTTTTATTTGAATTGTCCGTGATACGTTTTGACTACAATTGCTCAATGTTTGAGATCAAATGATCAAGCTGGTCGGGATTCGTCTCCAACACTTCGGCAAGAAGATGAGCGGTGCCTCTTAGTCTCCGGACTTTTACGCCCTGCTCCATCTCGCGCGACCTCTGCGAGGCGACATCAATGACCTCGCGGGGTATACGAGCCAGACGAGCCACATTCAGTCCATATGACCTGTGCGCAACACCTTCGCCAACTTCGTACAAGAACGTAATCTCATCATCGGCACCCGCGTCATCATCCCCATGGACGTCGCCTTCCTCCGCTCCGGCCCCGGTACCGGCTTTACGGGTGGCGGTGAAACGCATGTGGACGTTCTTGACGAGGCCTTCGCCGATTCCCTCGGCCAGGCGGGCGAGGTTCTGGTAGTGCGTGATGAAGAGGGTGAGACACCTATTCTCGCGAACGACGTGGTCGAGGACGGCGTGGGCGATGGCGGCACCGTCGTGGGTTGAAGTTCCTCTGCCTAGTTCGTCTAGGATGACGAGGGAGCGCGGGGTGGCGGCGCGGAGGATCCGGGCTGTTTCCGAGACCTCGACCATGAAGGTTGATTCGCCGGCGGCGAGGTTGTCGCGGGCACCCATGCGGACGTGGATTGCGTCTGTGAGGGTCAGGGAGAGAGCGTCGGCGGGGACAAAGGAGCCTATTTGGGCTAGGAGGACGAGGAGGGCGACGGCACGGACGAAGGAGGATTTGCCGCCCATATTGGGGCCTGTGATGAGGTGGGCTAACGGGGAAGGGGAGGAGAGGGTTGTGGTGAAGGGGATGTATGGGTCTGAGAGGGTGTGTTCTGCGATGGGGTGGCGGCCTTGGGCGATGGAGATTGTGGGTTTGTTCGTGGTGGAGGGGAGGAAGGTTGGCTTGCTGTAGCCCGGGAGGGCGGCGACGCGGGAGAGGGAGAGGAGGCAGTCGAGGGTGGCGAGGGAGGAGACGGCGTCGCGGAGGGGTTGGTAGGCGTCTGCGATTGTGCGGAGGAGGCCGGAGAAGGCGGCGTCGCAGGCGGCGGCGAGGGCCTCGCGGTGCTGGTCGCGCTCGGCGATGAGGCGGACGACGGCGGGGGTGTGGAAGCGGGAGAGCTTCTTTGTGCCCGAGATTTTGATCCACGAGGCCGGGACGGACTTGAGGTCCGTGTTGGGCACCTCGATGAGGAACTCGATGCACGAGACGGTGACGTAGTCGACGGGTTTCTTACGTTTGAGCGAGGCGGCGGCGTCGGCGCGGTGCTCGTCGAGGGATTGTTCGACCGAGACGATGCCCATTTTGTGGTCTTCAATGTCTTCGGTCTGTTCTGATTCGCGGAAGAAGTTGTACTTGTCGTCTTTGCGGGCGGCCTCGGGGTTGATCTTCTCGAGGTGGGAGACGACGAGATCGAGGATCTGGGGGAGTGAGAGGACGGCGGAGGCGATGAGTGGGGAGGTAAAGCCTGTTTCCTCGGCGGTTTTGACGGTTGGATATTGCATGGCGATGCGCTGGAGGGTCTGGAGGACGGAGAGAAGTTCAGGGCGGGTACATTTGCCGTAGTAGATGCGGATGAGGCTGCGCTCGAGGTCCGTCTTTGTGCCGGCGAGGAGGGTCTCTAGACAGTCAACCTTTGCGGAGGACTGCTCGTCGACGAGCTCCTGGACAGCGGCGACACGTTCCTCGAGGCGAGCAACGTCAAGGAGAGGCCGGCCTACCCATTTGCGGAGGAGGCGCTGGCCGAAGCGGGTGGTAGTCTTGTCCAGGGCCCAGAAGAGAGAGCCGCGCTCCGAGTGGTCGGTGGCGTTGCGGTAGACCTCGAGGGCCTCGAGGGTGGTTCCGTTGAGGAGCATGTGCTGGCGCGCGGAGAAGCTGGTGAAGTTCTTTGTGAGGTCAAAGACGTGCTCGAGGCCGTATTCCTTCAGGTGGCTGATCATGGCGGAGAGGCAGACGGTGACGGGCTCGGGGAGATGGAGGATGCGCTCGAGGAGAGCCGAGGCGTCGGCGTCGGGGGTCTGCTGCAGCTTGTCGGCGTAGAAGTGCGTGACATGGGAGTATGCCTCGGCGGCCATGGTCTTTGTGCGGGGGACGCGCTCGACGCGGCTGCGGTCGCCAAATACGTTTGTGCTGCTCCCCGAAAGGTGCTGTATGAGCTTGTCCGACCCCTTTGTTAGGTCGCCGACGATGACGAACTCGCATGGCGAAATGTGCAGCAGCCGGGTCTCGATTTCGCTGCGCATGAAGCCGTCCTCGAATGTGTCGTAGATGATGTCTCCCGTAGTCGGCTGTACGGCTACTATGCCGACGTCAACCTTCTCGTCGGTGCCTTGGCCCTTGGTAGGAGTCTCAGTGATGCAGAGCAGATAGCCACCAGACGGAGCGCCACCATCACCACCTGTTTCGAGTTCGCCATTCTCGTCAATGTAGGTGCCCTTTGTGTAGACGTTGGTCAATTTCCGGACAAACGGGGCGTTTCGGTTGTCGCCGGCCTTCTTCAGTGCGGCTGTCTCGATCTGGCGGACCACGCCGACCTTGTGACCGGCAGCAACCAGGCGCTTGGCGTGAACGGGCAGACGATGTACCGGAATACTCGCAGAGGCGAACTTTTCCAGATGTGCTTCGGAGGGGTGCTCGTCGTAGCGGTACTTGCCAGGTATGCACACGATGCTGAGCTCTTTGGCGGCAATACGGGCATCTTCGCCAAAGAATCGGAACTTGTAGCCCACCTCTACGATGAGTACTGTATCCAGATGCTTCCGCTTGATGTCGAGAAACTGGATCTCCATGGGCGTGAGCTTCTTGTTTGCTCTCGCACCGCCCTTCTTCGCCTTAGGTGGTGGCGGGGCTTCGTCTTCATTTTCGTCACCTTCACCTTCCTCCTCCTCGGCAGCTTCGTTGTCGTCTCCCCTCCGGCGCCGCCATAGCATGCTGTCCGGATGGCCCAGCTTCTTGACAAACTTCTTATGTAGCTCCTCCTTGCGCTGCTTCGTAGACGGATCTTGGTCCTCCTCATCCTCCTCCTCGTTCACATCTGAAGTCTGGCTGTAGGCAAACCGTCCCGTCCTAGCGGAGGCTGCAGATGCCTTGGACTTGGGCTCAGACTCGGCCGCCGATGGCTTCGCTCCTGGTGTAAAGGAGCTCTTTCCCTGATCCGCAGCGTTGGTCTTGTTAACCTTGTCTCCCTTTGCTTTCTTGGAGCTCTTGTCTGGCCCATTGTTGCCCCTATCCGTGTCCTCCTCCAGGGGGCGCTTGCGCGAGGATTCTGGCGACTCGGGCGGGCTCGTTCGTGCTTCGGACTGCGACTTTTGGAAGGCGGCGGCGAGGCCATTGACGGTCTTTGGCTGGAAGAAGTTTGTGAGCGACTGCTGCTTCTTTTCGGGCGGTTTCGATTTGGGCGCCATGTTAGACCAGAGGTGCTCGCGGGGAGCTGGCGGCCTTTTGGGGTTTGAGGGACTGTGCAATGGGAGACGGGAGGTTTGAACGTCGTTGGTGATGTCAATTGGAGACGACCACCCCCCCAGATTTCCTTCCATTTAATCGTCGCGTCTGCCGGGCGAGAGCGCGTTGAGAGGTTGCAGGGATGCCCCACTCGAGTTTGGAGCTTACAGGGGTTACAGCCACTACATTTCCAGGGATGGCGCCCCTATCACCATTTAAACTTTCTTTTTGTCAAAGACGCGTTTTGTTTCAACGGCATTAATTGGCGCGGCTTGTGGTCGATTGATGTCAGGAACATAGGTCTTATTTCCATAATTCCTGACAGGTTTTGGAAAAGATGCTAAGCTGCGAATCATCTGGAGGGAAGTGTATGGAAAGTGGCCTTAGTAGTGCCCCGTGTAAGTCAGCTATGCCGAGTCCTTGTTCAACAACCATTCAAGACCGGCCCTTTGGTCTTCCCGGTGCTTCTAGCTGAATTCTGCGTGAGGAAAAAGTGCCCAAAAGCCATGAGGTAGGCAGGGATAGACATCCAGTTTGGTTGGTATTCCCGCATCCTTCCAAACCTGCTCCATGACGAGCGTGCAGTCTCGCACTGGATCAAGTCCGCAAGCCTGGAAGTACGTTCTAGGAATGCCAGTCAGATCCGGCGAGATGATCGGGTACGCCAGCGGACTTTTCGGGTCCGGCTTGTACATGTCTAACACGATGTTACTTTCAGCTTCCGGAATGCCCGTCTGGTAATGGATCTCACCTTTGATGAACTCTATCGAGTCTGCGGTCACGACTGGAGCATTGGCGTTTTGCCTCAGGCTCAAGAAACGGTATCGGTACTCTTCCGGAATGCTGTCCTCGGTAGCGGCTCCGGAGATGGACGAGAAGATGCCCGTCAGCTTTGGCGACTGTTTCTCGTCTATCCAAAGACGAGTGACACCTAAAGCCAAGTCGGCGCCTGCGCTCTCGCCGCCGATGAGGAAGCCCTTTGATAGGTTGATTCCAAGGTCACTCGCGTTCTCAGCGGTCTGTCCCAAGTTAGTTTCATATAACAGGAGCAATCAGGCTCTCACAGCTGGATAAGGACGGTCTACCCATTTCACAGCATCGAAGCAATCCTGTACGGGAACAGGAAAGGGGTGCTCTGGAGCCAAACGATAATCCACGTTTACCGCGATACCTCCAAGCTTTGTGAACAGCCGGCATAAGGGTCCTACGCCCTCCAGATCGCCAACAACGAACCCACCGCCATGGAACGCTACCAGAACAGGGCAGCCATCATCAGCGATGGCCTTCGGTTTGTGGATGCGAACGGCAATCGATGCTCCATCTCTCACGGTGATATTGATATCCTCTTCTACATAGGACAGAGTAGATGGGTCGGGTTTGGCGGCGAGTTTGGCCTCGAGGACCTTGGCCATGATGCCTCGGATCTGCTTGATGTCTGTGTCCTTGTTCCATGCGCCGACCCTGATTGGGTTAGCCCGTTGAAGCTGCGAGAACGGTCAACAATGCCATGCAATGAGCTTTATATCTTGAATCACCTCCGTGAACTCGGCGTTGGGCTCGGCGAGAGCCAATGTTTTCTTCAATCGACAACATTGCTGCGGCCTCTGATTTAATGTGCCAAAAGAGTCTCCGGCAGCGCGAAATTCAAGTGAAGTTTCCAAAGGAGTTTCCAAGGGAACCAGATAAGTTTGGTGTTGATTCAATTCAAAGTTGGGGAATCTCAGTCAAGTTCATCAATTTACCAGCCTGCCATACCAGCCACTACATTGCACGAAAGTCCGAACGGACTAAATTCATGCCGACAACCTGCAGATCATTTGGACATCTTCAGCTGTATTCCTAGCGGATTAACGGATCAGACGATGTGAACAGAACTCCAACCCCTCACTCATACTAGGTGCAGTCACTAGCGTTGGTAGCTTCAAAGCTCCTTGCGTCTGATGACGATCCGGCGCCCGAGGTCCCCACTCTCCGGAGGTGATCGGAGCCCCGCAAATGCGGAACGGTCTCCGTCAAAAACGGTTCCAGGCCGACGGGGTTCGCTGACGTCCTGGATTCTTCGAAGAACCACAGCATGCATCGTCTCGCACCTCGAGAGAAAAGAAGGAGGCTGTGCCGCTTTACTTTAAACTAACTGAAAATTCGAGATGTACTTCATTGAGAGAAGAAAACTCGAGAATTAGAACGATGCGTGAGATGACCACCAACACACGTGACCCCTTAAAGGCGTGATTGGGGCCATGGCGCCGAAGTCTCCCGAAATTGGAGCGACTGACAAATGCGACAGCTGTGGTGAGGTCAGTCAGCGAGAAAAAAAAGTGGTTCGATCAAGACCACCTCAATAGCCATCCTTTCCGCCTCCCAAATCTTTGTCGCAAACCACCTACCAAACAGCCCGACGTTCGCTTCGCTTTCAAAATGGCATCCCAAGCTGCTGCTCTTCGTAAGGAACACATTCCACCATCTCATCAACGCGCAATGGCTAACGAACTTTGCTTACAGCATCAATCGCCACCCCGGCCGCTGCGCCGGCTGCCAGCCAGGAATCCAAGCCCAAGGTGCGCAAAGACCCTCCCCGGACCAAAGTCCCTCGGTGAGTGTAGCTCGACGAACGTGAGATACTGACGAGTCGATGCGATTGTAGCCCTGCTGCGTATGCAAGGACGAGAAGGCCAAGCGTGACGAGTGCATGCTCTTCTCCAACGCCGCCGACCCGTCCAAGGACTGCCTGTCCACGATCGACCAGTACCGAGCTTGCATGAAGGGATTCGGCTTCACTGTATAAGCATCCGACAAGGGGGAAAACAAAGAATAATTGGGCGAATACATGCGACGATAGTTCTTGTGTACAGTACGAACCGAGCATACTTCATATGGCGTTGGGGAAAAGAGAAATCATTTCGACTCTTCTAAGCCCCGTGTGCCTGCGATTTTTATCGCTGTAGTAAACTGTCCTGCGCTAGGCGATGTCGTATTGCCCCTCTCATGCAATCAGCTTGGTACTCTATTCCTCGAATATGCGCGTAGATACGTTGGCTGATCCCAGCGGTTGAACACTGTTCGCCCTGATCGATTGAATATGGTGGCTGCGCTTGTAGTGCTTATAGAATGTCGGCGATGTCCTGAACCGAGTCAACTGAACGATCAGGGGGAAGACCGAGGTTTACATGGCCTTGGTGCCGTCGCCAAATGGGAATGGCAGTGGCTGAGGTGGGCGTGCGAGCGGGAGTTGCTCAGGCGGTGTTCTCGCCTTCAAGGTTCGGCAATAGTGGAAGGCGGAGGGCAAGAAGGCGAGGAGCGCGGCCTCATGTGGACGGCGCTGCACCCGGTAGGCCATCGCTTCCTTCCACGTTGCTCTAGGGTTTCATGGAATTGAGGGCGCGACCCAATATAGGGGGGTCCAGGACCATTCCTGTCACCAACGGCAGCAGGCGCCACACAGGCTTGTGAGGTCAGGTCAAACTGCCGTTTGGCGGGATGGTTACGGGCGAGCCTATTCAACTGGCTTAGCCTTCGCCAGGTCACAGGTTCGAGTCCCAGCATGAGCACCAGAGATGTAGCCCCCAGTTCAGCACCGGGGGGGTGAACTCTTTTGTCATTTTGCCCCTTTTTTATATATACATACATACTATATATACTACTTACTTACTATCTGAATGTCCAAAATGTGTATGTCTGCTGAAAAAGACCTTCTTAATTAATGTGTGTACAAGCAATCGCTTTGGGCGTACGTATCGTATACCACCATCGGTCAATGAAACTGGTGATGATGTTATTACAGCCTACCTCGGTCGGCTCGGTGAGTTTCGGTGGGTCGGGTCTACTTCGGATGTCGATTGCAGATTGCAGGGATGAGCCACATTCCTGACCAGGGACCCCACCAGATTTTTTTCTCTGCGATAATGGCTTTGGCCTGCATCTCTTATCGCATCTCGAAATTTCCCATTTTCCATCACCACCGGTCAGCACCCGTCACAACGCAAAGATGGGTCTGGCACAGGCGAAGACGTGAGACTCACCTTTTCCGTGCGACTTTTCCTCGCCTATTTGGATAGCTAACTGAAATCTTATTCTAGTCGCCGGAAGATCGGCAAGGATCCCAACAACACAAAATGGACCAAGGATCTCGACTCCTTTGGCCAGAAGATCCTGCGATCACAGGGTTGGGAACCCGGCCAGTACCTCGGTGCAAAGGACGCCGCGCACGCGGTGCACCATACGGCTGCCAATGCCTCCTTCATTCGCGTCGCCCTCAAGGACGACATGCTCGGTCTCGGTTTCAAGCAGGCAAGGGATGACAGGGTCACCGGCATGGACGTCTTCTCCGACCTCCTGGGACGCTTGAACGGCAAATCCACCGAGGTCATTGCCAAGGAGCAGGAGGCTCGTACGGCGCTCAAGAGCACGTTCTACTGCGACAACAAGTTTGGCCCCATGCGCTTCGTGAGCGGCGGATTCCTCGTCGGCGACAAGATCAAGGAGGAACCCACGGCCGAAGCGAAGGACAAGGTCAGCGACGACGACGACGACGACGACGACGACGTCAAGATGGAGGACGCCCCCGAATCGAGCAAAAAGTCAAAGAAGCGCAAGGCCGAGGAGTCAAGCGAAGACGAGTCCTCCGAGGACGAGAAGGCGAAGAAGAAGCGGAGGAAGGGAGAGAAGAAGGAAAAGAAGGAGAAGAAGCGCAGCAAATCAAAGTCTGCGGCCAAGGAGGATGCTTCCGAAGATACCCAGGACGAGACGACGGAGAAGAAGGCGAAAAAGGACAAGAAGAAGAGCAAGAAGGCCAAGAAGGAGGCCGCTGCCGATAGCGACGAAGACGAATCTTCAGAAGACAAGTCGTCAAAGAAGAAGCGCAAGGGCGAGACGGATGTAGAGAAGGCTGCAAGGAAAGAAGAGAAGAAGCGCCGCAAGGAAGAGAAGCGCGCGAAGAAGGAGGAGAAGCGTGCGTCCGCATCAACAACACCGACGGTCAGCGGTACGTCGACGCCGGTGCTCAGAGGCCACCATGCTGTGAGATCACGGTGGATCGCGCAGAAGAGGATGGCGACTATGGATGACAAGGCATTGAACGCGGTACGTTTTTTGGTGTCCCCTCGAACGCTCTTGGTGCGAATGGCTTACTGACATATTTCACAGATTTTCATGGTTAAATCGCAATCTTGATAGACTAGCAAGTATTAGACAGTTAATGACACTTTCCCGGCGCTTTTACCTCCTTCGAATTTGCAGTCCACCAGTACCATCTCGGTGATATTTGGGCCACTGAGCTACTTGGTCAGGCTGATGTTGTGTTACATGAAGACGTCAGAAAATGCAGTCGACCCAATCGCGCATAAAGGAAGAGAGAGTCAATGGGTCCAATCAAGGCCCGCTCAACTTCGCCCAGCTTATGAAGGATTTGGAGGCCGCCTAGCCAGATGACCGGCATGAAGTTGCCGCTTCCATTCGATTCTCACTTAAGTACCTTGCTCCTGCCGTACCCCACCATTATCTTTTCAACTACATGCCCGTTGTTCAAACAACAGCATCTTGAGACTTTGGCCGGCAACAAACTAAATCATTGAAGAGTTCTTTGTCTGCATACTACTTTTCCATCTTCTGAGCCTCAATCAAACATCATGACTTCAAAGCCAATGCCAGTTCCTCAAATGGAGCCTGCAGCAAGCAGCGACGGACCTAAACCGAGCACCACAGTGCCCTCGACAACGAAGCCAGATACTTCCAATGCAGAGCCAAGCCAAACGAACAACGATATTGAGTCCGCGCCCGAAAACTATTTCGCAACTTGGTACTTGATCAACCTGGCAGCACTAGCAACAATCGGCAGCCTCTCAGTGAGACCACCTCCCACCACCGGCACCGAAGAAGGCAAAGTCCTTCTCGCCGTCTTCGCCACGATCTTGTTCTTCGTCTCCGGGCTCGGCGCGATATCACGGCGTACGATGTCTGGCCGCGCACCGGTCACCAGCGTCTCCTCAGCAGTCTCCTGGGCGTCATTGCCGCGCTCATTCACGGGATCACGGCCCCGAGCTGGACGGTTGGCGTCGGGCAGACTCTGGGAAGGGAATTCTGCCTGCTGAGCGGCTTTCATGTTGGATTCTGGATTGAGGGTGTGACTGGGCTCATGGGGCTTGTTCTCGAGGCCCTTAAGAACTCGAGGGAGGAGCCACTGCCGAGGAAGGTTATCACCGCTGGCGGGGATGCCACCAAGGCTCAGCCTTCTTCTCCATCCAGCGCGGCTCAAAATTAGTGAGATTTCAAGGTTGGACGGGCGTTTTTGGGGTCATGCAAGGTTGGGACGCAGCGAGGCTGACTTCTTGAAAGAGGCCATCACGGTTAATCCGTATATTATACTGACATGCGGCTTTCTCCTGTATCCCGCGCCTTGGAACAGGACGTCCTATATCTTATTTTCTCCGCAACCCTTCCGGCGAGCACTGTATATACCAACAGGCCTTACTGCTCGTAAATCACAGTCCACCAAAATCACATCACACCACTTCATCATCGATGGCCATACCGTCGCCTACCTGCCAAACTTCGAAACCTAGTCAAAAGTATTGCGCTGTGCCTCGACCCCTACTGTCTCAAAGGCGATACATCAAATCGCTACACGCCTCTTCAAACATGGGAGGTAGTTCATTTGCCCGTCCACCCCCTCTCGTATTCAACTAACCTAAGCACTCTACCGATCAAGTCGGGTCAAAAAAGGAGAGAGCCGAAATGTTCTTATTCGCGCTCGTCCTCAGCTTCTCGAGCTGGGTAATCTTGGCCACCCTCGGTAGCGAACACTGCACGCTTGAGTCGGATGAGCTCTTTATTGCCTACGGCGTCTCCGCGATCGTCGCATTCCTGGTCTCGTATCGTATTATCATCGTCCATTGGCCGCAAGGCATGGAAAACACTTCCGGCGTCATGACAGCCAGCATGTTGGGCTATGGAATCGCGGTCGCCCACTCGTTCGTCACCGGGCCCTGGCACAACTCCTTTTTCAGGCACTCCTACCAATTTTCTGGAATTTGCATCGGCTTCCTGATCGAGTGGGCCACGGGATGGTGCGGCAGCTTAGCGTCGACTTTGGCAGAGAGGTTTAGGAAGTGAATCGAAGCCTACGAGATCAGAGAGGACTTCCTGAAGCTTCTGTGGTTGAAACCAGCGTCGTCTTCCTCCTTCCTTGAAAGCCTTGAGGAAAGGGGCCATAATGTTCCGGCTACGAGGGGGACTATGGAAACAACACCAGGCTCTGATGGAGCTTTACAACGAGGCAACTGGAAGGAAGCTCTGTAAGTTGAAAGAATTGCGCGTCAGGAGTAGGTGCTGGATGATTGAAACGACCACTATCATCAACATTTTTACTACTCCTGCTGGTCTTCTCTATCTTAGTGTATTCTGACAGAGTACCTCAAAACCTTCCGACGAATTTTTAAATCCAAGAGTATTTACGTTAGTTACCTTGATGGCGGTAAAAATGGCGGACTATGTTGTCACCCGGGAAGGCTGTCCTCTTGGACTATATCACGACTTTGGGATTCTCATGGTCGTACAAAGTTGTGTGATGTCTTCAGTCTTGGTCTTAAATCACGAACGGTTTAACGCAGATAATAATCTCTCGCGCTCACTTCTGCCGGACGATGTTCTCGCTGCAAATCATGTGATGCCTGCCTGAAAAGTCACCCGTGACACCCCATATCTCTGACCGCCCGGGTTCACGCACACCGCCCGCCACCCACCACCCACCTTCCACCCTCTATAGTTACAAAAAGGAAGCCATACTGTCACCAAGGCCTGTGACGTAGCGGGGAATGTCTCTTTGACGGAATAGCCCCGCACTCATAGGTCCCGGGTTCGAGTCCCGTATATCTCCTTGTAAAAATCCTTGCGTCGTTACACCTGAGGCTGGTAAGAGTCTCCTCGGATCTTTCGTAGGTTCCCTTCATGGGGGGCCGAGCTTTTGCATTCTCTGTATAAATTGAAGCAATTCGGTCCCATGAGATGAACTTCGCCCTCAAGGTTCTTGTGACGTAAAATGCTTATATGGTGTAGGACCAGAGTAACTAACCCGTTTGGCGGCACATGGGTTGCGGCCCTACGACCATCTTGAATTCAAAATCCCTTGGAGTAGCGTGGATCACGCGAAGATTCCATCTCCGATCACGTCCTGTTCTAAGCTGCAGTCTCAAACATACCGTATCATGTATCTCGAAAGCGTCAGGTCAGGGGCTCGTAGACTAGGTAGGTCACAAGCAATCGAGGGGTGAAGTCCCCAATATCTAAACAAAGTAGGTTAGTATCACGTAGTCGTCGGATGACACCTACTGCGAAAGCTGCGGAGCAACAACACCCGACTCGTCCAAAGAGTCAATTGTGCCGTACCGGTGTGTCCTATCTCCGCTACACTCTGGTTGAGCGCAGAATTGTGGTACGACCGAAGTCTAACGCAGAGAGCACCGCGCTCCGGTAATGAAGCCATCTCCGACACCAATAAAAACAAAAGTCGCAAAACTCAGAGATCAAAGGCATCCCCGACAGCAATGCGTACAGTATATCTAGCAACCTCCTTTCCTGTCATAGCAGCAGAATATTCATCCATCCCACATCCTACACATCATCCTGATTACTCTGATAACTACCTTACTCCAATTTACACACTCATCACTTTCTCAAGTCACTTACACCCAAGTATTCCATCATGAACACAATCAAGATGGCTACCCGTACCTACTTCACGACATACCCTCACGTCTGGAACGACCCTCGTTCGAGACTCACGACTCCCGAATCTATCGAGGAGTCGGCCGGGGGAGGAGCCGACGATGCTCCGACCCCGGAGCAAACCAAGAACATGCTCCGGTCGGCCGCCAGGGCCGAAGCCATCACCAAGGCCCTGTTCGAGCAGATATACGCTCCCAACACTCAATCCTCTACTCCACCCGAGGTCGCAGCTCCAGGGTCCAAAGACTCCTCCGCCACTTGCACGCCCACCAGGCCCGGCTGCGTAGACTGCAACACCAACAACGGCGGGACCTCCTTCAAAGACATAGACCAAGAAGCTCGCACCCTCGCAGAATACGGCATCCGCGAACCCCGCGTAAAATCCCGCCGATCCCGCTTCCTCTACGACAACCCAGCCGAAGAGCCCCTCCTCCGCAACGAACCCTGGATCAAGAGATTCTCCTACCTCGAAGACGGCATCGAGGCCTCGAGGGGCTTCCAGAGACGCGCTGACATCGTCGGCGGCCTCTCCAACGACGGGCAGATTTCAGAGCTGGCTCTCCCGTCGCCTGCGCTGGCACCGACGGCGTCTTCTCGGTTCGAGGAGGAGTTGAGGCGGTGGTCTCTGGGCAGCGCTGCGCATGGGGATGGGTATGAGCATGAGCGTGAGATCACTTCGGAGCGGCATTATTGCCTTTTCTGTCATTCTGGTGGTGATTCTGAGGGAGAGGGGTCGGAGTGTAGTCAGAGTGATGATGAGATGAGGCGGGAGCTGGAAAAGGTGAATTGGAATATTGAGCAGTGGGTTCGAGGCGTCAGTGAGTCCGGCATAGACGGCGAGACGGCCCCCTCATCTGCTGCCGGTGGTCCCGCCGGTGGTCCCGCCGCTCTCGCCGGAAGGTGCGGGGGAGTGGTGGCTGGAGCAGAGACAGGGGAAAGAAGGGAATGGAGGTTGGAGGCGGAGGAGGACTGTTGCCCCTGGTCGGTCCTCGTTGCGGCTCTGGTGCTGAATCTCGCGGGCATCATTTTCCTGCTCGCATATATCGCGCGCGGGCTTTTGGCAGAGTGGCAGTGAGCGTATAGCTTGAGAAGGGAATGTTGGGAGGGTGGTGTGCGGATAACGACATGACGATGATGGTAATGAGGCTTATGAGGCATGAGCAATGATCAATGAGGCCTAAGTAATGACAGGCACTTGCGCTGAGAAGTTCTGCTTAGATTGTATTACAGTCTGGCTCTAGAGGTGGATCGAACGTTAATGAAATAATGTGGTCCCCAAGATGCATTTTAATAATTGTGACTTATTATTTGTTGTATATGCAGCTTGAATCATGAGATTGATAGTGCAAGCCCAGATGCCGCTGTATTGTGCCGAACCAAGAAACATCATGTAAGACTCTAAAGAGGGTATAGATAATGCATGCAAGCCCCCAACCTCCATATCCCAAAACGCCAGCCCGGATGTGCACTAATAATGCTGTGCCTTGCTGTACTTCCACAGCAGACTCGCCCCCTCGAGCTTGGGCATGACCTTTGGCCGCTGACATCCCGGCGAGCCCTTCCCCACGAGATGAATAGATCTCTGGAATCTCCGCCGGAAGCGTCGCCAGTCGTCATTCGTGGGCCACGCCTCAAACAAGTCGCCCTCATTCTCCAAGTCATCCTTGTCGAAGCAGTCTTCCTTATCGTCGTCGATGTCTAGCGGGTAGTAAAGAAACTCATTGGAGTGCGGGTGCCGGGGTTGAGTGTAGTTGAGCTGTGACTCAATGTCGAACTTGAAGCGGTACCCTTGGTGCACCAGTTGTGGGCGTTGCGGATCTGGGTAGTTCATGTGAGATGTGGCATACGGAGGCCGGATGTCAAAGTCGAACTGGAACTCTTGGTGGACGACGAATAAGAGCTTCCTTAATCTGGGGAACTTTGCCAGACGGGCAAGCAGCGTCGTCATGTTGGATTTGGAGACTTTCCAACTGAGCACGGGGTGGCAGATGCCAGTGTAGAGTCCGTACGACGTTCCAAACGCAAGCCGACTGAGGTTGTCTCGCACAAGGGGGATCTGGCTGAAGAACTGCAGGGTTCGGAGTAACCGCTTGACCAGCAAGTACGGCTCGAGCAACAATATATCGCGCGACAGGTCGACGTATTTTGTCGTGGCCGAGAGAGCGAGAGGTCTGTAGCGTTGTAGTACATACACCCTCGTCTCGTGGCATACCGCGCCCAGCGCTGGTGGTGGTTCATCTCGCACATTGGCGAACATGAGTCCGGCTGCCGCAGGCGTTTTCTGGCTTGCATTCGGCGAGTCCATGACTTCGTACACGCGGGCTTCCGGGAGAGCGTACTCCCATATCATTAATCGGATCTCCACCGGCAACTTCATCATCGGGAACGCCTCGCCGACGGCGGTGACTGTGGGGCTCGAAAACTCCTTCGAAAAGGACGGAAATAATGTTGAAGGCATAATGATCTCTGTGTGACGCTGAGGCCGGGTTGCATCGCAGCAAAGAGATCTTCAGAGACAACACAATGCGGTTGTTGGGAACCTGGCGGTCGATCTTCTTTAAGGCCCGGATGATCTCTGGCTGGGGGGCAGCAACTTTAATGATCGACGGGTCCAACCACTCGGACAGCGACCGCGCAAACGCAACGGCCGGGTAGGTACTTCGTAGGCACGCAGCAGCCAGCAGGCACGCAATGGGACGGGACGAACGTCCCCGACGGGGAGGTTGGCGTTGAAATATAGGACCGTGATACCCACTCGTTTAACGTTTCGACTAGCGGCCCGAGAGATCTCGCATAGATGAGGGTACGAGTTTGTTTCGAGGATCGCGCCGGGGGTGGGAAAGGGTTAAGAGTGTGTGGGTGAGGGGAGTTTATCTTTCGAGACCTGGCACTGGCAGCTTTCGCAGGTTAATGAGGTTTTGCTGATGGGACGACACCAATGAGACGGGGCTGCTCGGGAGCGGAGCGAGATGCGTGTTCGAATCGTAACCGAAGGAAGAAGGAGAGACGACTCAAGGAGCTTTCTTGACAGGGAAGAAAGTGAAACGAGAGGAAACGCAACCGGACTTGTTACGTTCAAACGGCGGATGTAAGCTGGGTTTTGTGAGCCGTCCGGAGTCCCCATCACACTGGTGAAACTGGGGCTAGACCGGATCATCTGATGGCTGTCAGTTTTGACTAGACTAAGGTAAGGTATGGTCATCTACCGTCCCTGCGGTGTCGTTAGTGGGCAAAAGCAACGTGGGATGTCACGACCGGTACGCCGCAACGAATGGACTATTGGCCGCCATGACTGCCACATCAGGTAATCGTGCCGGCAGTTAATGACGCACCGATGTCAGAGCGGGCGAATGCACGTCGATATTCGGGCCTCTTAAGGTCCTAAGGATGGCGAAAGCGATATGTGAAGATGGGTCCCCGGTGCCGGTTTGGCGAAGGCGGAGTTGCGAAAAAGCGCACCGATAAACTAAGGTAGTAAAAGATTCGATCCGCCGCCGCCGCCGGAAGCCCGCGATAAACATGGCGCAAATTCTAAATTTGGCGGTCAGCGAAGAGGAAACGACCCCCTCGTAATGCGGTGACGAGTCGTGATCACCACAAGCTGGCGATAACCAGCTAGGAACTCGAGCTTGCGTGGGCGCGCGCGCGAAAGGCGAGAGCGGTACGGATAGATAGACAGATTGGAACCATCGGTGTGCCGTCATTCGAACCATGCCACGGCGTAGCACGGCGCTGGAGTCGCTGGACTGACACGGCGCTGCAAGGTGACCGCAGGGTTCCAACGAGATGGCAGACGGCTAGCCATGCCAAGACGTTGGCCGGGGGCAGTTCGGGGAAGTGGTGGCATCGGAAGAGGGGCGGACGTGGTAAGGAGCTTGCCGAGAGCGACAGACGACGAGGGAAGGGAGGGGCTCCGAAGGGCTCGGTCGGTTGGGTGGGTACGGGGTTCAAAGGTCGTTTGCTTGAGGCTTTGGGATCGGGCGAACGATACGAAAGCGGACAAGGTAGGTTGGTTAAGCATATTGCGTTGCCTCCTGGCACCTCCTCAAGTCGGGTCTCCGCTGCCTCATCACGGGCCCAGGCTCAATCAATCTGAAGGGGACTTGATAGGGCACTTATGACCTTGACGACGACGACGTTGCGTGCCCGTTTGGTTGGAGTATCCCGCTCATCATCTGTCGTATCCAGGTATCCTAGCCTCCCCTGCGCGGACAACCACCCCTTGGCCTCTCTCGCCGTTCGGCACAACCTGGCTTTGCCTAGTACGATTAGAACCGTGCATGGTAGCAGGCTTTCTTTCAGCTCTGGTCAACATGGCTTATTGGGGGGAGAGGTATGTTGCGTTGCGCAAGCCGGAATGCGTATTGTTTCGTTCAATGAAGCGGGCTAAGGTAGGTAGAAAAATTAGAATAGTAAGCTCGGCGCACACCATGGCTTGAGTAAGATGAAGAAGAGGGTGTCTTCATTTGTTGCTGGCTGGACGTTCGCAGTTGTTTTGATGGACTTTGGATGACGACTGGGGTGGGTGTCATCTAGTTGGCTCAAATCCGATATGCTGCTCGTCGCACACTGAGTGCAAACTGTGGGGACCGGGCGTTTGAGTGGACTTCAGGCGCACTGACCAAGTCCGGCAACACGACGGGACGTCCAGTGGGGCCTTCCCTCACCTACGTGCCTGTGCCTGCCTCGCAGTCACGACCGCAACCAGCGGAACGCCGCGACCACCGCCACAGCCCGCGGAGCCTGCCGCGGCTATTTTCCGTTCCTCCGCGAAAAGGTTCCTCCGGCGCCCTAGTGTCATCCATCGGACCCACTCTGGGCGGACGTGCAGGACCCATCTCACGATATAAAAAAAGAGTTTTTGGTCGCGGTTCTTTCGAAGGTTTCTCTTTTTTCTTCTTTTTTTCTTCGTGCGGCTGGCACGATTCGTTACAGTTTCCCCTGTTGCTAGAATTCCTAAGTCGGTGAATTCATGGCGTCAATCGTGCCCCAGATCGAATTTTAATTGCAGTCGGTTTGTCCATCATAGATCCTATTCCGTCCTTAGGCGAGTTGGGTCGCGATCGACAAGCCGAACATATCCAAACCTTCAAGCCAAACTCTTGATTAAATCCGCAAAGTGAATGCGATGTGGACGAGGAAGAAGCGCGCCTTATGCGGCTGTGCCATGTCCTGCGCTGTGTTCTGCTAGGCAGTTGAACTCGAGGCAGGACGTTGTCGCATTCGATCCGTGAGTGCTTCCTAATCTGGAGCGCCTCGCGCCCGTCAATATCGTCGTCTCATGCATGACCGTCTGAATGCGCAACTCTGCCTGGCAAATCAAGCGTCACATATGCGCGACCATGCCGTCTGTTGTTCAGTGGTTGTGATTTTTGAGCCTCCGGTACAGACTATTACCGGAGGCGTCTATGACTATTGCTCTATTCATGATTCTCGTCGCATTGGGGGTTCTTGAGTGCAGACTTTTTTCTTCCTCGTCTCCACAAGCCCGAATTTCAATGATCCACCGAGTTACTCTATTCGCCGGCCTCATCACCAATCTTCTCCAGCTTGCCCATTTCTCTCTTCTCGCCCGACTCGCCGATGAGGCGCACGCGGTCGAGACGCACCTTCTCACCGTCGCCGTCACCCTTGGTCACGTAGATGATCAAGCTGTTGATATTCTGGAACTTGACGTAACGAAGGCCAATGTTGGCGGTGCCGTCAGCGTTCCAGTCCTTCTCGGTGAGCTCGATGGCTTGCGTGGGAGGGGTATCGTCGGCTTCGCTAAAGTCGAGGTTGTGAGGCTTGTTCGTGTATAGGTGAATGGTGCCGGGGCGCATGGGAGCCTCGTCGTCGTCGTCGTCGTCGTCGGTAGGAGGCAGAGAGGTGAGCTGCGTAATGGGTTAGCAACTGACGCCGTGTTTGACAACGATCGCCCAATCATACCTGAAGGGTGTGCAGCTTGATCATGGACTGGAATGGCATGAACAGTAGGAGCTGGTCATCGGCACCACTCTCAACCCAATCCTTTGCGCCCTCCTTCTTCGCAAGCGCGCTGGGCTTGGACGGGTCGAACAAGACCTTGACAGGACCAAAGTCCTCGTCGGCGTTCAGCAGCTCGCAGCCCTTTGGCTCGATCTGACCGGTAACGTCGCCGTAACCGCGAGGGAACTCTGCACCCCTCCAGTTGCCTCCGCTCGAGCTGCCGGACGCCTCGCCAGAGCCTGAACCGCCCTCGGAGACCTCCTTGGCCAGCCTCTTGACCACCTCTTGGAGCTTGCGGGGGTCGGCACCCTGGACCTTCTCGATGGTCTTGCCTTCGCGGAAGATCATGAAAGTCGGGAGGGAAGTAACGCTGTAGGCGGAGGCGATCTCCTTCTGGGACTCGACATCGATCTTGACGAAAGTGACGACATTTTTGCGGGACAGGGACGAGGAAAGCTGCTCGTAGAGGGGTGCGATGGCTTTGCAGGGACCGCACCAGTCGGCGTAGACTGGAATCCATTTGTCAGCACTTCAGCTCAAACGTAGATGCATTCAGCGGGTGGCTCGATGGTCTCTTATGTGAAGCAATAGCAACATAGCCGGTACACTACCGAGCAGCAATGAAGCCGCCACCACAGCGCGTCGGGGGTGTCGCGGCCGTCGATGGCCTCATTGGCGTCATCCAGGATGGAGAGGCAGGGGTGCAGTGACCTCGCCGGTCAGGTCGTACTCACAGTCAGCAACGACGATACGGGAGCTCGACAGGAGTTTCTGAAACTCTGCTGCCGACTTGATGTGAACCGTAGACATCTTTGCGGCTCCAAAGATTGCAGGGTTGGTGTCGGTAGGTAGGATGTGAAGATGATGTTGTTGATGATGGAACCCAGAAGAAAGCTGCCCCGCGGCGACGCATTGGCATGAGTGCCTGGCAGGCCGACCAACCTCAGCACCAAAGGAGGACCGTAGCTTTCCTACCCCGCACCATGCCCTTTTAGGATTAGCCACGACGTCCCGCGATGCACGGTCCAGGGCAAACATGTCGCCATTGTCCAACGTCCGCTTGTGCCTCTGTACCCTCATCGCAACCTTGCTTTCTGCTTAGTGTTATCCGTTCACTCAGAAGCCCAATCGATAGATAGTTTATGATGGAAGCCGTTTGCTGTGGCTATGTCTTCTGGAATGTTTTCACAAGCCCGCCTGTTTGGATCTAGGCTTCATCAAGCCTGTCAACAATCATCAGGTGCTTCCTCGAAGCATTCCTCTGCTTCTCTCGTTGTTCCATAACGTTCCTCCGGCCTCACGTAAAGTGGCATTCCATGTTTTCTCTATCCAGATCGAGGTGAATGAGACGTTTCGAGTATGTATGTTTTGAATATGTTCTGTCTAATTTTACACGTTGAAGAGAAGCAGTTGATATGATACTCCATGTTGCCTTGTATGAGAGTGAAAGAGTAACCCCTCCGTCCCACTCGCATGCCGTAAATCTCGATAAGAAGATGGGCGACCTTGATCGACCGTTCACCACAGCCCAATAGATTCATAATCCCTTCCGGCGACAGTCCCTCCGTTGTAAGCATAAACGAGGCAGCCCACCTGGACTTTGCCTCCAACGCCACCGTTGTTACCTAGAGCGATGATGTATTAGTAACAACGTCTCCAGTTGTCTCTCCCAGAGAGAATTCGACAAGACAGATAGTGTCAAAGACTCACATTGCAGATAGTTATCCCTCATCAAGTCGTTGCAGCTAGGATTGGTGTTCGAAAGGCCCTTGGGGTACTTCACATGCTGCCTGTCTCCGTCGGCGATACACCCCGCAGCCCAAGAGACCTTGTACTGGTGGCGGCCTTGAAACTCATCATGCCACTCGACGCGAAGAGACTTCATGCCAGGCTCCATGAAGCCGGCGTAGTTGTTGCAAAAGTAGTCTGCGCCCTTGAGTTGCTTATCGGAGTGGATGGGCGGGTGGGGGTTGAAGTCGGCTTCCTTGTTGCAGATTCTCGGCTGCTGATTCCTGGCGGCGTTGATTCGCTTCTCAAAGGCAGGCGTCTCGTCGAAGGTCTCTTGGGCGTACCAGACTGGGTTGTCAAGAGAAGGACCGGTGGGCTTGCTGGTGGACCGAGGAGCGATGAAGGAGGTGGTCCACGAAGCTGCGGGATCTTTGGTTGAGGACGGGGTTTGGACCTCGCTGTCTGGGATGGTTCCGTAGAACGCAGCTTCTCCAGCTACGAGGTTTGCAGCCAAGGGCATGAGCGAAAGGCAAAGATTGAGGATGTTGGCGAACATGATGGTCGAGGAAGATTGCTGTAAAAGAATGATATTAACAGTGAATTGGTTGGAAGGAACCGTGAGAGAGAGAGAAGCTGACCGGAACGAAGGCGCTGAGTGAGCTGGCTGATAACTTCCACAGATTTTTTTCCAGAGAATGGAATCGTAGCTATTATATCATACTGCTTGCGTCGTGGTGTTTGTTCAACAACAGGGGAACACACCACAGGGAGAGAGTTCGCTAGATTGACAAGTCTTGGACATTTCGGATTGCCACGAACTAGGAAATTACAGGCTCACGCATTGGTATCTCTCCATGTTCCCATCAACCAATGCTTCAACTCCTTTCAGGATCCAAAGGAACGTCAAATACAAGGTCTTCATTTCTAAACTCGACACATTCGATGCTTCCACGTGAGCATTGTCCACCGCCCCACTCAAATAAGAACCAAAAATGCAAACTGTCCCTCTCCCTACCTCCGTGAATAGTCTCGTCTGTGGTTCTGTTTGGTCTGAGCGTCCCAATTTGGGCATCGAACCTAAACATACAAAGAACCAGAAGGCCGAATATGGATGTTTTTGACACAACATCAAGACTGAGTCCGAACGTGCATAGCTTTTTGTACAATCTGTTTGGTACAAATCAATGAGCACAGCCGACATATTGAAACTTTCCATGATCAGACCGAGATGACAACATTGCAATCGTTCTGAGAACCAAGGTCCATGAGGGACGTCACGAACAAATACAACTGCTTAGTTGGATGTCTCTATTACTTGCCACGATAGCCAGGTCCAGATGTCCGATGTTTTAGGTTCGTTGCTTGCATCTTACGTTCGAAGTATCACTTGAAGAACCTTGATACTCGGAGGGGCTCCAGGTTCTATACAGTGCACTGGAGACCATCAATATACTGTTGTGGAGCAATCTTCAGTGTAGATTTACTTAGTATTGCCTGAAAAGTGAAGTCCAAGAGATGCTCAGACTTACTTGCCGAGTTTCCAGCGTGTGTGATTGTAGTAACCAAGCTGCTTAATCTTGTTGGCACAGCTGGTACTTCTCAACATGAAATCGACGTCGGAATTGACGCAGCCACAACGTTACCTTACGATTTGAAGCCAACTGTCGTGGAACTAGAGTTTGGCAATGACTACCATAAGTCCCATCGAGACATGCACTCTGTCCAGTGAGAAAGACGATGAGCATTCTTCGGGCTATCAACCTCTAAGGCTTTGCTCATGATATTCTCTCTTGTCCCCTTGGACCCATGTCACTGCTCAAAAAGCATAAGATGTCTAATCCTCCGTACACATGATCAGTTCCATCCCTTCGATGACAGGTAAGCCTCTGCTCCTCACGAGAAGTTCCATCTACTTGGATTGGCGGATCTCATCATCCCAATGGTATTGCATCGTACTCTTGAACTCTTTCCACGTAATGTCGAAATCCAAATCGAGGTCGTCTGGCCTATCAGGCGCGTAGGCTGACCAGATCGCTTCGTTGGGATCAAGGCTAAACAGCTTTGGCGCTGTTCCTTTCTTGTACTTCAGATTGGGTGTAGACCGAAAGAGGACGATGACTTCTCGGCAATGAGCGTCTAGCGCACAGGTTAAGACCCTTATGAAATCTGTGGGTTTCTCAAAGTATCTGAGGTCGATGGCGATGATGTCAGGACGACAGTCCTCAAAAGACCCCAGCGGATAGCCTGCGGGATTGTCAAGGATGAGGACGTCCTTTTTGGGATTGAACCAGGTTCCCCCAGCCGGATTGAGCTCTAGGCCAAAGACGAATGACCCATTCTCATTGGTAACCTCCCAGGCTTCTTTGCAAACAGCTCGGATCACTGGAGATCTGAATCGTCTGGGAAGCTCGCCTTCGATCTTCTCGATAACGCGACGACCCGGCAGTGCCATTTTCCAAATGATATTCCGAATCTCAACAGGGAGTCGGCCGAACTGTGGGAAACCTGTGACTATGAGTGAGGTCAGGAATTGATTCGATCGTGTAGTAGAACTGGAGATAAAAACGGTTGGAAGGTAAGACGTACGTGGAGGCGATGTCTGCTCCTGCAGTTCCGAGGGCATCGCCACGACCAATTGTTTCGAAAGCACCATCGCGGCCTGTTGTTTCATGGCATTGATGTGTAGATTCATCACCTTTGCCATCACCTCTTGATTTTCTGTTTCCATTTTTTCGGCGGTCAGCTTTCTGGTGGTGTATGTTAATGCTGAAGGAGGATACTAACCTGCAAGATCCTTCACTCGGGTGGCAGTTGCCTTTGAGACTTCCTTTGCGTCGCACAGCTTGGCCAGCTCAGAAATCGTCTTCGCCTGCTGGGTTTGAGCCTTGATGACGGCATCAAGGCTGTCAGTCAAGCTCTTGACGAGCTGTAATAGCTCATCCATGTTCGCTGGCTTGCGGCTGACTCTCAAGGCGGACAATAGAGGTATGCGGCTGGCAATGGAAGGAGGTGACAATAGGTCTCCTCGTCGAGGAAAGAGGACTGTGTCGAGAAACTTAAAGTCTGGGAGGAGCTGGAGGAGATTCAGCTGTAGAATGTGAATTAGGCGAGTGTGAGGGTAAGAGTGAAGAGAATGAGAATGTAGAGGGTGGGGCTGGGGAGGGTAAGTCAAGTAGGTTGGTAGGAAAAGTGTGCAGGACTTCAGGAGAAGGCAGGCACATCTCGGATCTACCTCTTTCCAGTTCAGGAATCAGAATACACACTCCAAGTGGTGTTGATAGACATAACTCACCTTGAGAGACTGGCTTTGGTTGAAGTCAAGGGCTTCCAACCTAGCTATCAGCGTGGAGGAACTCTCAAGGGCAGCCCACTTCACATGGCAACAAAAGCTGTTAACCTCATTCTCCTTGTCAGAAGACAAGACATTACATTCTAATTCACTTTTGGCCTTATCTCGAAACTTCCAATGATGATATCTGATAAAAGCGGAACGGATTTGGTGGCCTGCAATCTAGGGGACAACTGTCCCCGCTTGATACTGGCCCTTTTCGCCATGAGTGTTCACACTTATCGACGATCGATCCAAGTCCCGCCGCTTCAAAGAAAGAATATTCATTTCACCATGGCCGGTGGAAACAGTTCCAGAGATTTGAACCCTAATTTCTTTCATTCGAAGACCCTCGAATCTCGACAACATCACTACCCTCGAGGTGGGAAGAGAAAATTGCATCAACTACCGCGACTCGGACGCCAAGGCCATCAAGATGACCTCCGACTTGCAACCTGAGCCTGATGGACAGATCGAGGTTTTTCGAAATGAGGACGAGCTGATCTCTAGCATATTGTATTCCACGAGCACCATCATCTCTTCCTTCCAGGAGCTCGACAAGCAACATACCGCCATCGCCAGCCTATTGAAGGCAGCAAGCAAGGTGTCTTCCAAACTTGACAAGTCTGGAACCCTTTCCAACAGAAACATGCATGGCTCGCTGTTGTTGGCCACAGCCGTAATTGCGCAAGCCAACGTCGAGCAAGGCTTGGAATTCCGCAATGAAGCAATTGGCCTCCTCTTGTTGGCCACAAACAAAGTTGTCGCTTCCATCAAGAACACCGGAAACGTTCCTCGTGCTAGTACTCCAGGTATTTAACCTCCTCCCCGTCCTCCATGAAATTTTCTGACTGTTAGCCAAGCCGCGAGAGATCGCACTTGCTACTTCAATCGACTCCCCAAAGAGCTGAAGCATAAAATCTGGGATTTGTGCCTCCCGCCTGGTAGAATCTACGAACCGAAGACATATGGAGATTACATGTTCTATGACCCAAGACACGTTCAATTCTATTAGCACTGGGCGCCTCCGACTCTCAGAGAAGTCAATCGAGAGGCACGCGACTACTGCATGAAGGCAGGCCAGTTCCGCTTCGGCTACTATGAGGACGACTTGGCCCGCGGAACGATGAGATCGATTTGGTACAACAACAAGCTCGACGCTATCTACATCTCCAGGTTTTCCCAGTGGCGGGGTCTGAACCTCTATGTAAAAAACCTCATCATCGGAGACACGATCGTCCTCAACCCGGATAAGTGCAGAGACGTCCTCTCGGGCGCTTGCTACGGCTGCGACAACTTGAAAATTGCCTACCAGCCCCGCGGAGCTCCTATCGTGAAGAGTAGAGCACCGAGTCATTACGAGTTGGAGACTACTCAGCCAGTCTTTTACGACATCAAAGATCACGAGCGCGTCTGCGCTGAGCTGGTGGACTTGGACGATTGGGATGAAGGCCTGCTGAAGACCTGGGGTGAACACCAACTCGAACTGGAGAAGGTGCTCTACGAGAGCGCGGGCAGCTCCTTCAAGAAACTGGTCGGGTTTCGTGCCGTGGAGGTCTTCCGCAAGCCTCGCGTCATGGAGTGAGGTTCTCGTTGGAGGCGGATTTTCATGAGAGATACATAAGTCAAGGGTCTCCTACAATCATGAGCCGTCAGGGTCGCTTTTTCGTTGCCTTCATCAAATAGGTAGATGGCTACACATACCCGGTCTAACGATACTGAGGGAGATGAAGGCCCTAGTCATCAAGTCAATGATAGTTCCCGCTCCAGCTTTTATGCTATCAACCTAGGCCGTGTGTGCTCCTCTCAATTCTTTGACATAACTTGACATTCCATACGACTATACCTCCAGCAAGACAAGGGACTGGAAGTGTGTAACGCTACTGGATGGCGAGAGCCTTTGGCTCAAGGCAAATGATAGTGCGAAGATTGTCAAGTCGGCCCCCGTAACGACAGGAAAGGTGCCTTCTGCTCATGCGCTCCCTGCCGTGGTTCATCAAAGCCACCATCTCTTGGACACTAGCGCTATTCTTCAAGTATAAGCGACCTCTAGACTTGTTCGTTCAGCTCGTACTCGTTTACCATCTCTGGTTAGGAACGGTCGAGGCTGCTTCTGCTAGAGTCTGACACGGGGTGGTAGGAAGTCAGTCGTTGCATGGAATCTATTCACTCTCCAAGATCAAAGCTGACCTTACCAAAGAAGAGTTCATCAAGGTCAATTAAGTGCCCACCACGGGTAAGCTACCTACCCCAGGCTGTCAGAAGACTAATTCTCCTTTGTTTTTTTAATAAGAGAAATGACGATTACTAACTACGTACAAAGGACCATTCCCACCTAGTATACATCGGAGCAATGGAACTCCCTCAGTTCAAGAAGTTCCCTGCTGAGATTCGACGGAAAATCTGGCTCTCGGCCCTACCCTCTCCACGGATTTACGAGCCGGATAACATGGCCGAGTACTGGTCCTTTGACAAGCCGACTCGCTTCTTGCACGAGTACTCTCCTCCCCGCGTCAGAGAGGCGTGCAAGGAAGCATATGAGGCCTGCATGTCGGTGGGCCACTTCACCTTTGGCTGCTTCCGTAACACCAACATTCGCGGTCTGTGGTTCAACGACACCCAGGACGCGATCTACTATGCGACCTTGGAACAGTGGTACCAGACAGAGTTGAAGGCCTCGGAAAAGACAATCATCTCTATCGAAGTTGCCCTGGATGTATTCCTGGAGACCGGATTTGAGAATGAGAGTTTTGCTGCATGCCGCCATCTCGTCGTCGCGCTGTATATCGACAGCCGTTGTCCCATTGCATCTGTCCACATGGATGAGCTCCCGAGGAAGCTTTCGGTGTTTCGAGCCGTGAGGGATGATGATATTATCGCCCAAACGCTTGGCATAGAGAACATCATAGCGGCCAGATTTCCGTAGTTGGACGGGAGGAACTACCTCACCTGGGCTGAGCTTAGGGACATGCTGTTGAAGACGAGAGAGGGGAAGATTCTCGCAAACGCCGGCAAGCCAGGCATATACAAGGGAACCTTGATCCTGGAGGCCGTGGAGGCTTTCAGAAAGGGAGACAACCGGGATGATCCTGAACGACTCTTTTAGGTCTTCAGGAAGCGGGACGACCGGGAGGATTCTAAACAGCTATTCTGGCACTTATACGTCCCTTCTTTTAATACCCACCCATCTCTTCAGTCAGTTTCATATGGAATATCAGAGAGGGAGAGAATAGTGTGGAAAGGGAGCTTGGTTGTTGAAGACGACTTTGCATAAATAAATATAGACTTGAAGGTTCTCGACATTTGATCGTCGCAAAGGCATGGAGCCAAGAGCAGAGACGTATATGACAGATGGAGGGAGGAGGTAGGCAGAGAGAACAGTCCGAAGTCTCATCAACAAGGCCCAGATAGCTTATCGAGAAGGGTATGGCATTCATGTTTTCTTCGGAGCGATGCCAGTGACGAGTGAAAGCGACCTAGTTTTCATGGTCCATCCATATCACTCTACAAAGGAATGTGTGTATGAGGGCTCGCAGTCCGGAGAAGATTAACATCATGAAACTCATTCATCAAGCCTGTTTGCTGGCAATAACAGCCATAGGCACGAAAGTTTATGTTCCGAAGACCTCGTGGATATCAATTGGTAGGTGACTAGCTATTGTACGAAGGAGAAACCAAACCCAACGCCCCTTCTCCCAATGGAAAGTGTACCGGAATATGGTACATGCCAAATCCTGCATGAATCATCAAAGGCCAACCAGAAAATCATCCAAGCTACCTTCTCCGTCTTGGCCTCTAGTCAAAGTAGCTCGGGCGAGCTTTAAGTACCTCAATTCCGGAGAACTTGGGAACGCGACCGGGGCTGAGATGCTTCACGTTGACGACGTGGTCCTCCCAGATCTGGCCAACAATGCGCTTGACATCGCCCCAGGTTGCGACGCTACCAACATCCTCAGAGAGCTCCTTCGGGTAGTCGTGGGTGCCAATCGGATCGGCCTCCTGCAGCGGGAATAGCTTGGCGGGCAGGCGAGGGCTTGCCAGACAGGAGCGGATATCCCACTCCATGGTCTGCATGAGGATGACCTCCTTGCAGGAGGTGAAGTGATCGAGAGCAATGTCCATCTTTGCGGTAGCGTCAGCCTTGCACATAAATCTATTATGCGGGAAAGCGACACGGACGATGCGTGACATGTCAAGGTTGGTCCAGGTACGAGGCTCCTCACGGACAAAGAGGATGTCCTCGGAATAGTTGAACCAAAGACCCTTGTATGGGCCGCCGAACAAGCCGAACTCAAAGCCGCCCGCCTCGAGAAATGCCTTATTAGCCTCTTTGCAGGCAAGTCGAAGCTTGGGCGTCTTGTGGGCGCTCACGCTCATCTCAGTAAGGCCCGAGGCCTGGCGCAAGACCAAGGCCGGGTTAGGCGCGCCGTTGTTGTTGGCGATGGGGGCTCTGAGAACGCGAGAGAAATGGGCATCGACGTTGGAGAGGTCGAAAATGCGTCCGGCAGGGAGAGCGAGCTTCCAGATCTTCATGCGGATCTCGACAGGGAACTTCTGAAACTGGGGGAACTTGGTGCTCTTGCTGTGCGAATGGCGGGAAAGCTTAGGGTCTGGGAGGGGAAAGCCCAAGTAAGAAGAGAAGGCAGACTTGACAGTGTCTCGCTCGCCTGCTTGTTCGATGTCAGTATTGTACTTAAGCTAATGGATAGGAAAGAAACATGCGCTTGTGACTGTGGCGAGCGGACTTCTTACTCTCAATCTGCTTGATCTTCTCCTTCATCTCAGAGTTCTCCTGATTGGCAGTGTCGAGACGACTCTGAAGGGCCGCGAGTTGGGCAGGCTGGGTTGCGTTCGGGATGTTTGCAACCACTGTAGTGACGGCGGTGCGAATGTAGTCCTGGATGGAGGCCATCATGGCATTCGAGGCTGCGGCCATCGGGTCGGCGGGGGTGGATGTGTTGTCCGCCATGATGAGTTTCAGCTACTGGGATGAGATGAACAAACAGTGTCCGAAGAGGCCGAGGCGAGATAAGTTGCTTACCAAAGCGATGAAGAGGTATGAGTAATTCTGACGGGCAACTTCTGTAGCGATAGCAAAATGTAATGCTCATGCGGTACCGATGATGCAGCAAGTAAATGCAAGGTGTGCCACGGCCAGTGAATCGCGTCGCAATATGACGGATCCTGGGCGCTGAGAATCGTTGGTGTGTCGCGTGTGCGGTTGGTGTAAGATGCCGAAGTAATGCAGTAGCAATTGCCAGAAGTCAGCAAACCGTCGTCTACTCGCCCCTTCCGTTGTTGTGCGGCGGAGACTGGACGTTTGCCGTCCAAAAAGCCAACGACGGTCGGCCTGAGAAAGAGATGTAGTCAAAAGAAAGCGAGATGAGCGTGGGAGATATCGAGCAGCCGCTTGAAGGTTACCTAAGGTTGGAATTAAGGTACTTGCCACTCACCGGTTGGCTGGTTGGGGAAGGAAGGATCGCTTCCTTTGGTTCGCCCCTTCCTGCCGCCCAATTCAGAAGGTTCAGAGGCATTGGCAGGCACGGCGGGGACCTTTTGGCGGTACTTGGGTACCTCTATTTCCCGAGGCGTCCACTCGACACCGGTGATTCAGCAGGTGCGGGCCAACGTGCCTGCACCCCAAGTCTACCAAGGTACTCCGTACCTCAGGCAGCGTGGCAGCCCAGTAAGGTCCCCCTCAAGAAACAGCCCCTCTCCTTGTCATGCTGGAGCGGGAGCAGGGATCTTCACCCAGGTACACGCGTTAGTGAACGGCCGGGAGCCATCACTGCGGGCTTAATCTCACTACCCGCGGCCGACGCACTGACCGTCAGTTCGGTTGAATCTCACCTTACTCTTACTGAGATGTGATGAGTGACGAGAATGGACGTTCCGGGCTGTAGATACATTCATCATAGATTATCTGTAGTCATATTTATGTTCGGCGATGCCTAGAGACTGGTTGTAAGGTGAAGTCCCGACATGAAGTTCACGTTGAGCAGCTCGCCGCAAATGCACTAACATGAGAGACAAGTGAACGGAATGTAAGAAACGATACGAGTATCTATCTACACTTGATCGCCTGTAACGAGTTTACGAGAACACCATCTTGAACCGACGATATAGGAGGTGTTTTTTTCGATAGAAATGAGTAGATGTGAGCTCATTCAGAATCGATGAGCCGCTCTTTCGGTTCGTCTTATCTCCAGCACTTCCAACATGAAGAGCAGGTCGGTCACGCCGGTTAAACTGAAACCCTAGATGCAAGTGGCCGCAACGTCCGCGCGTGGGGGAAGACGCTCCAACACATGGACAAGACCGGGGATATTTGGCCAATCATGAAGAGACGGGATTGACCAATTGACCAATCCTGTTCTTGCGCCCGCGACCCATGTCTTCTTGGTCATACTGCCATCTTCTTCAACCTTGACGGTGCCAGACCTGGATAGTTAGGAACCATTGTAAGTCTACCAAGGTCGACGAAAAGCTAGAGTTTACAGTTTCTGGGTTACTTTTATGGACAGGCCAAAAGAGGCACTTCATTAGGGTCTTAGAACTACAGGGTTGCCCAAACACCCTTTTGAGGGCGGCCACCACGTACTTTTTATTCCTTGTGGTCGAGGGTTTAATGACCGAGCTGGTTTCGGTATTCTACGGGATATGCATTTTATTTTGTAGTACCAGTTTGGAAGCGTGTACGTGATGAAGTATTCTTATATGCCAGAAATGATGGTCTATCTAACACAGTGGTCAGCAGACCGAAGCAGAGACACCATTACTTAAAGGACAACCTCACTCCACGTTAGGAGCAATGACTGTGTAGTTCCTCCATCCACCATTGTCCTTGGCAAACTCCGTCGCCTCATGATGCTCATCCAGAGAAAACACCTTGATCACCGCCCCGCTCTCCCTTCCGATCCTCAACTGACCTCCCTCAACCATGCGAACGAGCTGCAACAGCGTCGGCCGCTCGCACATCCACTTGCCTATCAACTTCAGGTTCTTAAGCCCAAACACGGCATACGGTATCGCCAGTGTCTCGCTCGCGCCGCCACTGAGAATCACTCGCCCCTCACGCTTCAGTGTGCGAACAGCGGCCTCGAGGTACGGCGGGTTCTTGAGCTCACCGGGTGTCCAGTCGTTGAAGACGTCCGCTCCGGCGCGGTTGGGAGTGGCTGCGAGGATCGCCTGGGCGTCGGTGTCGGTGTCGCCCGTCATTACCACCGTCTTTAGGCGCGGGTTATCACCGAGCTTGGTACGCATCGCTGCGAGCTTCGATTCGCTGCGGCCCAGGGCGATGACGTTTGCACCGACGGTGAGAGCGACTTCGACAGCTAGACCGCCAAAGGAGCCACCAGAGGGTCCGATGACCACGGTCTCAGCTACTCTGATGTCCGCTGCCTCGAGGAGGGCGCCAGCGGCAACGGAGTAATGCGCAATAGAGCTCAACGCCGCAAAGTCATATCCCAGCTCACCGATAAGACGCTTCTCATCCAGTGGGTAGACATTCTCAAGAGGAACCTTTTGATACTGCTGCAGCGAGCCATCACGCCACTCCTTCATCAGCTTCTGGCCCGCGTCGCCCACGCCGCCGAGATGACCGATCATGACCATGACATTAACAGGGTCGTCGCGGCCACGGGTAGTGGCGTCAACGTAGACTAGATCGCCCGGCTTGACGCGCACGGCATCCGGGCCGACGGCGTGAACGCGGCCGATTGCGTTGGGGTTCGGGACGAAGGGCGGGTGGACGTTGAGCTGTGGGAGCTTGCCGGTGTGGGCTAGGTGCGTGTAGGGCACGATTGGCGCCGCGAGGATCTTGACGACGACTGTGCCCGTGGGGGCGTCTGGGATGGGGAGGTCGATTACCTCGAGGGGTTTGGAGTATGATGAGAGCCAGAGGGCTCTGTTGCCTTGTGTGGAGCTCATTTTGATTTTGGTTGAGTCTGAAGTAGTTCGTGTAAGTTGACTTTGGGAGAACCGAAGAGCTTGGCTTCAAGTGGTTGATGTCGTCGTTCGTCTCGTCTTTCTTGAAATCGATTGCCGATACATCCCGAATGATCGCAGCTCGTCGCTGGGGCTTATGTGTCTTTTAATCCTGATCGATATCTAGGGGTTGAAGCTACGTTTCTCGGACCTGATCATGATGCCGCGTTCCCCATTTATTCAAATGAGGAAACCGGTGGCCGACGCTTTCGGGCCCAAGGAGAGAGCTGCAATCCGTCCGTGGGCTGCAGTTGGCCCCCACACACAAGGCACCATACGGGAGGGGGGGAATGGTGACGGAATCGAATTCCGTGGAGATCGGCGGGCCGTTGAAGAGCTTGGCATGAAACTCAATTGACAGCTAGCACGACTCGGGTTTGGTTTGAGGCCGGGGCTAGGGATGGACCGCATGGTTAGTTTCCATTGTCAGTTTTCACCTTATATCGCCTATGCCCCATATATTTAGGACCCGCGAGCTTGTACAGACATGAGTTGTTGCGGAAGGGAAGAGGACGGGACCTACTTCCTTCGATTTCGGCCGGACCTTTTCAAAAGGTCCTTATGGGCCGCTTATGTAAGACGACCAACCACATGGCTTCCTGCTCAACGTCGTTTTGTCCCTGACGAGGCCTATCCTACATCGATTCTCCCCTTGGCTGTCCTCGATGTCTCAGTCGACTCAATCTCCCCATTGGTCATGCAGGTCATGATGTTCGTCAAACGAAAAGAAGGAAGCATCGTTGGCTCTGAGCGGTGACCCCTTCGAGGAATCTTCTACGCGCCTAGGCACCATCGGAGGAATACCCCTTGCAGCGGGAACGGAAGTGGCTTAAGTTAATCTCATGCAAGCAATTGAAGCTATGAATTTGCGGGGGATATATTTCCAGTGCTTGTTCTTTGCTTCAGCTTAGTCTTTGAGTATCCCATTGGTCAGACATGGAAAGTGACACCCAAGATTGACAAATGCCCTAGACATTTATGCGGTTTGTCTTGAACAAATAACCACGAAAGACTTCGAGCCTTTGTTAGATAACAGGCAATCGTCAACGGCTGTTCTCTTGTGCGACGTTGCCGCCTGTTGGTCTGGCTTTCAGCGAAGCCTCTGGCTGCTTGGTGCTCTTAAGAGGTAAAGAGACCAAGTTCCTCCCCGCGATCTGTGGTATATTGAATAGGGCCCTGGAGTATGGTAGATGTGAGAGTTCTACATATCCTATACTAGGTTTCCCTTTCAAATTCCCCAGCTCAGGTTTGGATGACCTTGGGATGAAGATCCTCAAGGAGAAAGAGATTGTTTGGGAACAAGCAAGCTCTTGTCAGCTCGGGAGAGTCCAGTTCATCATACCAGATCCATTGTTCACTATCTTTGATCCCCTTTAAAACCTTCGGTGCCATTTTGCTGCTCACATCTCTTGAGGTAGGTGTGACTCATCCCATTAGTGCCTCACCTGGACACCTGGGTGAGATGAAGTGAAGTGAAGGATGAACAACCGAGACTGGAATACGCACTTCACCATCACCTGAATACTTCCAAACCGGTCATAGCCGGTGTGAGAGGAGGCACCTTCCGCTTCATTGCAGTCTAGGGCTATTGGCAAAAAGAGGTATTTCCTGACGCCCTACCCAGGCCCTTCTCTTTCCCTTTTCCTTTCACCTCTGTTTGATCTTATTTTTTCTTCGCGCAGCAACATCACCACCAACCATTCACCACATTTTATACCCGTAAGACATTAATTGCATTTTCCCATCTCACCTATGCTTTCAAATTACTAATACTCATTCAGTTGCTTTACCCTTTGCGCGCTCTTCACAAACAGTCACCAGTCACTAGTCACCATTGCCACCACCACAATGGCCCCTCGCTCATGGGCCCAGATCGCCGCCACTGGCACGACGCCCAAGCCCAGTCCTCTGCGCCGAGAGGTCTTGGCCGACCAATCCACCAGCCCGGGTCCCCCTCCGCCCTCTGCCGCCGACTTCCCATCCCTCATGGGATATACGGAGGAGGAGGAAGAGGAGCGGAGTATTGCAGCCTCACGGGCTGAAAGCCCCTGCCCTCGCCCTTCTTCTTCTTCTGGCCCCGTCTCGGTGGTGGGGGGGAAGGAGGAATTTGGTGTTGCCTCTTCCCTTTTGAGGGGGAGCAACCCATCTTCCTCTTCTCCTCCAACTATCACGATTCTCAAGCGTTATACCGCCGCCACCACCACCACCGACGACACTGCCGAGATGGGCAACCAGAAGCGACAGGAGAAGCTCGCTGCGAAAAAGGCGGCGGAGGAGGCAGCTCGTCAGTGGCTGCTGCCGGAGATTCCGGCCATTTCGGTGGTCGGCTCATCTTCGACGGCAGCTGCTGCGGCTGTTGATTCTGCTGCCATTGACGCGGCCGACGTTCCTCTCCCGGCGGACGAGGAGAAGGAAGACAAGGGGAAGGGACTGGCAATCCCGACCCCGACCGAAGAAGAGGGGACTGTCGCCTCGTCCGAGGCTTCGGCTAAGGACGAGGCGCTCAGAAGAGCCATGATCGCCTCGCTTGAGCGAGACCACCGCGCTGGGTAAGCATCAAGCCCATCGCGAAGCGAAAAAAAACAAACATCACTGACTTTTTTCTTTTCCTCCTACTCTAGGCTCCTCCTGAATAGGGAGACTCATACCTTGTTCCTCCGTGTCCGAGAGGGCACGACGATCGGATGTCATCGCGACATCGTCATCTCAGAGGCGCCCAAGTTGGCGGAGCTCCTTCCCCCTGCCGACGAGGTAAGCTTACTCTTCTGTTCGATGATATTCTCGAAGTTTTCTAATTTATTTCGCTTCATGAACAGAACGGCAAGACCTACTTCGACCTCAGTGACTGCGCGATGCCGTACCTCAGCCCGGTCATCTTCTACATCTATAACGGTGGTAAGTAACTACCGTGACTTCCTACCTCAATTCATGTCTAATTTGAATCCTGACAGATCTCCCCGGCCATCGAGTGACCCGTGATTGTATTTGGGACACCCGACCCATCATCAACAACGTCATGTTCTACGGCCCGGCGCATCGCTTCGGCGTCTCGTCAATGCTCAAGACCCAGCTTGACAACATGGAGGAGGCCTACGAGATGTACCGCGTCGCATTCGGCGGCCGTTACTTCTACTACCAGATCAGCGAGTTCCAAAAGTTGGCAGGATTCGAGATTCCCTTCCGGATGGCGCTTGTTCATCTGTACCTCGACAACCCCATGGAAGACGAGGAGCTCAAGCCCATGAAGGTGGCCTTTGCCAAGCTGGCGACCGTCGTGCTCCCCTTCATGCGCCGGCAGCCTAGCTTCAATCTGACCCAGAGCCTCTGGGAGGGTCTTCCGTTCCCCTGGCGTTCCGAGTGGGAGGAGTTCTACTACGAGGGTCTGCTTCCTGACTTCCCGAAGATCTTCGACGAGAATATGGAGTGGGCTGAGGAGAAGGTTGACGAGAGCCGCTTCTTCTACGAAGAGCCTATTGATCCTGCTGGCCCGTCTTCGCGTCCTGCCGTGTCTGGTCCCGCCAATGTTCCGTTATATCAGGAGTCCGTCGAGGAGATGTGCCTCCGTCTTTCTGGCTGCGGTCTTGATCCCGGCTACCCGTTCACTGGCTAGAATGGCAGTCTCAACCGACTAAGCAACGAGCTTTGGATGTCTTCTCACTTGGATGGTTTAGCCTTTTCTTGCCTTCGCCGGATACTCATCGACTTTTGAGATTCACTTGGGATATCGACCATTTCGCTACCGTGCCTCAAGTCGGATTACTTCATTTTGGCAACGCGGTCGCGGACTTTTGTCTCTCGACATCGAAGACCAACTTCTTTCTTCTTGTTACGATTACGACTCTCCATCATTGTGGCTTTCGACTTTGCTTGTGTCCCCGCGGCAGGGGCTGGTGGACGAACAGATAACTTGGCTTGCTCAAACCATATCGCACATTGGACCTTCTGGACCGATGCTTCGACTCGAATGGACGAGAAGTCATGAGTTCTTTGGCACCTGACGACTTTTCTTTGCTTATATTATCACGACGTTTATGTCTGGAAGTGTGACCTCGAAGGAGGTACTCATTCATGAAAGCCGAACACAACGGACGGATACTTCTGCTTGCTTGTTTTGCTTTATTTTCTTGTCTTTGGCATGGTCGGCCACGGTTACGGTTACGGTTATGGTTATGGAAAAGAAGATACCCTTTCGGTTTTCGGTTCTGGGACAGGTTCATTTCACGATACCCCCTGGTTTGCGAGTCTGGAGTCTAGGGATCACGGTTTACGGATACTCGGATGCATGAAAAAGACTCAGATACTCTCGTCCTTGGCGAGACATCATCAGGACACTAATAAGAAGAGATCTGAGCACACACGAAGCAGCACATGACGCGACGTGAACGTGAGAATCTTTGCCGTGAAGGATGAGATGCTCAGTGAAGAGTGAGATGAGGTTCAATCTGAGCTACAGGGAAGGCACCTGCACCGTCGCCCCGGCAGTGGCTGGGCCCAGCGCGTTGGTGCCGAATTAGGCTCATTTTGCAAGCTGGGGCCTCCCGTCCTTTCACCGCTGAAGATGGCGGGGCAGAGAACCACCGCCGCTAAACGTGGTCTCCATCCTCTGTGCGGCGTAAGTTGGGTGGGAATCTGCAGTGGTTGACGGTTCCTGGCGTTTGCTTGGCCTTCCACAGCTCTGTACCTGCCGTGGCGCCTCCTAGAAAGCCACCAGCGAGCCCAGCGCTCAGACTGGCGCCATGGCAGTAACGGCAGTAACTGAGGTGATGGGCAATGGCGCTTGCGAGCCCCCGTGTTAGTGTCGGCCCTGCCTCCCCTCAATTGTGACACCGGGTGGCTGGTGGTTTTCGGCCGGGCTGGGTAGCATTTTGCCATGGTGATTTGCTGCTACTAGAATTATTGCAAGCATTCTATTTAATAAGTGGTGCATCTTGGTTTCGGAGGCGCCGCCGATCTAAAGAGGCGTTCGCTTATTTGCAATCTATCGATAATTAAAGGATATCCAATACCACCTTGCCGTTTGGAGAAGGAAAACTATTATCACCACTCGATTAATACCAGGGTCCAAGGGAAACCCCTCCCAAACGGCACTTACACCAAACGACAGACTTTACACGGTGCTACGGCACGGAAACAAGCAAGGCCACCCACAGTGTTATACCTAGCTATTGCGGGCAAACCCTTCACGATGTCACAGTACGAACCTTCACCACAACCTCCTCGCCGACGAGGCCAGTCCCTCTTCCCTTACAGCAACAGTAGCAGAGCCTCAGCCCAGAGCCTCAGGAGCCAGTACAGCAGCAGAGAAGCCCAGACTGCGCACCTCGTCCAGCTCATCGAAGAGTTCCGCAAGGGAGATCCCATCTACGAGCCCGTGCCGCCTACACCGCCGCCCAGAGCCCCGGGACGGCAGAGGAGTCAACGGAGTCAGAGGAGCCAGAGGGTCGTTTCGCCGTTTGTGCGATTTCAGTCGCCTTTGGAGCGGTTCGCATCACCGCTAGAACGCTTTGCGTCACCCTTCGAGTCATATGCTCCTAGAAGACAGGCCAAAACGCCGCTTTCTGTTCCTGTGGTGTATGATATGCCCACTACCACCACCACCGCCACCACCCAGCAGCAGAACATCATCTTCCCCGCGGCGATACCAGAAGAGGCGCAGATGCAGACGAGGCAGCAGACGCCACCGGAAGAACCTGAAATTGTGCCTGTGCCGTCCATCATCGCCAACGAGGAGACGGAGTCGGACGAGCAGAGCTTTGACCTGGACGGATTCCCGATGCCGCCTAATTTTATGGGCCAGGAGTACCTCACTCCCGTCGAGGAGGTTGAGGACTGGGTTGACTTGGAGGAGACGTCGGGCAAAGTGTATGCCTTTGACCCGGCGCACTCGTCGTCCGACCCGGCTAGGGATGATGACGGGTCTGACTTGGATATCCCGTTCTCGGATGATTCTACGTTGAGGGGGGAGGAGCCGCCGTTGAGCAGGGCGCTTCATGTGTATCAGTCAACGTACACTGGTGAGGGCGTTCTGGGCGGCGTGCATTCGGCTGCTTTGGATGTTGTCTATGATACTAAGAGGAGACGGCAGTCGTTGTTTAGATGGCTGTAAGTGGCGTTGATGTTTGAGCTTTGTCAGATTGCTAATCGTTTTGTAGGCATGTACAGCAAGACATGATGAACTTTGACGAGTTTACCGTAAGTCTTCATCCCTCAACCGACCCTTCTTGGGCGACGGATGCTAACTCTTGAGCAGAATGAGATCTCGCGCGCGCTCTCCGAGTCGGAGCAAAACGACATTCGCAAGCTTCTCTCCGATGTGAGAAAGAACTACTCCAAGACCGTCCGCACAGCTCGCAACACGACGGTGAAGCACATGGAGCCCAGCCATCTCGAACTCCCCCTCCAACGTGGAGGAGACCAAGCCAAAGGCTCGGCGACAGGGAAGCGTTCCGCGACTTGGCTGTGTATCCCGTACTTCTCACTAGAGGAATACTCGGGTATTCAGGCCACGGGAAACCCGGGAGCTTACCCGCCTCAAACGCTGTTGCAGTCGGCGTTCTCGAGGAACTCGCAAAAGCGGGATATGCTCCAGGCGACGCGGCAGATTGGCAACGGAGGGAAAGACATGTGCTTCCACATCCGACAGCTATGGTGTATCGTCCTGGACAACTCGCTGCTCATCACCTGCGGTTCCATGTACGAAGAGGCCCTGCGCGGCGAGACCGTCACCATGACATCTGAGCCGGCGAGAGATCCTACCTTGGGTGCAGACACGGGGCGGATACTTATTCGAAACGCCGAGTCGGTGTTGTGGTCGTTCCCTCTCGAGGAGTGCCGCACCTGGTTCGCTTTCATTGCGCACTTTGCCGATTTTTGGCCAAAGGCGGTCCGTTTCCACTTCAATGGTCGTCTGTTAACGGAAGCGCGGTGGTGGAAGGTGCTTCAGTTCGCGAGGACTTCGCGTAGGAATGTGGTGATCAACATGGAAACGTGGTAAGTATGCATAAACTCGCTTCGGGAAGAGCCTCGTATTGATAAAATTCTAGTACACCACCACAACTACCGCCAAGCGGCATCTTGAGACCTCTCAAACAAGGCCTGAGCAGCAATGCTGGCCAAGCGTCTAACAGCCTACAGCTTCCAAGATCTTCAGGTGGAAACCGGATGAGCTTCCCGCCAGGACAGTTCAACAAGAGCAACGAAATGTTTCACGTGTTCAGCTGGGCCGAAGCAAACCCGCCCAGCCCCCTTGAAGGTCCCAACTTTATCGTCCTCCAGAAACAGCTGTCCGAAGTCGAGGAGTTCCTGACGGCCGAGACCAACGGGCCGGATCGGCGGGCGTACCTAGAGGCTGAGATGTCGACGAGGAATGAGGTGTTTGAGTACCTCGAGCAACAGGGGGCGCGAATGCAGGACACGAAGAAGTCGTGGAAGAAGCAGGACTATGAGGAGCGTGTTGACATTTTCAATGCGGCTGACTCTTTGTTCCGATTCTTCTTGCCTCCTTTGTTTGATGGACCGACTACAGAGAGGTTCTGGGGTGCTGTGATGAACTTGGTCAGAGTAAGTCTATCGTTGGTCTCATAACCCCCTTATGGATGCTAACAGTCTTCAGATCCCTCAGCCCGAGGCCACAGAGGGGGAGTCTCATCCGCACAACCTTGACAAGACAAGACGTGAAGCTGTCTACGCAAATGCCCCTACGGTCAGAAAAGCACTGCGCCAAATGGCGCTTCCCGTCATCGCCTTCAAGAGCATCCTGTCCCACGCCGAACCTACGGACCGGTTGGATATCGACGTTCCGCTGGAGCTGATCCGCGCCTGGCTTCATCTGGTCATGGGCCTGATCTACGCGAGTCACGAGACGCACATGTGGGAAGACCATCTGGAAGTGGCGGATGCGTTGGTCAAGAGCGGCATGAAGCACGTTATGGAACGGCTGTCAAATCTTAACCTGCTGGAACGGTCTTCCGTGCTCCCGCTCGAGGTGGTGTCCCTGATGAGCTACGGCCTCTTGTCCAACACGTCTGGAAAGTATGCGGGAATTACAGACACTTATTCAGAGTACCTCAGAGCCTTGGTAAGTTTGGAGTGCCTCGTACTCTGCAGGCTTCCACTTTGTATCATGCACTAACATTGCGGGCAGGAAAACGAGATTGCTAACGGGCAGTCGGATATCTCTTACCAGCAGCGAATCAACTTTCTGCGACAGGAAGTAAGCGTGATTAATCGCACAATCGCTGCGCAAAACAACGTCTTTAGCTCTATCCTGGCCTCCCGTAAAGAAGGGTCATCAGCAGCAGCAAAGCTTCACCGTTCGGCTCGGACTCAGGTCGCCGCTGCCAACTACCGTGAGGCTTCTCACATGCGGATGGGCAGAAGCAGCGGCAGACACGCCGCCGATGACGAAGACGTGCAGGTGCTGCTGGAGCCCATGGCCATGGCTGCCAGTGCAGAGGTGTCTGACTTTTACAAGCTTCCGGCCACGGACGCGGCTGGCTTCAGGGATCTCCTGGCGGCGGAGTGCACGCAGCTCCTGGAGAGGCGGACCAGGGACTTTGAAGAGTATGCTGAGCAAGCAGACGTTTTGGAACAGACGGTGAGTCGTGTTCGAGGCCGCTTGTGACTTGTTACATTCTGGGATGGGGACGCTAACGGGTGAACTAGAACCTCAACAACGCGGCGGTGACCAAGGACCGCCAGGAGCAGGCGATTTATGCCTTTACCATTGTCACCATCATCTTTTTGCCTCTGAGCGCCGTCTCGAGCGTCTTCGGGATGAACTCTAGCGACATCCGAGACATGGAGGCCGGGCAGTGGCTGTACTGGGCCACCGCGATACCCGTGACCATCCTGACGATTGTGTTGGGTCTGTGTTGGATGGGCGAGATGGGACACCTCGTCGACTGGGTGCTCAGGAAAGTGCGAGGCGACGACAGACTCAGTCCAAAGTTTCCTGCTTCGTATGGCGGCGGGGACATGGCCGAGAAGCCTAGCTACCAGCAGCATGCTGGTATCGAGGTCATTAATGCTCCGCGGGCCGTGTATAGTCGACCAATGTCGGCCAAGCAAAGCTTTACGAGGCGGCTGGATAGACGACGAAGCCTCCGGACGTGAGATGCAGGACGCATACCGCGGCACCTGAATGACAACACGACACCAATACCTAGCCTACTGTGTAATACACTACGTTACGTCCCTGGTCTGACAAGTGCAACTTCCTTGGATCGAAGCCAGGAAGCTCGGGGGCACCCGAGCCGGAGCCAGGACCCCGGGCGCAAGGAATCACCAAACACACTCACCCAAGGCAGGTCAAAGATTGGGCTGCCACTCTGCGCCGGCAGGATGGAGACGATCGATGGATTAGGAATCGGTGTTGGTTCATCGGCTTGGCATCGTGGGATGAGCGCCCAACGGAAATTTGAGGCCAGTTAGCCCCTCTGCTACTTGTCTACCGGCATACGGCATCGAAAAACTGCTCCCTTTTCCTGCAGAGGAGAGCAAGTAGACGGAGGGAATATTGTCTCCCCCCTTTGCAGCCCAACGAACAGAGCCGGACACAGACGCTACGCTTGGGCGAGGAAGAGAGGTTGGGACGAGAGGAAATGGAGCGGAGACGTGCGACTGCGGCCTGCCAGCTCACCATAAAATCCAATCTGACAAGCTCAGCCCTGCAAACCCCACGATCAGGGGTGGCCCCAGATGGCCGAGATGGGGGAACCCAAAGGATGGAAGCGTTTTGGAAGATTCCCCGGTTGTGGTCTGGCATCCCCAGCTGTTGAGATCGGTGGGCTTCGGGTGATAAGGGTCACAGTGGAAGCGATGCACAACCCGGAGTATCTAGGTGTCAACGACAACATCCTTGATTTTTCCGGTCTGACGGGCAGGTTGACAGGCAGGACCAGGTGCCGGACGCAGTGCAGAACGCGCATGGAGAGTGCAGATGCAGGGCGGCTATGATGTTTTGAGCGAATGAGTGGTCTGGAAGCTCTGCCCCTTCTCTTTGGGGTTGCTGGTGCGGCGGTTTGCGATCAAGGAGGGAGCATGTCGCCCAGCTCTTGCCAGCTTTAGCTCTTTGGAAGGTTTGAAAGTTTGGAGAGGGAGAAACTTCTCTGTTCTGAGCATCTGAGTGGTTGGAAACTTGGGGCCGAGGCCGGGAGGAGTGGGGAGGTAGGAGGGGACGTGCCGCGTGCCTACCTCAGTGACCGGTCAAAGTACGGAGTACGTACCGAATGGTCGACCGCCTCGGAATTTTAACTTGATTTTTTTTGGCGTGACGTGCCCGCTGGCGTCATAAGGCCTCAATTGCCCAATGGCGCACCCTTGTCTGCCACACGATGGGAAGGAAGTGCCAGGTGACAGCCTCCCACCTCCCCTCTCCAAGCGAGGGCGGGAGTGAAGCACAGAAGGAGCGACTTGAAGCACGGGAGGGGGGGCGGAAGGGAAGGGAACCAACCTGTATGGAAGTGGATGGGAAAGGATGGGATGCTTTGGTTGGGTTGAACTTGACAAAGGTTGGAATTGCATGGTCCATCTGGAGTTTGGGAATTGGAGTTCCTATTAGATACCATTTACCCAATGAATGCTCAACGAATGATTGTACTCTGCATCTATCTGCATGTCAAACAAGACCCGTCCAGGCTGTGTTTTGCATGCGCCTCTCTCTACCTCTCTCTCTTCTCGATTCTCGAGTCTCTGGTTCTCCATCCCCGTGCATGTTCACATCCACTCTGATGTGTGTCCATCTGGCATCTCGGCGCTCCCGTCCCGGATCTGCTGTGGGCTGTAGTGTAATTCGTAGCTTCATCGTCCATGTGCTTGTTAGGCGGGTTTGCTTCTCTGGCTTGGTTGTGGCTTAGTACCTTACGGATAGTCGATCCCGAGTGGAAGAGAGTTGAAGGCGGAGATGCAAGGCAGCCCGGCCTGCCTGGATGTCCCCTTCCCGCTGGGCAGGTGGGCGGGCGACCTTGGGCTGACACACACACACCGGACATGATAATACCGCAGCACTCTCTCACAGGCCAATTTCTTGGTGTTTTCCCATTAGTTGGTTGGCAAAAGGAGGGGCAACTGCCAGGTAAGGTAGGTAAGGTAGGCAGGCTGCCCAGGCGGGCAAGGAAGGCAAGGCCCAGTCACCACCCCCTCGTGTCCCCGTCTACGGATACGGAAGCGACGAGGACCTTGATTCAACCTGCCATCTGCCAACTCCTCTTCCCCCTTCCTTCCCACCCCCGTGCGGCGTACATACCTTCCTTACCTTGCAGCCGAGCCAGAGAGGCCTAGACTTTTCTTACGGATACTTCGTTGGTGTCCCTCGTTGGTGTGTGAGATGAGTGTTATATGAATAGCGCATCTCCCGCCCACCTGACCCTCCAGACAAGAAGAGTCCGCTCCCCGTTCTTCTCATTCCCATCACAACCACCACAAACCACAACTACAACCGCCGCCGCCGACTTACCGACATTTGACACTGCAACACCTTTACTTAGCTCCAACGCTTTCTTCTCTCCCACCCGTTCGTTCGCCACTGGTTCCCTTCTTTTTCTACACCTACCGACCTTAGGTAGAGAAAAAGGCCAGCCTGCCCCGCGCCAGGTGATCAGCATCTGATTTTCCCTCACCCGGTCTTTGCGCTCTGCACATCACTTCGGTTCGCAAAGAAAACGGTCTTCTAGCGGATCGCATTCCCGCCCATCGCATATCGCACATCCCTCGGGTCGCAACACGCAACACACACGACACCTCATCCCATCCTTGGGTTCACGACGCATCCTGCGTCTACCCGCCCACCCGCAACTCAAAACCAACCCAAAATAACCAAACACCAACCAACTTCACCCTTCGGCATCGCGACAGTCACACCTTAAAAAGTGTAGGCCACCGAAAGGCGCACAGTCAGAAACATCTATACGTTCAAAATCCCCTTGGCACGAATCCAGCCGTCCAAAATGGGTACGAGTAAGCCCCAAAATACCTGACGTCAACGTTGTCGCAACGTTCGCGCCAGGTCCACATGAGCACAAATGACTAACCATGCATCGTACAGCATCGTCCAAGGAATACTACGAGTATCACCACCACCGCCACCACCATCACCACGGCGCAAAGAAGCGCCTCTACCTCGAACCCCCCACCAACGGCGCCGTCACCGTCCGCACAAAGAAGACCACCTTCATCCCGGCCCGCGAGCCCACCCCGCCCCCCGTCATCGTCAAACCCGCGCCCCCGCCGCCGGTGATTGTCAAGCCCCCGACTCCTCCCCCACCGCCAGTCGTTTTGCCCCTCCCGCCTCCGCCGCCGCCCGTTGTCGTCGTCCCGGAGCCCCTGCCCCCTATCGAGGTCATCGCAGTCGATGTCGAGCCCTCGGTGAAGAGCAGCAAGTCGAGCAGGAGCAGCCGGTCGAGAAGCCACAGCCACTCACGGAGAGGCAGCCGCGACAGGGAGAGGGATATCAGGGAGGTGTACGTTGAGCGGGAGAAGCTTGTGCCCGTCCGGGTGCCGTATCCCGTCCCTGTTCCCGTCGAGCCGCGGTACGAGACGTTCCGGTACGTCGAGGGCCGGAGGTACTCGCCGGCCAGGATGCTGCCGCCGCCCCCGCCGCATGAAGAGGAGAGAATGAGAGTCACCATCTCCGACCGAAGGAGGGAGAGAGAGTACAACGATTACCACTACAGGCGGTGAAGCCTCAGTCGTTGTCGTCTTTGACTCTGGGCTTATTTTTCTGTTACCATGTGTTTGGATTGAATGTTTGGAATATTCTTTTGGGAGGTTGTTTGTTTGACTTGTGAGGGATACATGCCTGGAGATGATATCAGCGATTTTGATCTCGCGGCGTTACAGGTTTCTTGATACGATGAGACGGTACGACGCCGCTGGGATGGACTTTTGATTTTGATTTTTCATGGTTTATAATTGAGGATGATCAGTTTGATGAGAAAGCGATGACTAGCGAAAGCGATGCTGGGATATATGCCATGATAGAGAGAATACGTATGATGATATTCAGAAATGACGGCCGCTTTTACAATTTCATCATACCGCCCTTTCACCATGCTTATCCTCTACATAATCACTGATTATTGCTTGTGAGATACCGCGCGTTGTAATCGAGACTACACTTCATGCCTGGCCTTAGGTCAACTGCATCCCGCAAACTCGTTCAGGCCCATGTGATGTGTTGTCTAGAGTTCATGGATCGTACGGAGCTCACTCCGTCTCACTACTACTTAACCTTTGCTATAACTCTGTCCGAAAGAGACGTCGTCTTTCATGATAGTGAACGTGAGAAAAGCAGATTCAGGCGTTTACAGAGTGACCCAAATATCTCGTACATATCACGCCAAAAGTTCATGGAGATATATAGACAGAGCGTTCCTTCATCCGCCTAGAAACCCCGCGTGCAAATGCATGGCCTGCTCTCACCTCAATAACGTGATGACACAGAGACTGGTGTACGATGTGGAATCACTTCAGTCAAACACAGAACGGCGGAGAGGCCAGGCGGCCTTTCATTCTGGCTATCGTAATAAAGCACGTCTTGCCATCATCTCTTAGGACAAACGTCCCAGGGAAGTTACTGTACGAAACCCGAATTATATCAAGCTGCGACAAGACACAAAGCCGTAAAGAGGAAGGCGACCTTTCGCCCCGACCCTCAGCGATAGCATGCCTGCCCCCCACGGATACCCTCACTTCCAACCCTAAAGTCACGGAGCGTGGCAAAGCCTCAACAGGCTGGCTGGCATGTCGTCTAGATTCCCACCGGGAGAGCCGGTCAACGGACCAAGTCAATGAAGATGTCCTTGGACGTCCCGGAGGCGGCGGAGTGGGCATGATACGTTGACTCGTTGAGTCTTGCTCGCATTCGATCCACAATTTCTCCGTCTTGGGGGTGGCCTCTGGGGTCTTTGAGTAGTGGGCAGAATGATTAGCAGCGAGTATTTCGAAATGGGACCTGCATGAGTGATAGATTGAGTGACAGGGTAGATGAGTAAGTCCAGTTCTCGTTGAGAGATAGCGATCCGAGAAACACCACTCCCAACTTCCCAAGGTTAGCACGTGGTTAGAAGGAACCACATTTCCACGCCTCAAGCGTAGGTAAAGTACTATACAATATAACGAGATAGTTCAGGCAATCAATATAAATAGCAATACTCTACCTAGCGGGTTAATTGATAATGATACAAGGCCTTGGAAAGATAAGAGCCTCAAAAGTCGCGCATTTGAAAAAAAGAAAAGAAAAAAAAGATGAAGCAAAATGGAAAAGTGATTTGACACAAGATCTATAGATTATATGAACTAAATGACTTCGCAACAGGGTAAATGAGTAAGTCGCTCTTTCGACATCTCTATCAATTGCACACCTCCTCTATTTTTGAGATGCCCGAAACGCACTGTTTCGAAGAATCTAGATCACCTCTGTCTAAAGTCTGAGACGACGCCAAACCACAAACCCCGTCCCCCTCGGGCCCTTGAGGTTACATTTCTTCCTCGCCGTGTCACGATTTTGAATTCCCCAGGCCCACTCGCCCGTCCGTCCACGGGTGTCGGCAGGGCTGAAGGCTATATATAACCGCTTGGCTTTGTTTCTGCGCAATCGCGTCAACATCTCTCTGAAGCGCTTTCTCCTTTGCCCCGTGCAGCATGCTCCCAGGTTTGTCGCAGCGAAGCTGTCGTTGTCTCGCCAATCGTTATAAGGCGTCATCAAAATGATCTGACGGGACACAGCCCGCTGTCTCGGGAACCTAGAAGGCCAAGAATCTCATGATCGTCTCTGATCGCGTGCTCCCTTGCCAAATCCTCCTGCGAACCCTGCTACCAACGTGTGCGCGACTCCTGTAGAAGGTGATATCTCCTCGCTCGAGTGAATGATCTCTTCCGGGATAAGAAAGGTTGCTATTTCGAAGAACGCCCCACCGCTCCGGTCATCCAGCAGTGATCGCTGTTCGCCATCGGCCACAAGAGCCGAGTCTCCATCGCAAAGTTTCCAGGCCCCAGATCGGCTCGGCCCTGGTATCCGTATCTCTCATGGACCATGATACCGCGGGGGTTCGTGGACGATTGACTTGGCGTCACAGTTTCCCTGATGCTTTCTGGCCCCTGCCGTACAAGTCCCCATGCGAACCGTAGATGATTAATTCGTCTGGTCGCGTAAACGCACACCTACCCACGCGAACCAGTCGTCGACGGCTAGCTGAGGAATCGAGTGCCACAAGTCCGATATCCAAACACCACTGCGTCGACCCTGAGGCCTTCTACCTGTGACATGCCGGATCCAGACCCTTATGATCATGCGCGTACCTTCAATAATGGATACCCCCTAACTTGTAAGTCGCGGCCGGTACTAAACACCAAACGGTTTGTGATAATCCAGGGCGAGAACGGCTCGGACAACACCGGCCAAGACCGAAATATTAGTCTTGTCTCTCTCCTCTTTCGCTGCTTGACAAAATCGAATCTCCACTCTCGAGCAGGCAGGCAGGTTTCGAGCAGACGAATCAGAATGAATGCGGCCCCCCAAAGAAGAGTGTGGAAATTTCTCGGTGGACGCGGGCTCCGTTGCACTACAGCGGCGGCTCCGAAGATTACTGTGTAAAGGCGGGGACCGAAGCGGGACGCGCGGCTTGATTGACTTGGTCGTGGGATCACTTGACCCAGCCTGATGTGTTGAGTACGAAGTGCGTATTGATGTGGTCAACGATACCTGAGATCACTCGACGGCAGTGCGGCATCGTTGGGTTTCCTTACTTGGAGGATCTGTGGGAGTGTCTCCGTACCGGACGACAGATGGACCGTGTCGAAAACGCTGGCGTAGCTATCGACCGCGGGATTAGTACAGCATCTAAAAGTCAACGTGCCGGACAAATCGAATCTCTAGGTGTCGCTACAGGTATGCCGGCGCATCTTGAAAGTGGGTACGGGATCCTGGAGACCGTCGTTGAACGGCACTTGCGCCGCCTGTTCGGTTCCGTCCCGGGACCTCATCTTCTAGGAACTGGACCCGATCCGGGACCCCACGGCCTCCAACCTGCCCAACCCGGCACACCCAGGCAAGCAGCGAGTCCGGTTGAGGACCTAGGTAACCGGGGTAGCCATCATCCAGCCGTCCCTCGATGGGCCGATGAGCCGGATCTTGAGACGGCATGATCAGATGCGCTCAAGTAGTGCGTGGAGGCTACCATCGAACGAGACATCTCACTCGTAACATTGCGAGACAGGCTAGCTCGTCGCCGTTGTCAGCTGAACGTTGTGGATCGCTCCCATCGTTGAAACGGCATGGGGCTCCGCGTCTCATATGGGGGATTATCTCCCTCTTCCTCTCAAGGGACGACATGAAAGAGACGAAAGCTTGCATTGTGAACGCGTTTGCATGCCGATGAATTCGATCGTGACTCGAGGGATTCGCCTCGACCATCAAGTTTGGGGTGTTTGGTCGTGTGGCGAAAATTCGCTTCGCATGGCGATAGCGAGAGGAACTGCAATGCACAACAACGACTGACCGGCCTGTCCCCTGGGTGCGGGTTTGTCTGCGACAGGTGACAATTCGTGACAGCGTCAACGAGCAGGAGAGTGACAGGCTCGGTCTGGGGACGTCCTGCGCCCAACGAAGCCGGCCCATCCATCGTACCGACGGAAGCTGAGAGCCGGGGGACTGGAGGACCGTCCGATTGCCAGGACCCGTCATCTCAACTTCCGCAACGTGTCCGACAGCGGTGGTCCTACGATGTTTGCCTTGAATCGCGCCCTCTCTTCCCCGAGAGAGGGAAGAGAGAGGAGTGCACATGAACTTGGATACACACGGTCACGTGAGTAATCCTCGTAGTCGTGCGGCGTTCCTTCGTCTAGTCTAGCTGAAGCGGTCGTGGTGGTGAAGCGAGAAAATCTGTGACGAGATGCTTCCCCCCCTCCCCCCCGCCACTTCAGATTGATGGCGCATCTGAAACATGTCCGCGACGCCGGCTAGACTTCAGGCTGCAGATGGCGGGCGGTCATGGGAGCGACTGGTTTGGTGTTTCACCGCACTTTGCGGGAGAATACCGCGTCGTCATTGGATGGGATCGCAAAAGCCCGAATTGCAGGACGAGGTTGATGAGTTGATCTGCTGCACAGCTGACGGGATTCCGACCTTCCTTCCAGCGGACTTCGTCCCAAGTTTATTCGACCCCGGGATGTCGAGGGTTCGGGATGTCAACCGAATCCGTATTCACTTTGGTACAGTGATCCTGGCTTAGTTCATGGAGCAGTTGCTTGAAACTTGTCATTCAGAGATGTCGAAAGGCAATGATTCCATCTTGATGATACGACTGGTCCACACAGGAGTTGTCCCGTCTATAGTCTGGGCCGTCGACTGACAATGATGTTTAGAAAGTCTTCTTATAGACTGGGTGGTCGAGTTGATGGAGACCCAAAGAGGCAGACGGGCTAGAGTTGCTCCAGCCTAGGTCTGGCCGACGCAACTGCGTGACCCCAACACATGAGTCCTCATAGCAAGCATCTGCAAGCTAATTAGCTTGTCCCAAATCTAGTCAGTAATGGCCAATGGTGTCTATTCCATCCAAACTTAGCAGGCTTGATCCAGGGGCGAGGAAATCCAAAGCCAGTGTAATATGACTTATCAGAAACTCAGACCTTAGAAGCACAGAAGCTTACTTGTTCTACAGGAGACACAAAGAATCCATCCCGCGTATTGGGATGGGGCTGTGGATCGCCAGATTTGTGGAAATACAAATATTCTTTGTGCGAACAGAGGGGGGTTACAGCTTGCATGCCAAAAGTTCCATGTGATTTGAGGTCATCGAACACGAGGCTGCAAGTGATGCACAACGATTTCGGACGAAGCGCCTGGCCTAGCTTGCTGATTGTCGTTGATGAAGAAACATAGCGATCTCGCACTCTCGCTGGAGCAAACGTCACCAGAGCTTCTCCATTTCCAAATCATCTTCAGTGGTCGCGCCGCTTGGCGCTGTCTGAGGCGTCAAAGCCCTCGCATGCAGCTGGTTGTTTGTCATACAAACGAAACAACCGCTTGACGTATTCTGCAGCAATGGACGACCATAACAAAAATGAGCTACAGCCGTTGAGGTGCAGTAGCAGGCAGCTTCACCAGCGGAACTGGAGCTTCCCGATGCTTGGCAAAGCCCTCTTGAACATGGCCTACAACACAGCTGAGCCACACAATGGGTGGCCCAGAGCCGCTGTCTGGCGTGGTGTCAGGATGATTCGTATGCTGGGACAAAGCAGCGTGTTGTCTGACGCTCTGGCTGCTTGCCATAACCATCTCCAGTGAATTTAAGACGGCATCATGGGTTCTGACGGCATTTCGCCTTGGTCGCATATGGGACGAGGGGCTATTCCAATTTGCATTGCAATGAGCTTCCAAGTTCCCACCTGTCTTTCTAAGGGTCCAAGTCCTCTTGCCCGCCCGCAATGCTTGATTGGCTGGCTCTGCCGATCTCAACACTTGGCTTCCGAGGCGGCTGGCACAGGCCACCAATCGAGTCTCCCGTTCAGAGCGGCTTCTGGTTTATGAGTTCATTGGCGCGTCTCAAGGCGTTCGCGAGTGCAAGCCAGGCACGTCAAGCCGATCGCAATGCATGCTCCTTTTCCCAGTGGTGTCTCGTCGTACTCGACATGGATCTCGTGGCGGTTCGAACTCCACGGTACTGTGGGATCCCATTGCGCGCCTTGAGCAGCTCCCGGGCTTTCGCGGCTGTGGCTCGAATGCGCTCATGGTCCATGGAAATGGATTGAAATTGCTAGATCCACCAGCTATCAGGATCCAGGAACAACGGCCGCCGAGGCGCTACGGGAAAAAGCGACGCTGGAGAGGGGGTTTCCTGGTACTCGCTTCTGGTTCGCGCCCACAACACCAGTCTGGAATAGCTGCACTGCCGCCAGAGTGCATTCGTAGGCCGTAGTGTACACCGCTGCAGCAGTTTAAATTGGCATCGACTTCTGATGCTTCTGATCAGAACCTGCTTGGTCTCTTCAATGACCGGCTTTCTTCACTGCCATCTGTTGCTTGTTCCATCCCACTCCGAGCTCTCTCGTTGGCTGATCGAGGGCCGTAATGTCGACTTTATCAACAAGACCGGGGACGATTCTCCGGATCTGGAAAAGAACTGATGACTTGCGCCCGCGAGCCTCAGGGGCCGAAGGGAATTATCTTGCCATTTTGCTTCGGAATACCGGTTCCAAGCGGGTCCGCTGATTCGCCGTGTTGCCTCTCGAATTGGAGTACCGGTTTGTTGCCCCCTACGGATACACAATGAGCCTCTTCAGACCGAGGCAAGCTGCCGACCTGAACGCCTATGTACTCTGCGTCGCTGCGACCCCCCTCTGAGTGACATCGGTGGAAGTAGAGTCTGGAGCAAAGCCACCGCTCTTTCCTAGTCAAACTTGGCAGCAAAGGTTGTTCATGTTGTCTATAGACCGAGAAATTTCCGAGTTGTCGTCTTGCCAGCCCTTTCTAAAAGTGCTTGCACACAAGGATCAACAGCCGCTTGTCCCGGAGCTCAACGGCGTCTCAACTTTGGAAACTTTCAAAGCCTAGACTCTTCGATGAGATGTAGTTGAAAGGCGCTGGTGGGAGGCTTGAGCGGCTGCCCAGTCGAATTTTGTGACCTCATGACTTGGTTGGAACTGGCCCCGAGTCATCGAAGGCATGGTTCAGGCACGCAAAAAGCGCGCTGTTGGAGTGCTGTAGGAGTGCTGTAGTGAGCAGTCTATGGCCGGGTTTCCTCAAGCGCTCGGATTCGGACTTGAGCAATAGTCAAGTATCGCGTCAGGGAGCCAAGAGTGAAATTGGCGATTGAAGCTGGAGATTGGAGGGGCTCGACAAGTTTCCGGTGTTCTTCTTACACTAAATCACCGATCCTTCCGAGAACTGATTATCCCACGAGTCTAGCCCGTCAATTTGAGGGACCTTGGTTTGATAACTGCCCAAGGTTGTTCGCGTCGAAGTCGAGGTAACTTCCAGTTAGTAGTTGTGCCGCGGTGAAAACCGTTCTTAGAAGGTAGAGAATACTGAAGAGATGGTGCACCCGCACGATGGCGCAAGTGACGGGAGAGCCACCGGCTAGGTGAAGACGGCACGGGATGTGTCCGGCCATAATCGCCGGGCGTCGGGACGAAGTCGCCCGTGATGATTGCCAGTACGGGCACCTTAGCTCCCGGTTCAGCGTGCGTAGTCCTTAACTCTTGCTGACGGAGGATGTAGTGTTTGTGCGGAGTGCAGTGACTGTACCTGCAGAAAAGGTGCTACCTCCTGCATGACACATAAACATGCTAGACCGAGTATGGCGAAATACCTTGCAAGCCTAGCTACTCGCCTGGGCCAAAGGGGGGCAAAGTCATACAGCGAAAGCTATTCCCAATGGGTGCGACAGCGTGCGACGTGGCAGAATGCGTTTGAAGCAACAGGACAAGGACAGGATCCAGCCGACAGCTGCTCACGCATGAGGCCGCTGTGGAGTTTGTCATTCCCGTGAAAGCGTGACACGTCCAGTGAATGCTGTGGACGCGCCGCGAATAGCATGTCAAATGTGACAGCAAACGGAGGACGTAGCATTTGCTGGACAATCGTGACTGGCGAGGATCCCAGTTTCGGATGGATCCCATTCCAAGTGCCCACAGTTCTCTTTTTCTCTCTGTTGACATGACGGGCATTCGATCCTGGCTGGCCCAGACTCAGAGCACCGCCTGGGCCACTTTCCCGTCCCTGGCCCTGGTCTTGGGAGTCGAAGTGCTGATTTTGGAGTGGAGGTATCAAATGTCTGGGACTCGAGGATCTCAAAGAGGGACGAGGACCAAAGAAACCAGGAAAGCAGGGGTATGATTGGAGCAAACCAAGCAAAGACCCCTGGCTCCGAGATTAATTAAGGCCTTGGGTCGTGGCGTTAGGAATCTGGGGTGTGTGAGAGTGGCCCACAGCGCTACGGCACCCGTGCCATGCATGTATGGATGTGGTGGAGGAAGCATATCCGCAGGAGAACCGGAGACGATTTGGTTATGTAGAGGACGACTCAGCAGTCGAGCAGTGTAAGTGTCATTGGCCAGCCCGAAGACTCAAGTCTCTCCCAGTGCCGAAAACGAGCCTGAGTGCCCGATGCAGAAGATGGGCAGATGCCTGAAGGGTGATGGAGCCGAGTGCAAGGGCGGCTCAAACGTTGCGATGCTGATGAAGCAGGAAAAACATATGCGGCGGATGACGACGGCGGGGAAGCTCGAAGAGCCAGATGACAAAAGAGAGTTGGCGTGAGTGTGTAGGTACTTTGTAGTTCGTACTGATCTGTATGTATGGATAGACATGTTTGTCGTACGGACTCGTGACTGACATGTTTCAAGAAAGCCGGTGTTTCGGGAGAGAAGGCAAGATGACGGATGGCCACTCGCCAGCAGTGCGGGACATTCGGGACATTACGCAACGGCAATACGTTGCTGGTGTTGGCTGTTGAATATCTGGCAGGCTATTGGGTGAATTATTAGATGGCTGCGAAGTGTTGTGTTGTGGAGGGCGAGGTACTTCCCGGAGCCGAGCGGTCGAGAGTCCAGACCAAGGTCTGGGTTGGCATGTCGATTATTGAAGGGAGTAGGGGAGTTCCAGTCTATCAGACATATTGGCGAAGGTTGAACAACTGGTGGTGTCCGAAGATGCCTTGGGGCCACATCTAGCGGGCTCAACGAGCTGCTGCTGCTGCTGGCTAGCACACGTGGCTGACGTGGGAACCGTGGGCGCCCGTGTTGGTAAGGTTCCTACGGCACCTAGTGGTGCCGGTTTGCTGGTTCAGTCGTACGGTCTGTAGTCTGCACGAAGGGAGTGAGACTAAGGACAAAAGAAGACGGGATTCAGACGTGGCCAGAGGTTGAAGTCGAAGCAGAAACGATACAGCCTCATGTTCCAAGACAAGAAAGAGGTGCCTCACAGTACCTACCTTAAGCCTAAGGTGCCTTAGGTAATTCGTCAACCGATCTGGGCGAAGGTAGGAGCAAGGCAGGCTGCATTGAGTCCCAACTTCCGAGTGTTGTCTATTGCGGAAAGAACAATCTCCCCAGGTAGGTAGATCGGCAGTTTCCAAAGTAATTGTATCGACTCGAAAGGAAGGTGATATCGTGAAGGATCACCTACGCTGCACCTGCCACCTGCACCAATCAACAAGGTACCTGGGGGGGGGGGGGAATAGCCTTATGTAAGCCCAAGCACTTGACGTTCAATAAGGTAAGGAAGGTACGAAGTATGCAGGTGACTCGAGCAAGCCTCAGATTGTTTCTCACTTGCAAAAGAAAAATACGTGCAAGATGTTCATGAACAATCATCTTGGTCAAGACGTAATTTACTGAGGCAAGCCGCAAAGGTCCAGAACGCCATCAAAGCCATTCTGGCGGCAAGGCCATGGACGACAAACAACAAATTCAGGGTGACGGTTTCGCCATTGACACACCAGCGGCAGACCGGCTTTCCTGGGAGATGAAGACGTTTCTCACAACCTTAAAGAGTCCAACACTAAATGGCCAAGTCACCCTTAGCACGCGAACTAAAGGCAAAGGCTGACAGGGTTAACAGACGAAGACTTTCTTCGCTAGCAGACTGTCATCCCGGAGCCCCGCACCAAGCATCCCCTCTGAGATAGTGGCACGTGTATGGGACACCGTCATTCCCGCCCACCTTGGGGGCCAAAGGCTCCAAAGGGATACAACTATCGGGGAGGATACAGCAATTGCTCCGATGCTAGCATGTTCAAGGTCGAAGAGCGCGGGAGCCTCGAGTGCTCAGGGAGGGAGGGGATGATGGAAGGGAGGGATCCAGATGACCAACATCGAGATGCAAAATGAACCCCAGAGGTCAATGCTGATGGTGCATCGCATCTCTTTTGCGGCTTGCCAGTGGCCATTGTCAATCCAATCTCTTTGCCTCCTCCTCTTCATCTCCTCTCCACGTCCACGGTCACGTCCGCATTCTCTTCGACATCTTTCATCCACCGGGTGCCAGCGTACGAATACCTAGCACAGAGTATTCCATATTCCAACTGCATCCTTCCCCTTCTGGCAACACCTTGCAGCGGCAGATGCAGACACCAAGAACCACGAACCCACCCACACAACCAGGAACACACAGCAGAAGCAACAAGGGGACCGAACCTGCAGCCAATTCCGAGCCCACGCATCCTCCTCCTGGGTACAACGACTCTTTGGTTGTCTTTGGTCTCTCTGGCTGCCAAGTAAGTACCTTGTCGCGGATTCGGTCGTGTAGAGATACCTACATCACTCAAGCTTCTGGGTACCACACACCACCACCATCGACCGGCCACTTATTCCCCGGCACCCTGTTTAACCTTCAGATGTACGTTCCCTTCTCCCCCTCGTGCCCCCCTCCTGTTAAGGTCCGGTTGCGAATGCCGCTGCCGACCTGCGCTGAAGGATGGAATGGAATTTGGGCACGGATACACTCACTCAACTGGCTGGCTGGACTAATTATGCTGATGATATTCTGATCTTCTTATCCAGACTTCTAGGCTCTCCACTAGTCTTATTGACGGTCGACTCGAATGCTACCCTCTGCCACGTCCACTACGGAGTACGGTACCACAGATCAGCCTCCCTTTGCTAGTTGCTGGAAGCGGCAAGACGGGAAATAAGGGGTTTCTTTGATCCAAACACCACAACACCACAACATCAAATCCCCCCCCCCGGCGCTGGTCGACTTTGAAGCTGGTCTGTCTGGCCTGGCCCACCATCATTCGCGTTGCATTGCACTGCATTGTTCATCAGAAAAACCTACACTTCGGCCATCCCAACGGCCACATCCTCTCAACTCTCTGCTTCTGGCCTCACCTCACGGATGCCAAATCGTCCATAGCCGAGTTGCTTCTCTCTCTGTGTCTGTGCCAGCCAATGGTCCTCTCGTCCAGCATCAACCCCCGTCACAACACCACACACATACATACACACACGCGCGCACGCCTACCCAAGACAACGGGCACTTGTCTCATCCACGCCCGGCTGGCAGCATTCCTTTCACAAAGCATATCCGGCACCGCGAGACGGGCCCCCCATCCCTCCCTTAGAGCTCGGAGGACGCCATTCATCTGATCTACTCTGCTCTGCTCTGGCCCACGCCCAAGATACAACCTCTTTTTCATCCTTCTACATCCTCGTCATACGTCCTGCTTGCCCTGCAATATAACATCAACCCGTGACGACAACCTCGACTCCCAGAACCCAACCCAACAGAGTCAAAACCGGCATATTTGACTGACTACCCATTCGCATCAGAAGAGATCAGGGTCGACTCTGCTCCGCTTCGTGCACGACTGATTCCTCGGCTCCGCTCCCCTTCCGCGTCCCTTCCCGGCTGGATTCGCTCGCTCCCGAGAAACAAAAATAAAATACCTACCTACTCCGTACACTGCAATCTGCATCCCGTCTAGAAAGAGGCCGGTCTACATGCAACGGCAGTCGGGGTTACCCAGGCATCTCGAAACCGCTGCGAGGTTGTCCTGCGTTAAGCTCTGACCCTGCACACACCCCTAGTTGGGCCGCCGGCCAGTTGTCTTTCCGTCGCATTGCCCACCATGTCGCAGCTTGCGCTCCAGACTCAGAGTGCCCAAGGCTCAACTTCAGATCCTGATGCTTCTGGTACGACTTCCACGTCTGGTCCTCCTGTTGACGCACCCGCTTCTGCTTCTGCTTCTGCCGTTGCTGCTGCTCCTGCTGCTGATGCTGCTGATGCTGCTGATGCTGCTCCACGTCGTTCTGCTATCGCCCCTGGTGCTCATCATCACCCTCGCCTCCCTCACCAAAAACATCCTCTTCACCGGCTGCAGGTCGCAGACGTCTCCTCTTACTCCCCTTCTTCCAAGGATGGCCCCACGACAGGCCTGTTGATCCCAGCATCCGATCCTGCAAGCATTAGCAACAACAGCACCACCGCCAATACAAGCATCGCTGCCGCTACCGCTGCCAGTCACACTCCTAGCAGCACGACCAGCCCTCTTCTTACTCCATCTCCAAGGTACGTTCCACTGGCCTCCACAGGCTCTGATTACCAAACGAGTGACGGTCCACTCTTTGCTCTGGTTTGCCTGTCTGCCTCTCTCTCTCTGTGTGCCTTGCTTTTTCTTGCTGCCGCTGCTTCTTTCTCCTCCTTGACCCTACCACCTTACCTTGACTTTTGCACGCCCGCCGCCAGACAGACAGTCCTGCGACTCGCTCGCTTGTCTATCCACGCGTACGCCTACCACCGACCCCCAAAACCGCAGAGGCAGAGAAAGAGAACGCAACTTCTCTCTACCTCGATCCCCGGTCTGCAAGGATATCGTGTGCGTCTTGGCGCTCCGCGGCTCTTTTAATTTTGACTTTTCGCTCAACGCCGACTCTCTGGTTGCCTTAAGATCTATCCTGCTATATTGTGGGACTTGGATCCACGGCTCTGGCCTGGCAGCATATTGACTGATGCCCTCCACCCTATAGATCCCCTCGGCGCCCGATACCTAGTCCCCTCCACGAAAGCACCGCCATTTCTTCGCCGACGAGCCCTTTCTCTCCTCGATCGTCATCCTTCTTCCCACCCGGGGCAAGATTTCATGCCCACCGTTCTCGAACTGTCCCAGACATAGTCACGACGCCCACCGACGATTTCCGCTCTCCAGTAGATCGTTCGGGAGAACCGCAGACATATTACCAAAGTGATTCGTCCTGCTCATCCACCCCCGAACGCAGCACACTACGGTACGTGTGCGTCCCTTCGCTCCCTCCCGATTCGATCGATTCTAGTCGCTCCCCGCGCCGCCATACGTTACACAGCTAACAGACGAAACAGTCACAGTAGACCGAGAATATCACCGCTCCCTACGAATGATAACCGAAGCGCTTCCGAACCTGTTTTGATATCTAGGCCTCTCGCAGGCCCCCTCCGATCTCCAATGTCTTCTTCAGGAGGATTGGCCGCTGCGTCGCGGGGCAAACCAAGCAAAGGAGCGCCGCGAAACTCCTCCATGGACTCGGCCATATCGGCGATTTCCACAAAGTCACAGTCGCACAGAGGCGCGGCTGGAAGTCAGTCTGATCCCACAGACATTGAGGGATTGATCAAGACTGCAGGCAGCCCAGAGGCAGTAATCCAGTACCTTTTAAAAGAGAAGAACTCGCAATCGCAACAGAACGCGCAATTATGGCGCTTAGTCGACAAGCAGAGAGCCATGATTCTGGGGCTAAACAAAGACCTGGAACGGGCCTTGAAAGACAAGGAGAAATATCGAAAGAAACTCAAAGAAGTCATGTCAATACCGGAATTGACAGGGGCCGACGGATCGAAGACTGGCAGCAAGGTCCTCAAGATGCCCGTCAGTCGAGGAATACCAACCGTCGATGTCAGCGCTCCCAAGGAGCGACAGGTCATTGCACCGGATTCGCCAACTTTAGACTCCGACAGCCAGAAGCACTCTCCCGTGGATATGGCCATGGCCCCCTATCCGATCACACCTCCCGCAGACCAGCCCAACGGCCCTCCATCAGCTGTTGGTGCTTTGTTGGACCCGTCTCACGAGATGCCCAAAGCACATGAGCATGCTTATGACCAGTACGACCATGATGCCGAGGAACAAGCCGCGGAGGCGGCACGAAGGGAGCATGAGGACGAACAAATCATGGACCTTCCTCTGAACTTTGGGCTCCCACCATCCCGGAGCCTACCCAGCCAGCCACCGAGCATGCCTCCCCCTAAACCTCCCGTGGTATCGGAGCCAGCGTCCGCGTCCAGCGAAGGACTTTCGCAGTTCCCTGCCCCGCCACCACGGAAACCTCCACCAGCCCCTCTGCAGCTTCAGAGCCAAGCTCAACCAGTCGCTGAAGACGATGACTCTGACTCCGATTTCGACGACATCTTGGAGGTGGACGAAATCCTCACTGAACAACGCGGTCGTCGCAGAACGCGCGAGGAGGACGACCAGGACAGGGAGATCTTGGCTATTCAAGAGGCGGAGAGGAGAAGCTTGTCCAAGAAGAGCACCACACAGAGTCAGACGACATCACCGACTGAGGCTGTTCCCGAGGCCCCAACGGGTTTGCCGCCAAGCCCTCCGAAGAGGATGCAGCGCGAGAATGCCCCAGCTTCGTTGGGATCAGTTCTAAGTGCAAACACTCTCGAAGCCCCCTTGCTGAGCCCTGGTTTACCATCGAGCCCGCGTCCGTTTGGCAATCCGTCATCTGATAGCCCTGCACCCAGTGTGTCGTCGTTTCCTGCTGCACCTCTGTCGCCGCGGCCACCTCGCCAGCCGATCCCTCTTCCACCGGGTCACTCCCTTCAAACACCAGCAGGCCCGGAGCCTATGGTTCTCAAGAGCCCTCAGCCTCTGAACATTGTTAAGAAGGGGTGGGATTCAGCTAGCGACAAGAGTCGTGGCAGTCCCACTGAACGGGGACGCATCTTCAAGGGGTTCACCACCGAGGAATACCCTGATCTACTCCTACCGCCGAACGTCTTGCCGACAATCAAGGTCAAAGTTGCGTCCTCGCGCATGAAACCGTCTCGAGCAAGTCTGATGTCCTTGACCCAACTTGAAGAGGATCCTGTGTTTACCCTGGCCATTTTCTCGCGTTCCGAACCTGGCGAGCTTTGGCGGGTTGAGAAGGACTCTGCTTCGCTCGCAAAGCTCGACCAAAGGCTGAAACAGTGCCCGGCCTTCGTTGCAAAGACACCAGAGAGGTCGCTCTTCAGTGGCCATGCGCCTGCTAAGCTCGACGCGCGGCGAATTGCTCTCAACCACTACCTGGAAGAGCTTCTAGAGACTCCTCTTGATACGGCGAGTGCCCTTGAGCTTTGCACGTATTTGTCGACCCACACACTACCACCAAACGCAGACGACGCCGGCTCAATGGAGAGCATGGCGGAAGCCAAGGTCAAGACTGGTCCCGGCGGCCGCCCTTTCAGGACCGGATATCTCACCAAGAGAGGTAAGAACTTTGGTGGCTGGAAAGCCCGCTTCTTTGTCCTCGACGGACCGCATCTGAAGTACTACGAGACGCCTGGGGGCGCTCACCTGGGCACCATCAAGCTTCCAAGCTCTCAGATCGGCAAACAATCTCAGAGCAACGAAAACCAGTCACCGCAACCGTCTGCCAACTCGGACGACATGGACAACCAGTACCGGCATGCATTCCTGATTCTCGAGCCAAAAAAGAAGGACTCGAGCAGCCATGTGAAGCATGTGCTCTGCGCTGAGAATGACAGGGAAAGAGACCAGTGGGTCGATGCTTTGCTCAGATGGATTGACTACAAGGATCCGGAAGAAGACGAGGCCCATGCCGCGAAGCAGCAAGCCCAAGATCGCCAAAGTGCTACTGTGGCTGAGCGTGCCGAAAAGAAGAAGCAGCGATACAAGAAGACGGCTTCACAGCACCATCATCAGCCTACTGAGTCCGATAGCCTGATAGGTGTGAGGTACGACGCAACGTCTCAAGGCGACCTCCCTCACCACGGCGGACCTGCGCGTCCCAGAAATGCTGGACACATGCCAGAGAACAACCATCCTGTTGAACCCATGGGAATGTCCTCGCAGCCGTCCATGATGATCTCCGCTCCACGGGACATGCAAGTTATTGCCGACTCTGCTCAATGGGGCAATAGGGCAGGTCTTGGCGTCCCCGTCAACGAAGAGAAGAAACTGAAGAAACGAAGTTTCTTCGGGTTTGGACCCAAGACGAGATCGTCATCTGATGGCCAAGATTCTCTGTTTGGCGGAAGCGAAGGCGGCTCGTCAACACCGCCTCAAGGCGGATACCAGGGACCTATTCGCCAAGCTTTCGGGGCTCCTTTGGCCGAAGCCGTTCGCTACAATCACCCTGTTGATGTGAACGTGCCTCTTCCCGCCGTCGTGTATCGATGCATCCAATACTTGGACGCCAAGAACGCGATTCTGGAGGAAGGCATTTTCCGTCTGAGCGGCTCAAACGTCGTTATCAAGCAGCTTCGCGAGCGCTTCAACACCGAAGGCGACGTCAACATCGTTACCGACGAGACTTACTATGACATCCACGCCGTGGCGTCATTATTGAAGTTGTATCTCCGCGAACTTCCAACGACAATACTCACCCGAGACCTCCACCTTGAGTTCCTGTCCGTGACGGAGATGACAGACCAAAGAGATAAAATCGCCGCTGTGGCCGAACTGGTCCAGAGACTGCCCCAAGCAAACGCCACTCTGCTCAAGTATCTGATTGCGTTTTTGATCAAGATCATCAACAACGCCGACATGAACAAGATGACGGTCCGCAACGTGGGCATTGTATTTTCTCCAACTCTGAACATCCCGGCACCCGTATTTGCCTTGCTGTTGCAGAACTACTTTGGTATCTTCGGCTTGGAACCCGAGCAGTATGAGCTGCCGTCCTCGTTCGCCGAAGGAGAGACGGGTCGAGAGAGGTCAGGCTCCCTGCCTTCCATGAATAACGGGCTTCCGAATCGGCCCTCATACGATCCTTCTCAACATGCGCGCCCTTCCACATCAGCAGGGTCCAGTCAATCACCGCATCGCCAGAGACTGATGGATGCCATGACTGGCCAGCAACGTACCGGCAACACCCCCCCTCCTCTGCTACAAGACCTGCAGAGTGCTCGACAGTCTCCCACACCACCACCAAATTACCCCGTCGGCCGTGGCACAACATATGAGCCTCAATACATGCCATCTGGATACCAGAACAACAACTACCAGCAAATGGCTCGTGGCTACGATAACGGCTCTTCAGGGTACGATCAACCGCACAAGAGACGCGAAAGTGCCATATTTATGGGCAACATGGTCGGCCTCAACCCACAAAGCTCCAAGAGCCGATTGCGAGAAGAGACCCAGTTCTGAGATGCCTTACTTCGCCTGTCATCGGCATGGTCTCTTCTGTCTCACGTCCACCCCCTCATTACGCAAACATACCCACTCGTTCACACGCAGCGTTGATACCATGCCTTGCATATTTTCTTCACGTTTTATTTATTAATGCCAGCCCCAGGAGCATGGACGACATGATGGCGCCAATATACCCGAACATATCACACCAATCCGGACCGGCGCCGAGCGCTCCACTTCTATTTAATACCGATCACCACCTACACACATCTGGCGCCTCTTTGAATTGTCAATTGTTTCACATTCGCGAGTCGAAGTAGGAGTGAGTTTGATGCATAGTGTCTGATGGCAAAGTGATAACCCAGACCATCAAGCAATGAGTCTGAGGGACAAAATTTGTATCATATGGACACAGGAGACTTTGCTGTTCAAGGCGCCGCTGGGCCCCATGTGGTTTTTGGTGGTTTATGCTTGCTTTGTTTCACAGATCTCAGCATGGCGTTGACGGTAATGAGCTGCGAGTGGCACCTCGTCTCATGGTTTCCGGGATCGCATGCAGCGAAGGTGTGGCTTTAGCATTCTACCTATTTAGTTCAGCTTAACAACGGAACCATTTTACCAATGATGTTTAAATTTGAGGGGACGAATTACGAGCAGTGCTACAAAGTAGAGAGATGGGGGGGATGTGATTGTCCTTTTCAATGTCTCTCGCCTGATACGCGCTGTCCATGCTGCTGACTAATATTTGTTAGTGACGGAAAGGTCGGCGCACACCCATCGGCCACAAGTCTCCGCGCCCTCCGCCGAACAAAGGTCGGTATTTTCTGTCGCCGTCACCGATCATCCGATATTGGCTTTCAGTACTGCACCTCGTCAAGCTCCGCCCGAAATGGATCACGGCGCCGCAGTCCTCGACCCAGCACTACGAAGCGCGGAGCCCTCGAATAATAATGGTAGCAATGGCATGAGCGGGACACCCCAGGGCGGCGGCGGCGGCGGCGGCGCCTACCACGATGACGAAGCCGCTGCTGCTGGAGCAAGCTCCGAGGGTCAGGGACAGGGACACCATCATCACCAGCACCACCCCGACTCCCCCGAGACACCTCACTCTGGCCACGACGGCGAGACACCGCAGCACGAAGCGCTCCACGGCGGAAACCCCGACGACCCCAAGCGGCCGCGCGCGTGCGAGGCGTGTCGTGGCCTCAAGGTGCGATGCGAACCCGATCCGAACGATACCGAGGGCCCGTGTAAGCGGTGCAAGAAGGCAGGGAGGAACTGCGTCGTGACGATGCCGACGCGCAAGAGGCAGAAGAAGACGGATTCCAGGGTCGCGGAGCTGGAGAAGAAGATTGATGCGTTGACGGCGAGCTTGCAGGCCCGCGGAAGCTCCGCGGCGCCGAGCGCGAATACTAGCATGCCCACGCCGGGTAGGGACGAGAATCCGTATAAAAAGGGGTGGGTGGGCCACGGGCTTGCGAGGGAGTGGACTTCGAGTACGGTTGCGGGGACGGGGTTATCTGTCGAAGGGCTCGATCCGCAGGAAGCGCACGCGGCGGAAAAGGGGCGGTTCGATCACATTACTTTGCCGGGACCCCCCGCCGCGGCAGGGCAAAAGAGGAAGCTTTCGGACCGCGGGGATGATACGCCGAGCGGTAGCGATGTACCTGACGGGGGACAGATTGGAGCCAGGCCAGCGCCGCCGATCCACATGGGCAGCGACTACGCCGACGTCGTGGAGCGCGGGATCCTGAGCGCGGAGAAGGCGGCGGAGCTGTTTGAGCGGTATAACACGCTCATGGCGCCTCATATGCCTGCGGTGGTGTTCCCGCGGGGCGCGACGGCGGAGGAGACGAGGAGGGCGAAGCCGTTGCTGTTTTTGGCTATTATGGCGGCGTCGAGCTCCGAGAGCCCTAATGTGCAGCGGAGGCTGGTCAAGGAGCTGATGCAGATTTTCGCCGAGAAGATTATTATTACGGGCGAGAAGAGCTTGGAGATTGTGCAGGCGCTACAGGTGGCTGTGATATGGTACTGGCCGCCCGAGCACTTTGAGGAGCTGAAATTCTACCAGCTCGTGCACATTGGCGCTGTGATGGCGCTGGATATAGGGCTCGGAAGGCGCACGGCGGGCAGGAAGATGCAGATACCCTACCAGTGGCGCAACCACCCGTTCAAGAGGGCGCCTCCTCCCGACCCGACGACGAGCGAGTGTCGGCGGGCGTGGCTGGCTGCGTATTTCCTGGCCGCCAACACCTCCATGGCGCTGCACCGGCCGAACCTGGTGCGGTGGACGAGTTTCATGGCCGAGTCGATGGAGGCGCTGCAGACGAGCGCGGACGCGGCGCCGAGTGACAAGTACTTCTGTCATCTGGTGTGGACGCACCGGCTTGCGGAGGAGGTCGGGATACAGTTCTCCATGGACGACCCGGCTGTGGTGCCGAACATTACGGATTCGAGGACGCAGTATTCGTTGAGGATGCTGGAGAGGGATTTGGAGAAGTATAGTGCTTCCGTTCCCAAGGAGGAGATGCAATGTGAGTTCCTCTCTCTCCCTGTGACATGATTATGACGATGGTGTATGAAGGCTGTTACTGACGACTACGGATGAAGCAACCCTCAAAATGTCCTTCCACGTCCTCTCGCTCTACATGCACGAAATCGCCCTCCACACCCAAATGGACGACATCCGCCCGCCCTTTGACACAGCAACCCTCAAAGACGGCATGCTCACGAACCTAATCCTAACAACCTCCCATATCAACGCGCTATCAGCATGCCTCTCAGCCATTGACGGCATCTTCGAGGCCTTTTTAGCAATGGAGGTACCCAGCATCCGCTGCCTGCCCGTCTTCAACTTTGTTCGCGTGGCGTATGCCGTTGTGGTGCTCATCAAAATGTACTTCTCCGCCACGGCGCCGGGGTCAGAGCTGGGGAGGGTGATTGATAAGGATAATATGAAGGTGGAGTATTACCTCGACGCGTTGCTGGAGAAGTTCCGCGCTGCTGCGTTGGATGATCGCAGTCGGCCGGCGGCCAAGTTTTTGATTGTGTTGGTTATGTTGAGGAGTTGGTTCTTGAAGCAGAGCAAGGGCCTTGCTACAGGTGTTCCCCCTGGGTTCGCGGAAGCAGCAGCTGCTGCTGCTGGGTTTAAGGGTCCGAATTCGCAGTCCGAGACGCCGGCTTCTGCTGCTGCGCAATCGTCTTCGAGGCGGCCGGAGGCGACGCCCGGTTCCACTGTCGCTGATGAGCAGCAGCAGCAGGCGCAGCAACGGGCGTATGGGGGGCAACAGCACCCGCCGATGCAGGAGTATCCCGCCGCCAACACGCCTCTTCACCTACTGTCGGAAATTGCCACGCAAAATGATCGCTCCGGCGGCGGTGGCGCGGCGAATAATATCCTCTGGAACCCGCCCCCGTCACGCCAATCCTTCCTCTACGACCCCAGCGCCGTGACGCCTACCCCGATGGACGGACCTGGTTCCGGGCCCGGGACAGCGGCGTCGAGCGGCACGGCGACGACGACGGTCGCGGGTGCGGCTGCCGCAGAGCAAGGGCCGGGGCCTAATACAGTGGCACCCTGGTTGAATCCCGTCTGGACAAACGACTTGCAAGATTTCGGGCTCGACCCGGGCTTCACGAATGATTTATCACTCGAGGAGATCACCACGGGATTCGGGACGAGTCCGGGGAGCTTGAGCAACGGGATGCGGTATGTAATGGCGCAGGATCCGTGGTTGAGCGGGATGAGTGGGCTCGGGGAGATTTTCGAGGGGATGCCTGGGGGTTCGGGCCCGCCCATGTTTCCCATGTGAAGTGAATGCCCTCGGTAATGGGTTGCGAATTTCACGGGGAGTTCACGTTTAGTGCAAGGCCGCTCCGATGACCCTCTCGTTGACGCACATACTTACAGCGGAAGCGACGGCGTCGGTGTCCGGGATTGGGATGAACTTGATGGACGGGCCCGGATAAGCCGGCTGGGGGGATTGAAGAATCTAAGTCTTGTTAGGTCGGACGTCGGGGTTCGATCATGCGGCTGTCACTTACCACCGACCACCGACCTCCGGGCTCTGTTCCCAAATGTCCGTCTCATTCTCACCTCAACTTTCCGCCGAGAGGGGGGGACATGAAGCTTATTCCCGAGGCCGGGCCAGAACCAGGACAAGATTTATCAACCAGTTCTCTTCTGGCTAAGCTTCCTGGCGACGGACGCTTCCAGATCTTCTCGGACCTGGGTATTTTGGAGAAAAGGCTCGGAGCCGACAACCATCACAAAAAAACCCAACGATATCTCATACATCCCACTTCATCTACATGAAACTACCCCTACTACAAGATTGAAGAATCTTAGTTACGGCCGAAGACGGATCTGGAGGCTTTTGGGGAAGGAATAGGGGGGTGAATGTTGGAGCTAGAGGGGGAACCTGGGCGGGGAGAGGAAAATTTGATTCTTCTGACATCTCCCAGGGTTCGTTTTGGAACATAGAGTCAGGCAGAGAGGATGGAGGGAAGTAAGGGCCAGGAACGTTTGTTCTGATCAAGGGACGAAGCGACGCGGAGTCTCGCTCCATACCCTTGTAAAGACCGGAATAGGCGCGCATTTTTGGGGTGGATGGAATGGGCGTGGAAGAGAAGTCGGAGCTGAGTTCGGTCGCTATAACACAAGTGAGTTTTGTGAAGGGGGAATTGAGTTGGATTTTGACCACCCATCCAATACTCCATCTACGAAACTTCACAACCCCATTTGCATGTCGGATTCTGGTTTTTTGCGCGTGTTATTTTTTCATGAGATACCTATGTACGATGAGTTGATGCTAGGAAGGACTAGCTAGGCAAGGTCCAAAAAAAGGAATAGATCTCTCCCAGTTTCCTCCGTACATTCAAACACACATACCTGAACTAATCACTACCTACCTACCTTGTCCCATCCACATTCGATGTTGACTTACAAACGGAATGAGTTGATTCATGACTGTCTATCCGCCCCAGATAGGACGGGACCTGCGGTGGCTGCCAACCACTGCTTCACGTGGGGAATGTGATATCAGAAAGCTCCGTGGAACCAACCCGTCTCCCCGAGTCCACCTGCTTGCTTGCTGCCCTACGAATTCGCCGCCGACTAGTGAGACCTTGCAATCCTGGTCCCCGACGAATGGGAACGAGATACCGACCATCCGGAATGGAGGCCCAGTTTAATCCCACGCTGTGTCTTTCGGGGATGCCTTGGCTGCTTACCACCCGTGCCTAACAAGTCGCTTGCCGCGACCCGAAAGGCACACATTCACATTTAGGTACTCACCCTTCGTATTTGGCCGTGCTAGATGAGGTCTCACTTAATGATAACAAGATAATGGGTAGGGACCGCGAAACTTTTGATTCGGGTCCGAGCTTGTTTCTCATGGTAGCTAAGCTCGGCGTTCGTCGCCGGCCGTTCATCCGCCTCTCGCCCGGGCTGTGTGCCCGCAACTTAACCCCTCGTCCAAGACCGGCCCTGTTGTGAACTCTGTACCTATCGCGACCGCCTCATAAAACGCAAAATCCATGCTTTCACACACACTCAGTCTGTTCGGCCGCCGGCACGAGCCCGTCCTCCAACCCAAGCCTCTCGCCGCGTGACCGCTAGCGATGAATCGATGATTGGGAACCCTTCTCCGTACGCCAGACATAATCACTGTCGAGATCTTGACACCATCAACATTCTCTGATGTGCCGCAAGCAATAGCCAGGCATGTTCTTTTCCGGACCAATTTTGTTTTGGAACCCGAAATTTTGCAATTTGCGATTGTCCTCCCCCATATTCCCCATGCCGTTTGTAAACTCCCCGTGAAATTGCAGTTGCATTCCGCTTCCGTGATCAAAATGTGAGACAACGGTCTCATGTGCATGTGGAATGGAGCTTCCCCGCTCAGTGTGCAGCCGCAACTGGGCTGCATCACAACCAACCGAACGCCACGTGGGGTTGAGTCGATAGAAAGTGTTCCCCAGCTTAAAAAAATTAGACAGGGATGAAGGACGCTCAAAATCCGTGAAACGCTTGATAATCTTTTTCTCGTTTTCCGAGGTGAAAATCATGTTCTTGCAGTGAAGTGCCATCATTGACGGGGCTCATTACGATAGCATGATGATCAACATCAGTCGTAGTAGCCGTTCCTAACATTGACTTTTCAGTCCATGTAGAAATCGCCCTTGAGGATGCGTTCCTGGAAGGCATCAGGCTTAGGTCGCTCGGGGGCCTTGGGCTTCATGGCGGCAGCTTGTGCCGGGGGAGCAGGCATCTCGGAGACTGATTTCTGGCGGTCGTGGACGGCGCCATTGCCGGGGCCGCGAGGAGGAGAGGATGAAAGACCAGAGCCAAAAGAGAAGGATGCTCGTGGCCCTTGAACAGAGCTCTCTGCGCGAGATCTAAGCTGCTCGGACCAGTTGAAACCTTGGTCTGGGCGAGAGAACACGTCAGAAGATGATCTTTGCTTGTGTGCGATGCTTGCCTGTACAGTGCTGCTGGATCGACGCCTAGCCGACGACAGAGCAGCAGCGATGGACGAGGTATTGGCTGGTGATGTGGTATTTGCAACCGAGCCAACACCTCGCGGGGAGTGCACACTGCTGCGTCTGTCGAGGGAGGCAGGAGTATTGGGCACGGGAGTGGCAGAAGCAGAGGGTAAATCGTTACCGTTTGAACCCGGACTTCCACCGCCGTTGCGCATGGTGCGCATTGCCTGAGCTCCAAAGCTCATTCTGCGGGTGAAGGGAGTGGCAGGTGCTGTGCGGGCGTTGGGGGGGATCTCCTCCTCGTCGATTGCATTCTCATCGATAGAGTCGTTAGAGTTGGTCGAAAGACTTCCCCGTCGGAGAGAGTTGAAAGCACCAGCGCCAGTAGGCGAAGTGCCGGTGAGGCCGAGACCGGTGGTGACGGAGAGTCTCCGTCTCTGAGCGTCGCTGGTGCCAGGGAAAGCACCGCCGTTGGAGGTAGAGTTACTTCTGAAGAGACCGGCAATAGCCTGCTGGGTGACTGATCCACGTCTCTGGCGATGCATTTCGTTCGGGTTGTTCTGGTTGTTCTGGTTGTTCTGGTTGGTATTGGAGTTGTCGGTGGACATGATGGGCAAAAGAGATGGCAAAGGAGCGAATTGGGGGCTGTAGTATATGTAGTCGAGGATATCGGTATGTCGTGCGTCGGGTTGTTGTATGGGTTGAGGTAGTCAGAGGGTAGTCCAAGTTGTGTTTCGGAGATGCGTCTTGCGTGGGGTGAGATCTAGAAAGAATCGAAAGAGGGATCGAACGGGGAATCGTTCGACAGGTGCGGATGTGTGGAACAGGGTGGTTATATATCGAGGTGGCCGATGGACTGATTTGGGGTAACACTAGGGGCGGGTTACGAAAGGTTGATCACAAGGGAAGGGCCTGGGATGGGATGAGCATACCTCTGTAGTGCGCCGTGGAAAGGTGTCGATCAAGGGGTTTGCTCGCCTGGCGAGAGTCAGAAAGAGAGACTTATTCGTCTTTGTGCTTCGTTTGTGCGTTTGTGCTGGGGGATCGACGAGGGAAGCGTCCCCTCCAAGCGGCGCTTCCTGCACAAGCAGCAAAGCGGGTTGAAGCTCTAAATTGAGTGACGTCGAAGCTTAGGGGGCAGGTCTTGGATCAGTGGCAGCACCCTAGGTCGGTCAGGTAGCAGGGGGAGAGGGGCAGGGAGGGCCAGATTGGCAGAGTAAACGGGCTAGAGAGAGTTGGGAGGAGGGGGGGTGGCTGGTGTTCTCACTGTTCTGTAGTGGTCTGGGTGAAACGGTGGTGTGTGCTTGCGTGCGTGTGTGCTAGAGGGTGCTTTGGTGTTGGGGACAGGCTGCTGGCTGGAAGTTGAGCGGATGGCGTGGATTTGCTTGCTCAGCCAGGACAGGCAAGTGATGGTGGGATGGCGGTGCGTGTGGGGAAGAGGCGAATGCGGTGTCGGATGGTCGGTCGGTCGGCGTGCGTTTGAGAGGCCGATAATAGCTTCTTGCGGTCTCTCGGTGGGTGTATCTGCAGGGAAAGGGGCAACGCCCGACGTCAAACGGAGGCAGATAGATGGCACGACGGGTTCCAAGCTGGATCTTAGATAGGGGCCTTGGGTTGGCCAGGCAGGCAGGCAGGCTGGAATGCTTGACAAGCCCACAAGCTGCTATCTCTGTGATGTCGTGATGAATGTATTTTATGGCTCTGTGTGGGTAGTGGTGGGTTCCTGATGGTTTGCTGATGTAGGTATTGCACTCGTATAGTAGTTCCGTGGAAGGGCAAAAGAGAGGAGACAGGCAGATCAAGAAGGTTTGGTGTCGACACAAGGATCGCGATGTTGATGGAGAAGGGTTCAAGTGTGTGTCTGCCAAGTTGAACGGCAATGGAAAGACTGGAGACCAGAGGAGGCTTGTTTGATGGAGCCGGGGAAGGAACGCAGTTCACAACTTGCTCCTTCTGCTCTCCTGAGTTCTGCCTGTGTGCCTGCCTGTCGCTCCTTCCCTCGTCCTCGCTCTCGTTCTTGCCATTCGTACTCTTCCTCGCAACGGGCATCTGCACCTGCCTGCACCTCTGACCTGCACTAGATATTGGTGAATACCTACGTGGAGGGAAGGAGCCACCACGAGTCCGCGACTATCTTGAAGTGAGAGACAGCCTGGAGTACTCAAGTACCTATGCCAAGTTCAGCATGGAAGGTTGGCGCGGAGGCTACGGCAGCTTCCACACCCTCAGCACCTTCCTCGCCCACGAGTTCACGACCCTGGCTGCCCACCCAGCGCAGGCTCACAGACACAACACCCAATCACGGAAGGCATGGCCTCAGCGTTGCTTCCAGCAAAGACACTTTGGCGGCATTGCGCACGGGTACGTATCCTTCTTAGCGCAGTCCCTAGTGCTGGACGTGCTGGGCTAGCGCTTGTAGCCACTTGACGGCCGGGATTTGAACCAGCCAGACCCCCGCTTGTCGACGTCACCCAATCGAATGATTTGCGGGGTAATCAAACTCTCACCTGCACTTGCACTTGTACTTGCACATGCACTTACTACCCAGACTTCCATGCACTTGCCAGTTGAACCTGTCTCTGACTGCTGTGGAAGTCACGCCGTTCGTTTGTGCCTACTCAAAAGTGTTTGCGTACTCTGTACCATCCATACAGATGGGAGGAAGGAGCTGGGCTGCAGATGGAAAGATTTTAGCAAGGACCCAACACGGGAAAGAAGGGATCCTCTTCACGTTCTCCGGGTCGCTGTTTTTCTGTCTCTGATTAACTGTTTCTGTCTCCCACCTGTCTCTCCCCCAGTCATCTCATTCGTTATGCTAATCTTTTTGGGAGACATTGGGCCGTAATTAATCTTCGTTTCCTATCCGCATTTTATGTCTTCCCTTTTTGCTATCACTGCACATCTTCTGCTCTCTCTCTCTCCCCTGCCTGTCCCCCCTTGCCCCCTTCCCCCTCAGTCTTGCATCAGAACCGACCATCTGCGGTACGTACCCCCCCCCCCCCCCTTTTTCAACACCCACACACCACAACCACCATCGCCAAACACTTGTGACTGCAAAGATTCCCACACAACTCAGCATCTGCAGACTCAGAGACATTCATCCACCTCGCCCGCTGCCCACCACGCATACGGTTGCACTCAGTGTATACCAAACTCAATGCAGTCTGCCGTCTGGGCCACCAAGCACACGCGCGGACAATAGACAGACGTCCCATCTCGCGTGCCATCGCATGCCTGCTCTCGCCACTTTGGACCGTCAATTGACCACCATGGGGCCATCCGCAAGCACCATCATCTGCCCATGTTTCTGCCACCTCAAACATCTCGAGCTTCGGAAAACGAACTCTGACTTCAGGCCAGATGGAAAAGGCCAAGATCTCGCTGCACTTTCCCCACCTTGTACGAAAACCAAACTTTTGTCAGCGGGAGTCGTGCCTACTCTTCCAGTCTGCCAACCATTACCACAGACCTGTTGTTACTTGACAAGCTCAAAGTCTATGGGTACTCTCCTCCTCTGAACCCAAGACCCTGAGGGTCTAAGCTGCTTTCCAAAGCTTTCCGATGCAAAAGTTGCCAAACACGGCCAAATAGGTGACAAAATAGGATGCCGCTCGACACCCTAGCTCTATCTCTACTATTCCTGCTACTGCCATAATTACTATTCTTCTTCTTCTTGTTGTTCTTATTATTCCTATATCATACTTTTCTAAGCTTATTCTATATTGAATATATCAGACACGGGAAGTCGTAAAAATGGCAGTAGTAGGAATAGTCGAAATAGAGCCAAGGTACTTTGTGTTGAGCGGCAGACTAGGTATTCTGTCACCCACTTCGGCCACATCGAAATCTCCAATTCCCTCCTCTTCTGACCAGATTCTTAACCCAGCTTGCCAGCCCTCGCTCGGGTCTCTTCAACCAACACGAGCGGCCGTCGTGTCACCATCCGGTCCTCCTTCAGTCACGTTGGGTGTGCTGTACATAGACTATTGGCACCTGGGCTACCTTAGCTCGACATATTGGAGTTCGACGCCTCCTCCTTTTCTATCTTTGATAGCGTCCACCTGGCATGCAGACGGGCCCTAGCAAGTGCTGCCCGGGATAGACAAACCATCCGTCAGCGACATGCACACTGCTTCAATAGCCCTCCACCGCTTAGACTAGGATGCATTCCAGGCGGCACGCAGGATCTCAGCGACGAGAGATTGGCGAAGCAGCCTGGCCTCTCAGCCGCTGGAGACAGGGACGTGGGCAGTGGGGGTTGGTTGGATGGCGAACAGTACGGATACAAAGTCTTCTTCAACTTATCGATGCACCTTGCCGGCTACTCGAGTCAATAAAGTGCCCGAAGCAACTAAGCAAAGAGGGGAACATGTTTCTTTTGACGCAACTTCACGACTCGCCGCACTTTCTCCATGCACGCTTATATCCCATGTCGAAACTCGACGAAGAACTCTGGCACCGCACCTGGTATATCGTGGCACATATTGGAACGTTTATCTCCTCTCTCTTCTGTTGATGCTCTAGATCTCACCCCTCCCGAACCCGTCATCCCTCCCCAAGCCAACCAGAACACCGCCGACCTCCCCGAACCCTGGTCTGACCAACCCTTCTGTTCAACAACTTCCCCAGACTATCCACATCCGCAGCTCCCTTCCTGACTCGTTACTGGGATTCCCATCCGTCTTCGTCTTCGTCTTCGACAACGCTCGACTTGGTCTGCTTCCACGCAAATTTCCGGGTCTCAACACCAGCGGGCCCTATTTCGCACGCGGATTTGGTCATTGGCCAGATAAATCCCCGGCCTGCCAGATTAGCCCTCCCGCTAGTAACAAGACAACCGTGAACCGTTCTCTGGCCACGCAGCTGGCTTATCTTGGCAGCCAGCCCGTCCAGCGCAGTCTGCCCGGATTTTGCGGCCGTCCCACATAAGCCATGCGTCTTATTGTGTCACGAGAAAGCTTAATGGCAAGAGGCTTGCTCCATTGGTGACGGCCATGTTGGGTCAAAGTCCATTTCCAACATTTCTCACCAGATAACACAGCAGCGGCCAGAGATTGCCACCTCCTCCACCCGTTCGCAATTCCAAAGCACCTGGCGGGCTAGCACTGCAGTTCGCTTCCCGGAGGTCCGGCTCCGCGCCGCGGTAGAGCTCCCGGTGGACCCTGAGCTCGCGGCACAGCATATGAACCCAGCCAGCAACATGTGCAACAACGGTCACGGGCCGCATCTTCTCCAACTCCCTGTAGGTTCTGTTACCCCGCCTTGTTTGAATCAAATTCCGAGGTGGTGGGCGAGAGTTCAGTCGCAGGCCAATCTATGCTCTCTTATCTCTTGCTCAATTCGGGCTTTCCCTGTCAGCAAGCATTAGGCTAGTGATGAGGGTGACGAAATGATTGTCACCGAGGGTCTTGTCAAGCGGTTGCGTAACCCCCGCTAGACTGTCAAGGGAGGTGAAGCCATAGAGAATGCCCAATCATTGCCTTGTGCGAGCACGTTCGTTCCATCGAAGTAGACCGTTGTCTGTGGTGTTATCTGCCAGAGGGCTTTAGCTAAATCAAGCCAAGACTGAGCTATGACAGGGTTGCAAGACATCCAGATGCCGGTCAATCAAGCCAACTCTATTTCAATGGCGTTGTAAAGATGGATGTTCTTCCTCTGAACCAATGCATCAATTCTGAGAGAGTTGTTGCCAGTCCCGACTCCCTTGGGCCTGTACACTGAAGAGAAGGTGCAATGGCTTGACCGGTCAGCGGGGTATGACAATGAGCGTTACGTGTGTGCTCTGAACTCTGCCTGTTCACGGAGACCGGTGGGACAAGAATTGGAGAAATTCAGGACGGACTTTTGCACGCAACTCCTGCTGTTTGCCAACTCGCTGAAAAGGAGATCTGCAGTAGTAGAAGTGGTAATGGAATTATTCTCGAGGGCATAAGATGGTACGAGGCAGTCTTCCACCATGAGTACATGTAGCAGCCTGGAGATCTGCCTCCACCTTCCGCATTGGTCTGTCGTAGGACTTGAGGCAGGCTGTGATGGACTATGTCAGGTAGGTTGAGATACTGATTCATTCTGGCGATGATCGATGTTTCTGGCTCATGTGAAGTTCCCCTTGCTCTTTTGTACTTCAAAGGTGAACTTGTGCTTCGCCTGAAGATTGGGTTTCAGACTCGCAAGCATACAACATCAAATTTCACCTTCTGCCTGAAATATCCATTATATCGTGTAGCCGAACGTGCCAACCTTTTTGCCACCAGCTTCATACCTAGATATACCCTCCATTCCCATATCCTAGCTCCGACAATCCTATCAAGAATCGATGGCTTCAAGGCTGTGGCTTAAATTGCAGCTCCCTACCTTATTGAACTATGGCGTCCGTTGTCAGGAGAAGTTGGAGTGGTTCTCATTGAGAGACGATGCCTCTTAGTATGGCTGAATGTGCAGACGTCACTGCCAGAATTACCCGTACAATATGGGACCGAAAGTCTGTTGAATGTATAAACTCTCATTCTCCAAGGATTGATATCTGGCACAGCAAACAAGATGTGGTAGTAGCTGGCTCTTGCATTAAATACCTAGGTCGATCGGGATGGGATTCCCATCAGACACCTTACTAGGTACGCTGCTTAGGTGCAACTGTATAGCTCAATGCCGTGTATACGCGTTGACATTATGAGCCGGATCTCTTCAAACGAAGCTGTTGACGATGATGTGTGTTTACGTGCACTTACCTAAGTATCGAGGTTTTGGGCCTGGCCAACGGCGCGCAACGTTAGAACTTGGTTTTTGTTATAAGCCTAGATTATTTGTTTAATTTTATTTTTCTATGTGGTGGTTTGTTTTCCCAGCTTTACAGGCGCAAAAGATCGACCTCAAGGGGATCTCAAGGGGACCGTTTTCAAGGGAAATCACACGATAATTTTATTTTTCTGTAACTACTCTTTTTAACTTTCAATATTATCAAAAGCTAACCAAATAATATCCCCTGCCTATGATAGTAATGTAAATTCCATTATATATTTTTATCACTAATTCCGTCCTATTAATAATATTGACTAATGCTCAATGAGGTTTGAGCAAAGTTTAGTAATGCAGCTGAGCTTCTCCTCGTACTTATTCTCTCCCTCGAGAATCTGACTCGCTGTCTGGAACCTCTTCCACACCTCAATAAACTGCCCGTTCTCCATTTTGCCGAGCCTGTGGAACGCCGTCTTCAGAATAGTATGTTGGGCAATCCTGTTGACATCATCCGGGTGCACAGATGCAAGCTCCGGGCCGGCAACGTGGTCCTCGCCTTGCTGCATCCTCGCCATGAAACTTCCCAACGCGCTCGCCTTGAAACAGTACGTGATCATGGCAGCCAGGCCGGCAGCGAGAGCTGTGGCGATACTCGACCCTGTCGACTCCTTGCTCGCTGACATCTTATCGGAAAGGTACGCCGGCAGACGCTTCCACTACTCGTGTTCACGTTGACTCCAGGAAAGATGAAGTCGTTATTCTTCCCAGCATGGCCATAAACACTACCGTCATCGTGCGCCGCACCAATAAGAAAGAATCTTGAACGTCTGAAAGCCGAGGGATAGTGGGGAGCTGCAGAGATCTGGTCTGGTGACGAGCAAAACATCAAAACGTTCTGATTGCATGCCCTCTCCAGGACTAAATAGAGAAGCCGCTTCTCTTCACTTCCCTCCGACGGCACAGGCAGTGTCCACGACATGGAGATGATGGTGGCATTCTTTTCCAGTGCGGCTTCAATGGCCTACAACTTGGTTAGCTCGTTCATCGCGAAGTGGTCTGGTTGGCTGCAGGTGATTTACCAGGGCTGCAGAAACGGCATCAATTGTAGACAGGCCCTTGTCTGGACTTGTGTGTGTCTTGAGTCGGATGGAGTATATGCTGGCCATCGGGCACACTTTCAGAATCATTCTCGACATCTCAGTCCCATGGCCCTTTGCTGAGATGTAGTATTGCCCGACACTTCTGTCTTGGTAGTCGAATGTCTTGCCCTCAATGACACGACCCGAAAAGGTCGCGTCACAGCAGTCAACACCGTCATCTATAAGCGCAACAACAACATCCTTCCCCGGGCTTTGGAGGACATCTGAGACTCTAGCCTCGCCTTTCGATAGGCGATTGGCATTGTTGGTATACACGTCAGCAGGGCAACCGTACGGTTGGAACGAAGTGTCAATAATGGTCTATTATTGTTGCGTCTGGAGGTGGAAGGAGGAGATTGTGGGCAGAGCCCACGATCTCCCAGAAGTGGTATGTAAGTGAAAGGGCCGTTTGTAAGTGCCCATACCGCCTTCCAGATCCATCTTTTCTGCCGACTGCTCATAGATCCAACAGGCATGTTTCGAGTCGTTGTCAATCTGTTCACGGGATAGGTCAACTGTCCGCTTTCAAAACCCATCCATGCATCCGCCAAACCGCTCCGTGCAGTTGAGCCAGTCATGCTCGGTGACGGGATTAGATCTGGCCGGCTTTGGCACACCACTGAATGGCATGGGTATATCCGTGCCCTTTTTACCATCTCTAGGGAAGACGACAATCTTGCGCCCAGCGGGTGGTTTAGAGTCAGCTGTGGTGGCTAACTGCTCCATCGAGACCTCTGAAACCTGAGACGTATTTGAGCCCGGTTCCTCTGAGCGGCTGTTGTCATTCCGGGCGTCGTTGGCATTTGTATTCAGGCGAGCACCAAAGTCGTCAATATTCATCCGGACCCAGTCTCTGGTGTCGTAGAGTTAACAAATTCCAGTCAGCATCTTCTTCAAAGGACGATGCTTGAAGGAAGATCAGAAGGTGGTAAGAATTACGGAGACTTACTTCAGACTGGGCCGGAACGTTGAGATGGATAACCTCGAGCTTGGGCAGCTTCGATAACCCGCTAACCTCGCTCCACGAGCGCAAGACTACGTTGTTACCACTCCATTTGAGAGTCACTTCGCGAAGGTCAACCCTGACTGTTTCGGACGTTTCATCCTCGGCAGTTGTGTTCCTGACGTGACAGATAATTCGAGGGTCCAGGTCTGTCTTCTGCCAGTCGAGATGTTCGACGACAATCTTCTCCAGCGAATTCTGAATCGACTCGTCACTGTGGGGGATTTTGCCGCTGTCGTCAACCTCAACTTGAGGATCCGGCGCACGCCCTTGTTGTTAAGCCATTCAAAGAAGAACTCCATGTCCTGCCGCCCCAGGGCTCGCGGTTTCGGCGCCCTTCTGCCGGTGCGTTTCACGGCAACAGTCGGGAACCTGACGTGCATCAGCACTTCGTCGAAACGAATGCCGCTATCGCGATCTGCACCAAAACGCTCCATGAAGACGTGGTCTTGGATCTCTGACGGAAGCCCCTCGTAGTCGAAACAGATCTGTATGTCTATTGCCGCTTCATTAAACAAAGCTTTTTGAGAGTGAGAGCATGTTGTTCTTACCTTCTCGAATGTTCTTTCCATACAGAAAAGAGGTAGCCATCTTGATGCTCCTAGTCCTCATGTCGCGCAGCTTCAACATTCTGAGGATTTGTGCAGAGTTCTTTGCCAAACTTCTGGGTCTGTCTTTCTGGATCCCTTCTTGGACGAAGCCGGCGCCTTCTTCTCCTTCTTCGCATCCGTAACTGTGGCAGGTGCAGGTGGGTCACGTGAGGCAGCTCCTTCACATCTCGGAGCTGCCCCACCTACACCTTGCCCAGATATCCAGCCCAGCCAGCGCTCAGCTTTTCCCATCATCATCATCAGATCCAATACAGTAGTATTGCCTCCACAGTAACGTCGAGCCTCTGAGTGGCAACTCTCTTCAGCGGGGTGTTGGGCGTATGTTCTGCTCCATTCGTGGTGACGTGGATCTTGGGAAGGTCGCCAGTTGACTCATCGAGGCGATCTTTCTGGTCCTTGGACTGTCTTGGACGATTGCCGTCTCTCTCGGAAGCTCTTTCTCGCTGCTTTCTCTCCTCTCTAGACCTCCTCTCTTGATGCTCTCGTTCTTCCTTCTCCCTGAGCTCAAGTCGTATTCTGTCACTCTCGTCCAACTTTGATACGAGAGACGCAGAAGCCTGTTTGGGTTGTTCTCGATCCGGCAAAGTTCTCCTGCCTGCACGATCACGCTCCCCGCCGGCCTGACTCTTCAACTCTTTTGGGGGAACTGGCTTCGGCGGTTCCTTGTCTTTGGTGGCCAGGTTGGTACCGGCTGCTTCCTTCACATCCGTGCGGTCCTTTTCGGCATTCCGCCCTTTCGTGTCTCGCTCCTCCTCTAGAGCCTTGAGGTAGGCCTTTGCTGTCCTCTCTTGCTCGCCATAGACGGAGTACTCGACCTCGTCCTGTTTTCCCTCCTCCTTTCTCAGGTACGTTTCGTCCAGAAAGGTTCTAAACGGTCGAACCGTTCCAGAAGAATTGTTGTTCCTGACGATCTCGGCGTCCTTGTCAAGAAGAAGCTTGATGACTTGGACGCGCTGATCAGTGCACTGCTTATACTGAACTGCATAATGCATGGGAGTCCGGTGGGAGCCATCGGAGAGCCCCAAGGCGGTCTCGCCCGCCTTCGCGACCAAGTTCCGAAGTACTCTGGCATTTAGATTCTTCTCAAATGCCAACGTCAAGCATGTCCTGAGGGATTATCCTTTCCCGCAAGTCATCTTAAGAGCATCTTCTATGCATTTCGGGTCTTCACAGCTGTTCAGGATGTAGTCGACAAGTTTCCAGGTGTGTCTCTTGAGTTTGATGGCGCGGTAGAGGGCAGTCTGGCCTTCCTGGTCCTTATATCTGAGCAGGTCCGGGTACCTCTTAACGAGTGTCTCGAACAAGGGCTTTATAGATGACGCCGTGAGCGAATTTTCGTTGTCCTTGTCGTCTACAAGCTGGACAATTTTGTGGAAGAATGTGACTCCGTTCTGACCAACGTGGCTCACTACGACGCGATGATCAAACAAAAACTGGTCAATGGTGTCTTGAGTTGCTTGGCTGTTGAAATTCGTCTTCATGTCGGCAATGGCGTGTCTTGTTTGACTAGTTATGTCGTCTTCCTCATCCGAATACTCCTCCTCGTCATCGGACTCTGGCCCCAGTCCTCTGGTCTCATCGTCCAACATGATGAAATCTTGAGATGAGAAGTGCTAATATGAATGTTGGTGAAGGGAAGCAGCACGGTGAAATGTCTCTGGACCAAGGTGTGATCGAGATGAAGGTCGTGGTATGGTGCTGGAGGGGGTTCGAACCGTGCAACGGGTTCCCGAGACAGATCGCATGAAGTCGAGAATGTCCAATGATTTCAGAATGAAGGGTGACGGGAACAGTTGTTTGGAACGTTAGGTGAAGACTGTAGCCTGTAACATAGTTTAGATTAGCATAGACCATATCGGCATAGCGCCCGGCACGTCCTTTTGTTACCAGACGTTAAATACATCATCATCATCATCATCAGATACTCTCCTTAAGAACAATAATAACAACAACAAGAACACCAGATTAACCCAACGATATTGCTACCGATCGCGATACCAGGAATACCTGTGTGACTAACCTGTGGTACACGCAAACCAACACGAGGTTTCTGACGCTGGGAACGATCTGCCCGAGGTTGAAGCCATCTCTTTTGACGGGAACTACAACTGCCTGCCAAGTAAGCAATCCGAGACAATCAAAAAAGGGGGCGAAGGAAGTGTCGGTGCCAGTTATGGTGCAGAACTCAGCGCCTCGGCCAAGTGGGAAAAGACCGTCGCTAGAGAGACGACGGACGCGACGACCGTCAGTGGCGGCAAACTCATCGTCAAGAATGTGCCGCCAAACCGCATCGCTAAATGGACTCTGCTGGAGAACAAGACGCTTAAAACCGGGGTTCCGGCGTCTATACGGGTTGCTGTGAGGATCAAGAGGAGGGATGAGGCCGTCTTCGCCTGCGTTCCGAGATTAGAGTGTAGAGCCGACAAGTGGACGTCTCTGGAAACTTTCTTTGAGGGAGTTCCTGAGGACGATCCAGTCTACCTGAACCCGAGCTTGAAGTCTACGAACAAGCTAATGGCTTACGATACTGAGGAGTTGGGAAGCGTTGCCATGCAAAAGCTCAGTGATGTCACTTTTACGACGATGATATTAGATGCGCAGAAGTAGAGCAATTTCAGTCTGATACCATAATCTCAATCCTTTCGCTGTACACATGGCCTGGATAACTGCGTGCGAAAAACTGTCACCGCCGTGATGTTCGTCTTGCTTTGGTTTCATGTCGACTCATAGGACGGATAAGACGGCTGTTCCCGTTAGCTCCTTAGACGAAAGTATCGGACTGACATGAAGCTCATATGTCCCGAGAAGCCGACTTGGGTGCCCAGATTATGGTACTGGTGGGTGAAATCAGGCTGGGGACGGCACACTAATTTGATATGCATGCGGTGAGACGCCTGTTAGGGAAATCCCCTCGCACTCCTCCGCCCCCCAGGACATAGGTACAGTGGTGTATATGCCATTGGCTGGTCATCTGTCATACGTTTCTTACATTTTCCTGACCGACTGGTATTCTAGCCGCCAAAGATTGTCCTCAGATGAATCCCTCACGATGTACCCGACTTCCAAAGGAAGTATTTCCGGCGTACCAAAAGTACCCATCAGAGACTTGCATGGTGGGTACCATTTGTGCCGCACGCTGTGCCGCTATCGACGTCCTTTTGTGTTTGTTCCTGGCTCTCGAGGCTCTTCCGAGCTCATGACCACGCCCGCGCGACATCTACGCATGCGTCGTTGAGCACTCAACTCCGAGCGTATAACTCTTCTGAGCATCGAAAGCGGCATGTCTGGGCTTCAGCAGCCTGAGCTTCACCCTCTGGGCGTCTCGAATCACCAAGATTCGGGGCTCCTTGACAGCGCAGACGGGATAAAAGACGCCGTAGAGCATGCCAAGAATGGGGAAGACGACACCATATCGACCGTCTCATCAGAATTGTCAGATACAGACACGTTGGAGCTTCTCTCGCTGGCTTCGCGCCCAGCAACACCCGCTACCGAGAGGCTAAAGCTACCGAGGGAGCTTGGTTTGAGCGCGCCTGGGTGGTTCTCTGACTTTACAGATTATGAGTACGTCCCTGTCAAATACCTCCATAGAATCTCATGGGACTGACATGATATCACAAAGCGAGGTAGCAAGTGGAAGACTTGTATAGTAGAAAGTGGCTTGATTCCTCTAAGTGGAAGACCCGTATGAGGGTCCTATCTATATACCGTACAAGACGGGTAATCGGCTTGTGGAAAGCGGTATCGTACGGCAGTAACCGGCAGCGCCACGTGTGGCGCTGCGACACATGATGATAGTGTCATCACGATCCATGGACTTCGCGATAATCACAAGACCGTGTGGAAGTCGAGCAGTGGACAGGCATGGCTTCAGGACTCGCTCTTCCAAGACCTCTCCGTCCGGCAGCTCGATTACATGTATGCCATTGATGACTCCGCACGGATTTTTCAACCGGATGGGTTTCAAGTTGAAGCTCGAAACCTGCTGCGTCTGTACGCCGAGAAAAGGCGCAACCTTCCGGAAGTGAGTAACTACCTACAGTACGTGTTGCTTCACGACGTTTATATAGCCTTCACTGGCTTACCTTTCCCACAGACAGAGATCAACAGGCCGATTATGTGGGTGTGTCATGACATTGGAGGCAGCATCTTCAAGCAGGTTGGCATTTCATTTCCACTCTGTCGAGTCCATGACTGACAACCAGAAGGTTCTGATCCAAGCTTGCCGAGCCATTGTCCGTCAAGACTTTGACGATGTCGAAACATGGGAATACATAAGGGAAGCCCGGGACCGGATTGTTAAATTTTCCACCGTGATGGTAAGATAGTTATTCTTCTGTTTATTACATTTATAGCGCTTCCTGTGTTTGATCGCCAACATGTTTGCGTTGCAGATATCTCTTGGCTGCCCTCACAAGACCGAGTCCATTGATCGTCTAGAAGACGAAATCCATAACTTGATGAGCTTGCCCGGTCCGGAACTCAGAACCGGGCTAGTAACAAAGGTCAAGAATATTGCCCGTCAAGTGGACGATATCAACATTCGGTTCCTGGGTGCCAACTTCTTCTCACGGTTGTTGCGCATCAACGTCTTTCACCTCCGCTCCATTCTCCCCTCTGCGAATAAGCCGACGAATGTAGAAGTTTCGGAGCTAGTCAAGAACGATTCGGAAGTCGCAGATGCCGGTACCATCGTGAAGGGCGACAAGGGGGAAGAAGGTGGCCAGAATGAATTTCCTTGTGAAACTGCTGACGGCCATGGAAATGCAGATACTCGACAAGCAAACCCTACTACACCTTCAAGCGTGAATACGCAAAATGAGGGGATTATTGACGCGGAGCCTGAGCAAAACGACACAACTGATTCCGCGGCTGTAGTGGCGAAGAACAAAAAGGAAGCACTCAACAGTGGAGAGGGTTCTCGGAAGGCTCTGGTCGACCATGCCTTTGCACGCGCATCGCCATTCAGCCGATACACAAGCTGCCTGTTTGACATGTTTGAGAGATACAATAGGCAACGTGAGGATAATATCGATCATGCCTCACTCGTCAAGGGCAGCGAAGACCTCGCCGACAGTGATTTCGACTGGGTGTCGTATTTTGGCACGAAGATTCGCGAAGGCTACTATGGTGAGTTGGGTCGGAACTGACTCTTGGGCATCACTGACAGCCGTCTAGTCGTGAAGGTCAATCATGACCTCAACAATTGTCAACTCGCCTTACTGTCCATGATACCGCCTGTGAAGCCAGTCAATCTCCACACCGATCCCGAGCTGACCCAGACACTGCCGTTTCTGGACTGGATTTTCGCCCATGAACGGTTCAAACGGTTCGATGAGAGCATCGGACCTTACACCCTGTGCATCCAAGGGACCGATGAAGATGCGTCACGGATGGCAATGATTTCCCAACATGTGTATACCAGGTACGAGTCAGAACAGATCGAGAGACATGATCAAGAAGGCGCCGCTTTTTACTTCCAATTCGACAAGTTCGACAGCAGATACAATGGCATCAAGCCCATGCTTGCCACCTTCCTCTCGAAGCTGAGCTGGCACTTGTGGTCGAAGCCCGGGGAGGAGGGAGCGACTCATCGCTTATTTGAGAGCCTAGAATATTACCGCAACTGGTAGCTTCCGGTGGTCTTCAACCTCTTCACAGAGATGAGGCGGTGCGCGGACGTGGGAAGTATTGCCATCATCTTGGGTTGTTTCATAGCTGTGTGGAAGAAGAGCGGAATTGGTTCCTCGCAAGAGTGCTGGAACATTAAAGCCGCACCTATCTCAACTATCGGCTCGTCATCATCACAAGCAAGCAGAACCTGTTCCCGAAGAATTCCATTCCCGAAACGCAGATGATCTCTTTGGACGAGTGTCCGGCCCCGCTGGTCGGGTACGCCATCGACGAGAAGGTATTCGATGCTAACGGACTTTGGCCATACCTAGAGCACGTGCTGAGGAAACGTCCGGTGTTGAGTGCCCTTGCCGAAAGTCTGAAGAATGCCATCGAGCAATGCCAAGCAGCGCCTTACCTTGGCTACAGGATTCTGGAATGGCTTCATCATTTTGGACGAGGGCTGCCCGTTGCCGAAATCGCCGCAACTGTCGAACGCCTGCTACCCGCCACCCCCGGGATCATTCTGTCGATGTTCATCAACGCTTTGCCTCCGGATAAGCGAGTACTGGCACTAATGGTCTATCGATGGGTGAAATATGCCCTAGAGCCATTGACCGTCGAGGCACTTGGCCATGCTCTGTTTGCATCAACAGGGTCAAATACGACATTGCTAGACATTGACTACAAGCAGCTGCTTCGGGAAATCACTGTGATGTCTGGAGGTATTATTGTCGTGAGAGATTGCTTCCTCACGTTTTCAAACGACTCGTTTTACGACACAAGCGTCTCCGACGGCGATGATGACGAGAAGCCAGCGTTGATCCATGGCATCCTGGCCGAAGCTTGCTTGAAATACCTGATGCACCAGGAAGTGCTGCAGCTGTACGATAGGCTGTCAGTTGAAAACTATGGTGGAGATGTTTTAAAGAAGCCTCTTGCATCAACTCGAGACTCCATGTTGGAATATGCCGTTCGGTTCTGGGCGGAGCATTATCATCTTTGCGTGTCCCATCGGCCTATTTAGCTGGCCCTCGACTTCTTTCATCGCACAGAGACGAGAAATAGATGGGCTGAGGCGCACTATCTTCTTTCGAACCCTTTTACACGCATTCATAGAGGTTATGTGTCCTCTCTGCCATCGATGGCTGCATTAGGACTCGAAGACCTCGTATCTCGGCAAGTCGAACAAGACCAAAACTTTGATTGGTTTCATCGAGACGCTTGGCTAGCCATCACGGAAGCCTCGAGAAACGGTCACGAAAGTGTGGTTCGCAAGTTGCTGGAACATGTTCAGGTTGAAGAGCCGGGTCTGCAAGACGCAATCACCTGGGCTAATTCCTCTGGCGATGAGGGGACGTTGACTCGGCTACTGGATAGCGTTTGTCTTCTTGACAGCTTTTCGTGGCCCAAAGAAATTCTATCTCGAGCAGCGGCGTGTGGCTCGAAACCTCTAATTTCTGCCATTACTACAGCCGGTGTTAATCTAAATGAGCGAAAGTACGACACCGGGGAGATGGCCATTCACACGGCCATTGTTTGGGGCCGTCAAGGAGTGGTCAAGCTCCTGTTGGATGCCGAGGTTGACCTAAAGGTTCGAGACAATTTTGGGAGAACTCCCCTTCTCTTGTCTGCGGATATTGGTCATCCAGAGATCGTTCAGATGCTCATCAAATCAGGAGCCAACGCCGACGACAAGGACACAAGCGGTTTGTCTGCTATCAACACCACCATCTATGCGGGTGAGCACGCAGCACTCGCACAACTTCTCGGAGCCGGGGCAGATCCCGGCCCTAGGGAGCCTGCCGAAAGCCTTTCCGAGTCACCAGCCCCTTTGTCTTACGCCGCTGAGAACTGCAGGCTGCAATGCGTTCGAATTCTTCTTGAAAAGGGGGCAAACGCTTGTATCGAACCCGAGCGAGGAAGCCCTTTGTATCTTCTGTACGACAGGCCTCATGTCACCGAAACCTGCCGTCTTCTCATCGAGAGAGGCGCAAACCCCAACCAAGTCTACAGTGACAAAGAGATGCTCTTATTTCGGGCCTTGAGAACGGAAGATAAGAAACTGGTCGGTCTCCTTATTGACAAAGGTGCCGACGTGGACCTGTTGGACGCAGACGAGAACACAAACCGCAAGACACCCTTGGGGTATGCTATTATGGCATGTTCGCTCGAGATGATGGAGTTCCTTCTACAAAAAGGAGCTTCCGTGAACGATGTCCCCGAAGGAGCCGAGTCGTCGCTTTTCACCGCAAGCTATTGGAACACCGACATCAAAAAAGCCGAGTTGCTCCTAAAACATAAAGCCGACGTTCACTGGACAAAAAGCGACGGCTGGACCGCCCTTCATGCTTGTTACGACATGCCGATGTTCGTGCCTCTCCTTCTGAAGCAGGGAGCGGATGTGAATAAGATGGCCCATTGTGGGACTCTGTTGATGATGGCGGCAAGGTGGAAATTTCTCGATACTCTCAAGATCCTCCTCCAGCATCGCCCGCCCCCGAAACTCGACTTGAAGTTTGATTACGATCCAATGGACTTGGAATACGGCATGACAGCACTGACGATTGCGGTCTGAATCGGCAACCATGAGGGTGCGAGCCTTCTTCTTGAAGCGGGAGCTGGGCTGGACGACAAACTTAAATGCGCCGGATTCATCATACAGACATCCAATCCTGATGACTCTAAGGCAGCTCAGAAAATGATGCGAGATTTCCTAGATCGTGGAGCCAAGGTTGATCATGAGGACGAGGACAAGAACACTGCGCTCCACGGACTAACTTCATCGACCCCGGTCAAGATCTTAAAGATTCTGGCCGACCTAGGCGCTCCGGTAGACTCTCCAAACCAAGGCGGGCTCACGCCGCTGGGAGTTGCTGTGAAGAATAGCAACATGCCCGCTGCAGCATATCTCATCTCCAAGGGAGCCCGGGCGGATGTCCAGGACTCCAGCTTTGGCAATTTGCTTCATTTAGTCTGTCAACAGAACTACCCGGAAGATGAAACCGCCTTTAAGCTGTTTAAACTTCTCGTTGGTGCCGGAGCCAACTTGAACAGTGCTGGTCGAGACCCAGCTCGCGAATCGTTGCTGCATGCCGTCGTGTACGCGCCTCTCGAAAGAAGCGCACGAACCAAGATAGTCCACTATCTCGTCAGCCACGTCAGTCCAGCCGTCGATGTCAACGCGCCCGGTGGAGATTGGGCATATGCAATCATTGCTGCTGCCCGCAAGGGGTACGACAATATACTTCAATATCTTGTCCGCCACGGCGCCAATATCAGCGTCCCTGACGATCTGGGCCGTCGTCCTCTTCACTTCCTAATCGGTCTCGGGCGTTGGAATTCCAACACGAGGCCAGTGCGAGTTCTTCTCAAGGCCGATGTTGACATTCAAGCAGCGGACAAGTTTGGACGAACTGCTCTCAATTGGGCAGCTGGATCCAGAGACCTGGAACTTTTTGAGTTGATACTGAGAAAGCTTCCCAAAGGATACAATGTCAACGTTCGAGACGGTGATGGATGGACACCGCTCATGTGGGCCTGTAGAACTTCCCAGGGCGCCCCGATCTCTATCATTGACAAGCTAGTCAATACATTGGGCGCGGACATCTTCCTCCAAAGAAGTGATGGCGATTGGTCGGCGATGAAGCTTGCGTGTCTCAGCAACCTGGAGGAGGACATCAAGAAGCTGTTGCAGCCCATCGGATATGAGAGCCAGCAAGACGGCAAAGATGACTCCAAAGAGATCCGGAACCTTGCTTTTCACAATATACCACCGGCACCACCTCATTCCGGTCGTCCATACTGTGATAGTTGCTTTGCAGTAAGTTATTTGACTTCTTGGTTGCAATTCTTGTTCTGGCTCTTTTCAACTGACAATCCCTTCTTTTCTTTTGCCTATAGGGAATTGTAGGAACGCGTTACAAGTGCACCGTTTGCGACGACTATGACCTGTGTTTCAAGTGCTTTCCAAGTTGTAATACAATGCACGATGCAAACCATGAGCTGAAGAAGTACTACGAATATTTGTTTGTGGATGAAGAAGACAGTGATTCTCCGGCAGAAGATGATGGCGCGGCGGGTGCATCGGAATCGAGTGAGGGAGAGAAGCCGAGTACGGACACGGACGATGAGGTTGAATACGATTCGGAGGTCGATGACTGAACAGGATAGACTATCATGGCAGCTGTTTACGGCTTTGAGAGGTTCAAGGAACTATATAGGCGCACAAATTAGTCTTCTATGGAACCTTTCATGTTGTGTTTTGCCAACTCCGTGTACTTCCAGTCCTACTTCTACCGAGCCTGACTTGATTAGCCTCGTCAACTTTTAGGTCACATGTATCTACGACCCAACTCCCGACTTCAATTCGACTTCTGTGGTAAATAAGGCGTAATTGCTGGCCGGCAATTACGGATTCGTTTTTGTACGACAACTTCAGAGTCTCACGTAGGTCAACGTGTATTTATGCGGGTCAAGTCTTATCACACCACTTTGTATCGGCCGATGCGGCTCAGATACGGCCCTGGGCTGAGACAGTCCGGTCGAATGGCTCAAGCCTGCTGAGGTGCTCACTATTCATACGGTCAAATCACCAGACAGGGGCAAAAGGATTCGTCGGTGCTGTAGTCGGGGCATCTCCTCGCAAGGTGGACGTCCAATTGCGCACTTTTCAGTCCGACCAGACAGGAAATTGACTTGTTCAGTCCGTAGCAGTATCCTGGCTAGGGCCTATCCCATCCATCGGGTGCCAATGGACAGCACTTTCGCCAAGGGCGGGGTAGAGCCAATAAGGGCTTGCAAATTTATTAAACTAACCAGTAGGGTTGTAGTACCTATATTTCCTATAGATTTTGGGTGTGCCAGAGGTACCAGCAATCTTTACTAATACATAATGGTACATTACAGTCTAAGCAACCCTTTCGAGTTGTCTGCCGTCGTCGCCGAGTGAGGGTATTCCCAGATATCTGGTTTAGAACCTTCCTACTACTACAATAGCTACAAGGTGAAGATACCTTTCTTGATCCCTTGCGATGCTGTTCCCATGGAATAGAGGTATTCCTTTTGTCTATAGCCCGTCTAGGCCGTAATAGTCTCCGCCCGCCTACTAATGGGCCAAACTGCTGGATAAGCTGGGCTGCAAGCAGCTGCCGCCATTGGTAGTGGGTTTTGATTTTCTGCGACCTAGGGCTACCCCAGAGCTGTAGCAGGAAGCTATTCACAACTACCACTTCCAGTAGGAAATTCCAGGTAATTGACTGCCAGCCCCCTCGGCGAATAGGGTGGCCGTATTGATAATATGACCTCATCTGGTCACTCACATCAACCCCATTCATCTTATGGTTGTATTCATCGATTGCCCTAGGGACTGGAAGGCCCTTGCGGACGTCTGGGCCAAACACTTGCCGGGCAGCCTTTTTAGCAGCAGTATCCCCAGCTGGGCGACGGCGGCTTCGAATAACCTCCTGGCTGCTCTGGAAGACAGTTGACAGGAATAGTACGAGGGCATTATCCTTCCAGGTGAACTGGTTGACCTATTCACTAGTTAACTAGTGTCGGATTGGAAGTCCAATTCGACCGCGAGTAAGGGCAGAGCATGGGCCACCTCGAGGGAGTACAATTAGACCTCGACTACCCACCCAACCTCCGGTTGGAATCTCCCTTCTACTCCTTACGCAGAATCAATCAATACAGAGATATTGATACTTCGTCACCCCAGGACCCTACGGTTCGAACCAAATTCCCTGTGAAAGGAATACCAACAACTAGGCTGGGCTGGATATAATTACTGGGCTAGGCTGGCTAGTAGCTTACCTCCCCATCTAACGTAGGGATACAGTGTATTTTGCCCCAGGGCATATCCCGTCCTTCAGTCTCTCTCTCATCAACTAGAATCTCATCTATCCCACTATCCTTCCGGCAGGTACCAGAAGCACCAACCTGTTGTTTCCGTAGGGTACTAAAGAGACGTACAGAGGAGAAGAGGTTGTCTAAGAAGACGTGGTAGGTTGCAGCTGGAAGTAGGGAAATAAGGGTAGTTACTACCTGCTGTGTTGGTGTCAACTGGGCCAGCTTTCCAGCAGCTGGCCCGGCGGGCTGGCTGGGCTGGGCGGGCTGTGCCTGGGGAACCAATGCGTATGGGCCCTTTCCGTGTACGTGCCACAGCCACCGTATACAGTAGCCAGACTGGGCAAGGATCCAGATCTTATCCCATCGAGTGCTGCAAGGCGACAGTACATTGGCTCCACATAACGGGCCCCCTTTTACCCCGCACCGCATCTGGTACATCCACTGCTTGAGTTGCCCCTATGATTTCCACTCCGGTACATCTACCAAATCCATCATTACCAATACTCAATTAATGGATTCTGACGATTCTGACGGATCTGGCCGTTCCACGGGCTCGGCGAAGTCGTGTATCTTTGCCCTGCTGCCCGAGGACCTCGCCGCCGCCTGCACTGCCGACTGTACGCCGGAGCAATGTGATAATGCCACTGTTCGGCCCCGCGAGCCTCCGGAGGTTGAGCCCGGTATCCCTGGGCAGTTCGTGCCCTTCGAGGTGCCGCAGCGGCCCACGGAGGTCCGGAGCCTACCACCGCAGCCGCTGGACCTCCTCCTCGAGTTCGTGCCGGCCAGCCTCGTCGGCCGGTGGGTTAAGTGGACGAATGCGGCGCCGCGCTCGGCGAGGCTGGGCCCGGTTAAGAAACACTCTCGCAGTCTCAAGTGGAAGTCAGCGACTGTAGACGAAGTCTATTTGTTTTTGGGCATTTTGATTTATATGGGCTTACACCCTGAAACCAAAATATCTAAATACTGGTCTACTTCACAACAGACAGAGGATCCTATCCATTTGTTTACTCGATTTATCTCGAGGGACCGCTTCCAGCTCCTCCTCCGCCGCATCCGGATCTTCGACCCGGCCAAGATCCCTGCTTCCGTGCCGTCGACGGCAGGCCGGCGCCGCGGGCAGCCCCGGGAGAAGCAGATGCCGAAGGTGTACCAGCAAGTCAACGAGTGGTCAGCTCACATCCAAGAGACCGGCGACCGCTTCTACCGGGCCGGCTCCGACCTCACCGTCGACGAGGCCATGGTCCGCTTCACGGGCCGGGCAGTGGAGACCACGACGATCCCGACGAAGCCGATTCCAACCGGCTTCAAGGTCTGGGTTCTGGCGCAAGCCGGGTACTCCCTCCGCTGGCTCTGGCACGTCCACGGTGACGGGCCCTACGGCCTCGTGGCACAAGCCCGGCCCGCAGCCGGCGACGAGGAGGCCCGGCGAACAGCCTTGACGCCGACCCAGCGGGTGGTCACATCACTGCTTTCCTTGCTTCCATTGGCCACTTATCACGTGTTTCTTGATAATCTATTTGCTTCAGTAAAGCTCTTCCGGGCCCTCCGTGACCAGCGGATCGGTGCCACCGGCACGTGCCGGAAGGATAGTGGAATCGACAAGACATTGGTTGCTGAGAAAGAGACTGACGGCAAGGGACTTCCATGGGGTCAACTACACGCGATTTCCACGGCTGACGGGAAAGTATGTTAACCCAAATCACTGTCAGTGGCTATTCCATACCAAACCATTCATTGGAATAACTTCCAGGTCAACCAGTTCACTTGGAAGGATAATTCCCTCGTTCTCTTCCTCACGACGGTCTTCCGAGAGACATCCGACGTTGTACGAAACCGCAAACGGCCGGCTGGAGATACCGCTGCGAAGAGGGCAGCACGGGAGGTCTTCGGGCCCGAAGTGCGGAAGGATCTCCGGATTCCACTCGCAATCGATGAGTACAATCACCGTATGAACGGCGTAGATACCGGGGACCAAATGCGGTCCTATTACGACTTCAGCCGGCCCGTGAGGCGGGGCAGTTGGCAGGCAATTGCCTGGAACTTTCTCCTCGAAGTCATTATTATTAATACCTTTCGTCTTCAACAATGGGGAGATCCTGAGTGGCCCCGGGTTCAGAACCAGTATGAATGGCGTAGACTGCTTTCTGCCCACCTAATTCAGAGGTTTGGACCATTGGCAGAAGGTCGTCGACGGGGACGTCCAAGGAGGGCAACAGACAAAAGGAACGAGGCAGTACCGTGGCAATTACACGTACGAGGGCACAGAAATGCCAATTCTGCTTGCGTGGGTTGTAGTACGATATCGCAAGTAAAAGCGAGGACTGCGCTGGGCGAAATTAGTGGTAATATCCATACCCAACCGCAGCGGCGGAAGTACACGAGGATGGGCTGCCTCGAGTGCGATGTAGCTCTCTGTAACTCAGAAGATTGCTGGTACCGATTTCATACGCAGAATCTCTAGTAATTGGAAGTATCTATTATCAATTACGTTGGTTGGTTGGAAAAAGGGGCCCGAAGTGGCCCGATTGGCTGCTCCCCCGCATCTCAATGTACTGTCGCCTTGCAGCACTCGATGGGATACCCAGTTGGGATGGGTTTCGTTTTAATCGTCGTTGTCTCAAGAGACCGACCCTCAAATCGGACCATAGCCTCGTCAACTGTAAGATCTGAACCAGTTGTATAAAAGGAATCCCCAGTCTTTTGGATATGGGCTGACCACTGGTTAACCTTTTGGTATACATCGGGCATTCGATCCCGGGCCTGGCCCCGTCCCCGTCCCCGTCCCCGGCCCCGGCCCTGGCTGGGCTGTCCGGACTGGTCAGGCTGGTCGGGCTGGTCGGGCTGAAACTCAGTAGTGTTGAATATCCGCAGCCGCTTAAGTAGTAGTTGGAATCGGTTTCTAGAAACGAACCGCGTAAATAGGTGGATAGGATCCTCCGTTTGCTGCTGGGTTGACCAGTAGGTTAATAATCTAGATTCTCTATAAATCCCAATATATAATAGGATCCCTAAGAAAAGGTAGATCTCTTCTACTGAAGTATTCCGCCATGAAATCACTCTTGCTGATCTAGTTGGGGGACCCTCCCTAGACGACGACGGCGCTGCATTCGTCCACTGAGCCCACTGCTCCACGAGGCTCTGCGGAACGTATTGGACGAATAGGTCAAGCGGGCTGGCCGGCAGCCCCCGTACCTTCTGGGCCCGGGCCGGCACGTCAAAGGGTCGGAAGGAGCCCGGATGACCATGCTCGGTAGCCGGAGGTTCGCGGGGCTGGACTGTTGCCGCGTCACAGCGCTCTGGCGTACAGTCTGTAT